ATAAACATTTCTATTTGCATATGAGGACATGTGCATACATCACGTAATACCACGAGGATAATGCGGCAGTTCATAAAGTGTCTTGACAGTTCACTGTAAATTATGATAAATTTTCTTTCTCGTGGCTTCATAATTCATACGTGCGTATTGTATGAATTTATGCTCTGTACTAGGGCGGCCGAGGCAGATCGTAAAATAAATCAGTCAGCAAATAGGTTACTCGATGAATCAGACTAAAATACTGCCTAAACAAATTCGATGGTACCACAGCCGTCGTACTTAAGAAAATGAAGTGAAAATCCTGCTCGGCAAGTATGTCACTTGACAGATCGGAATAAAAACCTAAACAAATGTATGGTGATTAGTGACCGTTAATCGATAATTATTCAGAAATCGTGAGATGCGGTCTGGTGTGATGTAGGTTTCAGAAAACGTTTTCTTTATCGTGCCAACGTTTCGATCTTTATTGAGATCATCTTCAGGGCTCAAAGTGTTTGTCTTCTGTGTAATTGTGCCATTCTTGCGTGTCGTGTTGAGAGTCTGAAGATGATCTCAATAAAGATCGAAACCTTGGCAGGATAAAGAAAATGTTTTTCTGAAACCTACATCACACCAGACCGCATCTCAAGATTTCTGAATAATTAACCTAAACAAATTTGATGATACCGCAACCGTCGTACTTAAATAATATGAAAGTGAAAATCCTGCTCAGCAAGTATGTCACTTGACATATCAGAATAAAAACCTAAACAAATTTGATGATACCACAAACGTCGTTCTTAGATAAAATGAAAGTGAAAATCCTGCTCAGTAAGTATGTCACCTGCCGGATCAGAATAAAATCTTAAACAAATTTGATGGTACCACAGCCGTCATACTTAAAGAAAATTAAATGGAAATCCTGCTCAGCAAGTATGACAATTGACGAATCAGAATAAAAACCTAAACAAATTTGATGGTACCTCAGCCGTCGTACTTAAAGAAGATGAAAGTGAAAATCCTGCTCAGCAAGTATGTCACTTGACGGATCAGAATAAAAACCTATACAAATTTGATAGCATCATAGCTGTAGTGCTTAAAGAAAATGAATTGACGTTATGCATGCATGCACCATTTTTTGTATTGTTTTAATTAAAAATAAAAACGAAATCTTTCTATAAGACACTTCTGTACGATCCTAAAGACCTTCAGTGTTTCAAAATCCTTGAAAAACATACTAAAAAAGGTATAACAAAGGCAGAGATTAATCAACGAAATGAATTAGTTTTTGTGGTATAAATAATCTCACCTAGATGGTAGAACAGACAAAATAGATGTGAAATTCACACGATAACGTTTGTAATGAAAAAATCAGTTCTTCCTGGGGCATGGAATAATCTATTACAGAGTGGTATAAATAGAAACTAGTATTTCTACAAATGGTTAAACTTCCTTTTTATTTTGCAATATATCATTATGTAAACAACATAATGTAAAATTTAAAACCATTAACGTCGTGATGTTGTTTCTTTAAGTTTTTCGTTCGTTGTAATGTATAAATTAATTGGTATATTGGAGATGGTAAGGGTAAATCATGGACAAAAGGCCAATTTCACTTAGAGATCAATTATTGTCGTTTGACCAAAAATTATGGGTAGTTGACGGAACGGCAGGTTCGCCCTCGAGGTGATAAGAGATATCTCTTGGGAGGAGGAGTCTGAGCTGAATTTTGTTTACCTCTGACTTCTTTTCCAGGACGATGGCTTTTGAAAGCGGGCCATCCTCGGCGGCCGGGCTGTGCCTACGGCGAGTCGCAGGAGCACCGAAGGGAAAAATTCTTTCGGACTCCGACCTCCCGAACCTGACACTGTTGTTTGACCTGCGACAGTCGGCGAAAGACTGAACCGCGGCCGTGCCAGGGGCGGAGGCGGAACTGGGAAAGGTTTTGTTGATATTGACACGGCTACCCCCGCCCGCCCAAAATCAAACCGAGAACTACAATGGCGGCAAAAAGTATTGCACATAGTTTTTTTAAATTAATAAGATCGGGAAGTAAACAAAAATCCTTTTAACTCACATAGGAAAAAAAATATATTTACAACTGTACAGAACATCTATAATAATAATAAAGTTTTTACAAATTACGGGGTAATAAACTACAATGCCCAAAATCAAACCGAGAGGCAAGAACTACAATGGCGCAAAAAGTATTTGCATATAGTTTTTTTTTTTTTTTTAATTAATAAGATCAGAAAATAAACAAAAATCCTTTTAACTCACATCGGCAAAAAATATATTTAAAACTTACAGAACATCTGTAATAATAGCAGAAATAATAATAAAGTTGTTATAAATTGCAGAGTAATAAACTACAATGCCCAAAATCGCAATTTACATATGGAAAGATAGCTCCCTCCAAAAAAAGAGGATAAAGGAAAAGAAGTGTCTTTTTAAGTAGCATTTTTCTAATACTTTATTTAGATTTTATACAATAGACAGATAAATAGAAAAAAATGTACAATATGACATGGATAACAATCCATCTGTCTGGAGTTAACTAAAATGAGAAATAAAAGTGAAAACAAATCAAATGAAAATTACCACTTAACTTAATACTACTGCCTACTAGTATTCATTTTATATACATACATACAATTATATATTTACATGTTTTTCTTTCTTTTTTGGTTTCCTTGAAAAGCTCTAACCAATTGGAGTGCTGAATCAGCTGATACCTCTATTGCCAGGCATCGCGAGCATAGTATGCAAGGGCTTCCTTAAAATTCCTTGTTTTGTTCAAAGTCTGGACAAATACAGTGTGGGAAAGGCTAAGACACCCAGATGCAGAAGGCGATATTCTGACAAAATCGAGCACTCAGTCACAAAGTGAAAAACATCTTCCTTTATTTTTGAGTTGCATAAGGAGCACAATTCGTTAACATTATGTTTTCAGCGTACAAAATTAAGGTATATTTGCTCGCAGCGCATTTTTAAGAACCATTGCATCTCGGAGAGGTAAAGGGTTTGTTTTCTCACTTAGTGGATTGAAGGGTCCATTAGTTTATTTATAGTATTTGAATGGAAGAATACAAGGATAACGACGAGCTTATACTCATGCTGAAACTGTTACTAGTCTGACTCCATTATTATTATCATTATTGGCCATACAAGCCTATGGAAAAAAGTATTTGCTCGTAGTTTTTTTAAAATTAATAATATCAGAAAATAAAAATAAAAATTCCTTTTAACTCACATAGATAAATAATATATTTACAACTGTACAGAATATCTATAATAATAATAAAGTTTGTATAAATTGCAGGGTAATAAACTACAATATCCAAAATCGCCATTTAAATACGGAAAGATATCTCCCTCCAAGCAACAAGAGAATAAAGGAAAAGAAGTGTTATTGTTTTTTATTATTGTTAAGTAGCATTAGTTTATTTATATTGGGTTGTCCGGAAAATAATGCAGGATTTTAAGTTTTCATTANATGGGAAATTATTTTGATTAAAGAACATTGCTTTAAAGTAACTAGTTTCTTTTTTTTTGTTTAATACCAAAATCCTGCATTATTTTCCGGACAACCCGATAGTATTTGAATGGAAGAAAAAAAAGGACAACAAAGAGCCTATACTCATGCTAAGACTGTGGCCAGTCTGACTCCATTTCATTATTGGCCATAATCGGGCATAATTGGCTATGGAAAATTTTTAAATTATGGAACAAAAAGAACCTGAGCAGGAGACGAGCTTCCTCACCCGATTGAGGATTGGCCATACGCTTTTTTGGCCAAAGCCCGTGCAGGAGCCCCTTATGCAGAGAAAGGTTGCTCGATGTGTCCCCATAATAGAGGTGTGTCATACATCCCCTGTTCCGATTTTTAGGGGAATTGGGAATTTTTTATTGTATATAGCCGTCAAAATATGTGTTTTGTGTTTCTGTGATTTGTATGAGTGAATGTATTTATTAGAGTGAATGGAGAGGGGTTAATGGTGGAATCCATCCCATCACCCCTCAAGCTGTGTACGTGACTTGGATCAATGGCAGAATATTTATAAAAGTACCCCAACGACCCGAATTAGATTAGTTTGTTATTACATGCAGGTTGATGGAGGAATATTGACTATTCCATCTACTAAATAGTATGAATGGAATGTATATAGGTAGGAACGTATTTATTTGTTGTGAGTATGTATTCACATGTGCTCCGGGCTGATAATAATACTAAAACATATAATAAAATATACAAAACAATAATGACAGTAATATATTCATTAGAATGTTAATTATTTATAACAGAATGATGAATCTATATTATGAAAGAAAAAAAGAGAAAAAGAAAAGGAAGAGGGCAGAAAAGGAGATGATTCATCGTTTTTAAAAATTCAGATGCCATGGGCTTGAAACGAGCCGAGGAAGCAGAATGTCAAAAATGAAAAATAGCACTACAGCAATAGAATGAAGGAATTATTAGGGATTTAATAAAGAGAACTCTAGTTTTCTTGGAAATATGCATGCTTTTTAACTACAAACTTGCCTGGGAGAACCTAAATTGCCTAATGACTCTGGGAAGACAAACCAAGATTGCCTTAAAGGCATGGAAGAAAATAAGTAGGCTGATTAACTATCCAAAGACGACCCTCTTACCCAGAACTGCAACTAAGTGCACTGGAATGTGTGCTTAAGTTGGAACTGGATAAGTTGGCTTCAGAAAAAAAAAATCACTAGACAAAAGTATCAGATACTAGGCGAGAGTTAAAAATCTCTCAAAAATGAAGTTGACAGAACTTCTCGCTCTCTCAGCAGGCAAGATTTGAGGAAAATTAAAAAAAAAAATGGTGGAGGAAATAATTAAAATTATTCAAATCCCTATCGAGTTCTTTAAACTAAAAAAGTTCTTTTAAAATCTCTAATTTTGTAGATTTTTCAAGTATGTCAATAGTATTCATTCTATTTGTTTATATTACTAATGAATTATTAATTATTAAAAGTACAGGTAAAAAATTAAAGAAATATATGTTAAGTAGTAGAATAAACATATATTAAAAAACGATATATTACATTTAAATTCAGTACAGATAAATTCAAATAAATTAAAGCATGTCTGATTTACAATTCTTATAAGTTATATATGAATATTTGTGCTTTTTAGTTTCTACCAGTTCTTTCTTGATGCCAATGACGAATGCAAACAGAAATCCACATACCATCAATAAAACAACCAGGAACAATGAAAAAGAAATTATGTACCAATCACGTTTTGGCTCTACACCAAGCTGAAATATATAATGTTAAATCAATTATGAGTAATTATAATTAAAAATTTCATATTACATACTTTTTCAAAACTTTCCAGGTATTGCTTTTGCAAAATGATTCTGTGCATGTTCCAACCATCTTGATTTATGTTACGTTTTGCTCTCTTTTTGTCAGATATAGTGATTGAATATGTACAATGGACGAACCAGATGTTTGCAACAGATTGCTTTAAAAAAAATGTAATTTTTTTATAGATATATATTTTTTGTTAATTTATTTTAACATACTTTATACAGAGGTGTGACGTCAAATGTGAACGCATCACAATTTTTATATTTGGACTCGTTCTCACAAGTTGCTTCTAATGATGCATTGAAAATTTCATCATAAAACACCCTTTGAACTGAACTGGCATCATCTCTGTCCTAAATATTAAAGAAAGTGTAATAACACACAAATTTAAGTTTTTTTTTTAAATCCGACTTACTATTAATTTCAAAGAGAAGTAAAGTTGGGGCGAGTCCATAAGGCAGCCGAATTCTCTATTTTCAGGATCATATTTTGGAATGTAATCATATTTTCCGGCGCATACGTAACACTTGTTAATGTTCAAGATCAAGTGATCTTGAGGGGGGATAACACCAATTTTACCGTACACATAATCCCCTAATAAAAATATAAATTTTCTTTAAATTACACTTATTGACTAAGTACAAATAAGGAACGTGTAATATTTAAAATCACTAGAATGACAACATATTGCAGCATTTCAATTGATTAAGTCAATCATAAATCAAATTTATGTTTAAATACACTACTCCATTTGTATTATAGCATCTAAACGTATACAAATTAAATCTTAGAAAATGTTTTTTCTGATTAACATATTTAAACTAATAAACTAATTCTGAAATATCACTAAATGTTAGAATTTCTAAGAAAACCTTTTTGTTAAATACAATTATTTAATACACAAGAAGTGCAAAATAATATCAAGTACTCCACTACCCTACTTAAGTAAACGGTATACAAATATGAATGTGTTTCAGAATGAATGAATTTAATAGTCTTACAAGAGTGAAAAATTAAGTAGGAGACAATGAACTAGAATAAAAATTATGGTACATAATATGATACATGCGATAGTCAATGAAAAGAAAAATCAAGTTTTAAAAGGTACTAATAATTACAGAATAAAGTCAAATAGTAAATTAATAGATGCAGAATTACTAAACAAAACTTTGAAACCATAAGATTCCAAAAAAATGGAAAATTCTGTGATTAAATAAATTTTTGCAGGATGAACAAGGTGGCACAGTTATCCAAGTATACCAAGCAGCAAAATAAACATTTTTTTTAAATTAATTATTTTATTTGTACTATCTGCTCAATGTATATTTTGTACATATAGCAATAAATAAAATAAAAACTATACAGGAAATTAATTTTTAACTAAGGGTTATTAAGAAAGGGGTTTGAAATAGGTTTAATTTAAACATATATTAAAAAGAAATTACAATCAATGAAACATGTTTTTAATTTCTTCTGTGGTTTGATTTTCAAATTGTAAAATAGCAGTCGCAATAGTAATAGTGTCTTTGATGGTTTCTCCTTTGATCCAAATAAATCCGTTCATCCCAATGGCACTTTCAAACTTAAACCGACTGCCCAAGATGTCGAGAAGAGGACAAGTATCGACCGAGAGGAGCTTCCTCACCAGATGAAGGCTAACCCTGAACAAAAACCCATCGTTCGGCAGAACTCTGAAATATTCCTTTTTCCCAGTGACCGTCATGCAGACGAGCTCAGGCTCCATGTCCGGTGAGACAACAACCAGTCTGCCAAAGATAGCGTCGCCTATGTTTATCTCCGGTCTGTTCTTCTTTGTCGCGCCTTCGAACGAGAGGTAATGCAGAAGGGCCTGGTCGGCCGCTTGGATCTCGACTTTGTAGAAATCACCGCTTTTCTTGCTGACGATTCCTACAACTGTTTCATTCGTTGTGGGTATGTACTGTTTCTGGAGGTAGTCGACCCAAACAGTGTTACTTTCACGGTTCGTTCTCAGAATGCCAGCTTTTATGGATACAACGTCCTCGGCTGCCCTTTTTAACCCAGGGCCTAGTTTAACCTTATTTTTGATGCTGGCACTTTTTAAAATATCGTTGCTTACCGTCTCACCGGGAAAGACAATTTCTATGTTTTCGTTATCTGTCATGGCGATGTTTATTTATTATTTTTACTCCCACTTGTACGAATAAACAATCGACTACTTCAGAACAATTTACGAAAAAACAAAATAGTCAATCATCTCGACACGTAAAATGAATATTAATGTAATGCCACCAACCCCAAGGTACTAGTTGAACAGTTGAACTCATAAACGATAACCTCCAACAGCCAGAGCACGTTGGGTCATTGGGAGTAGGCAAGGCACCACCATCATCGATCTTATAAATCGAAAATACCTACGGTATGTCAAATTTTAAATAATATTATCAACATTAAAACAATGAATGCGTTGGGTCCTAAATTGACCTAGCTGTTCACAGCACTTGGAGTTGGACGGTTAGTTAAGACATAGGTCTGACCCTGGTCTACCAATACCCAGGGAGGGTGATTATTGAGGCCTGCCGGCAATTTATGATAAATTACAAAAATCGGAATTGCCGGTGGACTTGAGAAGTGATAGATTCAATTCTGTACATATATGTGCAGATCTGAGCTTAAATAAATAAGTAATCAGTAAAAAAAAGTTGGTGCTTATACCATTCAATTTTTTTTTTTACCTGGTTCAAAAAGCAGATTGTCTCCTGTATCACCGGATGCATCCCATCTATGCTTGTTTAATTTAAACTGTGTATTGAGAGGATATCTGTGGAATACTGTGTCGCTTATTTGCTGAAACTGAACCTCAAGGTTTTGCACTATTGGCTTTTTTGGTGTACATGCAACACTTCCCACACATGGGATCAATGCTATTTCGTAGTTACCACTATAATCGACACTCTGCAAAGAACATAAAAACAAACGAAAAATAATTTAGAGTTTTTTTAAAATTTAAAACTAAATATTTCACTCACAGCCATATCGGACGAAAACATCCATAGCTGTTCAACGTTAGGCCCTTCTGTTAAATTTCCCAAGAATGTAAGAGTAAAGTCCAATTCAGGCCTGTCTTTATTTCTTACATGACTAACAAACCTGTTTACAAATCATATTATGGAGGCTTTTCATAAATTTTTAAACATCATTTAAATTTTTATGTTAAGAAAAAGACTGCCTTGCCTTCCAGGAATTTCCGGCAAAAAGTATCCATTGAACTTAGGCCTTGTTTTAAAGTAAAGAATAAGAGATCCATTTTGTGATATGTACATGTTCGTTCCCAAAAGATAACTTTTCAAATTTCCTTCTTCCATCTTCATCATATCTCCCCTTATAATTGTTGATGTCTTGTAGGTAAATTCAAGCCTAAATGGCAAAATCAATTTTTAAATAGAATAGAATATTACACTTTGGGGTTTTACTGACTTTGTGGTCGTGGAAGAATGGATCTGCTGCCAGCCAAAAAGTGAAGATGTAAAATAATATATGTGAATAGGTATTTCCAATAAAACAGATGCATTGTCATGCTCAGTGCTTATATCGGTCTTTACCAAGGCCCCACATACATTAACAACATCTGGCAATGTGAAATATCCCTTGAAACTCCAAAGGCATGATTTTAAATTTAAATGTTTGTAAAATCTAAACAAATATAAGTTGGTGAATTATTGATTAATTTTTAACAAACAATTTAAACAAATAAATGAAGACCTTAGCGTTTCATTCCCTCTTATTGAACTAAATTGATTTCGTTCGGTTGCCTGCAATTTTTCTGGAGGATTCAAAAACCCATTTTTAATTACACCCTTAAAACATAAAAAATAATTGTTTTAATTGTTTACATTTTAATCAAAATAAATTTTTTACCTCTTTCAATTTCAGAATGTTAGAACATTTATGTATCTCGGATCTCATTGGGTACGTTAACATTATTTCCTTTTCTGTTTTAATTTTTTGGGTTGAAACAACTGGAAAGAGCCCATCAAAATGTGGAATCGCTACTGAGAGTTGCAAGCTTTTTGTACCATTCAAATCTTTAAACATTAATTCAGATTTAAATATACCAGCGTAATATTATTATGTCTTATTACACAATAAAATAAATCAATACCAATATAAGCAATGTGAGGCATAAAAGGTTCTGCACCTAAGAGATTTTCCTTCACCTTTGGGCAAATACCTTCAGTTCTATCGATCGTTACAATAGAAGAATAAGAAATTTTTCCTTTAATGCCATCATTCAAAGGCCGAATAGCACATCTCAATTTGTAACCCCCATGAAAGTACACACTGTCGAGTACCATTGTTTTTATTCTGGACGAAACAATTTATTTTATTGATTAATTGATTTTTTTTTTAATTGTAAAATAAAATTTTCTCTAAAAAGTAAACTATATTTACGGATTGAAATAAAGAGGATTCTGAATTTCTTTAAGTTCACCGTTCATATCTTCAATTTCCCAGTGGTATAAGATTGTGTTTGATGTTATGTTATAATCTAAACACCAGTCTTGATATTTTGAATAATGCGTATGAAAATAATCACAAACCTGCAATATGAATAAGTAAGAGGCTGATTGATATGTTTTAATAATTTCTATTGAAGTTCACTGACTGAAAGGCAAACAATCGGATATCCTTGTACCAAAACACTGTTTTTATTGCGTGATCCATAATCCCTCAAAGACTGTATTATTGGGGGAGATGGGAAAACCATAGCCCTTGAATTTGGCAAATCCTAAAATTATGATAAAACAAATAAAATATAAAAACTAAGAAGAAAAAGAATTATAAATTACATTAATATTGGCTTACTGAAATGTAAACTATAGCTTGTTGGTAGGACTCAACTTCTCCTTTACCAAGAGCCAATTTTATAATAAAAAATTCTCTTCCTTCTGTAAGATTATCATTGAGAATCTCAACTTCGTAACTTAATTCCTCCATATTGGGCTCAAATTCCATAACTAAAGACAATTAACATTATTTTACGACTCTATAAAAAAATTACAAAATAACAAATTCATTTTAAAAGTTGAAGCAATTGCATTGCAGTATACAAATCCTTACAGCCTTCATAATTATTAGTTATTATTTTATTATTTGTCAATCATTGTGGTCAATCGTGATGTCTTTGAAGTGATGCACCTATTGCTTGATCATCTCTGTTCATCCTGTCTGGGTGTTTTTCAGACAGCCGCTTTTCGACATTTTTTTTTTTTAAAGCCCATTTGTAAGTATGTCATTGTTTGTTGGCAGGACCACTGGTACCTCCTTATTTGATTGTTACCGCTCATTTGGTCTGCTTTTCCTCGCTGTTTTGGCTAACACCGAAGATGGCAAATGCCAAAATGCGTGTGACCAAAATGATGGACAATGAACCAAATTACAATTTTTTTACATAATAAAAATTAGAAATAAAAACTTTGACTACTATGAAGATTATTTCAATTCTAATTAATATTTACTAAAATAAAAAGCATTGTTATTACTAATGTGTGGTGATTAGTGACCGTTAATTGATATTTATTTAGAAATCGTGAGATGCGGTCTGGTGTGATGTAGGTTTCAGAAAAACATTTTCTTTATCAATTAATTAAGGTTTTTAGTTGAGATGAAAAAAAGTTAATGGCACGAGCGGGATTCGAACCCACGATCTTCGGCTAGATACGCCGCTGCTCTACCACTTGAGCTATCGTGACCTCGATCCACTTGGACATCAACTTCCTATGTCAACCCCACCTTATGAGTTTTCCCTCCTTTTTTCCATTGTTTAATGAATTTTCTTTATTGTGCCAACATTTCAATCTTTATTTAGATCATCTTCAGGGCCTGGGATTTACAAACATTGTTTACATATTACAATTATATTTTGGATGTGGAAAAATGAATTTATACAATGCAAAATATATTTTATATATTCAATCAAAGTATTTCTACTCAATCAAAGTGTTTGTCTTCTGTGTAATTTATTGTGCCATTCTTGCGTGTCGTATCGAGAGTGCCAGTGAGATTTTGCTATTTTGTGTTTAGATAAGTTGGATTTTGAATGGGTGGGGAAGGATGTCGGTACAGAAAAGACATTTTGAGTGAGTAGAAATACTTTCATTGAATATAAAATATATTTTGCATTGTATAAATTCACTTTTCCACATCCAAAATGTAATTGTAATATGTAAACAATGTTTGTAAATCCCAGGCCCTGAAGATGATCTCAATAAAGATCGAAACGTTGGCACGATAAAGAAAATGTTTTTCTGAAACCTACATCACACCAGACCGCATCTCACAATTTCTAAATAAATAGTTATTACTAATGTTGTTTCATAACCATTATGAACAGTCGAAAGAGTCATTAGTGTATCTGATTATCTTATTACTAATAGCATTTCTGGGTCCAAATCACAGCATTATGGGTCAAATGTGAAATTTATGTTTTATTCTGAAAATTTACTTTTTGCATTGATTTGTTAGTCAGGCAGATTGCAAAATCTTGTAATGTATTGTGTTTATTTAATTACCAGCAGGTGTTGACAAAAAGTCTTCTTTAGATTTTGCTGTACCATCCTCGGTGAAAACTTTGATATGCTGGCTATGAGAAATATCTCCTTCCCTGACTATCGTTATCAAAAGCAAATTTGACTCCTGTACAAAATAATGCTCCTTTTCAAACGTTACAAACTCTTCTGAAATTTTACAAGATTATTAACAATGAATAAACAATTATATAATTTTTTTGAAAATAACTAATAATTCACCATCCTCTTTGTCAATAATTACTACTGTTGTCGATATGTTTCTGTCATTTTCTGCGATATCAATACATTTTAGATAAACAAAGAAATCCTCTTGGCCTTCATAAATTTCGTCATTTTTTAACTTGATATTACAGTTTTTTCGAATTTCACCTGAAATAAATAAAATGCTTAAAAATGAATTTTAAAAAAGAGAATCATTTGTGATATGTATACTCGGTAAATTCTCTTCAAATTTAAAATAACTAAATAATTGGTAGTAAATTTCCATAATTGTACTACATTAAATTATTATTACTGGGACAAAAGCAAAATCCTATCAATTTATAGCAGGGAGATTATCAAATATTGCACAGAATACAGTAACAATAACTTAATAATAATTCATTAATTTCGAGGTCTGCTTGACCAATTAATATATTACAATTAATTAAGGTTTTTAGTTGAGATAAAAAAAAATAATAATAATAATAAATTAGTATTTCTGAGAGTAAATTATTTGTGCTAAAATGAACTCGGGATGGTTAGATGGAAGCAATTAGAGGAGCTTTGCTTAGAAATCAAAGAAATCTACAGTTGACATTTCTTTTCTTCAATCTTTCAATTTTTAGGTTGTTACAAATCTTGGTTCTGAAGAATCTTGAGAATTGAGAATTTGAATTTTTTTTGTGGTAGAGCACCGGGGTTGTGGTCCAAGTCCTGCTCTTAACACTAATTTTTCTTCTCAACGTTCTTTGCATAAAAATTGGAGAATATATTTTATGGTAGGTTTTTACACAGATTTTGAAATAAAAACATTTATAATAAACTTTTTTTAAAAGCTTAAATTTAAGGATTAAATTCACCTTTTTTAAAACTAATAATTGATGATGAATCTTGACCTCTTGGGACGAAATCTTTATAATTTGCACTATTGTCTTCAGTGTAGCACAGAACTGTGGTCGAGTTTAAATTGCCATTTCGAACCAATTCCACAGTTGCCAATTCATCAGCCTCATATGCAAACACCACATTGCTTTCAAACTTAAAAGACATTGCTTAAAAAAAAAAGTTTTTGATATTTTATTTTATTTTTTTATTTATTTATATTTTTTAACTTACAGATATTGTTGTGTACACACTCAATGTGATTGTTTGTTTTTTTATGAATCGTTGGACGACCTTCTACTTCATATTTGGCCACCGGAGATTTAATGAGGTCTGAGATGAAGACTTTAGTTTCATGTGGTTCTTCTACAAGAGAATTAAGGGCCGAGGTAATTTTAAAAACAACATATTCCACACCTTCAGAAATGTTGTCATTTTTTATATTCAAGCTTAAATTGCTTTCTACTTGACCAGGTGTGAAATAAACATTATTGTCTTGAATAGTGAAATCATCAATCGTGGCATTTCCACCTTCAACAGAAATATCTGCAAAATCCATTAAAGTTAGGAAAAATTATGCTTATTTTTTTAAATTTACAATAAAAAAATAAATTACTATGATATAAATATGTATAAAACAATTATTTTAAATTCAGCTAATTTGTGTCAACGATTAAAAGATTAAAACATTTTTCTCACCAATAGAAGATGATTGATTTAAAAATCCTTTTCTTAAAATACCAATTTGAAAAACATCGCTTTCCTCATTCGTGAAAAAAATATTCGATTTGAAACTAACCCAACTCATTTCAATAGTGAATTTCACGCCTTTGACTTTGTCTAAACAAAATGAAAATTATTAACCAATTAAATAATTAATAATGGAATAATTTTATTTAATTTACCATTTGTAGTTTTCAAATTCAGAACCATCGAATCACTGGAAACTTTAGCATCATTTTGAAGAAAATAGTAAATAAATCTGTTGTCTATCTCATCTGCAATATGATGATATATTCATAATAAATTATGTCATATTATTCCTGCAAACTAGTACCTACTAAAGTGCTTATATCTTAGGAGTTAAGGAAATTTTACAAAAAGAAACGTTCAGCATTACAGAAATTCAGGAAAATAAAACTTAACATCACAGTTAACACATAGCATATTATTTCATGTAATTTGATCTAATCAACATATTCTTGCTGGTTTTGCCTGTTGGACTGGCTTGTTTGACGCTGGGCGATTGTTTGGCTCAATTGACAATGAAACCAGTGACCAGAATTGGCAGACAATGGAAAGAGACAATCGACTTACATGCCATAATTCACATTTTCCACAAAATAATCTACTGATAAAATATTTTGAAACAAGTAATTGCAGTAAAAAAACCTTTCACAAATGGGAAAACAAGAAAGGAATATAGTAAAGTCAACCAGGCTCCTGGGTCTCATAACCCAAGGTCGAGGGTTCAGTTCTCACCATCACGTCTAGAATTTTCTATCATGCTCCCCTGTACCAATATAAACAAACCCACACAAGTACCATCTGGCTAATATGAAAAACATGAGGCCATTAAAATAACAATTATAAAATAAAGATGATTTAGTTCATTTACTTAAATATTTTGAATTTATAACTAATGCCATTAGAACAAATTATTGCTGGCTAAATGGCTAGGGTTGTCCCACTGTTATTTGCTATGGCAGTGGTTCTGGATTCAAATCCTGGCAAAACCCTTGGCTTTTTAGTTGAGACGAGTATGAAAAGAAGTATTGTATTGGAGGCTTTTATCCCTTGTCTTCATCGAGTAGTTGAATGTTAAAGCTCTCCTGAATGACATGAATTAAAAAAAAAAAAATTAACTACCTAAATACTCGGCCTTCATATTTGACAAGAATGAGCAATAAATCACGAGTATAAAGAAAACATTATTTGCATTGTCATCAGAAGAGTTATCGCTTTCTAGATTGTAATCAAACAATTTAAAATAATTCATCAAACAAATAAACATTTTTTGCCTATCCACCACCCTGTCATACTTTAGGGAGACCCTATACTGGAAGATCGCACCAATTAACTAAAATTTTGCTTCTTCAAAAGGGGATTTTTTACTTAACACCTTTCCCAGTCATGTCTAAAAGTGCAGCTTGGGGTTATTTCTGTGTAGCATTTGCTTTTGATTAAAATAGAATACTAAATAGGCCTCCCTTTGTAGTATCCCCTTTACAAATAATGCAGACGAAATGCTCAGATTGAACTAACTGGTGCACACACTGATTAATAATTAGTTAAATACTAAGCAAATAAATACTTGCATAAATGCACTATACAGGGCGTATCGACTTCTATAGTCCACCCATTAATTCAAAAATGATTAACTTTGGCAAAAAATTGTCTTGTACAAACCCCAAGTTAATTTTGGCTAGGAATCACGTGGTGGTAACAGATTTAACATAACTTTCTCATCTAGCTGGGAAATGTCACTAACTAGTGTTATTTTAAATGAGAATCCTATATTTTTATTTTACAATTCGATTTTAGAGCTTATTTTATACCACTTTTACTGAATGGAAAAATTTTGATAGGATCGACTGTGAGTGGGTATGCTTTTTGTAACAAGATGGCCCCCCAGATCAGTCTTTATTGCTTTTACGACGACGTTTAGGATAATCATTGCAAAGCCAAGATAAAGTTTTATGTTGGCTTTGCTTAGAGCCAAAGGATCAACTTTGTCTACCACCAGTGTTAGACCTTTGTATTCTACTCTCTGGCTGACGACTCTCCATTGTCCGGTATTAATACCTGGGTTTTGGGATCTCATCAGCCGAGAATGGTGTAGTGTCCGTAGTGTCCAGAAGGTCAGCGGCATCCCCATGGCCACCCTAGTAGTTTTTATGATTACAAAAAGCATATCCCCTCACGCGTCTTCCGTCGGGCATAACCCAGAAATGGTCGGTCCTATCAAAATTTTCCTTTCAGTAAAAGGGGCATAAAATAAGCTCTAGAATCGAATTGTACAATAAAAATATTGGATTTTCATTTAAAATAACAAAGTTAGTGTCATTTCCCAGCTAGATGAGAAAGCTAGTAAAGTTAATAAATCAATTAATGATAAATAAATAAGCATTAACATACATGACTTCAAATAATATTATGGAAAGAAAAAAGATTTATCGCTTATTTCGGACAGAAGAAAAACCAAAATTTTATTATATGGTGTAAGAAAAATGGCAACTTCAATCACTTTTCCAAAATTACAAATCGGGTAAAATGAATGACAAGGTCAATTTACAAAATATAACAGTTAAGTTTATAGGATTTATTATTATTAGAAAAAGAAAACATTATTATTATTTTTTTTTTTAAGCATAGATTTTATAGGGATTGCGTGAAAGAATCATATCAGCGCCGATGGAGGCGACCGGGCTTAAATGTCTTAAATCTTTCAAGCTCCCGCTGACTGAGTAAACAGGAGAGATATAGAATGAAGGGTGCGTGATGGCGAGGAGTAAAAAAAAGAGAAGAAAAACAAAGGAATTAATGGTTAAAAAGCCGGTGGGATATAATTCGGGGATCGACTCCCCACAAGTTCAACACGGTGAGCATTAATCTTCACAATAAGGGCCAATTATAATTTCATTGAATGCCAGGTCAATATTTGATCTAAGAAATTTATCCTATGGGCAGGCGTATCGTCGTATTTTTTTCTTTTCTTTTTTCACCTCACCTCCACAATTCGAATACACACGCGGTGATATATAGTTGGTTTGGACGTTCAAATTAGATTTTTGGGAGAAGTCGGAACGGATTAAGTTTAGGAGATGAAGTGGAGGCGTGAACATCTCCTAGAAGATTGGAAGAAGAGGTCGAGAGCGGAACAACTAGATCGGAACTATATTGAAACGCCTATTTCTAGTATTTGTAATTTGATTGCTATTATTTTTTTACGTAACAAGCAACAAATAACAAGCATATATATGTGGATATTATAGAAAGGAGGAATAAGCCGTTCAGTTAGTTGACCTTACAAACTTGCTACTCTAACAGAAGCATTTTGTTTTCAAATACGAACCGATCAGGAGAAAGGATGGCACATGAAAATTTACGCTTTTAGATAATGGTGAATTAAAAACATCGTAAAACTGGACTGAACTAGTAAAAGAGACTAGCTGTCCAAGGTACATATCAAAACGGAAAGAAAATACTTATCCCCGATTTATCCAAGATGGAACAGGAAGTATTAGTAGGAGTGAGAGTCAATATCTTTCCTTCGATAAAGTCCGTATATATTTTGTTGAAGCCGTGAGAAGCGGTCAAGAATGAGGTAGTTTAGAAAAACACCTTTTTCATTTTTTTGCCGCCGTTTCGACCTTTATTCGGGTCATCTTCAGGGCACTGAATGCAGGAAAAATTGGAAGGCTTTGAGTTAATATATTAAGGAGAACAGATGGAGTTCAACCCCGCCATGAGGAATATCAAGTAACCTGGGGGAGGGGGTGAATGAAACTAGACTTCTATGTGATGATACATTGTTTTGTGTCTATATTGAAGTGTCAACCTGAGGTCGAAAAGGCTAGGCTATTTCCTTAGCCAGGGATCTCATTGGCAGGGATTTTCGATTTCTGGATGTCAATGTCAGACCTCATAAAGGCAGAGTTCATCATCTATGAAAAAACCTGAGAATTTCCCGTCTGCCCCTTCGCAGAGGCAGTTGGCGTTTCTCAGAGCATGGTCTTCTCCTGCCTTTAGCCCCATTCCGAGAGACTGGAAGTGCTTGTAGGAGGCCTGGTAGTGGATCTCAGGGCAGTATCGCGATAAGGGAGGACAGAAACCTTTGAGACGACCAGCAGCAACAGCCCGCAACTAGCTACTCAGGAGAATATGGTTCAGCGAGCGCCTAGCAGAGAACACCAATTGGGATTCGGTTGTCTGTATTGTTATAGCTGGCGCTGAAGAGTCTACCGAGAACAGGGGATGCGTACAATGCACAGTCATGCTCCCTTCAGTACAGTTTGGAGGAGGCGGTAGAACGGTCTGGGCTGGGATATACACTGGATGACGAACTGGACTCCATATTATTGAAGGCAACCTCACCGCAGTCCTTTATTTCCAAGAAATTATCAAGGAATACATCCTTCAAACCAGGGACCTAATTGGCAGGGATTTTCGATTTCTGGATGACAATGCCAGATCTCATAGAGACAGAGTTGTTCATCAATATTGAGAAAACCTGGGAATTTCCCTTCTGCCCTTTCTCCCATTATCTCCAGACCTCAATCCTATTAGCACATGTGGGGCGTTGCAGAGAAACCTTTTCGATCACCATCCGCAGCCAGTTGAGCTGCAACAACTAAGTGCATCGTTGCAACATCTATGGAGAGAAATTCCTTACGAAATTAGTGACTACCTTATTGACAGTCTGCCTAACATGGTACACAGAGGTTTTAGAGGTTTTTAGAGCCGAGAGCTAACCACTCGGCTACCGCGGTCCCCTAAGGTTTTAGCTAAAAGAGGACATTATACACGGTATTAATTGATTTCAAAAATCATTGTGTCCAAAAAAACAAAATTATGAAATTAAAACCATTTATTTTATCATCTGGGTTCATTTTTTATACATATATTTTTATTACTAGTAGGGATTGAATCATTTTCACTTATGAGGGTTCGAAATATTAAAACAGACTCTCTGCATTCGATAGCTTATAGTACTACTATTTTAACATTTGGCTATATTTCTAGGAATAGGAAAAATCAGTTTCAACATAAACTTTCACACTCATATACCTCATCACAAATGCCGATATTCATTAATGTCGTATTTTATTTATTTCTTTGTAACGCGTCAACAATTTTCGAAGATGTCTCAACAGTTATATTGTCAGTTGAGAAGAATGATGAACCGGAGTGTCGTGTCGTGTATAAACGATTTAGAAATGAGAATAGTCGATCTTCTCCATTGTTTAACTTTCGACCTGCGTAAGAATCGAGCTCGAAAGAAAACTTAACCAAGTTGACAATAAACAGAAATTCACCAAGACAATTGTTAATGTAATTGAAAATTAATGCATAATATGCTAGTAGCATTAACAAATTACAGAATGAAACGATTCCTATTAAAAAGGTACTAAATAATACAAATCGTTGAGATTCTTTTGAAATCAAAATCTTTTAAAATCAAAAAATTGAAATAAGAGAATTTTTCACTAATTGTAAGACGAAATATATTTTAAAAAATAATTCACATTGATAAAATAGTATAAATTAATTGTCAACGGTTTTACGAAATAGTCAAATCAAAGTAGAGAGCAAAAACATAAAACATGCATTTTCTCCAACATAAAAACCACTCGAAAAGAAATGAATTTTTATGGAGCAAAGTTCGTCACATAAGGCACACAAATAAAGAAAAAAATCAATAATCAACTAAAACTTCACTAGTTCTAACGTGTGTTGAAAGTGAATGTATTTATTAGCGTGAATGTATAGTGTGAAAGAGTGGTTAGTTATGCAGTATGTGTAAAGGGTGATGGAGGAATGAGTGAGAAAGTGAATGGGATTGGTTTTAGGAACTGCATGATGATTATTGACCAAGCTGTTGGCATCACTGGCAGACAAACCTCGGTGGCTGGACGGATAAGACTACCAAACCCAAGATACTAGCTGAATCATAAACTATAACCTCCAACAGCCTGAGCACGTTGGGTCATTGGGAGTTGGCAAGGCACCACCATCATCGATCTTATAAATCGAAAATACCTACGTGTGTCAAATTTGAAATAAAATTGTTAACATTAAAACAATGAATGCATGCTTTGGGTCCTAAATTGACCTAGCTGTTAACAGCACCCGGACCACAACCTCGGTGGCTGGATAGATCAGACCGAGGTCTGACCCTGGACTACCAACACCCCGGGTGGGTGATTCTCATGGACTGCCGGCAATTTATTGTAAATTGCAAAAGCTGAAATTGCCTGCGGACTGCGAGAAAGTAATAGGCTCAATCTAATCCAAAAATCCAAATCAACTATTTTTAACAATTCCCCAAAGTATTTTTCGCCATTTTAGACATAAGTTAGCTGAACATATCATAGAACGAAAACCCAGACAGATTTTTACATATGTTTCAAAAACCTACGATCAGATACTTTTTTTAATCTCAAGAATTACTCAAGAAGGATTGTGCTTGTGCACATTTTACTCTATGCTCAGTTAGTAAAGTTGAGTTATGTTTAAAAACTTACCTTGAGTGAAAGTGTCGACTGTTTTGTTGGATTTGATGTTGAAAATGCGACCATGTTTTGGTTTTGTGACTATCTGGTATTCTATAGAATTGCCTTCTGAGTCCACTGCTGACAATTCCCTATTTGATACTTCTGACCCGATCTCCCTTCCTGGTATCTGTCGTACTCTTGTCAACGGGTTGTTTTTTAGGAGCACTAATTTAGATTTTTGTAAAGGCTCAGGGTCGGCAACGAGTATGGTCATCGAATGGAAGACCCTGTGAAGTCCGTCGCTCACTTCGAACTGGAGGATTTCCTGTTGCGTCGAGTCGGATTTGTGAACGTACTGTATTCTTTTATTCTCCAGGTCTTTTAAGGTGAAACTCTGGGCGGTTCGGCCGTCTGTGAACTCCAGTCTGCCATGCTTCGTCTGCGATATTAGGAGGACGTTGAATTTTGCCTTGTCTCGAGGTGACGGTTCGACTCGCAGGGAATTCTCGTCCAGTACCAATACCGATTTCGGTAGTATCTTAAGCTGACGAGACACGACTCGTAAATTCATCTTATTGTCGTGAATCGTTATAAAAAAGTTCTGGTTCTGTAACACATCTGATCTATGCGCAATGTCAAATACGATGACGTCCATCAAACTTGTGTCGTCGGTGTGCGTGTAAGAAACTCGTTTTTCCGAAACGTCCTCTTGGCTGAATGTATTGCCTACCGTCAACTGTTTGTCGTTCAAAAGAAGGAGGCCAAACATCGGAGGATTTTTTATAATGTACAGAAGTTCTCTTTTGTCTATATTCGATATTTCGGAATACAATTCTTCATCTGTAATAAGTTTATTCGCATTCGTCTCTAAATCGAGCCCTTTGTTGATGACGAGAGGGAAAAAGTCTTGAATTTCTATGAAAATCTCAGAAGCCGTCATAAATTCGCCGTCGCTCGCGGCCAAAACGAAACTGTCCGCGCCTCCAAAATTTTCGTAGAAGAGTTCCGGCAACTCGCTCAACGTGAAGTTCAACAGATTTCCGTATCTTTTCTCTATTATGCCTTTCCTCGGGTGTCTTATTATTCCAAGGGTGAGGAAATCTGGCTCCGTATCCATGTCACTGACGTAAACCGCTTCGGATAGTTGTATATATTTTTTAGTAACGTTTGTAAACGTTATTACGGGCGGTTCATCATTGACTGGAAGAATCTTCACATCTATTGTAGTCTTATTTCCATATTGGTTCGTGTTGTCGTGGCAGTAAATTGTTAAACAATCTCGTTCCGGTTCGAGCATTTTGTGGACTGTCTGACTATAAAACACCTTCCCGTTGACCAGATCCGATTTTCTAAACGGATTGACGACCCCGTAGACCGGCTTGACAACGATGTCACACGTGATATCGCCATCTTTTGTATCCGGGTCTAAGATTTCCAAGTTCTCTTCGGAGATTTTCGCTTTTCCTCCTTCTTTGACGGTCACTTCTTTTTTCACTAACACCTCAGTCATGTAATTGTCAATCGGGTTTATCACGACGTTGAACATTATTTTAGTACCGTTGGCTGTTTTCAGGATAAAACGGTCGAAAATCGCGTTTTTACCGATCTCCAAGGAATCGTGTTCGTAAAGGACATCGCCCGACATTAAAGAACTACAATTGAAACTCTTCACGTTTTTGTTTCCAAGCATGATTTCACCTTTGCTCGGACTCTCATCCAAATAAAAAGAAGAGTCGCCACATTCTTTGTGGCCCCATAGCTCAGAAGACAATTCGGCGATCCCGCCTTCGTCCACCTGTAGCAGTCCGATGTACTGTTCCTGAACAATAATGAAGAAATGAATAAATTTATACACTTTTTAAGAATAGATATCTTTTAGCAAAGGAACCTGATATAAACAAGATAAGACTTTTACAAATTGTTCAAATAAAACAGAATGAAATAAAGTTAAGACTATTTGCTTAAAATTAATCAGTAACACAAATAATAATTAATATATTTATCTAGAAAGTTGGCTCCAAGTTTCACGAAGCCCCTAATATGGTACAGAGATGGATCAAAGATGGAATATGTAGTAGGTGTAGTCCTTTGGACTAACCGCTACAATTTTCTAAGTTGAAGTCCAAGCAACTCTTTATACAGGAGCTAATAAAGAAAGTATGAAAGATGCACCTTGTACGTAACCACAGCTAGGCAGCCACGAAGGCACTGGGCATGAAATGGGTATGCTTTCATCTCCAAACATGTCTGGGAGGACCTAAAATGCCTAATGACTCTTGGAAAACAAAACAAGATTACCTTAAAGTATGTTCGTGGAGGGCATAGAATAAGATAAACTAGGCTGATTAACTACCCAAAAAAAGGGGGCAAGCCTATCATCCAGGAACTAATTCTAGGTGCACAGGAATCTGTGCTTAAGTTGGATGTATAACTCTCTCAAAAAGAAAAGCGAAGGAACACTTCGCTCAGCAGGCAGGATTTGAAAAAAAAAATCTAGACGTCTACACGGTTCTATTAAATACCACTTTAGAAAAATGGGCAGAGCATAGACAGAAATTTTTCAAGCTGAGAACCATGCAATACGACTCTGTGCACATGAGGTAATAAAGAATAAAATGAATGTTGCATAGACTTACATACTCTCAGACAGTCAGGCAGCTATAAAAGCATACTCAACTTCAAACTTGTCTGAGAGTATCTAAATTGCCTAATGGCTCTAAGAAAATACAAGATTCTTTAAAATGGGTTCTTGGAGATGGAGGTATAGAAGGACAAGAACAGGCTGGCCAACGAGCCAAAAAAAAAAAGGTCAGCCCTCTCACCCACGGGGCCAAAACCACCAGATGCACCAGAGTGTGTGTGCTAAATTGGAACTGGAAATACGGCTTGAGAAAAACTGCCAAATACTGAACAAAAGCACTAGGTAAGAAGAGCCAAGTTAAGAGATTTATAAATCTCTCAAAAAGAACACGAAGGAACTACTCTCTCTCTCAGCAGGCAGGATTTGAGGAAAATAGTAGGCCTCTATACCGGCCTTATATACTTCTTAACTATCATCTAAAGAAGATGAACCCAAAAACAGAACTGACGGTAAACCTAAGTAAATATGCTGCAGTTTTCCAGTAAATTATAGCGATTGAACAATGCACTAGAGAAATAAAAAAGAATACATTCCCGGAAGAGAGTTATTTTCTCTGACAGTCAGGCAGCGCTAAGAACCCAGCCTCATGCGAGGCGAAGACAAAGGGTGTTTGGCCATGGAAGTCAATAACACTAATGACACCCTGGCATGGGTCCCTGGGCACTCGGGGCAAAGTGGTAACGAAAAGGGTGACATGGCCAGAAAGGGGACCAACATGGCCTCTCTGGGCCCTGAACTCTACCGTGGCTTAGCATCCTGCCACAAAAGAGGATGCAACTTAAAATGGACCCTTAATAAGTCCAACCTGGTGGAACAATACACAAGCATGAGGCACGCGAAGATATTCACAAAGGACCATCCGCAAAACTTAAAGAACTGGAAGGCAACCGCAACCGAACCAGGATTCTAGTTGGGCTCCTGACAGGGTACTGCCTCGTAAGAAGGCACATGCACCGGATAGGAGTACAGAAAGAAGAAACACTGTACAGATACTGCCAGGAAGAGAGTAGAACGCAGAAGACATTCTATGTTTCTGCGAAGGTTTTTTGTAGGTGCAGGTTCTTGCAACTAGGACAAGAAAAACCACAAGATCCTACAATAACCTAAGCTGGTCAGTGAGTTATAAGTACCAGGGGAACACGATAGATCTATTCAGGTCGAGGGTGCAGTAGGCCTTGTAGCCGCCTCTTTTATCCCTATCCTTAAAGAAGATAGACAGAGCAGAGGCACATCCTTAAGAATGTGAAGCATTAGCCCGGTACAGCCACTTAGGTAAGGCAATTCTCACACCAAAAGAGGTGCTCGAAGAAGGAAGAAGGAAAGTGCTTAATCTTATAGGAATAAGTGCACTTTCCAACGTATGGCTATAATTTATAGGGGTTCTATTAAGGTCGCAGTGGAGGAAAAGATTTTATCCATAATCAAACTCCAACCCAGTTTTTAAAAAATGTATTTACCTTACCTGCGTATAATTATCAGTATAATTATATTTAAATAACATTAACATTTGAAGTTTATTCATATGGAATAACAAGTACAAATTTGAGAAAAGTCGTGTTTTGATATACACCAGTGATTTTCGTTTTCGTAGTAGTGTTTCATGTTAATGAAGATATTCATTACTTGAATTGGAATGGAGTAATAGTTTAGTAAAATGGCTTTAAAAATTCATTGAGATAATTGTTACTCCAGGAGCATTGTCATTATTTACCTTTATTATTCAGTTGTCTAGAAATCGAAGGGTCTAAACTACAATATTAACTTATGGGGTACTTACAGGCTGGTGAGTGTGAAACATTGTTTCTCTTGAGACATGAACTCTGAGAGCCTAAAAAAAGAGAAGAAGGAGGACAAATTAGACATAGAATCCAAGCATCGTTTATCAACACCTTATTATTATTTTCGGTTTGTCAAAAGCCCTGCGTGAGATCGATTTATTTCTAAAAGGAATTGACACCCAATTAATTAATTCTTCCGATTCTACGTGAGAATCGTTTCATTGTGATTTATGATGTGTGATTCAATTGCGGTACTCACTTGGTTTTCGATTTTGTTCCCGTCACCGTCGGAGACGTTAAAGACAATTTCGAAATCCGATTCTTTTTTGATTTCGAGGCTGAAGTAGACGACCCCTTTGTCTATCATCTCTTGAGAAAAGACGGGCAGGTTGAGACCTCCTTTGGTCAAAAAGCGTCCCAGGGCCGAACTCGGCTGGTACACAATGTGCGATTTGGGCCAATCGTCGGCGAATTTAAGACCCGTCAACTGGGTCGGTTCTTCCCTGTAGATAAGCCCCGGATTAGACACCAATTTCGGGGGAGTCGTGTCTTTGGGAATGTTGATCTGAATCAAAAACACAAGAAAAATTTCTTTTTGCATTTCGCCGTTAACTTTTACGCTTTGTACCTTGATGTGGATAAGTGGAGATTTATTTGGAGGATATGAGCTGTCGACAATTTTAAAAGACATTCTGTCCACTCCTCCTCCAACTGGTCTTTTCATTAAGCGATAATAAATTTTCTCAAGATCGCACGGCCTCCATTCTTTTATATTCCTCATTTCTGATTCTTCATCTCTTAAAAATCATCTAGATTAGTTATCACATATTTCAATTTTTTAACTTTAATCTTTTACTATCACTATTTGTTTTCTTAAATAATTAATTCTTGTTTTCAATTTTTACGTGCTTTCCCTTTATTTAGATTTTTATTTCTTTTAAATGTTTACAATAATTCGAACACTCGGCTTACTTCAACATTGAACACCACCTAACATTTTGTTTATAGTACATTGATCGAGTTAAACTTATCAATCTATTGCAGTTTGTCCAAAATTAAATATCAATATCAAAGAAAATTTGATAAATTTACTATAGTTTTTCTAATAAGTTAAAATGAAAGAAAATTAGAAAAAAGACTAATTACATTAATTAAGGTTTTTAGTTGGAATAAAAAAAGTCAGTGTCACGAGAGGGATTCGAACCTAGAACTTCGATTGGATGGTAGGTTAGTGTCCGAGTGGATCGAAGTCACGATAGACCAAGTGGTTAGAGCAAATGCAAGTTTTGACCATTTTCTGACCTACTTTACTTAAAGAAAGTTTGTTAAAATATGCAAAAAAAGCAGTATTTTGTTGATTTATCTTTATAAATCACACCAAATTATAATATTTTGCGTCGTAGAACATTTTTGTTTTTATGTTAACGAAAAATGAAATTATTGCATAAAAAAATATTTTTAACCAATAAATAACGATTTATGCTCATTTTATTAAATTACAATTAATTAAGGTTTTTAGTTGAGATAAAAAAGTCAGTGTCACGAGCGGGATTCGAACCCACGATCTTCGGCGAGATACGCCGCTACTCTACCACTTGAGCTATCGTGACTTCGATCCACTCGGACACTAACTTCCCTCACCTTTTGAATTTTCCCTCCTTTTTGCCATTTTTCAAATGTTGTGTAATCTATTTGATTCTCGGCGACAAATGAAATGTCCACGGAGAGCTTTAGTGAAGTATACTTCATTTTAAACTTATTAAATTCACTACTTTCGTGGTCCGCTTGACCAATTAATACATGACAATTAATTAAGGCTTTTAGTTGAGATGAAAAAAAGTCCGAGTGGGACATCAACTTCCTATCTCAACCCCACCTTATGAGTTTTCCCTCCTTTTTGCCATTTTTCAATCGTATCTAGCCGAAGATCGTGGGTTCGAATCCCGCTCGTGCCATTGACTTTTTTTATCTCAACTAAAAACCTTAATTAATGTAATATATTAATTGGTCAAGCGGACCACGAAATTAGTGAATTAAAAGAAATAATATTTTTTCAATGGAAATATTGGCTTTGGGTGAATTTTGAGTCAGCCAATTTTAATTGAGGTCGCAGCGTATATTTAACTGCAATTTGCTTTTATGTCTCATAAATTAAACAATCGTAACTGTTCAAAAAGTGAAATGCGCAATCCTACTTCATTATAATTTCCCCAAATTTAATATCCTCGAGCTTGAAGTTGAGTTCGTCCTGCGGGCTGTCCGGGTCGGAGGCGGTGAAGGAAGACAGAGAAAGATCTCCGCTTTTCACCGAGATCTCCTTCGGCCCAGTCCAAATCGGTGGCGATTTATCTTCAGTAATTATAAATATTGGATAAACGAAAGATCCACAGTTTTCCAACTCCAAAATGACAAAATCGGTTCCTTTACCCGGATGATAGTTATTGTATATCACACGTCCTAAAACAAAAATCATTTTTGACTATTCACAACATAAAAATTATTTGGCGTGAATAAACGTTTGTTACCTTCGAGGGCTTCTTTGAGGTTAAAATTATTCTCCGTACCAGGAACAGTGATGTTGCCCAATTTGGGAAACTGGAGGATTTTGAATTTTTCCTTTTCGGGATTAGACACCCAAGGGAAATGGACAAGAGGTCCCGAATGGCCTTCCATTATTGCCAGACCTTTCAAACAATTCGATGTGAAATGCTTCAGCTTGGTCGCGTTCCCGGAAAATACCGGCACTTCCACTTGTGACGATGCGTTCTCTTCGTCTAGCACCTGAAATATTTGAAAAATATTGAAATTTCAACTTTACACTTGGTATATTTCAGCACATCGATTAATTATGCCATGTTCGGTTAATTTTAATAAAGTTGAAAAAAAATCAGGCTTATCAATCTTTAGAGAACAGTCAAAACAATTATTCGAAAATTATTGTGCCCTGCTCGGACATAATGTCGGCTAGCTTGGTTCTCAACGTAATAACAAGGTGTGAAATGCCGTTACCACCTATCTTAAAACCATAACCGTCTAGATCATTGATGGTAATCATAGCTATCTAGAAATTGAACGATATAAAAACTTTCCCCTGAATATTCCCAGACTGGAAAAAATCTCAGCGTTATTTCTGATACGGTTTGTTAAATTTTTATTTACAAAAAGATGAGATTTTTATCTAACATTTAATATATGAAATATGTAAACCTATAGACTCAGAGAATTGATTTAAAACAACGCCTTTCTGATCTTTATTTATTCGTTTATTTAGGTTTTCCAATTACAAATATATACTAAAAGTATTATAATAATAAAATAAATATAAATATAAAAATATTTATATTAATCAAATAACAAAAAAACAAACCAACAATTTAAAATGAATAGAAACAATTTGAAATGTTTATTAACACTATACAGGAAGTTCGGCTACTCGTCTTACAAACTTTTCCAGTAGATTCTACATTCAAAATGGAACCAAAAAGTTCTAATTAACTATGGTCCGAATCTCAACAGTTTTGGGGTTATTTCACTTTTTTCTGATTTTTTAAGATTTCACGACCTTGCTTCAAATAAACAGTGATAACTTCAAAAATAAAAGGTTTTGGCAAATCTGTTGATCCATTGAAAACTAAGTTAAATTTCAAGCAAGATGTGTTCAATACTAAACTAGTAAACGTTCGTGAAATAAGCGTTTTAGAAGCCAGAACATTGAAACATAATTTTATTTTCTAAATTCACTAGTTTTCGTGGTCCGCTTGACCAATTAATATCTTTCAATTAATTAAGGTTTTTAGTTGAGACAAAAAAGTCAGTGTCACGAGCGGGATTCGAACCCACGACCTTCGACTAAGTACGCAGTTGCTCTAACCACTTGGGCTATCGTGACTCGATCCACTCGGACACTAACCTCCCATCCAATCGAAGATCTAGGTTCGAATCTCGCTCGTGACACTGACTTTTTTTTATCTCAACTAAAAACCGTAATTTATTTATTTTCTAAGTTGAAAAACTTACTATGGTGATTTTAAACTATTTTCAAACCTAGAATCCAGCAAATTTCAGAAAACATACTTCATTTAATATATATTTTAGTGGTGCAATTCCTTTTATAATTATATTTTTTTCAAGATGAAGAAATTAATGACGGAAAGGAAAAAAACCGTGTTGAAGGATTGGTAAGGTGGAAAGATTAATAATAATTAAATTCACTAATTTCGTGGTCCGCTTGACCAATTAATATATTATAATTAATTAAGGTTTTTAGTTGAGATAAAAACCTTAATTAATTATAATATATTAATAATAATAAAAAATAAAAAAATTAATTAAACTTTTAATTTGAGTTCGAAACCGAAATAGTGCAAGTGTTTACTTACTTACCGACACGACTTCAACTTTGATTATAGAATTATTGTACTATTATTCCCCGGAATGAAAGAGTTTTAAGATTTAAAACGTTTTTAATTCATTAATTGAAAATTTTATTGTATTTTATTTTTTATTATTATTAATCTGTCCACCTTACCATTCCGTCAACCAGGTTTTTCCTTTCCTTCATCAATTCTTCATCTTTGAAAAAAATAAAGTAAATTGCATCACTAAAAAGAATATTAAATGAAGTACGTTTTCTGAAATTTGCTGGTTTCTAGGTTTGAAAATAGTACTTTACATAATAAAAATAGTAGTTTACAAGTTTAGTATTGATCACATCTTATTGGAAATTTAACGTAATTTAACAATCAACGGATTTGTCCAAAACCTTTTACTTTTGGAGTTATCACTGTTTATTTGAAGCAAGATCGTGAAATCCTAAAAAAAAAAAAAACAGAAAAAGTGGAATAACTTCGCAACTGCTCAGATTCGGACCACACTTGCCGAAGTTTCGATATTTAGTCGGGTCATCTTCAGGGCCTGGGAAATTACAAAACAAATGTTGATTAGAAAAAATACAATTTAGGACGATTTTTTTTCATACTCATATAAAGTGTGGTGCTTGTAGTGTTATATTTGTGATGTGTGAAAGTTCCCGTTTCATAACACTTTCTCACAACACTAATATGGCACCACAAGAATAGCAGCACATTTGATGTAAGTATGAAATACTTGTTTCAAATTCTGTTGTTATATTTACATCTTAAATTATATTTTTTCCAATCAACATGTTTTGTAATTTACCCAGGCCCTGAAGATGACCCGAATAAAGGTCGAAACGTCGGCAAAAATATGAAAAAGGTGTTTTTCTAAAACTACCTCATTCTTGACCGCTCCTCAAGACTTCAGCAGATATCAAAAGCTTTTGAAAAGTCAGAATAAATTGGAGTCCTTCGGAGAAAGATTGTAATTTATAATCTTGAAATATAAGTAAGTTTGTTAATGTAGATGTTTACGAATGAAAACCACGTTGATTTGGAATAATAACGTTTTTAAACATTGGGTTTAAAGAATTTAATATAATACTTTCAAAATCTTTGCCTCAGCAGGTTGCTTAAAAATCGGTCTATAATTACAAATATTACTTTTATTACAATTAATCATGGTTTTTAGTTGAGATGAAAAAAAGTTAATGGCACGAGCGGGATTCGAACACACGATCTTCGGCTAGATACGCCGCTGCTCTACCACTTGAGCTATCGTGACCTCGATCCACTCGGACAAAGTCGTTTCTAGCCGAAGATCGTGGGTTCGAATCCCGCTCGTGCCATTAACTTTTTTTCATCTCAACTAAAAACCTTGATTAATTGTAATGATTTAATTGGTCAAGCGGACCACGAAATTAGTGAATTTAAAGAATTACTTTTATTACTTGTAAAAACCCGAACTATATAACTACTTTTAATTGCATAAGGAAAAATTCCTGTAGAGAGGGATTATTAAAAAGGGAAACTAAAATAGGAGCAATAGCAAGTTTGCAATATTTTAAAATTTTATTAAATTCACTAATTTTGTGGTCCGCTTGACCAATTAATACATTACAATTTTATTATGTATCCCATCCTGCACCTTTATTTACCATTAAAGACGAGAGTATTTTAATACTTCTTCAGCAGTTATTGTAGATAGATTTATACAAATGTAAGAGGGTTTATACTCATAAAAGCCTTGAGGACTTAAAAGAATAAACGCTATAGAAATGATTGGCAAAGAGATTTAAAAATAAAAGCATTACAGAGGCGATATATTTAAGTTTTATTCTAATTAAATGACAACTTCACATATAAAAAAAATGTTTTTAATAAATAATTTTACCTATTGCAGTTAGTCTGACATGGATGAAATATGTGTTGTTAATAATGTACTAAAAAAGCAAAATCAATGTATGACGATTCAGTTTGGATTTAAAGCAATGTAAATGTATAAAATACAGGTTCGATATCAATAAAATTTATTTCTGCAATTTTCCTTTATACTGAAAGTGGATTGTCAAAATTGGACAACTTTACTTCGTTTTTTGTTGGATGTCTATTTGCACACGAGTTTGGTGAATCGCAAGGAAACATCTTTTACGATTTCTTAATTTAAATAGTTTTAAAAAGAATTACGAACAATTTTGAAGAACAATACGACTAAATATCAATAAAAAATAATATTCACAATGTATTAAGATAATCCCATGCTTTTGATTTTCTTACCTATCATTGTCCTACGTTCAATAGCCGGAGCATAAATAAAAATATTTTTAAAAAATCACTTACATTTAATTTTATAGTTCCATTGCCGTTTTTCGATGGAAAGGCCGTCACTAATCTGTTGTCGATGTCTTCTTGGCGGAAGTGGTTCACCCTCAACCCGGTAAACGTGGACAGGACTGTCATTTCATTTGGGTTTCCAATTTTGTACAGTAACCTGTTTGATTTCGTCGTGTCGTCCTTTGACTTCAACTGCCAAAAACTGGAATTATCCAGCGTTTGAGGTGGCCTGTTGCTTGCCTCAGAGGTGACGTAAATTTTCAGCTGGAATTTTTCGAAATAATTTCACGCCCTGGTATGTTTACATGATTGTTACATAATTTAAATTGATACATTAATTTTTAAAAAGTTTTTTTTTAAATATTGAACACCTTTCTCGAAAAAAAAAAATTTATATGCAGGGTGCTTCTTACACTTCAAATGCAACTAAAAAGTTCTTATGAACTATCACCCCTTTCGCAGATATTCAACATTTTATCTTTTTTTTCAACTATCTACGATTTTCGTCATAAATCTACTCGTAGCTCTTGAACTATTCATTTTTTGCGAAATTCGAAACTTTTAGAGCTTTCAATTTAATTTTTGTTAAAAAAAAAAAAAAAAAAAAAAACAACATTAAATCTTTCAAAAACTCCTAAAGTGAAAATTTATAAAAACCTAACTTTGCATCCTTATTGGAAAAATTCAGGGTAGAGCTTGGCAAATTTCATAACAATTTTTTCGTTTAGTAAAGTTAATTGGGGGGGGGGGGTTATAGCATAAATTATTTATTTACTATAAAGGGTATTTATTTATTTTAAAAAAATATATATATAATATTAATATATAAATTAGAATTATTAAACGAAGAAATTGTTATGAAATTTGACAAGCTCTACCAAATTTTTCCAAAGAGGATGCAAATTTAGTTTTTCTGTAAATTTTAAATTTGGGATTTTTTTAAAGGGTGCCTTTTTAAAGGAAATTTAACGCTCTTTTCAATTTTTTTATGTCCCCAAAAATAAATAGTTTAAGAGCTACGATGGTTTTAGGACAAAAACCGTAGATAATTGGAAAAAAATGGTGAATATCTGCGAAAGGGTTAAGAATCGGTCCTTAGTTCTTCTATACGTACTTTTTTGTAGCATTTGAGGTGTAGAAGCACCTGATGAACTTTGCCTGCATATAATGGGGTTTAACAATTTTAAAAGGGCTAAAATTATTTGTGAAAATTTTAAAATGTTAATGTATATAATAATGTTTATTCATGCATTTTTCAACCATTCTTATGAATTAATATTCGCCATTGTTTGTACTTCATTTTTGTTTACACTATTTGCTTGGGTTATTTACCTGTGTGTAGAAAATTTGTATGGGTTTTTCCAAACTGATCCTTATAGTGAGGCTGTCGTTGGAATTTGAATTTTCGAAATTTTTGTAGACGAGGGAATTTTTAAGGTCGCTACAGTTATACTCAAGTTGGCCGGGATATCTTAGGCGGAGGGCGCCAAAACGGGGTGTTTCTTTAATGAACACCTTACACTTTCTGTTTCCACCTTTGACGTTTTCGATCAAAGAGACAGTTTTCCCTTTTTGCACGACGAGCGGTTTGAGAGAAAAGTCGGCTTTTCTTACGATTTTCACTCGTACCGAACCCCTTTCGATTTTACCCCCGTGCAAGACAAAAAACCTCAGCGTTTGATCGTACTGTGAACCGAAATGGCTGTAGGTCAGATTTCTTCCGCAAACGGTTTTTTTCGGTTCGACGGCACCGATGAAATTGAAATTTTGGGAAGAAAATTGCAGACCGCAATCTGAGGGCAGATCTAAGTAAAGCCGGGGGTCGAAATTCAAAACTTGCCCCACACCGATTTCCAAATCCATTTTACTCCGGATGATCGAACAGATCGCCGGACTTACAGCCGCCGACCACAGGATAATTCTCAAAAGCATGATGAACCCGATTGACATACTGACCAGGTACCATCAGAGGCCGACCTTAAGTCCCTTCTCCCCACTCAACTACAACTAAGGCCTCCTAAAAAAAGGAACATTTTAAGCGTAATTGATCAATTCAGAGGTAATAAAGAAGGTGTTAATAAGCACGAAATGAAAAACCTGATAAATCAACAAGGCCATTTTTACTAGGGTAAAGTCGTATGCCAACAAAATGATTTATCATAGTCAAGGAATAAGTTATTATCTCTGAAAATCTAAAACCAAGTATTTCTTAGCGATATTCCTTTTAAATGCAAGAAAATACATGTTGAAACTATACATGTCATTGATCAGATGTAGGCTTGATAATGGATGCGTTGCTTTCAAGTCCGCTGTACCCTCACACTGAATATTTTAAATAGTCTGTATTTGCTTATTGACCATATTAATTTTGGTCTAACTAATGGTTTATTAGTCACGAGCGGGAATCGAACCCAAGACCTTCGGCTCAGTACGCCGTTGTTTTAACCACCTGTGCTATCGTGACTTCGATCCCCTTGGACACTAACCAACAACCGTATGAATTTTCCTTTGCCATTTTTCAATCCACATTGAATGACATTAATTTTTCATCTCAACCAAAAACCTTAGATAAAAAGAATAATCAATATGGTCAATTATGACCATTAAGCCAGTATAGATTAATTTAATAATTAAAAGAAGTAATTACTTCACTACCAGCTTCCCCTGGGCTCTTCATAAATAGCTGCAAATCGAATCTTGATTTCAAGACATTTGAAAATATGGCAAACAGAGGGAATGGTTGTAGGTTGAGATGAGGAGTTAGAGCAGTAGCGTATTGAGCCGAAGATCGTGGGTTCGAATCCAGCTCGTGACACTAATTTTTCATCTCAACCAAAAACCTTAGACAAAAAGAATAATTTATTTGAATTTTAAACAGTGTTCATAATACGGCATTGCGAATTGCCATTGGCGCCTTCCGCACCAGACCAGTTCACAGTCTTTGTGGTGGAACAGAGGAGCTACTACTAACGTATCGGCGAAATTTCTTTGACTTGAGATATTTCATCTAAACAGCTTCCATTGTCCTGCACCCAATCTCACCTTTCCCAACCACATCTCCACACAGCAGCGATAATACTCAAAACCTTAAAAACCACTTGGTTATACGTGTCCCCTCCTTATAAACTTTAAATCTCCGTACATCCCATTGAAAAGATAAATGTCTCCTCTTTTCGCCCTGGCAACTATCCTGAACCTAGAATCTCTCTAAATTTGACTAAGTTTCTAAAAGAAAGCACCCCGCCGATATACAAACAGGAAATCCTTAAACTGCGTTCCTCTATCACAAAGGCGACATTCGTTTTTACCGACGGCTCCCAAAATTCAATCGGTGTAGGAGCTACCTTTATAAGCAACTCCAAAAGTTATGTTTGCTCTTCCTGCAATTACCGCGCTCAATAATAGTTCGAATATTGTTTGCCCTGTCAGACAAAGACTGGTGGTGTGCACGGATTCTCTAGGTGCGCTGCTGGCCATACTCAATTCTCCCTTAATCCTGCAATTCAGGAAATACTCCTTTCCTTCCTTTGAGGGAATTTCGTTCGGAAAATGTCAATGTCCTATTAATGTGGATTCCGGGTCATTGTGTACAAATGTGACAACGATCTTGCCGACGCGGCGACCTAATCGGTGGTCGGAAGGGCTCTGGATAAATCAAGTATCTGGGGAAGATTTTCTCATCCTTATCGGGAGAGCAATTTGGGAAAAGTGGAGTGAAATGACCCTCAACAACCAAGAGAAATTAAGGAAATAACACAACGGTTCACCGCCACTCCAACCTTCTAAGGAAGAAACGATCCTAGCTCGGCTCAGAATAGGTCATTGCAGACTCACGCATGACGCAGACTTCCTAATGGCGAGAGAACCACCAAAGATATGTCATGGTTGTCAAGAACCGCTAACAATGAAACATTCTTGCTGGCTGTACTCGATTTGTGCCGGAAAGAGGTGCATGTTGTGTTGCGGGTAGTTTGGGACAGATTTTGTCAGATCATGGACCCAGTGGTCATGTGACCGGCGGATTCTGTTCATCGCCACACTAAAGATATTTCTGTTCAAGGCAGATTATGACCCTGGTTACTTGCCTTTATTAATAATAAATAATAAAATAATACAAGAAAAAATTCAACATTTGTTAAATATTAAAATAACATATGAAGATATATAAGTCAGAGGCAAATTTATAGTTTTATTCCAGTCTAGAGTTTTGACAATTAGTAATTATAGTAGAGACTATGGAACGTTTAAAGTTGCCTTATAAAACTTTTTCACTGTCCTATCAAGGAAAACCGCGGATTCTGATGAAGTTCGCCAACGACAAAACAATGTCGGAAGTACGTCTGAAAGTCGATACGTTGTATTTCGTCCTGATTATGCCATGTAATGCTTAATAATTTACAGGTCCTAAACGCGGCCGCTCGTAAATTTGGAATCGACAAAAAAAAATTCGATTTGAGGTATCCAACGACTGAAAATTGTCCCTCGTTACAAAATAGTTCTCGAGTGGTTTCTTCTCAATCTTCCTGATTTCAGATATGGAAACCACATTTTAGACTTGTCCACACAGCTCGGTTACTGCAATCTCCCTGAAGGAGCTGTACTGGAAATAGTCAAATCAAACGCGGACAACAATCCATCGCATATAATCCCAGTTGAGCTCAGTTTTGTCAACGATGATATTTTCGTTAAAGGAAGATTCAGATTGAACGGTACCAATATAAAAGTTACACCTACGAAATAATTATAATACCGAGGCTTTTCAGATTCTTTGTGGGATGTTATAAGACAATTAATGCCACCTTATCTTTATTTTAACGAAGATTCATTGTGTTTACGCTACTTGAACAAAGCCATCATAGGGAAACGCGACTTGAGAAGAACGAAACTCGGCGATTTTCCGAGCATAGGTCGCTTGGAATTCGTGTAAGCCGGTCAAAATGTACTTCGTGACATTGATTCACACAGGGAAACGTTTCAGATGCGAAAGAAGTTTCGAAGTCTCTCTGCCGAGCGTCAATAAGCACAAACCTCAAAAATCGACAACCGTCCAAAACGAGAGATTGAGAAAATCTCTTGACAACAACGCGGATAACTGCGAAGAGATGGGTTCAAGCCAAGAAGTCTTCGACGAAGATGAGTCTCGGGAGTACACAGCAAGTACTCCGAATAGTTTTACGAGCCCGTCCGATGCCTCCTTCGCCGAATCCAACAAGCTACACATCAAACCGGATATAGTAAACGTATGTAGTTATTTTGAATAATTTTTCTTTACAACAGATGATTCGCATCATCCGCACCAAACCGGACTTTTTTAAATTCCTTATATTTTTTTGGTAAATTATTTTAAATTAAAACCGAGTGGATCGAAGTCACGATAGCTCAAGTGGTAGAGTAGCGGCGTATCTAGCCGAAGGTCGTGGGTTCGAATCCCGCTCGTGACACTGACTTTTTTATCTCAATTATGAATTTAATTAAAACTTTAATACCTACTAGTTAAACCTTATGGCGTTTTATTACTTTAAACTTTTGTTGTTCGACTTTAGGTCAAACGACTTGTTCACACATTTCTGTACAAAAATATCAACTTTTCATTAGCAAATTGTCTTTTTTATATATGGTTCTAACCACTTTTTTTTTATTATTATTATTTGGAGATCGTGAGATGCGGTCTGGTGTGACGTAGGCTTTAGAAAAACATTTTCTTTATCGAGCCAACGTTTCGATCTTTATTGAGATCATCTTCAGGGCTCAAAGTGTTTGTTTTACGTGTAACTGTGTCATTCTTGTGTGTCTGGTTTCCTCAGTTGCTATAAAATTCATTTCTAACTGGTTAACTCATTTAACTATTCACTCTCAAACTGTTCACTTACTCATTCGCGAACTTTTTCAATTTCGACCTCAGTCAATTTCACTCACTCATTCGCTTTTTTACTGGTTCTCTTTCTAATGCTCACTCACTTATTTACTTACTGTATCAGTTTTACTCACCCTTTTATTACCAAAGTTGCTTGCTCAGTATTAAAAATTTGCAGTCGGAACTAAATGTGAGTCCTAAGTCATCCACGCTCAACGTTGATATTGTTAATGGCGTATTGGAAGGAGAAAGGATTGTGATGTAACATGCAGAACCGAAGAAATTTGTATTTACTTAGGTTAAGGGAAAGATAAATCTTCAAAAGAGTCTATATCCTCTTGAAATGCCAATGGTTCGTCGAATTGCTTTAAAAATTTTGATGTCATCAGCCAAAACCAAAACCTTAGCAAGCTTAAAGGCAAATGCAACATCATTTTAAAACATTGAAAATAAAAGGGGGGCAAGGTAGTATCCCTGCGGAACACCAGTGGCAATTAATGCTTGATCTAGTAAGACCAGTTTTAATAAATAAAAAAGGGGAAAATCAAGTTAAAAGGGATGTTAACACGTTTCAAATCATGTTTTAACTCGACATAACTTCAAAAGATCCAACTGTTTAAACTTTAGTGGGTCAACTAAAAAGTTGTTCGTCTCAGTTGAACAGAAGGTTTTCGCGACAGATTTCGTTCAACTTTTGAATCGTGAGAACGCGCCTTAAGATGGAGATGCAACCCGCCTGCCCGATTATCGATCCTTGTGTTATTTTTACATAATTTAAGCTAAAGGGACTAAATAAATATTTTGCTTATATTGCTCCCTGTTTTACTTTGTCCTCAGATGTACAGTATATATGTAAGGGGATTCGTAGATATTTGATTTTTATTCATTGAAGCTTTTAAAGATTTTTATGATTTTGTGGCGTTTCAGTATACTTTGTCAATTATTCAAGAACTGTTTGGACACCTAGCCCTTAAATTTTATCATATTTTGTCTATACCCAATGCAAACAAAAGATCTTGTCCTCCACCAAGCAGGTTCGTCACCTAGAGTCACTGTACTATTTATTTTCAAATCAAAGTTGAAATTATGAATGTTTGTCAGACGCCTTGCAGCGTCTACAGCTGCTGTAATCTACATTTTGACTCGTCTAGGATGTATGATGTAATATTCAAGGTGAATAATATATAGCGCTTTTGAGGGCTATTGTATCCCCCCTTTCTGTACCTATACCACACCAGTGAGTACAAATTCTTCAAAAAATTTGATTAGCAAAATTAGAAATCAGCATCTCCTCCCCTCTTGGTAATAACACCTCAGTTTTTCAGGCGGAAATCTGGGCCGTTAATGTGTGCTGCAGAACACTTATGGAAAATAAAATTAAGGGAAAAGATATTAGAATTTTTTCTGACAGTCAGGCTAGTCTTAGGTCACTACAAAAAGATCTGTCAACCTCACGACTGGTAGAGGAAACTGTAGATCTTATCAATAGGATCTCTTCCAGATTTGAGAACAAGGTAACCCTTATTTGGATACCTGCACATAAAGGACACTATGGCAATGAAAAGGCGGATGGCCTGGCCAAAGAAGGTTCTAATACTGCGTTTGTCGGACCACACCGGTATTACCACACTGTATGAGCACAGCGAAAGAGAGTATCATCAACTGGGGCATGAAACAATTTTTTAGGCAGTGGAATTTATCCCCCGGACACAGGCAATCGAAAGAGTTTGTTAAGGCGATCAAACCAGCAGAAATGGTCGAAAATCGAAATCTCTAACTCAAGGAAGGGAATTAGGAGGCTGATAGGTATTCTGACGGGGCATTGCCCACTGAGAAGACACCTCTTCGTAATGGGTATTCTACCCGATCCCTTTTGCCGTTTTTGCGAACTAAAAGAAGAAACGGCAAGGCACTACCTCGCAGAGTGTGATAGGTATGCTAGGTCTAGATTCGAAATCTTTGAAGGAGAGGACATCACCAAATCACTCCCGAGATTAAATGGTCCAAAATCTTGGGGTTTGTGAACAGGTCCAAGAGATTTATGCAGGACACGTGAGCCGACCAAGTCCCGGACCTTTTAGGGATGGGGTACGAGTCTACCCAGGCATTTAACCCCTCGGGTCTTGGTTTCAGTGGTTCTACGTTTAAGTTGTACATCCTCCTGCGAACAAGCTTATCGCCACAGTTTGTCAATGCATGTATTGACCTCTTGGCAGAATCTGCACGTGCCATAATAAGTTATACCAATCTTCTTCGAAAGCCCATTTATTCTGCAGTGTCCGGTTAAGAATCCTGTTAGGATTCGGAGTTTTTTCCAGCTCCCTTTGATGCATTCTGTTTGTTCCTGCTTTCCTTCCAAAACTTTCTAAAATGTTTTTGAATTGTTCGGTCCTTGGTGAATCCCACTGTTTCCTCTTTTTCATTTCGACTTTTTGTCTAAAATTGATTGTGTGAATTCTTGTACCACAGAAGGACTCAGAACCTATCAGTAGATATCCCCTTCGACTAGTTTAACTATCAAATATCCTCAAAAACTTATTATTTCATTATTTTTGGCGGTGACAAGGACAGTTCTGTTTCTAATTCTTTTGTATATAGATGTAATATTTAATCAGGGACGGTCATGAGAAAGGCCTAATATTAGATAACATACACTAAAACAATGTAATGTAACAGCGTATACAAAAAATATATCTAAAACAAAATTGTCTTTTTAGATTAGTGAGAGGTATGGAAAAATCTATCATTCCAAATACCTGGAAGCGGTGGAATTGCTTGAAATGACAAACAGTAACAGAAAGAAGACAATCCAAAAGAACAAAAGACCTTCAAGGTATGGTATAACTACAATCGAAAAACGAAAAATATATTAAGGGCCATTTTTTTTTTTTAATTAGCGAAAAGGAAATCACCAAATTAGACACTATAATAAAAATAAACCTTCCTGATTCTTATGTATTTCAAGCAAAATTCAACTCTCAAGAAACAATCGAAGATGTCGTTACAGTCTTAAAGAAATACCTCAGAGATCCAAGGGAGTACTTTTACTTGTGTAAGAAAATAATTTTACCTTTGAAAATTAAATTAATACAATCTTAATTTAACAATATCATAGTTATGCTATATATACACTCAAAGTAAAAAGCTGGACCCTTGTATTTTGCCGTTTATTTTAAAGTACATGTACCTTAATCGTTTTATTAATTACACCATACTTATTTTAATGTAAATCAAATTAAACGACATCATAAATTCATGAGTTTTAATAAAAAATTATTTAATTTTGATGGTTTAAAATAAAATTCACTAAAATACGGGAAAATCATTTAATACAGATTAAAATTCAAACTAAAAATTTGTCTGGTTTTTCTCGCTAGGGATCGAATAATTAAGCGATTGGTTTTCGCCTTGTGAAAGAGAATCCTATTTTTCAATAAGAGAGGTTTGTAGCTGTTCAATGTTTGTTGAAGGCGGCGATGTCTGTCTCTATACCATACCCGTAAGTGTTCTGTGTTTCATGTTAGGAAAAGCCGCCACTTGATCGAGCATTATTTTGTATTCACGAAGTTGTCCCTAATAAATGGAGTAACAACTTCCAGAAGAACTTCCTCGGTGTAACTTAGTGCAGTCAAAGATCCATTCTGTACGGACGTTGATTCCACTGCACAACTGACTGTCTTTGAAAAGGGTGTGACGCATGGCACATGGAGCAAATCGCCACTTCCCCTCACCACAAACCAAATCTGCACTCATCTGTGAAGAGAACAGCCCCTACATTGTTCAAGTATCGAAGCAGTGCTGGTTTGCGAATAGATGCTTCTCCGGTAGTAGGCCTGATACGGGACGTCTAGACACTAGGATATTTCCTGAAGCCTTCTGATGACTGTTTTAGAGCTCACCATGTTGGGAGTTGACTACATATCAAGGCAGCCGTTAAATTACTGTTCTGTAGTGGGGTTTGAGCAATAAAACGATAGTCTCTAACCGTCGGAGTCGACCACTACCTTTTTCGATCGAAACTTTTTGTAAACTCTAAACCACTGTAGACCATCGTGGTAGTACGCAGTAAACCCAGGACTTGGGCTATGTAACGAACGCTACGTCGATGGCCAAAGCCCTGAAGGATCTTCTCGACTTAAAACCATGCTTTTAAGGAGAATTAATTTTTGTACTTAATCTTTATGTAAGGTATTGGTTTAAATGAAAAAGCTAGTGTCACGAGCGGGATTCGAACCCCGCGTTAGAAACCTTTGGCTAAATACGCCCTGCTCTACCACTTGAACTATCGTGACTTCGATCCACTCGGACACCAACTTCCCATCTCAACCTACCTTTCAAATTTGGCCTTTTTTGCCATTTTTCAAATGTGTAATCGGGATTCTATTCTCGGCAACAAATGAAATGGCCACGGAGAGCTTTGTGAAGATATACTTCGTTTTACTTATTAAATCCATTATATTTCATGGTCCGATTGACCAAATAACTTCTTTAAATTAATTACTCTTTATGCAAAGTATTGCTTGAAATGAAAAAGCTAGTGTCACGAGCGGGATTCGAACCCACGACCTTCGGCCAAATACGCCGCTGCTCTACTATTTGACCTATCGTGAGTTCGATCCACTCGGACACCAACCTCCCGTCTCAAGTCCGAGTGAACCACGAAATATAATGGATTTTTTACTTAAATTTATTGTTCACTCAAAGAAAACTATTTATAAAACCAATTTCTTTATTTTTAATCTAAAGAGTATAAAAGAATTAGTAACACTCTATAAAGGTAAACAAGAAGTTCTGTTTACGTTTTAAGTCACGCCTACTTATTATATAAAATAAACTATTAAATACAAGTGTCCGGTTGTTTTGTCTGAGTGTATATTGTATATAAACCATGAGTGAACATTATTGGCTAATGTTTTTTAGATACCGCCCACCCTAAACTGATAATGACGGGTGACAGGCACTTGAAGGACTTGAAATGTTTTCCGAAAGGGATGCTGTATTTTTCCAACACCAGTCGCAACGAAAAGCGTTGCTATTTGAGAGAAAGCATCATGGCAGGTTTAATCGGGGCGGAAAATTCGACGTACGAATCTTGGGCGAATGAAATATGCAGAGAGTAAAGTGTCCGCCAGTCTGACAATGCGCGATACCAGCGAAATTCCAATTTGTTTTATTTCGCACGTTTTGTTTTAGATATGAAACTCCGATCATGACTCCAAAGAGACCATTCCACGCTATCCACCAGACAACCTATGTGTAACTGATCGAAATAAATATAATTATTTTTATATTTTCCTCTCGCTTGAAATAGATTGATGACCTGAGAGTGCACTACTGTCGTGTTCAAAGTATAATTTAAATATGTAATTATTATTATATGTGTGGTGTTTAGTGACCGTTAGTTAATGATTATCCGGAGATCGTGAGATGCGGTCTGGTGTGATGTAGGTTTCAGAAAAACATTTTCTTTATCGTGCCAACGTTTCGATCTTAATTGAGATCATCTTCAGGGCTCAAAGTGTTTGTCTTCTGTGTAATTGTGCCATTCTTGCGTGCCGTGTTGATTATTATTATTATAATTGATTTATGATCTCATTAAAAAAAATCTTGTGCAGAGAGAAAATCTTGAGATAAAAGAGCAGGTTGTTGACTCTGCCAATACTTATCGAATAGATTATTTTTAAAATATGAATTATTTAATGTAAACTGCTCAAAAATGAATAAGGATATTGCCAATTTTGTAATATTTATTTTCCCTAGCATTTTTATTTTATTTTTATTATAATTTAATAAGGGTTTTTGAAAAATAACAAAAAGTTTTAATTCTATAATTTTGTTCATTATACACAATATTTTTTTAAGCAATTAATACCGTGTATAATGTCCTCTGTTAGCTAAACCTCTGCGCACCTGTTAGGCATACTGTTAATAAGGTTGTCCAGTAATGGCATATGGAATTTCCATAGATGTTGCAACGCTCCACTTAGTTGTTGCAGGTCAACTGGCTGCGGATGGTGATCGAAAAGCTTTCTCTGCAACGCATCCCACATATGCTCAATAGGATTTAGGTCTTGGTGACAATGGGTGGAGAGGTAGATGGGAAATGCCCAGATTTGCTAAACATTGATGATCAACTCTGCTTCTATAAGGTCTGGATTGTCATCCGGAAATCGAAAATCACTGCCAATGAGGTCTGTGTTTTGAAGGATGTATTCATCGATAATTTCTTGGAAATAATGAACTGCGGTGAAGTTGCCTTCAACAATATGGAGTCCAATTTCGGACAGTGTATATCCCAACCTAGATCATTACGCCGCCTCCTCCAAACTGCACTGAAGGAAGCACGAACTGGGGCATTGTACGCATCCCCTGTTCTCGGTAGACTCCGGCGCCTGCTATAACAATACAGACAACCCCAATTGGTGTTCTATTCTAGGCGCCCGCTGCACCATACTCTCCTGAGTTGCTGGTGGCGGGCTGTTGCTGCAGGCCGTCTCAAAGGGGCTTACGACGCTTACTTCATATAAACTGTGTCGATAAAAGGCCTCGCCAAAAGATCTTCATGTTATGTACTTCATTTAGGATCTGGCGGGCACTATAGAAAGTGTTCCGTCTTGTAGCAATGACAATATTTCTGTCCTCCTTTATCGTCGTAATGCGCTGAGATCCACTACCAGGCCTCCTACTGGCACTTCCAGTCTCTCGGAATCGAGCTAAAGGCAGGGAGACCAAGGTCTGATAAACGCCAACTGCCTCAGCGATATCCATTGCCTGTGACTTCGATGACTCATTCTCACAATAATAATGCAAACTTCTTGTTCAAGATGATGTCTTTCCATGTTTAAAGAGAATACAACTGGATTACACTGGAAAAAAGAAAAGTTGTTTTGTTTACAAAATGACTAATCTTCATGTTTACTATTTTTTTTTACGAGGGTTTTTTTTTACGAGGGTTCGCAACAGCAGAGGTCATATAAACCTCAGGGTGCCGGTGTTTTTGAAAAAAAAACATTTGTAAGTATGTCGGGTTCGAATGCAGGGCCGCTGGATTCGAACCCGGGACCTTTACCTTACAGTGATGAGCGCCGTGTCAAAGACTAAACCTTGCGGCCACCGACGCCTCCCCATGTTTACTATTCTTAAGTAAATCCGTTATTAAAAATGAGGATTAACATTTGGTTGTTTTTGCTTTTTATTTTCTATTTTGTTTTATCCAAATAACAAGAATATATCGGTTAATTTAATTAAAATGAATAGAATAAGAATAAATTACAAATATCCCTATTCATTTTAGAGCAGTTTATATGTCTTAGGTAAAAATAAAAAATATATGATTAATGTTGTATTGATCTTTTGTTATATGGGTATATTACTTACAAAACAGCCTGAGAAAGAAAGATAAAAATGTACTTTTTGCTTACTTAGGTCAGTAACCTATAATAGTCTTAGGTTTGTAAATATATGGAGTGTGCAAGTTAAAAAATATCGTGAATTAAGCACAGTGCACAGCTATTTGGGGCAGTGTCTGTTTTAACAAGAAGGGGTGGCTGGGGGTTGTGACCGTACCTGCAGGAAACCTGGCACGGCGCGTGTCAACCCATGTGGATCAGACTTCAGTCGGCCTGAAGACCTTCAGCGGTTCAGAATGGAGTGCCGGCGCTGCCTGGAACCGCGAACCATTCTTCTTCACATCACCATCGCGGTGACCATAGCGGCAACCGGCCTCCTCTGTGCTGCGATCATGACCGACCATTGGGATGAAGTGACATGGGACAAACATCGCGTTTCCAGTCTCGCCAGTTCGAATTTCTCAGATTACGAGGTGATTAGATACAAATTTTGTCAATTGTTCAAATGGAAAGGATGTAGGAAACATGAACCCTAGTTTCTAACCGCATCCCACATGGTTCATTTGTAATCTGATATATCAAAAATTCAGACATGACAATCAATTCGTGTTATTTTTTCCTTTCTGAATAATAATAAAATGTAACTCAATTTGCACCGAGTCACAAAGATCTGCGTTTTGCTTTTCTATGTAGAATAAAGTTACAATTAGGCGAATCGCTCAAATTGGTAGATGCCATGACATTAAATAAAAGTGGTTTCAGGTGAGCATGTCATGGTACATGAACGACAAGGTTTCAAGAATAGCCTTGTTGGAGCCCCTTCAACGTAGCAAACGATTTCAAGAGGTGGTGACCCTTTTCCTCGTGCCCGTTCACGGAGGTATCTGGACGCTATGCTTAGCCCTCGAAGGTACTATGAATTGAAAAATATATTATGTATGATATTCTCAAAAAACTACATACAGGACTATATTCAGTATACTAACTACAACCTAAATTTCTTTAAACTTAATTCCAATAGGAATTCATAGAAAATGTCAACCCAATATGTATCAGCGGGATGTGACAAGGCATTCAACTCTATAGGCTCTGCCCGAAAATAAACATTAACGAAAGTTTACTGTTAACAGCAAGAACAGGACAGAGATGATGGAAGGAACTTAATTCGAAAACACGTGGGTTCGTTCAAATTACACAAACGCGTTTCGGCGTTGTGCCATCTTCAGTGAGGGACCGGAAGACTAGGTCGGACCCAATAAGTGACCCTATGCCGTTTCAGCGTGAGTTCACCGACTCGCAGACTAACATTCAACTTTAATTCAAAAAGTTCAAATTTAACAAAAATAGGTCTTTTTTACCACTGAAACTGAAATTAGAGTTTAAAGAACTAAAGTTTTTTTCAAACTTTAAAATTTCAGCACACTTTGTTGCATAAATAGTTAAAAATCGTCAAAGACGAACAGACTAAAAGGTTTCCCTTTTTTCAAATTTACGAAGTTTACAAAACACGGAATCCAATCCAAAATTAAAGCATAAAATCGAGATACGAAGTAAAACTCAAATTATTGTTGTAGTTTTTTTTGTTTTTTAAGTTGTGATTCGTTTTATTTTAGTTCAGTTTTACAATTCTTTGAGAATTTATTGTTCTGTTTTTTCACTCCGTCTTGACTTTTCTATCTCATGCTGCTCTTCGATTTCTTTAGAACTATGCTTAATTTGTACTAAGATTTTTGATTTCAGAAAAGAGCTTCGTATTTTGTATTCACTTCATCAAATTCGCTAAATCCATTAAATTTTAAGACAGTAATAAACAAATATTTATTAGTCCAGTGTGTTCATATTCTAACATTGCCCAAAATTGATTGGCTGTAGAAATGTCACGTTTAACAAGCTACTTATGTATCTGGCATAAAGAAAAATTTGCTCGATGTGTGCCACTTCATTGAGGGATGCAATTCCTTGGCTCCATATAGAGAGCGTGTAAGAATGCCATCTGATGTGAGGATTGTGCCTGAGCACGGCAGCAAGTATCTCTGGGTCCCCTGTTCCTAGTCTTGGAGGGTTGTTACGTTATGTATAGTAATGATAGTTTTGGGGGTTGATAGTGAATGTATTTATTAGCATAAATGTGTGAGAAGGTCCATGGCAGAATATTGAGTTCCCCCAGTGAACCTCAATTAGGTTATATAATAGGTGATGGAAGAATGATGTAAATAAGAAAGAATGTATTCAAGAGTGAGCGGTTAGGAACTGATGTTGGGGGATTGAAATGACCTAGCTGTTGATAGCACCTGGAGACTCTCAAGGTTGCTGGTAATTCATTGTAAAGTACAAAAGCTTGAATAGCTGACTGTGAAAAGTGATAGTGGGCAGATTTGAGCTTATATAAATCAGTAATCAGTAACATTTAACTTGCTATTATGCCTATATTTGTTCAAATTTAATCAGAATATCGTTAAATTTCAATGTTTACTATTGTGTAAAAACGTGGAAGGGCGAACATTATAAGCTCTTTTCTAAAGTGTGCAGACAGAATGCTTACAGATAAAACCAACAAAAATAAGCAAACAGAATAAACCAGTAAATAAAAGTTTAAGTCCCTTGTACATTACAGCATAAGCCGACAAAACATATTATGCTTAAAAACAAAATCTATGTGATTAATTTTGTAACACATTTAAATTAATTTGCATATTATTTTAACATGTTCATTATCTTGCTTAAACCTGGCAACAAGGCTTGATTAATTAATCACACGGCTAATACAGGGCTTAGGTAATGAGAAACTAACTCTGTTAACTGCAATCTATTATGTATGCAAAGTAGACTTATTTTGTTTATTTATAGACTGTTGGATTGTATTTTTTGATACAGTACGAACTGACGAGTATTTAAATAAACGTCAGGTAGTATTTTTGTAGGTTTTCACTAGTTAGCTCGCTCCTATTCTAAAACATTGTAGTTGATTTCATTACTGAATAGATACTAATTTGTAAAAGAACAATCACTGTCACCCTGAGGGTTGATTGTTGCCTGCCTCTGCTGTTGCAAACCCTCATTAAAAATAAATAAATAACAATTGTTTTTCTATGAATTAGAATTGTAATTAAATTTATTTATTCATAAAATATACCATATTAAATAAGCTCCACTGTGGTTTGTTTTAAATAATAAGCATTGGTAATTACAAAGAGGTTAAAATAAACAAATTCTCATTTGTTTTCTGAAAATGTATTTAATTTTTAAAAATTATTTTTATAAAAATATTAAACACCTGTAGAACACACAAAAACATCAGTGGAATATTTGTTACATGTACTTTTAAGAAAAACAATAAAGCAAAACAAAACGTCTGTTTGGAAAAAGTAACTTATGAATGATAAGAAATGGAAGCTACATAAATACAAACAAACAACATTAAGGAACAATATATGTATCACTATTGAAGACTCAGTCTCAAGTTAAATTCAATTAACAAAATATTTTAATGTTTAACTGAATTTGGTATGAATTACATTATATTCGATTAATTACAGCTTTCATAAAAACCTTGCCAGTAAAATCCCTTTTTTTTGTATTTTAATACTTCTCATTTGATCTGTTCTTTATTTAAATTGAAGAAATCACGACTAATTATTCATTAGTATGTGTTTCGTTTTTCCTTTTCATCAAGTCTTCTTCACTTGTATGTTTTCGTATTGAGAATCTTATTTTCTAGTTCGTCAACCTTTCGTTTTTCTTTAGAACTGAGGTCAACTTTGCATCACTTTTTTTTTTATTTGGCTTCTTCCATAACTTCTTTAGTGTCTGTTGGTTTAGTCTCTTTTTCCTCTGTGTTACATTTTTCGGTTTCTTGAATTGTTTCCCCCTCTTTACAAACAAGTTTAGATTTACGATTTTCTTCAGGACTAAGATCTGAAGTTACTTCCTCTAACTTTCTTTTCCTTTTTACAAGATGTGAAATATTCGATACGGGGGCATCAGAAGTTTTTGGTTTTTCTCCCTTTTCTTCATTAGCCGATTCTTCTTTATTTGTTGACTTTTCATTCTTTAACATTTCTTCTTCGTGGATTTTTTTAGACTCTTTCATGTCTTGAATTTTTTCCTCTAGATCAGGGAGAAGGTCTTCGATTTCTTTAATATCGTCTTTAGCATCATTACTTTCTGTTGCACGAAGATGATCAATTTTTGTTTTTAGAATGGATTTGCATAGTTCAAAATGGTTAATAGCATCATCAAAAAGCTGAAACATAGAATAGGCGAGACCGATGTTGAAGTGGGTTTCAGAAACTATTCTTTCTCCAGGATAGAGTTTCATACGAATTTCAAGACATTTTTTCATGTCCTCCATGGCAGTTTTATGACCGGATTCGATTCCCACTTCACCCAATTTCATGAATGTATCGGCTAATCGTTTTTCGTTTCCAGACTTTTCAAAGATCACTTTAGCTAGTTCGAACATCTCCCATGCGACTTTTAAACTCGAATCTTCATCTTCTTCCTTTTCTCCAGCCCCATCGATTGTTTCGTCATTGTCTTTTGATTCAGCCTCACCAGATGATGTTCCTACCTTCTCTTCAGTGCTGTTATCTTTACTTTCGCCATTCGCATGGTCACCGCTGTTTTTGTTTTCTTCTGAAACATCTTTTTCTTCTGAAACATCTTTTTCTTCTGAAACATCTTTTTCTTTAGAAACATCTTTTTCTTCTGAAAGATCTTTTTCTTCTGAAACAACTTTTTCTTCTGAAACAACTTTTTCTTCTTCTCCTTGACTATCACCATTTTGTTTGTTCGAACTGACTTCATTGTCTTCATCCTGTTCGTCTTCATCATCCTCATCATCTTCATCTTTCACTTTTTCTCCTAAGACAGTGTTTTCCGCCTTTCCACATTCAAGCATCGCGGAACCGTAAAGAAAATAATTCTCCGCACACTCACTTGCCATATCACCGTAAAGTTTTGCTGCGAATTCACACGCTTTGCCAAAATGATCTGCAGCATTGTAATAATCATGCTTTGCAACCGCTTCTCTTCCTTTTTCGAGTAATTCTTGAATTTGAGCTTTAGTTGGCTTTTCATCTAAAGTACTACTTTCTTCAGGATTCTGTTCATCCGTCGGTGGTGCTTTTTCCCCTTCAATTTCCATTTTCATTTCGGCTTCTTCCTCAGCTGGCAGGGTACCTGAACATGCCACACTAGGTTTATTCTCAACTGACTTCCCACATGAGACGACCTTCTCTTCATTCGACTGATGAAGGACTGGAGCTTCAGCTTCTGTTTCTTTGACAGCTTCAGGCATTTTCTAAAACAAGAATCAAACAGTTAATTAATGCACACAGTTTCTACAATTATTTTCATTTATTTAATACATTAAAACTGTACAAAATTAAATTTATATTTCAATATCGCCATATCGTATGTATAATATCTTGATTTGTTTCAGATGAAGAGAAAATGAATCTCCAAAATATTGGTTTTCCTAGGACACAATGTGTCAATTACTTAACACCTGAAAATGAAAGGATGGATTGGAGAGAAGATAGAACAGATTGGCAGCACAGTAATTCTCCTTAAAATAATTATGTATTTATTTTAAGTGCATGAAATTGTACTGTAAACATGTTAAAAGAAAAATGAAATAGTTTCAAAGAGTACGAAAAAATATTTTTTCCTTTTCATTTTGGAAATTCAGAACATAACCAATAACAGAAAATAACTTAAAAAGTGCCTGTTTACCTTTTAATAGCTTGATTTTGTAACTCAATAATTGCCCTTTTGAGCCCTATTTTAATTAGAAGTTATTCCAATTGGAAAAAAATCCTAAAAATTACTTTTACATACAGTACTTTATGTTGTAAAAAAATAGAAATTATTTCAGGGATGCAGAATTTGTCCATGTCTTGTTCTATGGTTTGCCTTATAATTCTTGGCGCTTCAGCACTTGTTGGAGCATTTGGAATTGCTAAACATCAGATTTCAGCAGTTTTAGTAACTGGAGTTATGTATCTCCTTGCAGGTATAATTAAAAATATTGGCTACATATACATACTAACTCAACAGGATGTTGGTTTCAGGTACCTTCGCTCTCTTCACACTTATGATAATCCACTACAAAAGAAAATCAATCATTTCTCCAATTGATTGTACATCAGGGGGTAGAGATGGTGCCATTGGCATTGGACCGGCCAAACTGACATCAAAACTTATTTTGCACTACCTCCCCGGAAGGAGTTACATTAGTGGTTGGAGTCTAGATCTTGGGTGGGCAGCACTTGGTATGTGCATTCTGACGGCTTCGCTCTGGATTCTTTTAGCTAGAGTCATGAGGTTTACTCCATTCACATCACTTATCACATAAACACATAAACACATAATCCAGGAAATATTTTATTTGTATATTATTGTGTTTATTTTCCACCCTAGTTTTTATCTATTATGATTATATAACTAATTGTCTCTGGCCATATTGATATATTTATTCTCACTGATTCATTAGTTTCTGAATTATACAATTTTCAGAGGTTGATTTGGGCTACTTTGTCAATAGTGTACTATTCATAAGTTTGTAAAATGTGTCATGTGCAGAAATATGGAATATTTGGGTTTTTGATGAACAAAAACAATTGATTGTTTTTAAATTAAATAATTTTTTTAGATCTAATTGATTCAACAACATCAATTCTGGATTTGATATTATGAAGTGGTTTATCAGCATCTTTAGCGGAATTACTCTTTTTTTCAGTGCTTTTCATCCCTTTACTTTTAACAACATATAAAAAAAACAGATGTATATCAATCAGCATGCAGATTTTCACTACAATTTATCGTGATTGTTTTAATACATAATATGTTAACATGCAAATTTGAAAATAAGAACTTATAAGAAAATAAATACTGTATTAAGGAAGATAACTTCCTTGTGCACCATCGTAATGGATAAATCACTGGCATATAAAATGGTTTATATGACACATTGGTTATACTCAAGATAATGTTGAACATAAATATAATATTTATTTACGCTGTTGTTCAATGACAAAAATAAACAAATTAATGCCAAGCAACAAAGAAACCATTACATATTATAGAAAGTTATGTTTTCTGTAATTAAGTCGCTGGTAGTAGGAAATATAACTTAAACATATTTATGAGCTAAATATAAACATTAATCAATTCACTAGTTTTCGTGGTCCGCTTGACCAGTTAATATCTTTCAATTAATTAAGGTTTTTAGTTGAGATAAAAAAGAAAGATGGCAAAAAAGAGGGAAAATTCAAAAAGTGGGGTTGAGATGGGAAGTTAGTATCCGAGTGGATCTAAGTCATGATAGCTCAAGTGGTTAGAGCAGCGGCATATTTAACTGAAGGTCATGGGTTCGAATCCCGCTCGTGACGACTTTTTTTATCTCAACTAAAAACCTTAATTAATTGAAAGATAAACATTAATATTATTAAACCACTATACTGTTTAAATATGCTTAATATTTTACTAGGTGTATTGTTTTTTGTCTAAGTTTTAAATTTAATAAATAAATTATTATTTATTTAACAATGAATATGAATTAGTATAATTAAATTGAAATACCCTACTGAAACTGGCTCATAAGTTTGCTATTTTTATAACACAGACACTAATAAAAATAGTACAATTTTTACCAATAAAAACAAATGCATAAAATATAGTTTACATTTAACTGGTTTAACTCATAATTTTAAGTTCAATTTGGTCTTTTTCTTTAGATAAAAATGACTTATGCTTATTTCCCATTACATTACAATAAATTCTGTTTTGGGATAAATTTGTATAATATAAGTCTATTATTAGTTCTACCAATCAAATCCTCATACTTTTGCTTGGCTTTGGGAAAAAGAATATGCATTCTTAACAATAAAAAGTACACATATAAATTAAATACATATCTATATTACAATAATGTAAGGTACACCAAATCATGGTTATGAGTATGGTTGGGGAAGGTGCCACCCTCAAGAGTTCAGAGGGCTTAAGTTAAACATAGCAGATGTCAGGGTGGACGGACATGCGTCGTAATCGCGAAGAGAGTGATTATGTCTTTGTTTATGTGATTGTGAAGGAGTTAATGCTTTAATAAATATTGTAAAAAAATCACAATTTCCTTTCTGTCTTTTTTTACGATGTTCCGTAAAAGTTTTGTAATAAACTTAAAGATTTATAAAACCAAACATAAAATCTTGTTGAACTTTTCCCTTATAAAGCACATTTTCTTTATAAATAATGTGTTTTTTAATGATCGATTGTTATAATTTGTTGTGAGGAGCGGTAAAGCATTTAAGAAAAACAACTTTTTTCATTTTTTGTCGACATTTCGACCTTCGGAGATCTTCACATGACAACTGGTTTTTTCATTTATCAAAAAGATGTTTTCACAATAAATTACAAGATCACACTAATACAAATTTTACCCCATTCCTAACAATTACCCCTTAGACCACTAATAAGAATATTGTTATGAGACCTCTCGAATTATTAATATATTATTATTAATCCAGAGTGGCTGCCAATAGGTAGCTTTCTCTATAATGCCAGTAATGTCACAATCACAAATTGAAATTCAATCTGCTGGGCGTATATAATACATAAAAGTTGTATATAAAAATAAATGAGCTCAAAAAAATTCTCCACAAAAAAAAACTAAAAAAATAATGTTAAATTCTAATAACTACAAAGAGAATTTCCTAAAAACACATTCACTGAAAAGAATATCTTATCTTTTTTTTACAATGGTATTTCAACTACGAGGTTATATGAACCATTGGAGTGCATGTGTATTTGAATAAAAAAGCCCATTTGTAAGTATGTTGGGTTCAAATCCAGCGGCCCTGCATTCAAACCCAGACCTTTACCTTATAGTGATAAGCGCCGTGTTGTTGCCTAAATCGTTGCAGCCACAGACACCTCATCTCATTTTTAAAATTAATTCATTGGCCACACAAAGCATCAATCATTGTAAAAAATACCAAACAGATCTAAGACATAATACATTGTACTTTGTTCAAAAGCATACTAATAGATATTGCCAATGCACTTCAGCAGTAAAAATCCCAATAATCTTCAATTTATCGCAATCCTGTTTCCTCTTAAAAGATGTTAACAAAAAAAACTAACAATAAAATATATTATCAAAAACAATCTATAAGCTCTGCCCTTGTGGTCATTAGTTTGGTTCTACCTTGTAAAAATTATATAAATAAAATTTAAAAATATTTAATAAATACAGTGGAACCTCCATTATCTGGGGTATTGACAGGGAAGGGGTTCATGGAAAATTGAAATCCCCAGATAACAGAATTTATTTATTGAACGTGTCAATTAAAAGTATGTAAGTCAGGTCAATTATGTATGTACATATCATTCACGATATGAACAGTTTGTTCACCAACTTTAAATTCTGCGGCTAATTTGTCCGCACTTGCAGCCTTACCCCTCAACACATTTTGTGTTGTTTAGGGATCAGTGGTTCAATAAGTGTTTTTAAGTACTGAGGAGCAGTCAGGTACCTGACCTCACCAACCACTTATCACCTGTTTTTGTTCTATCATGAGAGTGCGTTTTCTCTTTTTGTGACATTTTGGACTTGTCTTGATAGAGGTTGAAAAGGAATTTTAAATCAATGTAAACAGACCAGCAGGGATTTCATAGATACAAGATGGTGTTCTCTAAATCAGAAGTGACTCGTTGCTACACGAAATATATAAACATGTATACATAATATACATATACTGAGACCTGGGGCTCAGATAATGGAGATTCCACTGTATTTCAATTTAGCAAATTAGTGCAGTATGCCAATGAAGGGACAATCAAACGCAAGTGTTGAATGTAAAACAGAACTCAGTACATGCTGTTTATGCTGTAATAAATAATAATATAATTTTTAAAGAAAAATATTTTTGTTGAAATAAATAATTTTAGAATTAATACTGGGTGTTGGTGAAACCGACATTGTGCCTGTCTTCACTAGCGAATTTGATAAACTACTAAAATGTGTTTCCGCATCGTGCCATCTTCAGTGAGGAAGAAAATGATAATTCTTCACTGAAGTCGGTGCAATGCCGAAACGAGTTTGATTTCAACAAACGCACAAGTGAAGACACCCAATGACCGAATGCCAGTTCAGCATAAAGCACTAACTGGCGTTATGCAAAATTGTATTTGTTCAATCACTAAAGTGGTTGTGAAAGATCAATAATTTTCCTGGGTTTATTGAACTGTTTATATCAAATGATATGCAAGTTGAAAGAAAAAATTATGAACAGAAACGAGTTAAATCGATCTATCTAGGTTTAGAGAAAAAAAATCTTTTCCTCAATACAAAAAGCATACCAAACACTTGTGCTACTAAAAAAAATGCACGGTTTCGACCGAGGTTAGGAGTCCACATTTTAATTCCTTTAACGGAATAAATGATCTGACACTTATTAGTTTAATATTAAAAGCTAATAAATAAAATCAATCCAGACCAACAGCACTAAATAACTTAATGAATATAATTGTAAGTTATTGTTATATGTACTGTTCGTGGGGAGATATGTATTTATATTTCATAAAATCTATCTTAATTGAATTTGAAAGAAAACGTATTCAGCATTCAAATGAGTTTGAAATTTACAATTTATAAACGAAAATAAATATAATTACGTTTTTTTTAAAAAGAGAGATTCGCCGGTACAGCAGGCCAAGACGGAGAACGTGAAACGTACCAAGACTGGTGCAAATCACTGAAATGGAGCGAACGCCAGTCCGATTCTGTAGAAGGGGAAATTTTTTTTAGGGTCAGGGCGACTGACTCTTTTTTCATTTTTGTATTTAAAAAATAATACGTATTCACTGTGAGTAAAAAAAGTTTTCCAATTACAAATTAAATATATCATAGACCTTTTATTCGTTAACGTCAATATTCGTAAATATATCAAGGAGTTTATCCACCCCTCACGAGGGCAGTAAAATTCAAGTTTCTAACGAGCCTATTTCAGTTGAAAACAATTTGAATATTTAATCAATCATTTTAATTTAATTATAATGGTAAAATCTCTTTATTTCATAAATAACATATACATATTTACGCACATAAATACTCCAGAGACAAGTTGCAATATACACAATGTCAAAATTAACACCCCACCCTTAAATTGTAATGTATTTAGGTTTACTAATATGTATATGAAAGCTATATTTGGTCATAGAAATAAGGTATACAAAAAATAATAATTTTTAAATTTAATATCAAATATTTACATATTTGACATGAATCACATCCGTTAAATGCCTTTGCATTCGTTATAAAAAATTTAAGGTAAAATCCTGAAGAATTATTTTCCAATCATCAGAACAGCCGTTAACAATTTGTCTATGGTGTTAGGACCTGGGTTTCGCCGCTGTACTCGTCACTTAAGTAGGTATGATTGGGTTCAGATCTGGTCTATGAGCTGGGTCTGCTGATTTTTATTAGTTGATATGTTATGAAATAAAAATATAACACAATTTCATATTTTTGGTTTTGCTCATTTTTGTCTTGTTTTTGATGCGTTTCATTGTTAGGCAAAATCCCAAAAAACCAAAATGTGAATAACAGACAAAACAGTAAGGATAGATAGGGACGCCATTACCATTGCAACATTATTGCAAATTGCCAAATTACACGTTCAACACCCCATAAACCCCAAAGGAGTAAATTTTAAATATAATAAATAAATTAGAATAAAACTTTTTGTTCCCTTTAATACCTCTGGGAAGAATCACATCTGTTAAACACCTTTGCATTCGGTGTAAAAGATTTCTGGTAAAATCCTTAGGAATGCTTTCACATTCATCAAGAACAGCTGTAAACAACTCTTCTAGGTATTAGGACCTGAGTTTTGCCGTCGTAGTCGTTGCTTAAGTTGGTCCATAATGAGATCGATTGGGTTCAGATCTGGTCTCTGAGCAGGTCTGCTGATTGTTATTAGTTATGTTATGAAATAAAAATATAACAAGATTTCGTTATTTTCATCTGCTCATTTTAGTCTTGTTTTTGAAAAACCAAAATGTGTCTGACAGGCAAAACAGCAAGAATAGATAGGGACACCAAAATGATGGAAATTGCCAAATTGCATGTTCGTCGCTAAATTGCATGTTCGTCACCTCATAGACCCCAAAAGTAGTAAATTTTAATTATAATAAATAAATGAGAATAAAAGTTAAATGCCGCAAAAGCACATTTGGAAAAGACACATTAAATCAGGCAATAACTTATAGACTGCAATGGACCACTAGTATCGTGGATACAGGGACAAGTCATTGGTTAGTGTAAAACAGAGCTTAACAAGAACTACTACAAAATTGCTTATAAGTGAAACAGAGCCTTTCAAGATAAGTTAAATAAAGAAAGACAAACCTAAAGTAAAGCCACTATGAAGGATAAACTTAAACAGAAGTTGACTTTGATGTAGAGAATGAAAAATTTAGTTTTAATAGAATTTTCCAAATTAATCTGGAAAATAAATATTTTTAGAAGAACATAATTCAATAATTTAAAATGGAGTCTCAACTCTAATAAGTACAAATTGGAAAAAGGGATAAAAGTGTATTTTTAACTGAGGTTCCTTCAATCTTTCAAGCTGAGTTTCCTTCAAATTGGTCCATAATGTGTTTGATTAGGTTCAGATTGGACGCGTACTCAAGGGATATAGGTATCCATCTGGTAAAGAACAATAGAAGGAAGAAGGGACTTAATGTGTACCAGTAAAGCACACAAACCTATGGTCCAGAACCAGAGCAAAACGTCAGAGAAAGTGAACTTTATATTTTCTAAGTCAATAATATCTATTTCAATTATTTATTGCTCAACAGATAAGACAGAAAATCATGATGCAAAACATGGGTCATTACCATTTGCAGTACCACCTCAAAATATAAGTTGAGCATTAGATACCAGTTCTGCCAAGAGAAAGCATTGGTATTATATGGTTGTGACGCTTTATTCCAGATGTGGTACTGGCATATAGGAAATGCAATAAAGAAATTAGACAAGCAGAAAAAAATTACATAGGTAGGGTAATTTGTTAAATCATCAGGCTCCCAAGAATAAAACCAATAAATAATGATGTATTTATTGTCAACAGATGACACAAAAAATAAGGCAACATGTGATTATTCCTTTGTTATGCTATCACTCCTACAGACAAATTTACAAAAAAAGCCTGAAATTCCCATGTTTGAAGGTACACATAAATTAATAAACATACAAAACACAAAACATAGATATGTCACAAGCAGATGACCCAAAAGCAAAAAAAGGTAAAGAAAAAGAAGACGAAGCAAAAAAGGATAAAAAAGATGACTTGTCTAAAATGTTTCTCAACCCAAGTACTGAAAAAAAACCTTCTGTTTATGACTTCGTAGTAACTGATTTAAAAGGGAATTCAATTGAGATTAAAAAGTATTTGGGATTTGTATTGCTTATAGTTAACACAGCGTTACAAAGCAGTTTGGCTGCATTAAATTTTAACGAATTGGTAAAATTGCATGAATTGTATAGCGAGAAAGGGCTGAGAATTTTATCCTTTCCCTGTAACCAGTTTTGCTGTCAAGAACCAGGAAGCAATGAAGACATTCTTGCCTATGTGGAGACAAAAGATATAAAGTTTGATACATTCGCTAAAATTCGTGTGAATGGAAAAGACGCACATCCTCTTTGGGAGCTTTTAAAAAAAAGGAGGGGGTGGCATTCAGTTTCGATAAAATGGAATTATACTAAATTTTTAGTTGATAGCAGAGGCATAATTACAGAACGGTTTGGCCCACTTGTAAGTCCTCTCAAACTGACATCATCCATTGAAAAATGTTTGCAAGAAAGAGAAAAAATTTTAAATAAATCTCTTAAAAACATTGACAACACAAAACAATAAATGACATTTCAGTTACAAGCAACATTGTTTATATTATAATTATAAATAGGTGGTTTTAAAAAAAAATCACAGTTTTATTAGATTTTTCTTTGATCCATAAAATGATAATTTTATGCAATTATGCAAAATTAAATTTTAAAATAACTTTTTTTTAAATTGTGTGTAATTTCATATATCTATTATACAACAAGGCAATAAATTATCATCAATTATACACATACCAAAAATAATAGTTTGGGTTTTTAGGTGTAACCAGTACAAAACAAGGGAACTACTAGAAGGCAACTACAACCAATCCAGGATGCACCGGATAGGAGTACAGACAGAAGAAGCACTGTGCAGATATTGACAGGAAGAAAAGACCTCTGGCAATTACGAGAGGAAAAGCCGCAAGCAAAATGTTACACTAAGGAGCCACTGGCAATGCAGTTGAGGTTAATTAACAACCTAAGCCAGTGAGGTATAAAAAAAATTAGAGGAGCACAATGGATCTACTCAGGTCAAGGTACAGAAAGCCTTGTGGCCACCTCTTTTATCCCTACCCCTAACATTTTAAAACATATAAAAGTGAAATAGGTGATTATTTCATATAGAGCATCTAGTTATATATGTCTAGTTATACATATCTACTTCAAATCCACCCGTTCAAACTAGCTTAATTTTACTTCGAATTCACCCAGAAGGAAGTATGACATAAAAAAAAACAATTTAATTTTTTTTTTACTTTGTGTTCAAAATTAAGGGCTTTTCTAGCTTAATTCTACTTTGAATCCACCCAGGAAGGCATATGACATCAAAAAAGACAATGTAAAAAATTTTGTTTTTCGAGTTTGTTTCTAAAATTAAGGACCTTACTAGTTTAATTCTTCTTCAGATCTTCCTAGATCATTTTAAATCGAAAAAGACAATTAAAAAACTTTTTTTTCGTGTTTCGAAATTGTTTCCAAAATTAAGAGCTGTACAAGCTTAATTCTACTTTGAATCCGCCCAGGAAGGCATTTTTCGAGTTTGTTTCCAAAATTAAGGACCTTAATAGCTTAATTCTTATTCAAATATTCCTACTAAGTCATTTTAAATTGAAAAAGACAGTTTAAAAGAACTTTTTTTCGGTGTTTCAAAATTGCTTCCAAAATTAAGAGCTTTATTAGCATAATTCTTCTTCAAATCTTCCTACTATGTCAAAGAAAGATGTAAGGTTTTTATGTTGAGTATCTGTAAAATGTGTTATTCAACCATAGAAAAACAGATGCTATTGGGTTGTCCGGAAAATAATGCAGGATTTTGGTATTAAACAAAAAAAAAAGAAACTAGTTACTTTAAAGCAATGTTCTTTAATCAAAATAATTTCCCATACTCTCAATACATTTCTCCCAACGTGTTGGTAACTTTTTATTNCTGTAAACGTAAACAGAATATTTTATATAGATTTTTTTTAATGAAAACTTAAAATCCTGCATTATTTTCCGGACAACCCAATATTTGTGACTGTTTTCGCTGTTTTTCAGCCTTATTTCTGATTTTAAGATTTGACATTCCACCCTTGCTTGATGAAAAATAATTTGACAAATGCAACAATTAATTTTTAAATTGTATAATTAGTAAATTAGTGCGGATTATTGAGATTAGCCTTCAATTACAAATTAAACCTCGGATTGTCTCATAATTTCTCAACGTATATCGTTTATTAAATTTCTTCTATTGAAAGGAAATTTGGTAGAATCTGAATATTCCTCAGTAGTCTATGGATATGAATTTTTTGTTTTATGGGTGAAAACGCCAAATATCTCTTTGTTTGCTTTTTGAAATTTTAATCTAATTAATAATTATGTTTAGTGAGGAAAAGTTTTTTTTCTGTTATGGTTCGAAAATTCCATCTTTTCCCCTCTCCTTTCCAATGATACTGACGTCATGTGACGTCCTTTCAGCTCCTGTTTCCAACTAGGGTTTGATGAAAACCTCCACGTCGTAAACTATGTACGAACTCGGTCTCAATTCTTAACAGTTAAAGAAATGATTCAATTACAATTATAGGCCAGAAAACATCAATCGTTTAGCAATTAAGTGGGAGTTCTTTCATTTAAAAACAACCGGTTCGTGTGTTAAGTGCTAGTGGTCGAAGATGGCAAGCCCTAGGACTCGACGAGTTTTGCAAGATCTTATGACTAGAAATGACAATATGGTAATGAATGCATATTCTTTAACACACTGAAGAAGCTATTGCTGCTAAATTTACATGCTAAATCTCTCAGAAAATAATGTTTAAGTAGAGTCATTTCAGCCCCCAATACGTGTACATAGTTTTAACTTAAACATATTCAAACTCATTAAATACATTCTTTCCTAGATACAGTAGGGCAAAGGAGAACTTAAATATTCCTACACCAACGAACATACAACAAATCTAGGCGAAGGTTGATGAGGTATTCATCATTTCACACTAATATTCACGCTAATACGTGCTTTCAAATCAAACAGAAAGTTTAACACACACCAAAACCCACTGCTATACAACGAATCACCTATTTCTTTTAAAATTATGAAACTTGTATAGTTTTCACATTAAGTGAGATGAGACCAGAACAATTAGAACTGGAGAAATGCCTTATAAAGTAAAATTCAATGGCTGGACAAAACTGATATGAGACGAGCTAATAGATTTGCAAAACTCTCTAAAAGAAAGGCGAAGTAATTCCTCTCTCGGCAGGCAGGATTTGAAAAAATATATAGGCCTCTATACCGACCTTCTTAAAGATGGTAACCTAAAGAATATGGCAGAGCAGAGACCTGCCAACTCTGTCAGGAGGGTCCGGAAACATCGGCACATGTCCTTGGTGTGTTTGAAGCATTAGCCCGGTTACAGTACAGCCACTTCGGTAAGGCAATTCTCACATCAAAAGAGGTGCGCGAAGACCAAGGAAAATACTTATTTTTATAGGAAAAAGCACTTTCCAACATACGACATAATTTATAGGGGTTCCAGAATACATCGCAGTGGAGGAAAGGAATTTTTAAGTCTTAATCAACCTCCCAAACCTCAAAAAAAAAAAATCTCCCTGCACAGTTCTCAAATTGGATGGCATTCTTACCCACATTTATTCAAAGTCAAGTTCTGATACATATCAGCCAATTTTATCCATGGATAAGGGGCATGTGAACTTTGGCCTAAATTATTTATTATCAAAACAATCTTACACTCTTAACTTTAGAATGTTGAACTGTGTGTTGTCAGGATGCTTGTGAATGAATTCAGCATAAAGAATCTTGCGTGGATAAAAAACTAGAAACAATGTGCACTCAAGGACAAAAAAAAATTAATTGTCAAGTGCGTTAATTGGTTTTATAAATGGTTTGATTTGATGAAACAATAAAGTTGAATAATTTTTTTTGTTCATAAAAGCATGGTTTTAAGTTCAGAAGATCTTGCCTGAGCAGATGCTTTGGCCAATGACAGACATGGTCTCTACCAGGTAGCCCAAGTTTTGAGTATGCCACACTCTATCAACCACGATGATCTTAAGGACTACCAGAAATCTCAATCGTAGGGTTCAAAAGCGATGTACGACCGCTAGAGGCAATAGTTTTATTGCTTTTCTTGCTCTATGGAACGGTCAAACATCTTCCTTTAAAGTCAACTCCAAAAGTCCATAACGTAACGGTGAACTTTGTTAGTCATCAAAAGGTTTTGTGAGACTATGCTGGTCTCTAGACGTCCCGCATCAGGTTCTTTATTACTGTAGAGGCATCAAGTATAACTATTCGCAAATCAGCATCTCACTTGGACAATAGGGGGCTGTTCTCTTCACAGGTGAGTGTCGGTTTGGTTTGTGGAATTCAGATGACTGAGACTGTATGTGGAGAAGACGTGGAGAATGATTTACTTCATGTGCCTTGTGTCACCGAAGACAGTCAGTGGGATGAGGAAGTTCTTCCGGAAGCTGAGAGCCATCCGCAACTTGGGTACAACTTTGTGTTAATGTATGGTAATGCTTGACCGTATGTAGCTCAAGTTGTCACCTATTACTTGGAGAATGTAATGATTACCACAACAAATTGTCCAGCACGTTCTCCTGACATGAATCTCATAGAACACTTACTGGACATTTATTGGTTATTTATTAACATCAAATATCTATTTTTTACTTTTCTATTATATTGACTATTATCTATCTGAGAAACATCTATCTGATTTATATTTTTTTCCAGAAATGTTTCGAATGTGGGACCCATAATCCTCAATGGGCTTCAGTTACTTACGGGATTTGGATCTGTTTAGAATGTTCTGGCAAGCACAGAGGACTAGGTGTTCATTTATCTTTTGTCAGATCAATAACGATGGACAAATGGAAGGATATAGAACTAGAAAAAATGAAGGTAATTTATTGAAATTTAAAAAAAATTAATATACTAATTTGATTTTGTCATAAAGGTTGGGGGTAATAGGAAGGCGAGAGAATTTTTTGATGGTCAAGATGACTGGGATGAGACACTTCCTATTCAAAACAAGTATAACACAAAAGCTGCAGCTCTTTATCGCGATAAGGTATGGTGTTGCTACTTAAAAATATATCTTTTTTTGTCTGATCTATGTATGATTAAATTTTTTTATGAATTTATGAATGAATGAAATTTTAATATTTATTGTTTTGATTTGTTCTATTCAGTTTTAAAATTACCAAATATAACTGCACAATGTTAAGTTGATTTACAACTCATAACAAGCATGGAAAGAGTAATTTCAAATTTGACTTGATTTAAAAATATAAATTTAAGTACGCTTTGTGACCTTTTAAACTTTAGTCAATATTAGTCTACTGTAAATCAAAATGTATAAATGTCTCAATAAATCTACAGACCTAAACTGGAATAAATATTTTCAACACTACCATCGGAATTATGCAATTATTCAAATTTCTTCCAAAAGTTCATTTTGTCTGCAGCTTGATCGTCCCTGAACTTGATCTTCGTTGAGTTGGGGACGATCAAGCTGAGGATCAATGTTAGATGACTTGCAGACCTCCAGGCTTCTTAAAAATATATTATTTGAAATTTAAAAAGACTAGACGATTTGTACTGTTTTTATCCTTAGATTTCAACACTGGCAAATGGCAAGGAATGGAGTCCTACTACTGCTAAAGTTGACAGCTTTAACTCTTACAAATTTAAAAGGTAAATGTTTGCGATTATTACCACGATTATAAGATTGTTTAAAAAATGCTCTATATTAAATATTTTATTGTAATGATTTAAGTGATAATTATCAGCAAAATGATTCCTGTCAGTCCTATCAAGATATGACAGAAAATAGTTCTTACAACAATGGCGGAAGCTACCAGAACTATCAAAATTATAATTCACATGAGTTTAAAGATGAAAAGGAAGCCTTTTTCCACAGGAAACAGCAAGAAAATTTAAAAAGGCCAAGGTAATATTTTTCTTAAAAAAATAATTGATCATTGATTTTTTTAAAAGTCTTATTGGGTTTGTTTATGGCAAAATACATTCAGCAATTAATTGTACAAACATGAAACATACATGTAAACACAGACGCAAAATACTAATCAATTTTTTTTAATACAGTGATTTACCACCTAATCAAGGTGGGAAGTACTCAGGTTTTGGATACACTATGGATCCACCACCAAGAAGTTCTTCGCAGGAATTTTTTGACACGGCTGTCTCTTCATTAAGCTCATTTGGTCAATCGGTTTGTTTGCTTAAGCCTTACTTTCTGATTTATTTTTCTTTTAAATGTATTTTCTTTTTTTAGGGGTGGTCTCTGTTTTCAAAATCCGCCTTGAAAATAGCGAACAAAACGACAGAAAGTGCATTCAAAATTGGTTCCATTGCATCACAAAAGGTAGCTGAAATTGGTGTTACTGTAACAGACAAGGTGTGTTACTGTTGAATATTTGGTTCTTTTTCATTTTTTTTTCTTTCTTTTTCTTTTATTATTATTATTATTTTGGTTTGTTTTCATTGTAATTAGGTTAAAGAAGGAAAAATTCTTGAGGAAGTGGGCAATCAGGTTTCAGAGTTAGCAAATAAGGTATTTTTATTTATTTATTTTATTTTATTTATTTATTTGTTTATTAACTTTTACTTTCTTTAAAATCTTTTGTTTGATTTATTTTGTTATATAATTGCTTATTATTTGTTAATGTTTTCATTATTATTTGTTTTGGTATTTGGGGGATATTTGTATAAGATATTGAGATGAAATGAAATGAGACCATGGTGATGTGAGAGGTTTTTCATGCTTTACACTTTTTTAACAACACTATCAAATTTCCAGTTGGATTCATCTTAGTTGAATTAAAAAATTAAAATAAAGTGCATATACAGTCCATGATAAAAAGAAAAAGGTTTAATATAAATTTATTACACTATTAGCTATAACGTCTTTTATATTTCAATTATTCAACAGTGTTGGTTCTACAGAAGGGGACCAACTGGTCCATATTTGCCACGGTAGTTCTGGGTTTGAATACCGGCAGAGTCCATGGTGTTTTTTATTGAAAAATATATTGTAAAATGATTTAACCCTTCATTCGCAACACCCCATGGGTTGGACTTGACCTCTCCTGTCCTACGCTAGGAATTACTTTACAATAATCATTTAGAATAAGTTTTATAATGTTGAATTGCATCTATGTGTTTCTTCATTCCATGCCCTTTTAATATTCTGATCCATTTAACAACAAAACGGTGGTTCATCCATTTTATGTTTTTCTCACTGTAAGAAATATTTATCCAATTAACACTTTGGGACTGATTTTAGGATGCTAAAATGCGTTTCCTAATAAATTCTTCGTTGCTACGACCTCCCAACCTGATTTATTTTGCTTCACGCATCAAATCTTGCTCCTTTTGAGGAGCACCAATTCTGTTCAAAATTTGACAGTATATTCCTTAATTATAGTTTTTAACAAATGTAAGTAAATAAAGGAGAAAAACAAATGTTAAATGCAATAAACACAAGAATGATATAACTTGTCACTCGGCCTGAGATCATCCAAGCCAAAACAAGATAACTCATGAGTCCTGAAAATGTTAAGAATGTGACTTTTTGATTTAAGTAGTATAGGTTGAATGTGGTAAAATCTTGATTCACCGTTTCAGAAAGTTGAGCTTTATGTGTTAGGAAGCGAGTGTGAGGTGTTGTTTAAATAAGTGACAATTCATACTTGTTGAACAGTTGACATTTTTTTTAAATTTTTTATGATAAACCTTAATAGTGCCATTAGAGCTGTGTTGTTTGGTAAAAATAGGAAGGTAGGTTTATATTGCCACTTATAATTTTTCAACCACATCAGTACTCATTGAATGAATGTACTGTCTTTTTCAAATTCATGGACCTAACGTGTATCACTGGTTGTAACTTCTCCCATAGTATCAAAATATTACCCGAATTCCATACCTCAGTATCATATTGTCAAACTTAAAAAAGACACATTATGATTGTAAAATGATTCAAGTCATTCCTGTGAACTTAGCTTTCAACCTGATTCATGGGTTGGGTTTGTGGATGAAGGATCAGAACCAGTTTTCAACACTTTTATCAAATTATTCTCAAACAGTAGTCTTATGCTGCTCTCACACTGGAACCGACTACATCTGATTTTTGATCATCCGTATTCGACCATCATTACAAAAACTTTCCCAACCTAGGGATATAATCAACCCTCTCACACTGGAACCGACTACAACCGATTTTTAATCATCAGTTAGCTTGGATTTTGCATGCTTTCATTGTCAACAGCTGCCGGATTTAAATTTCTACCAGTGCTATAAAATAAAATTTAATATAAATTGTACATACATTAATTATTCATGAAAAAAATGCACACACAAAAAATGTACTCATTGTGTTTAGATCATCGCCCATTTTCAAGTGAATTCGCAGATTTCTGCGAAGCGAGGCCTAGTGCACCTTTTGATGTGAAGTTAATTGGATTATTTGTGACCTATCCATGGATGGACAAAAAAATAATTCTTTTAATTCAAGAAATGTTTTTAAATTATGTTTTAAAAATTGAAAAAATCATTCAAAATTTATGTGTACAAAGAAACAACCACTACCGAAGGACAAATAGCCCTGATAAGTCTGTTTCAATGTGATCGCTCACATCGGACGAGTAAGTTGTTGTGTTCTCACAGTCAGTTCCAGTGCAAGATAAGTCAAAGTTTGCTAGGATTTGAACCCGTAGCCACTAGTGTGGCAAATCACTAACGACTCTTTCTCTTTGGTCCCCTTAATATATTTACAGTTTGATGATTTTACACAACACGTAACATAATAATAAAATAAAAAGTGCATAAGGTAAAAAAAATCAATATTAATTTATTTAAAATAAGTTAAAAGTACATAAAACATTTTTTATTAAAAAAAAATGTTAGACCTATTACAAAGAAACATAAATATATAATTTGGAAAAAATCCATTTTTGACTTTTCATCATGGACATGTAAAAACAATTATAAAAAAAATTGAAACAATAAAACTTAGTATCTATGTTGTTAGGTAGGGGACTTAGGGAGGAAAGGTTGGCAAGATATTGCTGGCAGTAATATTCCTTCAGCACAGAGTCCGGTTTCTCCTTCAGGCAGCACAACAGAAAAGTCTTCGCTCCTGTATGAAACCATATCGAGCCCAACGCCTCAGAAGTATGTATGATCTTTTTTTTAATTTTTGAGTGTCAATTAACAAATTTACTTTTCTTGCAGTCTTCAGAAATCACATAATGATACATTAAAGACCGAATGGGATTCATGGAAGGATAAGGAATGCAGTACAAAATCTGCTAGAACCAATGAATGGGAATCGTCTCTCGAAGATGAAGCTTGGCACTCATTAAACAAAAGTTAAAAGTTTTAACAATTTATTTTTAATCGTTGAATTGTATTTTATTATTTATTACATCAGAGTAATTAAATGAAGTAAATAATTTTTAAATAGGTTTTTAAAGAAATGTCAAAAGTTATAAGGCAGTCAGATTTTTAAAAATATTATTTTTGTTAAGTTTATGCGTATTGATATTTTTACATTCCAGTTTATTTTGAATCGTACTGTTAAAAACATTAAATATTAGAACCAAATTAAAAGTTTAATTGTATGAAATTCAGAAGAAAAAAAATCATCAATGAAAACTAATTTATATACCTATTAAATGAAGCGAAACAATTAGAGCAAATATATCCATACAATTTTGATTTATTTGGTGCCCCTTGTCCCACACTAACTGATTCCATCACTTGAACCTAGATAATTTGAATTTCTTGGGGACAAATTTTAAAATTTTTGCAGAAAAAACACTTTTCTGGGTATTTAATTGTAAATACATATTTTTTAAGGCATGACTAGTCAAATTTAATAGAAGCATGACATACTTTTTAACTAGAAATGCTATTAATTAACATTATGGAGTCGATTTTTTTAGTTAATCTGACTGTAAAGGAACTTTTAAGCTATATTAAAAGAACCAACCTGCAGGTGGATTAAATCTGCTCATACTGGGATGACTATTGTTACTTCATTGGTCTGTCAAGTGTGCTTCAGCCTTTCACAATTTTCAGTCGTTAGTCTGTTTTACAACCCGATACATCACTATTAAAGAACTCACAAAACTACAGAAATTTGCTTGTTTGTATAACTAAAAGAATATGTCCCCAGCTAAAACGTAAATGGATAGATAATGAGTGTAATGGAGTCACCTGATAGTCATGGCCCCAATGACATGAGCAGGATGTTTGAATTCAAGCAAAATTAACAAACAAACCAAAGTATGGAAAAAAGGAAAGACTCCTATGTTGAGAACGGTACCGTATGCTGATACTTGAGTCTAGAGTGCAAGAAGGTCCTGGAATGGAATACTCAGAACCTTTGGAAAATTACACCAGTATCTTAGGCTGAAGTCCATGCAATACTCAGTTCAATCTGAAAAGGGGTATAAAATCAAGAATATAGCTGTCATGTCCAATAGCCAGGGAGCCAACTAAGCACTAAGTCCAAACATCATTAGCTCAAAGAGGGTGGTGAATTACAAAACTACCAAAAAAGTTTGTGCATTAATTAATTGGTGATTAAAAAGTTTCTATATTAATCCTTTATTTAATTACGTATACCAACTGACTCTGCCGTTCATTCCATTTTATAAATCTCACTGAAAATTTAGGAAGAAAAAATTGTTATTCTTGGTCTACTGAGGCACTACTGGAAAAAAGGACTAAGTGCGAAGGCAGCAACTGAGGAAATTTGTGCAGCGGAAGGAGAAAATATCGTGCATCGTAACACTGCAGCGTTTTGGTTCAGGCGGTTCAATTCTGGAAACAACGGCCTTCAAGATGAGACTAGATCTGGTCGCCCTTCGGTGGTGGATTACTGGAGTCAGTCAATAAGGATCCATATGCGATCACTCAAGGATTATTGTCCGAAACAGGGGTTTGAAATGCAACAGTAAGCTGCCATTTAAAAAAGCTTTATGTCTGAAATATAAGACCCAGATCCTCATGACTTGTCAGCCACCCAAGATGATAGAAAAAAAGATGAGAGATTTCGGAAGAGAATTGTAATGAGCAATGAAAAACGGATATTTTTAAAAAATCCTATCCACCGAAAACAGCTGGTACTGCCAAGAGATTCAAGTAGAGGTTCGCCAAGATCAATTTGGAAAAAAGATTATGCTTTGTGTTTTGTGGAATTATGAGGGTGTTTTGCATTTTGAGCTGGTTCCAGATGGCTCGGGTTAAAGCGATATTTCAGCAAGACAACACTCCTGCCCATCGTTCACGTTTAGCCAAAGAAAAATTTTCAGAAGGGTGTTAGCATCTTGCCCCACCCACCTTACATCCCTGACATCTCGCCGTCTGACTATGGTCTTTTCCAATGGCGCATTTTTTGAAAGGCCAGAGGATGTCAAATTAGGATGTGCGTTCTACGCCTTCGAAACCAAGGACTGGTAACACCACCAAATTCGACTTCTGGCAGAAAACTGGGTTAAAATAATTGACAATGATGGCCTATATTTTGAGTAATAATTTTCGTGTTTACATTTTACACTGAAATTGAAATAAAACTTAATTTATACACAAAGACTTTTGTAATGGCTAGTAAATAATATAAATTAGATATGCAAAATAAAGTTAATCTCCTCCACCCTTGAAAGGAAGAGGGCTGCTATGCTGATGATTCGGAAATACCTTCTGTGACATAGGGTTCACATTATCAATGATTACTTAGACAAAATGAAAAATAAAAAAGAGGAATTTTTTTATTACACATTGGATACAAAAACACCAAGAACCTTTTAGCAAGTTTGGAAGGAAAGAAGCAACTAAAGCGTTATACAAACCAGCAAAAAAAACTTTAAATCCTGATAGGATTCTTAATAGGACTGAACGAGAATTTAAAGAAGATTGGTATAATCCAACATGGCACAGATTCTTCAAGGAAGCAGAAGACTAACAAACTGTGGTGTTACATTTGCAGGAAAACGTGTTTTGGGATGTACAACGTAACCGTAGAAGAAATTCAACCATTGAAAAACCGGGCCTACTAATCCAATTTCTTGAGGAACTAGGACTCACAGGTGTGTTTTCATGGGCACATTATATTACTCAACTCAAATATTACATCTACTTACATTATTATTTTTTTAAATATACAGAATCTTAATATATCACAAACAATTCTAACCTCCAAAAAATTATTTATGATAAAAAAAGTAATAAAAAAGGATTGTAACAACAAATGACACTCTCCCTTATTAAAACATATTAAATAAAAACTAAATATAGAAGAAATGACAAGGAAAAACTGTAAACATCAACTGTTTTATTATTTTTAAAAAATCATTATAATTGTAAATAATACAAGGTTGGCATATCATTATACAGTTCAGGTATAAGATCATCCTCACAGATTATCTCTACTGTTTAATCTAACAAAAAATAATGTAAAAGAAGTAAAAACAAATTAATAAGTTAATTTTGATGTTAATTTGGCATTAGACTTAATTAGAATGTCTTCAAAAATCAATAGTGCTTCCTTCCTTTTTGTTTCTTTTTAGTCAATTTGTTGTACGCACTTTGCCATTTCTCAGCAGAGTTATCTTCACTGCCAGGAGGATGCAATCTCAGCTAATAATACAGAAAAAAAAAGAGTTAAATGATGCATTTTTTCGTTAAATTTGGTAAATTCAATCATTTAGCAAAAGGAAAGAAGGTATAAAAGCAAGTAAAAATAAAATTTGAAACATAGCAAACAAAAACAGAAAAGAAACATGCTGAATGACGAACATTGTAACACAAATTGTAAAAACAACATATTGAGATTTTCTATGCTGAATGACGAACATTGTAACACAAATTGTAAAAACAACATATTGAGATTTTCTATCTTAAAAAATAATTATTTAAAAGTTAAAAACTTTGGCCAAATTGAACACCTCCTCACCACACATATTAAATCTAACTTTTAATCACAGTGCAATCTTTTTTGTAGTGATTAATAAAAAAAATTAAAAAATACTCATTTTTGTTCACTTGGGCTAAAACAATTATTGGAACCAAACATTTAATTCCTATTTTGATCGCAGTCCATCAGGGTTTTTAGGATGTTTCTATTTGAAGGTATAACACAGAATATAAAAATCCATGCTTTTTCCTTTCAGTACATGCTGATAGAAAGCAGAAATTAGTTACAATCGAAATATGAAAATTAGTACAGATGGAAAAATCAAAGGTCGAAAGTTTAGTCACAATCGGGAAACATGAAAGAGAGAAAAATTTCATGGCCCATTTTTTCTACCTTATAATTTCTTCTTTTTGACCTCATCCTTAGGATCCTTGAGACGTTTCTGAAATGTTTTTAATAAACTATATATGTACTTATATAATATGTGTTTATGTTTATAAATACGTGTTTGCACATGTGTAAATACTAAATGAGCTCATACAAGATACACACACACACACACACACACACACACATGAAAAACTGGCATTATAAGCATGTACAGGATTAAGAATTGAGGGAATCGGGGAAAAATGGGGAATCTTGAGATAGAAAGGTCGACGTCTCAGAAGTCAGAGATTGAAGTCACGATGAATCAGGTCGTCAGAGCATCAGGGTACAGTTCCAAAGTGGGTTCGAATCCCATCTGTTTTTACCTCAAATTTTGTGTATAAAAATTAACTTAAATATAATCATGGAAAAATGTAAAAAAGATTTAAATGAAAAAGGTTTCGTGGAATGATTTCTGCTATGCACCTAACTCCTTATGGAATGCAGCATGTAAAATAAAGCAAGCCAGTTTAAAAAAATTTAAAAACTACGCATAATTCACACATACATCTATGGTCAAATGAGAGACAATATGGCTCAAATTTACAAAGTATGAAATATTAAAAAAATTACAGTGTTGAAATAACAATAAAAACCTTTTAAAAAGACTGCAATAAACAGCCATTTAAAATAATTCTCAATCACAAACCACACAATATAACAGCATGACTAGGGTTAAGGCATCAGTAGGTCATCATAGAAATTAAAATTCACTTGAATTATTAATAGTAGTACAAATAATATATGGAACGAGGTAAAAGAATGCAGTGATGCTAACATTTCTTCATAATTAATCTCTTAATTATCACAACTCGAATAGAAACTGACATAATTCATGTCACGCAATTCTTCACCTTTGTTGAAGGACTGTGGATGAAACAGAGAATCACTACGGCGATTGTGCTCGTAGAAGAGGTAGAAAACAGTAGAAATGTAAATTGAGGGGAAATAATGTTTACGTGATAAAGAATTCATGGTACAGAAGAACAAATTTGTCACTACATTTCCCAATACATTGCATGATGATAGAATGTAACAACAATGCAATACTGTTATTTATTTAATACTTCTGTTTCCTCATTAAAATGTCAGTTACTTGAAGCATAATAATTTTATTTAGATTTTTAAAAAAAGAAGCTAAAAATGTACTATGTATGTAGTTATAATTCTTTATTATGTTATTTTTATATATTTGTTTTTATAATTTCTAATCATTATAATTATATAGACAGAGTGTTTAATTAAATATTTATGTTGTTTTATTTATAAGGATTTTACTGTCTTTTTCATTGATGTATAATATAGTGTTTTATTCTTTATTAATGTTGAGTTAGTTATAAGCATTGTATTGTACATATTTAATTTTCTCTCTCAAATTTAATTACTGCAGTATTTTTTTAAGAAATGGGTTTTTGACCGGTAAAAAATAAAAATAAAATACCACTCAAAATAATTATGAACAATATTAAAAGACACAATAAACCGGTCATAAGTTCCGATCAGTTCAAACATGTATTAGCAATAATCGTGAATTCAAACTTTGTATACATGTGGGGAAAATTTATAAGTGTAAATTTGTAATCAATTAATATGGAACAAGTTATGTATAAGTGTAATTATGTATAAATTGTACATTTTATATATACAGTGAAAACACACACACACATCTGACCATTGTATTATTCATAATCCATGGAGGATATCATACCATAATCCTGTATTTTTCTTTACAGCCGAAATCAGATTCGTCAATATCCGCATAGCAGTCAGATTTGTATGAAGAGGGCAGGGGCTTTTTGCCATCAAATTCGCACAACTTCTTCAGCGGCCTGGCTCTCACTATCAATTTGTCGACATCTGGTAAGAAAAGTAAAAAAAAAAAATGATTAACCCAAAAGAAACAATTAGAGATTGTATTTTTTTTTTCTTTCAATAATCGTAATACCTGTGACTTTGTGTTGAGGACAGTAGAACACACCAGGGGTCTTTTTATCGTATACGATTGATTTCCTCATGTCATAGCCCAAGGCAGAAAAGACCTGTTAAAAATTAAAAAAAAAGTTTAAATATCTAGTGAAGTAACATAGTATTTACAAAAATATGATCTACTTACTACACTGGCGATTAAGCCAAGTAAAATCAATAATTTTTCAGTGCCTGAAACAAAAAATTCAAATTTTATAGGGATTTTTTAAATAATTTGTAATTTTCTATATTAAAATTTTACAGATAAAATTATTCTTTTTTTAAATTGAATATTTAATTTATTCCAATTTAAGAAATATAAGGACTAAAAATGCAGCATGATTTATCAGCATACTTTTATTTAGGGGGGAAATTTGTGCTTTATAATTTTAAGTTTTGTAAATGTTTTTCTTTAAAATAAACTAACGATATTGTAAGATAATTGAATTAAAAGAAGAATATTTAATTTCGAGTTTTTAACTATTTAGTAGCTTGATTGTTAAAACGGGAGGGGTTTAATTTTGCGATTCGAGAAAGCAAAATACGTTTCACCTTTCAGGAAATGAGTCGTAGGCGTTCAAATCACTAGATAACGATACAAAGATTTAATAAATGTATAAAGAAAAAGAACTGGATGTTTTTGAAATAACGTTTTGATTGTAACTTTTTTTAAAACAAAAATACGCCTTACCCATTGTTGAAGTAGTTGGGCCAATTATACACTGGCTAAGCAGAGAAAAGTGAAACGTGTGTCAAGGTGGACGGCCTCCATGGACCAGCGTGGAGGGGAACTCGAAGACCACCAATCCTACAAAGTTGACTCACAAAGTTCACTTCCTTATCCAACGCCTACGCTAATCCCCACCCTTTCAAGTTACATTCGTGGCGAATCTTATAATCCGTACTATTCATATTTTTTTCTCGAAAAATTATCCTATCGATAACTCCGTAAAACCTAACGATCTGGACGAATTCTGAATACAAGACAGTTAAATTTGCCAATGTATTTACCGCTAAGGAAAAGTTTTTGAAGTTATTCTTTTATTCCAATGATAATTTCCTCCCACTCGTAGTTAGAAGCACGTTGCACATTTTCAAAAATAGACATCTTTGATTTCAATCCTATATACGGCAGTAGTAAGGCCCGATTTCTCGTACGGTTCACTAATCTAGCATACCAAAGCTCAGTAATAACAAACCAAATATTAAACAGCATAGAAAATCTTGCAAACCTACGAGTCTCATGGGCAATGAAAACAACCCCGTCAATATCGCTAGAAACTATGCCAATTAGGTTCGAGAAACAAACAAATTGGACGGAAACTAAACACTTCGAGCACACAACAATAATCAATGAAATCAGACATCCATTCTTAGAACTGATTACATATCCCGGAAACACTTTACAACAACCAATAAAGTCTCAACTATAAAGGAGAGGAAGAATTCAATAGAACATCAGATACAATGATAAGGTATATAGATGGTTCCAAAACAGAAGATAGAACCGGATCGGGTGTTTTTTGATCAAGCTCAAAACATAAGCAATCAACCTCGTGCTTCGGTCTTTCAAGCTGAAATACATGCAATTCCTTAGAAAATCGTAAAAGAGGTAATACTGGCAAAAAAATCCTCATACGATCTAATAGCCAAGCAGATATTAAAGTATTGGCAAAATTAATCAGTGAATGGACCGAAAATCTCCAATATTTGGGAAAATACAATAACCTGTTGATACCAGGACACCAAGAATTGTGGGTAACGAAAAGGCAGACTGGCCAGACCATATATACCGCCCAGAACCTATTTTTCATGGATCCTAGAATCTTAGAAGTGCTAGACATAGTAAGCTTATGTTAAAACAACCCTCATCAAGACTGGCAAACTCACTGCTAGAGTTTGGAAGGGATAAACTCAGAAAAGTGTTCGGACTGAGAAAACATCCATAACATGATGACCCGATTTTTAGGTTGAGCAATGGAGGAGGAAGAAACACCCACCCGTGTCACCTAAGAATGCAAAGCGCTTAATGAGATATAACTTGGGCTTCACAGAAAACACAAAGAAAGAAATTGTAGCGATAACTCAATGACCTAGTACTTCTCAGGAGAAGTACCCAGTCAAGAGCAACTAGGATAGTACAATAAACCGGAAGGCTAGGGGAAAAAAACCCGGCTTCCTAGTATTCATATTCATCATGATCATTTCAATATTTATGTATTTTATATTTTACGCCAAAGCCGTATTTTCTTACGAGTAACGCCTAGAGTGTTCAATTCGGTGCTACCCCTCATCGCGGTCTTTGGTGATGTTAACGCACCAAAGACGTAAGAATCTTGTAAACACAAAATTTTTTCTTAGATATTGAGGTGTGTTAGGTGATGAAACTGTAGGTTGATTTAATGTTTCTGACCGATTCTTGCTTGTTTTCGACTCTCGTAATTTTAGGCGGTTTGTCAGGGAAATAAGCAGGGAGGGCAAGAAAAATATCCAGTACATCGTTAGTATTTCGTAAAGACAAAATCCGCGTAAGGCACAGCGCCCACGTGCAATTTTCCAAAATGCAACAACGTGCACTGTCAAAAAGTTTTCAAATTTCTTTTTACAAAGCTGGAAATTATCCCCCATTGATTAACCCTATTTCTAGACAGTTAATTAAAATTTGAAAGAAATGGAAAAAATCAAAATTTCACATTTATTTCTGAAAAATGACGGGAGACCGAAAATATATTTTTCCTATTCGATAGATAAAAAAATATTTATTGTCAAATTAATATTTAAAGATCGGGAGGTGCGGTCTAGTGTGACGTAGGTTTTAGAAAACATTTTCTTTATCATGCCAACGTTTCGATCTTTATTGAGATCATCTTCAGGGCCTGGGATTTATAAACATGGTTTGAATTTTACAAACAAATGTAGGATGTGGAGACAAAAAATTACGAGTTTATACAATACTAGAAAATTTTAGATGTAAAAAAATGAATTTATTCAATGCCAGAAAATTTTAGATAAAAAAAATTGAATTTATACAATGCTAGAAAATTTCTACCAGAAAAGATCTCCAAATAATCATTGGCCAACGGTCACTAAGCACCACAAATTAATATTTAAATAGCGACTGTGCTTCATTTATTTACAATGCTCCATAAAAAAAGATGGCACACTTTGAATTTTTTTTTAATATTTGACTTTGTTTTGGCCATATTTTTTGTTTTACTATTTTAAAAACGATTTAATAATTATAATTAGACAGTTTGTTAGTAGATTTGTCTTTGTACTGATTGTGAGGCAAAAGCATTTAATTCCTAATTTAAATTAAAATCTACACAATGTAAATCATCAAGGGCATTTTTAATCCTTTAAAAATGCCTTTATTCACTATTGTTTTGGTGGCACAACACAAAACAATTACAAAACATAATCAGCGGACAAGTTGCTGAGTGATGAGCCATCACACCTGAGGATGGAAGAAATCAATGTTAGGGTGCAAGAATTTTAAATTTGCCTAAAACAACAGCTGTCGGGCATTCAGTGGTACCAGGAGATTGCAAGGTGCACTTGTAGACCACAATCGGAACACCCAAGAGCCAGAGGATCAGCTGATGATTGATTTATGTGATTTCACACTCTAAAACTTTTCCATTGTTTGTGAAACGTCTCAAAAACTTCGAACAGAGCAGGGTGTGTCTGTTTCTGTGAAACTAAGAAAGAGAGTTGCGGAAGTGAGTCTACATCCCAGAAGGCAAACGATGGGTTCAACACTTACCAGAGATCATTGTCAGGACTGCTTAGAGTTTGCAAGGGTCACTGACATTGGACAGAAACAGTAATGAAGGAATGTTGTTTTCAGACAAGTCCATTTTCTTTTCATTAAATCTTCGATCAAGCAGTTGTAGAGCTTTACAGCCAATGCAACATTGCCGGAAGAGGGTCATTCAGAAGTGGTTCAGTTACGGTGTGGAGTGGAATTTTTGGAGGCAAAAACAGAGTTACTCTTTTTTAATAGGCCGTCATTTAATGCAGAAATCCAAGTAATATGTTGTGCCATTTGCTTCTATTGTTGGCAAACAATTTTTGTTTATGCAAGATAACGCAAGACCAACTGTTGCCACCAGTGTTACGCTGTACCTTCGATGAATATTTACGCTCTAAGAAGTATCGAGTACTTTTGGGACAAGCTTAGATGTGGGGTGAAACGAATTAATAACCCTCTTATGACCTTAGCCGAGGGGAAAGTTATGTTAGTTGGGATGGTTAAAGCTTTAATTATAAGTATGCTGAGAAGATTAAAGTGTGTAATAAGAGAGGAAGTTCGTTTTATAATACTTTATGTTTTTGAGAGATATTTTTATTTTCACACTAACCCATCTTTTAATAAATACCTGAATTATAAAAAATAACGGTGTTAATATTACTGTAAAGGCAAATACATAAAAAAAAGGAAGTTTATTGTTTGTGTCCATGAGTCAAGGAATTGGACTAAATTTTAAATGTGTACTGTAATTATATTTTGTAAATAATATTTTTTATATGGCATTACACTGTGTGACCTGGAAATTTAGCAAATTGATTAATTGTGGACAGTCAATCATATTATTTAAGAGTTTGTAAGTAAATATCAGGTCAGTATTTTGACTTTTTGTGTTTAGGGTTACATTTCTGCGGATTTCATAAGTTCATAAGGTTTATCTAAATATGTTATAGTAATTCTAAACCAGAGAGTCTTCTACTGAATTTTTCTTCTTTTTAGTATTATAATTTTTAGTATTTTCTAATGTGGTGACCAAATAACTGAACCATATGTAGTATTTAGTGTCCGTTAATGATTATTCAGAGATCATAAGCTAAGAAGATTCTGAAGTAAATCGCTACCACTGAAAAGAAACTAGCATCTACGATCAATCAGAGAACCTTTTTATTAAAATGCAGGCAAAACAAGGCCCTGTAGATGTTCTAAATAAAGACCAAAATGTTGGCACAATAAAGAAAATGTTTTTCTAAACCTATATCACATAAGACCACATCTCATGATCTACTGAACAGTATTCTAAAATGGGACGGACCATAGCCTTCAACAGTAGCTTCTGCATCATTAAATGTTTTTGTAATTCTATGTCCGTAACCTAAAACTGGATTAGCCTTATTAATTATTGAAGTTCAATGAAAGTTAAATGTCATGTTGTTTACCTGTCCGATTGGTATAGTGTAATAGTAAAAGACAAGACTATAACTAACGACTTACATTTACATTTTTTTTGCAAAAGCTCAGCATCATGAATGGATTTCACAAGCTGATATCTCTCTTGCAAGTAGGAACAAAACCAGTTGAGGAAAGAACCATTCCAGAGACGAGTTTTTGGATAATACGACAATGGTCAACTTTATCAAATGCCTTGATAAAATCTAAGTATATTATATCAACCTGTGGTTGTGTAGTCTTGAAAAAGAGATGATCATTTATCAAAATAGGGATCTTGCCTTGGCAAGAATAACGTCCCTAAGTTGAGCTTTGTTTTATATTAATTCATTACTTATTGTAGGGATCAATCATACAAATTATAATATAAATTGTGATTAATAGGTTTTCCCTTTACTATTTAATAAGATATTTTTTTCTTCTTCTTCCATCTTTACTCTAAGATAGAAAATGAAGCTAACTCACGAAAGTCCATCTTGGAACTGGTTGAAAAGAACCCATTGAGAGTTGTAAGGGTGATGGAAGTTCTTTAACTTGCGTAAAATGTTTTCAGGCTCAGTCCGTAATAATTAAACAATTTAATGGGGTGGCTTCTCTAAATCCTATGTAATTTATATTACTGCATTTTTTTTCCATGCAGGGTTAAAACAATCTCGTCCTGGCATCGTCGAAACAAGCAGTATCGGCATAAAATAAGCAGAGACTGAAAAAATAACATAATGATCAATTTATGCTCCAATATTTTAGAAATGAGACATTAATAATGAAATAAGAGGGCTTAAATATTATTGGACTGATTCATTAAAAAAATTAATTTATTAATTTAAAAAAAAATACCTTCTGCTCTCTCAAATCAAATTTGTGTATGGGCTTATGTGTTTCCACATCAACAACACGAGATGACAGTTGGTTTTAGTGAGAAATGCAAAATATTGCTGTAGAGTTGATGTCTTCCTTTCACCTTTGATAGTCATAGTAGTTTCTACAAAAGAATTATATGCATTATATTGTCAATTTTATTGTTTTTACATATTGACCTTTAAATGTCCAATTATTCTTTGGCTGTTGTGGACAAGCGATGAAACCACTTTATTTTCATCATATAATTCTCAAATAAAAAGCTCTGTTTGGAAAATTTGAGTCTGACGCTCCAGCTCCTTGGCCACTGTATCCTTCATTTATATTTCGAAAACAAGTAAATTTTCCGTTCTTGAATGAAATTATCCTGAAAGACTGAAGCTTTTGCATTTGTTTGGCACAGCTAGCAAGGCCTCTTTTTTGTTTAACTCTTTTCAATTTTGAATCAACTCTCAGGATCGAGCATTTCTAGATTCTAGATTGCAAAATCGCAATTTGGAAAGTTTTATTTTTAAGGTCAACTGGTTTGGACCAGCTCGAAGATACTTCCAAGTTTATTTTTAATCATCAAATGTACGATTTTCGTGTCTTTTTCTCTTCTTTTTTAAATGAAAATATTCTATTTCTTTCATATCTTTCATAAAGTTTTCCAAACTTCCTTTTTTCTTACAAATTTTTTTTATTTTATTAATTTTCTTTTTTCATTAAGTGGAAAATAATTTTGGTATAATAATGTGAACATGTTAAAAAAAATATATGGTTATTAAACTATATTTTAGATGACAATTTTAGAATTTCAAATATGAATTTTCATCCCGGCCATTGGGATACTAACTGGCCACTTTTCTACCATTAAGTTTAATCCATCTTTTATGCTGAAGTATTTTATCCTTTAGTCAATTATATATTTTAAAAAAAAAAGTAGAACATAAAATGGAGTTAGACGACAATAATAGATTTTATTATCAAGAAATAAATTACCTGTGTTTTATTGTTTATATATAATACACTAAAAAAAAGAATAAAATTGTCATACAAAAAATATGTACACACAAATTAAATATGTACATATTAAAAACAATAATTTCTGGTCATTTTGTTGGTATATCAATTACACAGTAACAATAGAGGACAAACACACATACATGTACTTTGAGCCTTGATTGGAAGTATGATTGCTATCTCCATACTAGAAATTAAATTAACTCATTTAAATTTTGTGATGAGATCTTCCAATCATTGTCTTTTATTTATACACATTTTTGTTTCATTTATTTATAAACCTCAAGAAGAACTAATGTATAAACAACTTTAGACTATTTACAAGAAAGAAAGTAGGCATTTTACCAAAACTTAAAATTGTAACAATTAAAAAATTACTTTTAATCACTTTTTTACAAAATTAAATGGATAGATAATATAAGGGAAAATAAATGTTTCATCATTTGAAAACAAAACGTGGGGTTGGCGGCTGTTGAAACCTAAGATCAACATCACCCACATTGAACATACTAGGGTTCCTTAAATCAGAGTCACCCCTTTGTTGGTGGAAAAATTGCGGTTGTATGGGCAATTCTTGTCCGAATCTTAGTGCTGGAGGCGGATGGTGTTGAGGGATCACAGAAGGCGGTGGTTGAGGTTGCAAATTTTTCCGTCTAGGATCATTCGCTAAAGCCCTCTGCCGTGGATCCCTGCTTTGAACCGGAGGATGTGCCGGCTGCGGAGGAGCATGACTGGTGTCTACGTTGTACATCGGCTGTCCTACCATCATAAATGGGTTTACGATACCGGAAGGTGCACTCGACACTGGCTTCAAAGGTTGAGGCTGCACTCCAGTCATTTTCAGCCTTGGATCTCCAGCACACTAGAAACACAATTTATTATTTATCTCATTATTCATGTTATATTAAATTTATTTCACAAACTGTCAAATATCAACATTACATATATTATGTATTACATGTTAGTGTATGTAATGTAAAACTATCAAATTTAAGCAAATTAAGTGGAAAAATATGCTGAAAAGTTGAACATCAGTGTTTGTATTTTCCTCAGATTGCATATTTTGCTATGTTCTGAAGTTTAAATAATCTTACACTTTACATAAAAATTATAAATCAATTTATATCGTTACTTTGGTTAACTAGGGCCGACTAAAAAACATATGGATTAGTTTAAATAATGTAATTTAATTTAATTTAAAAATAAACCCAATTTCGAAGAGTTTCAAGAAACCCCAAACTGAAAATTTTTACAACCCAAGAAGAAAAGAATTAGGGTTAAAATTAGTTGTTAAGCGTCAATTTGTTCAACAGAATTTCAGTTTTCTACATGTAAAAGTATATGCTTATAAAAGTAAATGTTCATTTAACTGAGAATGAAAATTAAATAAATGCCTACTTTAGCTTGAACTCCATTATAGTCGGGTTTAGGCTGCTGTGGAAAGGGCTTTAAAACATAATTTATTATCATGTGGGATTTGATTGAAGCATCTATCTCATTCGCTGCCTGATGAACTGGTGCGGGTTTAAAAGGCAACTGCCGCAAATCAATGTCTAAGTTCGAAGGAGGTGCCAAGTCAGTCATCGGAATACCGACCCTCAAATCGACATCACCAGGGTGTAAAGTGGAGTTTCCAGGAGCGACTGGTTGGCTCGCCTTGTCTTCACTTACTGTGGCGGCGGCGTGGTTCGCCTTTTGTAACCGTGGATCTCTTACCCTTCTGAATATTAAAGAAAAATAATGATTTAGTTTAAAATTATGATTTATTTTGTAAAGCCTTCATTCCTCACCGTTTCTCCTCAGGCTTTTCATTACTCTTCATTTTGTTTTCTTTATTTTGGTTCATTTCCTCTTGCTGAGCCCCTTTCTGTTTTATCGTCTCCAGCAATTTTGAAACTTCGTTTATGTCTATATCAGGAAGACTCTAAAACATTAAAAAAGGTTATATTGGGACAGGGTAAGCCAGTTATTATCATTCTTCAATCGTAAATTAATACAAGGAGTATTTAAAAACAAAAATATCTATATAAAACATTTTTAAAACAATAATTTTTTATGTGAAATACCCTTTACCTTAACAAATCTATCTTGTTTATAAGGTGGGAGTAAAAAAGTTAGTAATGAGACAATGTATTGGCTGAAAAGCATGCATTTTTAAGCCTTAAATATTTTTAAACCTCCAGCAAACTTATAATCCTTCTTTTTGCAGCTTGATGTCACCTAGATATCTCTCGGGCAACTGTCGCTCTACCTTCACCCCAATGTGCCAATTTTTATCTCGTGTAACCATTTCTAGCCCTTCATAAAGTGACCATAAGCCTATGCACCCACAGGTGAATGTTGAACTAACTTTGCTTTCTTCATAAAATTATTGTAACATGGCTAATACTTGAAAGACCTATCCCAAAGAGATCGTTTGTACAAGAGTTAGAAGGAGATGGAGACACCTGGGCCAATGGGTGCTGCCAAAAGGGACAAAAGCAAGATATATTTTTCAGGTTCTTTTCTCTAAAAATTATTGAAAAAAATTTTTTTTTATCGAAAAGAAAGATGTCAACATTTGGAAAAAGAAAAAATATGATCTAGGCTCTGAATTCAAGACAAGATATTTCAAAACTACAAAAAGGGCTGAAATATTGATGCTTGTAGGACCTTTATCCTTCCTTGTTTATTATTAAACTATTTCGATTTTTTTAAATCTTTATACTCAAAAGTACAAGACCATTCTGTAATTTCAAAGGTAATTTCAAAATATTTACACAATGCATTGAGATCCTAAAGGGCAATAACAAAATGCTAGTTTTTTTGTTTTTGTAATGTAACAAAGGTAATATGCAAATTTTTTAGTGAACTTTTTAGCAAGTTAGTTTTTAGCAGCATAGTTAGAAACGAGAGTTAAAAAGTTTTAAAAGGTTAAAAGCACAAAATTATATACAGTCAGCTCTTATTAATTCAAAACTTGGTCATTTGAATTTCTCAATAATACAAACTACTCGGCAGGTCACTTTGGTAAATCCAAAAAATGCTGTGTATTTTCATGCACGCAGAAATACGAAATAATTTTTGTAACAGGGCGGGAGAGAGTATTGGAGCCACTTCCCTCTTTTTAAATTGCACTTTTGCCTTATGATCTTCCTCTAAATTTACATGTATAGTTTACTTCCTCGCAGCTTCAAGTTCCCTTGATTTTTTTTCTAGTTTGTTGTGTCAAGTAGACAGTGTTTTGTCATGTGTTCTCAGCACTAGTCACTTTGAAAAATCATTAAGACAAAGGACGCCAGGCCACATTGGAACAAAATCCGCTTCATGATTTTTTTTTATGTATATATTGCATAAGAAGGTTCAATTTTACAGTTGATCTATTTCCAGTTTTTTATTATTTTTACGATGTTTTAAGAAATTTAAAAAATTCATATCAACTCTTAATAATTCAATTATTTTTGTGGCTCGTTCGGTTTCAAAGTTTTATATGCATTACAACAAATAAAAAATAACCACTAGTTAACTTAATGTGTAATTTATACATCAACTTGTAATTTTAAATTTTCAAGTTCATTTTATTCAATACCAAAGAAATAGTTATTTAGTTAATTTAATTTCTACGTGGGTATTGTTATATAAATCGTATATTATATCTTATCTAATAGATAATTGTACTGACTATTTATTTTGTATATTTACCTTTGGCATAGCTGGCAAATTGCCTTTTAATTCATTATTATGCTCCGTCGCATAAGATTTTGGTTTAATTGTTTTTAAAATAGTGGAGAGAGGATTTCCTTCATCATCTGACGAATACCAATCTTCTTCTTTATACTCATCATCTTTGTTTGTTGGTTGTTCTTCTCCTCCCTGTAATAACGTAATGTTGTAACTAAATAAAATAACCTTCAGGGGGAAAAAATTAAAATAAATTACCTTCATAGAACTGTTTTGCCTGTGCTGTTGTTGTTGTATTCTCATAAATAACTCTCGTTGTTTCTGAGGCAATGATGATGGCACATCCTCTACAGAAGGTTGATTAGAAAGTTGATCTGCTAAATTATTATTTAAATTGTAAAGTTTTAAAAACAAATTAAAATTAACCATTTTATTTGATTCAAAATAATTGAATGGCTGATGTAAATTTACTTTTATAATTTAAAAAAAATTTAAAAAAATAAAAAATAGAGTGATGAAATTATATACATATGTAGTTATAAAGTAATTGTAAAGTATTACTGCTAAATTAGAAAATGTCCATACCTTCAGTTTTGTTTTCGGATAGTGGTGATGAAGGTTTAGCAGGTGTAGTACTTTCATCTTTTTCAGTTGAAAAATGATCCCTTAAAACAATATTTATATTATTTTTAACCAATAAAGACCAATCAATATGCAGTAAGTAAATTACCTATCATTAGCATTATCTGAAGGTGAAGGCATTGGTGTTGTATTGGCATCTAAGAATAATTTACCATTATTATTAATAATGAAAAAAAGAATAACAATAAAAATAAACTTATTAAAACTACTATTTTGCATTTAGCTTTTCGCAAATATAGACTAATCTAACCAGAAAATGACATTGTAAAGAGTTTACCATCTTCACCGGATTGTTCATCTTGTCGGTTTTGCTTAGGATAATTGTGAGGTGCTTGAGATCGATCTCTTTTCCTCTCTCTATCGTCCAAACGGTTGTGCTGGCCGTGGTTCATGTTGTTTTGATTCCTATTATTTCTTCCAGCCTGCGGTTCAAAGAAATTCCCTCCTAATTGGTCGAACGGCCCACCGTTCGGGCCGTCCATCCCGTAATCTTCCTCTTGATCTTCCTGATTGTGAAAATCTAGGAAGTCTGGCGAACCTCTCCCTGGCGACCGAGTCTCAAGCTGGAGAAGGAAATGCTTATCACTTTCAGTTTGGTTGTGCTACAGAAAAACAAAAAAACAGAACAGTTGAAAATTTTTTGTTCTTCACAATATTACATTGACAGAAAAATATGCTGCCAAGCATCCATGCAAGAAAAGGTATGCGTTTGTTTTCTTAGATATCCATCATAAAATATAAAAGGAGACCAATTATATTTTTTCTTCAATTATTACTATTCATCTGAATGTTGACAAAGTTTTAGTGAATTTAATTTTTAAAAGTGATGTAGACAAAATTTATTTTTCCTTTTTTTAACCTTTTGAACACAAAATGCACAATAAACTAAACAAAATAAATATAAAGAAGTCTTTTTTTAATATCTAAATAAAATTAGTTGTTTTTTTTTATTAATATAAGTAAAAACTTCAGATACACCAAAATATTTGTCCCATAGAATATGGGCTTTAATTTTTTTATCCCTTTTTTCTAGAGTACTTAATAAAGGATTGTAGCAGGCTGAATAAAATGTTAAGTTGTAAATACAAACCTTGACTAGCATTTGTTTAACAAAATTCGAAACTGGGTAGTGTGAAAACTTGCACCTCTTCCCAGCATAGCATTTAAGTCCGAGGTGGTGGAACTTGCAAGGGAAATCGCCATGCATGTACATACACTTGTCCTTTTTTGTACAACAGTCATTCATGTAGAACTTGCAGAGCTCGAATTTTCGGTTTGAATGAGTCTGGTGGGAAAATGTACAATCAGTACCCTAAAAATGTAATGTAAAAATAGGAATTACACAACAACATTTATTCAATTTTGTAGGAGTTATAATCGCCAAATTCCAAACGCCCTGGACACCATGTCATGCACTTATTTTTATTTCCTTTAAAAGCTCACCCTATGGCACTTTCCCTGGAGAAAGAATTTGCACATATTGTCTCCTCCGCCACTGCCACCAACTCCTCCTCCTCTTCTATGAGGACCACCGGCATTTCCCGGTCCTCCACCACCGCAGCCCCTTCTTCCACCCCGGTTGTTCCTCATTCTTCTCTGCCTCCCGGAGAAATCTCTTATCCCTCTTCCGCCTCTCCTCGTCGGTCCGCACATCTCCTCATCTTCTTCGTCTAAAATATAACCATCTAAACAGACCGGAATTCTGAGTGGAAAATGCTCATCGCTACTTATAAAACTAAAAGACTTTAATGGTAAGTTCATTTTTCATTATACCAAAAATTTAGTTACGTACCTGACTTTTCATATCTGTTTTCCCAATTTGGAGAGTTACCACTTCTAAGAAGAGAATCCTCATCCTCAAGAAGAACATCCTTGTCCCTCTGCACGAGTTTTTCATCATTATTTCGTCTTTTCTTCTAAAATTAAAACATCACCATCTTAATCAATTTCAAATTTAAAAGGCAAAACATTTAACTGTTTTCCAATCTTTTAATATACTTAATCACATTTGTATGACATAAACAACCTTTGCAATTTCATTAATGTAAATTGTGCCAATATGAAAAAGGTAGTTTTGTTGTAATTAACTTTGCTAGCAAGATAATAAAATTTCTTGATTTAATACAGCAGAAACTACTAGAAAACAATTACTCTATTCTATTTTCTAATTATGTAAAACATATTGTAAAAATACCTATCATATTTTTATATAATTTTTTATCCGTTTATGGCAAGTAGATACATATTTATTGTAACCTAAAGATTGGTTTATATATAAAAATAATAAAATAAAAAATGTAACATTTGTATCTCTATCTTTTTTTTTAGAGTATGACTAATTAAAATCCGATATAGCAGAGGGATGTTGTGGGCCTCAGCTTTAATTCTCTGTTTAGGAAGTTGTTGATGTCAGGTATGATGAACCTAGAAAAAAAGGATACTAGGAAGCAGCGGGGTTTGCACTCCCCAGGCCTTCTGGCTTATTGTACCTTCATGATGAACCTAGGTTAATTAATAAAGGTATATGAACCTCTTAAACAGAGTATTTGTACAAGTGTTTCTGAGAGTAAATAAAATTTGCTTTTATGTGTATTTGCTTAAATTAAATGTGGATATATCGTTTTGTAGAAATATGACACATTACTTTGCATATTTGCACAATTCAGTAAATTAGGTCTATTATAAATATATCTTGTAATAAAAAATTAAACATGTAGCATGACTGTGTCAAACCAATAAAGAAAAAAAAAATCGGACCCTTTGTTGAAAGAGACGGTCATCATCTCTATTCCTTTTGCCTCTCCTGTTTTTCTGTTGTTGGCGTTTCCTGTCCATCATGTTTGGCGAAGAGATTCGCCTCTTCGGATGTGGGGAAACCACTTGTAAAAGAGGTTCATCTTTAAGCAACGGTCGGATTTGAGACTGTTGCGTTGGTGGTTGTGGTAAAGGCACAGTCTGGTCATCATCATCATCAAAAATTTCGCCATCTTCAAGATCCTCATCGTTAGTCCCACTGCAAAAAATTATTTTAAACGATCACAACCAAATGGTTTCTGTCTTGTTTTTACATTTTTTCTTTCTTTTAACAAATCAATTTAACATTTATGCCCCTAATACTTTCTTTGTTTTTAAAAAAAGTAATAGGTTTTCTTTTTTATGTGCAAATCCTCTGGCTTCTTTTTTGGACATTTAACCTCTTTCTTTTTATAACTTGTAACTTTTGGAAGAGTTTTCTTTTACCAGCTTATTTGGAGTCGGTTTTTAACGAGTTGTTATTAAACTGGTAAATGATGAGAGAGGACATCTGTTTCAAGTGTTACAAAATAGATAAACAACTTTCAAAAACTGTCTAACATTAATAATTACTCCCTCCAATAACAATGATTGTGAGCCGTGTACAACGCGACTGAATTTTCTCAAAGAAAGAAAAAATGTCGAAACAACTCTTTCTTCTACTGAATGAATCCTCACTACTTTCTTTCAAAGGTTTAAACAATCATTTCCTACTTTAAAATCATTGTTTTGGCGATACTCCTATTTTTCTCAAACCCAATTCAACTGGTTTTTGTTTTTCAAAATATTCCACTGCTTCTTTTTCTTACATAAAAGGGGATTGAAATTCCTCTATAATTAATATCCTACAAGGCTAATTAAAGTTATCAATATGACAAGACCGACAACTGATAATTCCACTTTTTGTTATTTTCTATGCCACATGGATTTTGAGTTTTTGTATTTTTAATTTAAATATGAAGTTCATTTGTATTGTTTCATCGTTTTTTGAAAAGATCAACTTTTATCGTTAAAATATAATTTTTTCGTAGTACTACGACTGCCAGGTAAAGACGGTCTACTCTGGGAGTACTATGTAATAACCAACGATACTTATAGATTTTAGTTATGCATAAATACCACATGTGTTTAAAAAAATGATTTTTTTAATCAGTTTTTTTTAAATGATCCAATACAGTTTTTACATGTTAAAATTATACAAAAAGGCAACAAATTTTATCTGCAGCCTCTCAGAATTTCTATCTTTTTTTTTAATTTCCTCACCCACCTATTGCGCATTCCTATTCCTTCTGCTTCGCCCTTCTACCTAAATTTTCAATAATACTAAAGCGTATTATATTCAAAAATGTTTTCCCTTTTTTACTAGATTTCCCAAAATCTAGGGTTATCGGGATTTGAATTTCGACGGAAGTGTGCTACTTAAGCCACCTGTTTCGGTATTCGATGCAGGACGTAGGACGGTCATGAACGATGAACGAGACGAGAGGATGCCAAAGTAAAAGGACGTCAGGCGATGAGTCAATGAATTGTCGCGGGTGGGGTGCGGGTGCGGCTAAGTGCAAAGTCGACGCAACGCCAATTCCCCCTTCTGGAGGGGAGAGGTCGTCGGATCCCAGAAACGGAAAATACCGAAATAGCACGATACGCTATCGACTACCTCTCCACTTAGCTAAATGGAAATAAGATATGATAATTTGCCTGATCTGGCAGTAACTATCCCGTGTCTGACATGTCAGCAAACGTTTGACTTGTACAATTCTGAAATAATCTGTATTATCAATTCATTAACATCAAAAATAACACAATTTCAAATATTAATTGATCAATCAAAGTCAATCATCAATCTCAGCCTAACTCGAGATGAAAGAGAAAAACTTTTAAAAATATTTAACCTTAAATAATCTTTATTTTAGTAACGTTATTTTTTCTTTATTGCTTATATTATGAACAATATGAAATATTTTTATATCTATATTTTTACATACATTATTTCTGATCGATAAAATTGTTATTTAAAATTCAGTATTAATAATTCAACTAGTTTTAATGCAATAAAAAAAGAACTAGAAAGAAACATATCCAAATATGTTTGTATCCATATCCAAAATGTAATAAAGAAAGACGGTCTAGAAGGGAAAAGGTCATACTGGGTTGCGCATAGGTCACACCGAGAGTACACATGGTCAACTTATAAAAGGGTGAGAACACGTTGGTGCACACAATTATTACTAAGTGTGCAAAGAAAGAAGTATGATGAAACGAAGGTATTTATTAGCGCGACTAGACAGGCATATCCCAATTTCCCTGAGAATATCGAGTACTCTGGGGTGGTATGAAAGAAGCCCGTTGTCTGAATGTAATTTATTAGCGCGAATGGAGAGGCATATACCCCAATTTCCTCGTTACAGGAAACTGTTTATACTTTGTTTAATATTTAGTGACCGTTGATTAATGATTATTTAGAGATCGTGAGATGCGTCTGTTGATGTAGGTTTAGAAAAACATCTCACGATCTCTAAATAATCTTAAATATAAATGAATGGTGAATGTAATTTGTTGGCGAGAATGGAGAGGCATATCTCCCAATTTCCCCGCAACAGGAAATTGGTTTATACTTTAATGTAATATTTATATTCAAAACGATTAAATGTAAAAAAAAACCTAGTTATTAAATCTTATTAATATTTGACAAGCCAAAAATTAAAAGCCCTCTGTATGTTAATTAGCTCTACTACTTAAGAAAAAAATCTTGAGGTGTCAATTATCTATCTGATGAGATATTTTATTGTCCTATCCTAGGATATTTGAACGAACGAAGGGATTTAATTACTTTTTAAGTAAAAGATCTCCTTTTCCATTCCGAAAAAAATTTAAAAACGGCAATTTCAAAATTTTCTTATAGGATTAAGAAAATTTGAAACAAACATTTCTCATTCGCTTTGCAATAAATAATACTAAGCTAATATTAAATCGAAAATTATTCAGAAATCGTGAGATGCGGTCTGGTGTGATGTAGGTTTCAGAAAAACATTTTCTTTATCGTGCCAACGTTTCGATCTTTATTGAGATCATCTTCAGGGCTCAGTGTTTGTGTAATTGTAAGTGTGTTGTGTAATTGTGCCATTCTTACGTGTCGTGTTGAGAGGGCACGTAAACAATGTTTGTAAATCCCAGGCCCTGAAGATGATCTCAATAAAGATCGAAACGTTGGCACGATAAAGAAAATGTTTTTCTGAAACCTACATCACACCAGACCGCATTTCACGATTTCTGAATAATTATCGATTAACGGTCACTAATCTCCACACGTTAAATCGAAATTTGTTAAGTTTCGTTATGGTTCGTTTTTAGTAAAAAGTATGGATTCATCATCATTATATTTGGCTGACGTTAAGCAGATTGACGACTAAAAAAACAAACACAAATTTATTTTCTATTTTGAAATTGTAATCAATGAATTGTTATGGAATAGATATGGGTTTCTTTTGGTGGAAATGGAAAACAACCGGGTTGTTTTTCTTTTTGTGTTTGATATTCCACCCAAAAGAAACGTACACGTGCCACGACCACAGGTAAAAGAAGGAAAAATACATTATGGAATATTTCTGTGGTTCCATAGAAAACTTGGTTTCCTATGTTACGAATTTGGGCTTAAACCATTTTTCACTGCAGGCACAGATTTCATTCCGTATTTTTAAATAAATTGCGTTTTTGAATGCTTTTATTAACAATTAATTAAGGTTTTTAGTTTAGATAAAAAAGTCAATGGCAAGAGCGGGATTCGAACCCACGATCTTCGGCTAGATACGTCGCTGTTCTCCCACTTGAGCTATCGTGACCTCGATCCACTCGGACACTAATTTCCTATTTCAACCCCACCTTTTGAGTTTTCCCTCCTTTTTGCCATTTTTTCAACGTTTGCCGTTTTTATTAACGTCTCGGGTACGTCAAATTGGAAATGATGAAGAACCAGTTTAGGACCTACAATTTTGCAACTGATGAAGAAATTCTGACAGAATTTCACGTAACGTGACACTGTTAAAAATAAATGAAAAAGAAAAACTATTAACTTATGTAATCAATTGTTAATTAAAGGAAATTCGATAGCCGGCATGTTTTGTAATAACGTATAAAACATGTTTTACACGGTTATACTACATACTTCAAAAATGGAGATAAAACGCAATTATTTAACTAAACTTAAAAATAATATAGAAAAGACCTAAAAAAGAAAACCTTTCTGGAAAAATTAATTAAAATTGCAGAAAGACGATTTCTTTTTATTTATTGATTGATATTTATCCCATTTCTTCCATCATTCATAAAATGGATACTGAACACATTTCTTATTCATAAATATTAATAATTAATCCATTCGTTTTCTTTTTAAACCAATTTTTTTGTTTTTAAAATAAACCATAATTAATACTAATAAGGATAGAAACAACAATTTCAGTGGTAACGTTGATTATGTTTATTTAAATTCTTTCGGGGCCGTTTTGGGGGATTATTTTCCTACTTTCAGATTTTTCATTTTTATTTATTTATTTGTCGATTATATTATCAAACAAGATATTCATATATTAAACTAAGCAAGCATACAAAATAAAACGTTTACTTAGTGTAAATCATACAAAAATAAATTTACAACTGAAATTGTTGTTTCAAACCTTATTAATTTGAATTAATTTTTTATTATTTAATTAGGATTCATTTGTCTAGTGATTGTGAGTTCATTTTATAATTTAAACTTAAACAGTTCGAGTAAATTTGTCATAATGATTTTGAATGCCAAACGTTTCGTTTTGAACGTGTTTAATTTTTATCCACTTAAATTTATCTTATCTTTTAGAAAGTCAGATCCGCCCGATTCGATGATGCTATCCGTGTTATTTACATATTTTGTCATGTTGTCCTGTAATAACGAACAGTAAATTCTTGAAAAAAAAATCAATCTTCTTATTTGTTTATGATTGTTTAATAACTATTTATACGAAGAATTTCAGATATTGACAACTTTATGTAAACAGATTTTTTTAAAATGACGCAGTGATTTCAAATTCACCTTAGATCTCTGTGGCAACTGTTAAAGTTATAATTTTTTTTTTCATTCAAAAATAACAACTCATTTATTACTTATATAATCACCTTTTTTTCAATATAAACGGCATTCAAGATCTTGCTTTAGAAATTTAAGGCTTATGCAATATAAACAAAGTTCAGCCTTGGTCATTGACTTTTCTTTATGGACATGGTTTTATTTTTATGTTGGAATTTTATCATACGTATAAGTAGATATTATTTTTATTTTATTATTTTAAAATTAGCCTTATTAATTGTTATATTTCCATTTTTTTCTTAATTGACGTTCAAACTTGCCAATTGATTTGAAATATACCTCCCCTCATCTTCACTTGTAAAATACAGACAAATTTTCAATTCTGTTTCTCTTCTCGTTTACGAGGTCGTGGCGCCCACAGCAGAAAATTACCGTTTTCTAAATTCACACCAAAAACGCAGCTTAGGTACCATCCAACAGGTGTTTTTTTGGTGAGAACGCATCGAGTTCTTTCGAATACGTAGTCACCTGATGGTTGGTCGTTCATTTCAAGAATTTGGTAATTCACGTGTAGTGAAAATATTAAATCAATAATTTTCCCATTTTATACGTACATTGTACATAACTGTACAAAAAAACAAAAAGTCATTTTGTTTCTATAATGTTACCAGATACAAATATAATTATCAATTTTTCCTTTGGGACAAGCACGAGAATTATCGTTTTAATTTTTTCAATCGTTTCAGTTTTGGAAAAATCAATTTTCTATTTAAATTTGTAGAATTGTAAAATCGAGAAGCTGCACAATTTGATGGAACGAGTACATTTTCTCGATAGAACCAAATGAGTGACTCCACAGAATTCTAAATGTAGATGACAAAATTATAAAGTTAAGAAACTTTTGTTTTCCCTTTTGATAATGTTGTCTTAATTAAAATTCGCACGTTTATAGTATTTCATTTCTTTGTACGTTGTTTTCTGTTAGCTGGCTTTATCTATTAACTGAGTCTTGGTTTAATTATGATTTTTTTTTTCAGAAATAAACCACCAAAAAGGTTGTTTTTTTTTTAGTCCTAAACTACTTCAAGAAAGTCGAATGGAATATTAATTGTTCGGCAATCGACTAAAGCGAAAACAACCCACGCATTACGACTTCCAAAAATAAAATCGTGATTAGAAACGAGAACAATTCAACAACAAAAGTTTACGAGATTATTTTCGTCTTTTTCAACGTATTAAAAGAAAATCTTAAATAAACGCCTAAAACATATGAACAGATAATCCAATAAGAAGAAGTAAAAAGACGCAGAAAATCAAAAACATTCTCGCCGTAGTTTGCAAAATATACCTTAACCAGGGGGAATATTTTACAGTTTACAGGGAGCTTTATAATTCTTAATGAAATTGAAAAATGGGGATCAGGAAATTTTAAAAATAAATGCATTATTTATGAAAGACCAGTGTAAAAAATACAAATTCATAGACCACCATGGGATAGAACATTAAGACTGAAAGAAACCAGATATTCCGTGGTAGTTGAATTTATTTATAGATGGCGTTCGGGCATAAAGCCCATCATCAGTATTACAAACGTAGAATTTCGAGATACGACAGCCAACAATCAATACGGTTCATGTCAAAGTTATACATAGAACTAGCTGATGCAACAACAGTGTGGACAACGGAAAATCCCATATTATTGGAAAATATCAGCCTTATTAAAATTGAACTCTCGCAAGTAAGGACAGGCCGAAAAAACTTAAGTCAATTATTGACTATTGTCATGTTGCTGCTGATGAATTCTGAAGATGGGCTTAATATCCCGAAACGCCATCTCTATACAAATAAACTACCACGGAATACCTCCTTCTTTCAACCTTAATTTAAAATCTTTCAATTAATTAAGGTTTTTAGTTGAGATAAAAAAGTCAGTGTCACGAGCGGGATTCGAACCCACTATCTTCGACTAGATACGCTGCTCTAACATTTAATAATAATAATAATACAATAATTCCACTTAAAGATATTAATTGGTCAAGCGGACCACGAAACTAGTGAATGAACTTAATTTAAAAAAAATATTTTCTAGAAAAATCTATAGGAATCAGTGTTATACAGATCGGCATGTAATAGAGAAGAATTTTTTTACGTTTAGCTACAAATCCGAAATTATCAATGCTCGCGCCTTCAGTACAAATTGAAGTTATTTTTTATTTAAGAAGTTATACTTTATCTAAGGTCTTGGTTGATATGAAAAAGCCAGTGTCACGAGGGGGATTCGAACCTACAACTTTCGGCTCGATACGTCGCTGCTTTAACCACTTGAGCTGTTTAAAATAGATTTTTAAGACTGACCCACTCGGACACCACTCCTTCATTAGTTCATTCAAATAATAAAATTATATGTGTATAGGATGTACTATAATAAATTAATATTATAATAAATATCGGGTATAAATGGTTCCCAAAATTTAATCACTAATTTTTAATAGTGACAAAAGAAATTTTAAAAATACCATTAAGCAATTTTTCGTACATTTCAAAATCTCAATCAATGTGCCAGTCATACAAACATTATTTTTGCATAAAATTTTTTGAAAGCGTTTTATTTTTTTAATTAAAGAAAATTAATATTTTGCGTTTTATTGTCCTTTGACGATTTATTCCATTAAGATTTATTTTTATTATATAATAATAAAAAAATTATTCAGGAACAAATACACATGATGAGACTATAATTATATTTTATTATATTATTTTTTTAGACGTTTCTAGAAGGTGGGGCGGGGCTGTTTTTCTCAAATAATTCTAGTTAAATATACGTGACACATTCATGAAATTTATTACTATTTATTAAATTACACGAATATTCCGAAACTGCCACATAAGTCGAATTATTTAAGAAAAGCAACCTACCTTATAGAAATATCCTGAAAAAAAATTTATAATAAATTTATAATTATTGTAGTATTTGACCCCAAATAGCCGGAATATTTTTTTTCAGTGACTAAGGAAATTGGAAAAATATAGTTAATACATTGACAATTTTGAAAAAAAAAAAATGAGTAGGTCGACAGGAATCAGCGTAAAAGAGATTGGGATCTCGCGTCCTGAGAAGAAAAAAAAAACAGCATTAAAAAATAAAACCCTATCCTCCTAAAAACCAGACACAACCTGTAGAATTAATAAAATTGTAATTAATCGGTTGTCGAAAAGAATTGCGTCAGAACCGGCGCCAAAGTCGGCCGGCGCTCGTACTCCGAGACATTTCAAACCGGCCCTACGGATTCAGGAATTGGGAGTGCAGTAGAGACGGACAATCCCATTGGCCTCCCCTCCCACTATCTTTGTTTCACTCATGAACGGGCGAGGAGATCGTTCAAGGCAGCAGCCAAGCTCTACCCCCACCAACTCACTGAATAAAACGCCTCTCCCTACAGGAATCGCCAATTCGAAAATTAACCCTTCATGCTCGAACTGCATTTTTATTCTTTTTCAATCATACAATTTTTTGGGTTTGTTCTCAATAATAGATAATTAAAATAAATAAACTAAATTAATGAATTAAAACGAAAAATAAATACCTCATTCTCTTTCCTTTAGGAGAATTATTTATTTCGATCCTTTTTTGATTTTTTTGAAGAGTCTAAGTAGAAGACATTCTTTGATGTGAACAGTGAGATTTGCCCAATTTTGGTGTCGACAATTTTACTTCTACCTTCTCAAGGCTCAAATATTTTTTCGACCGAAAACACACGTCTATTTTCTCATAGCCCACCAAGCCAATCGCCCTAATTTTTTAATCGAATTAAGAGCTTAAAAAAAATTAAGGTCAAACGTTAATATTCCCGACCTTCAGCCGTGACACGGTTTAAAAGTAGTCGCAAGTTTTTTGAATTGTGATCAACTAGCCAATCGGGTATGTTAAAAATGACGACCACATAAATAAAAATCCTCGGTCAAAACGGGTAAAATAGTGAAATTTTAACAACGTTCCTTACTAATTCTAGTTTTACCGAAGTTATTTGTGAGAAAAGCCATTAGGGGTGGTTTTATCTCACTCAAAAGTGCCATGAATTGGTTTTTCCTCTTAATTTTCATACACTTCTATAAATGTACGTCTAATCGTTTGTCGCACTGAAATAATTTTTATTAACCCTTGTGACGTAAAACGTCTGTTTTGTACTTATTAAACGTAATCTTTAGAGAGATTGGCTTGTAGACTAGAAAAATATGATTAATTAGATTGTAAAATCGTTCTCTATTTTTGTGGTGAACCTGAAATTTTCCCTCAGCTTCGCCTCTACTGTCTCACGAGTTATGCACTTGGATTCAATATGGCGTTCCTTGACGAGAAGTCGGGGCCGTTGCTCAGCCACATCCACCAAACCCGTCCGATCAGGTTGTGACGTCAAGCCGCCCGAACGCGTGGGGGGGGCGAAGGGCCTACTTCCTTCTCCTCTTCCTCTTCCCCTACCAAAAGAACCCTCCAACAATTTTGAATTGTATTTTTTTTTAATTCTCATTTTTCGGTTGTTGACTTTTTATATTTCTTGGGTTTATTTTCAGGGACAAGACAACCATCAAAGAAAAATAAAATGAGTTTTATCGTTATCTATTTCATGAAAAGAAACCCAAGAAATTTTGAATTCTGATTCTCACTAATCACTCAATATGAAATTGATGAGCTTTTCAAATTAAACACATCCAAGTAAATGTTATATAGAAAAAACAGACTTTAAACATGAGTGTTGATAATAAAATAACACACAGTAACATTTAATAATGCAATCATAATTCAAGTACAACATAACAGTCAAAAACATGATAATTAAATTTTTGACTTTTCATTCATCAAAATCGACTTGCATTCAATTTTGTGTGATTTTTAGTGACTGGTTGTTTAAAAATTTGTTGGATTCGTAAGGAGCGGTCAAGAATGTGACAGAAAAACACCTTTTTCATTTTTTTTGCATTGTTTCGACATTTATTCAGGTCATCTTCAAGGCATAGACTGTGGTGCTATTGTTGTGGTGTCACAATTTCACACAACACCAATAAGACACCACAAGAATAGCAACACATTTTATGCCTTGAAGATGACCAGGTAGAATCGTTGTCAAAAAAATGCAAAAGGTGCTTTTCTGAACTACCTCATTCTTGACCATTCCTGACGAATCCAACAAATTATTCTATTTTGTATTGTTTTTCTATATATATTTGCATTTTTACTTAGTTAAGTTACATAATCTATTTTTAAACATTATTAGCATAAAGTGTGGGGCTATTGTTGTGGTGTCACAAAAATTTCACACAACACCAATATAACACCACAAGAATAGCAACACATTTTATGCCTTGAAGATGAGCCGAATAAAGGTCAAAACCGCCAAAAAAATGTAAAATGTGTTTTTCTAAACTATCTCATTCTTGACCAGTCCTCATGAATCCAACAAATTATTCTATTTTATAATTATTCGGAAATCGTGAGTTGGGGTCTGGTGTGACGTAGGTTTCAGAAAAACATTTTCTTTATCGTGCCAACGTTTCGATCTTTATTGAGATCATCTTCAGGGCTCAATAAAGATCGAAACATTGGCACGATAAAGAAAATGTTTTTCTGAAACCTACGTCACACTAGACCCCAACTCACGAATTCCGAATAATCATAGACTTTATATTGTTTTTCTATATATATTTGAATTTTTACTTAAGTTACATAATCTATTTTTAAACAAATGTAATCATTACTCTTCCTTTTTTACTTTTCTTTGTCATTTTTTTTCTTTTTACATCCAGGGTTGGGTGTGAATGTGAAATGTTTAACTCTGGGAAGCCAGAAAATCACCAAGATCAGACTTTAGTCTTGTTTATTATATTCATTGCCAGTGCATTTTGGCCAGTATTTATTTTATGTAATATTTAGTGACTGAATAACTCAATAATAAAGAGTGATTATTTAAAGATCGTGATATCTGGTCCAGTGTGATGTAGTTTAAAAAAAACATTTACTTTTTCATGCCAATGTTTCGATCTTTATTGAGATTACCTTCAGGCCTGGGATTTATAAACATTGCTTAAATTATACAAATACATATGAGATATTAATATGAATTTATAAAATGATGACACAATATAGCAATTTTAGGTTTAACCAAAGTATTTGTAAGACCACATCTCACAATCTTCAAATAATCAGTACTCCATTTTTTTATTTTACAGACGAACACTATAAAAATTAAACAATATATAATTTTATACTTAGGAGAACTAATAATAATAATAATAATAATCACAGCAGCTTTTTTGTAGATCAGACTTGCCCGGCAGTTATGATACACACATCATGTTCCAATGTTAAACAAAAGCTGCAAAATAATAAATGATGTATTTATTCAAAAAACATTTTTCATTATTATCACTATATAATATCAATATATATGTATCACAATAAACATTTATAAAATTGCAAAAACTGTGGTACTCATTTTCATTAGGAATAATTTCAATTGAGGTTAAAGGTGCTCCTTTTATGATTGCACATTACTAATATTGCGTAAAACGATTATTTAGAATAAGCAAAATTTGTTATATGTTGAAAATATATATTTTTTTTTAATTTACAAGGAAAAGTATTAACTTTTAGTACCACAATCAATTAAAAGGTACTGAATGGTTTATAATGTAATGAATACGATGGTCTATTTTCCATTTGGTTTTGATTAACACACACAAAAATTAAAAAAAAAAAAAAACTAATTTAAAATAATTTTTTTAATTATAAATAGTTTTGTTTTCTAAAACAAGATTATTAAGTTGATGAATCATTATCGCTATTCTCTTCCTCATCATCTTTGACCTCTTCCTTACATTGCACCTGAAAAATAAATAATTATTTTGATATAAAAATTTAATTTTAACTCGAATAAGGGCAATTTTTTATTTATTTTAGTTTTGTTGGTTAATACTACTCCTAAAATACAAGATTTTTAAAGGCAGCATGTTCCAAGGAGATTTTTGCATCCTGAAATTTCACCTTTATACAGGATATCATCATTAATCATCATGAAATGTGATTATTTCTTATGTCCTAATTTACTTATTCTTGCCTGTTTTATATGTTGGTGTGTTGTGGCAATTCACCATTTCCAGTAATTTTGTAAACAATGTGAAATTTATAATAGTACAAATATGGTTATAAAGTCATAGTTAATGCAAATGATAAAAATTATAATATTGAGATAAAAATGATAAAGTTGTTAGAACTCAAGGGCAATGAATGAGCACACGGGTTTAGCTGTAATTGTATGCTATCTAAGTAATATTTCAACGAACTGCTTACACAAGATTAAGTTCAGTATTTTGTGGCTCATGTCATTTTAAGAATCCGGCAGATGGTTGTAATCCATTGCCGTAATGTGCATTGTACTGTGTATAGTTATGTTGTAAAAGATTATTTTCATTTGTTTACTTAATAAAGTACTTTTTTCATTCACTTTTAGAAACAAATTACACAATATTTGGTGAAAAGAAGAAAAGTAATATTTTAAAGTACTGTTGCACGTGCGCATAAGTTTTTTTCGGTTTTCAGAAAGGAAAGTTAAGTTTTCAAAATATAAATTAATTTAATTTTTAATCCAAAACTAATTTCCTTCTTTTCCTATAATACACTGCCAATGTTCTGGTAGCAGAAATATCCGCTTTTTGTAAAAGTCTGCCGACTAAGACGAAAAGACATCTGAAAGTCCTATTTTCAGTGCTTTCGTTCAAAAATTCCCTTCCTTTTTAAGTGAATTTCAATGGAGTGAAACAAGTAAAAATCAGAAGGGGCAAGGGCCTGGAGAGTATGGGGGTGAGGCCTGTCTAACTCAGCGATATTACTCCGAGTGAGGCCTGGCATTGTCAAGGTGAAACACAATTTTATTTCTAATCACTAGGACTTGATGTTTTTTCTTCCACGGTGACCAAAGATACCCTAGCTATGCACAGTATACCTCTGCCATAAGAGTTTGAATGTATGGTAACATTTACAAATAAATTATTCATTGAATATCCCACCAAACAAACGAATAGGCCCTTTCGAGAGGGCAAATGCTGCTCTTGACGTTTCATTCTCCTTGCAAATGGACCTTGGGTGTTTAACATTTTTCCAAATGACCTTTTAAGCTAATTAGATGTTCCATGAGTCTGGTCTTTGATTTGTCTTTCTCCATTAGGAAAATGACAGAACCACTGTTGATTCACACTGTATTTACATTATCACCACATATTCTACATAATTTTGTCAGGAGTCTAAAGCTTTATGCCTGAGAAAGAACTTGCAGCAGTGCCTTAAATTAATTATTTTTGCTCCCAATTTGCATTTGTCGCAGTTTATTTTAGACTAACTTTTGGGATCAACTACTCCTTCCTCACCATTTCTTTTAATAGTTCCCCCCCTAGAGCTAACAGGGCTAGCAGGTAATAACGGATTGCATTTATAAGGATTTTTTTTTTTTTTGGCGTTATGATCTAGCATATTAACCATGGTGACAATTCTTATATGTGTGTTCAAATTGAGGGGGTTATCGTGAAAAAAGGGCCAGAGGCGACGGTGGGAATCGAACCCACGACCGCGGCGTGAGAGTCTCTCATGCTAACCACTCGGCTACCGCAGTCCCCTCATTTATAAGGATGAAAGACAAAATTTGGAAAAACGAAAAAACTTATGCACAAGCCCAACGTAATTCATCTGAAATTAATATAAGTTTGTCATAATGAGCAAAAATGTTTAACAACTTACGGATGGTTTCTGTTTATGGGAATGTTGGTAAAATACAAATGAACAGCCAGTGTTCCAACATTGTTTCAGAATAGGATCGACAACCCAACGCTTTTCAGAAACATGGTGCCAGCAAGAGAAATCATTAGTACAATCACTTTCTACTGGTGGACCTCTTACTTGGATACCATTAAAACATCTTGGGCAATTTAATCTAGAAAAACAGAAATGTTAAGCTTAATCAATTAATTGGTCAAGCGGACCACGAAATTAGTGAACTTAATCATATCATTCATATTTACATAATAATAATAATAATAATAATTAACAATACTTGTCATGTGTATCGCTGATTGTATTTTCATTGTACATGAAAAGAGATCTAAGTTCATTCATACTGAAATGACATTTAACATCTTCTTCACAGTCGACAACTGACGAAGAAAGAGCTTTTTTATGTGCCTGTCTTTGCAACATCTTTTCCTCAATCGTCCCAGTCTAGAAAGTAATGTTAATATAATGTCACATGCTGTTAACAATCGATGTAAAAATAAAGTTACAGACAGAAATAAGCCGATAAATGAAGCATGATTTCTTCTGTCCATCTCTCCAGACACGCGCCATAGCCTGGTCATCGTTGGCCGGGTTCCAATCAGGGTCAAACATCACAAGCCTGTTTGCACCGATCAAATTCAAACCACATCCACCAGCTTTTGAACTAAGCATAAAAATAAATTGTTCGCTGTCTGGCTGGTTAAACTTTTCCACAACCTATGGGAGGTATAAGGTAATATTTTATTTATTTGATATTTTAAATATTGTACTGACCTTTCCTCGTTTTTTTATAGTCATTGAACCATCTAGCCGAACATAATTGTAGTTACGCAGGGCACACAGACGTTCAAACATTTCTAGAGTCTGTGTGTAATTTGAAACGAGCACAACTTTGTCTGTAGTGGTTGATTTTATCAGAGCTAAAAGACAATCTAAGACCATCATTTTAGTTGACATTTCAATTTGAAGCACCTTCCTAAAATAAGACCATACCTCATTATTTTTAATTAAATTTTTTTTTAACAGACTATGTAATGAAACAGGCATGCGAGCTTTGATAGTATGCAGAAGAATAGCAGGAAGGAACTGGGGATGCAGACCAGAAACCCTGCTGCACACCATGATAGTAAGACCTTTACTTACATATGGAGCTATAGCCTGGGCTGATAAAGCAGAACAAGTAACTAAAAGAAAAGAATTCACAAAAATACAGAGACTTGCATGCATCTGCATAACGGGAGCAATGAGAACGAGGACAGCAGAGAAAACCATCATTAGTATTATCATAGAACCTCCAACAGGAATAAAACTAAAATGGAGAGATAGCAACAAAATAAGAAAGACCATCCGACACTCATGGCTCCAAGAGACAACATGAACAGGATGTTAGAATTTAACCAAAACTTTCGAATAAACCTAGGTACCAAAAAAGAATGGGAACGAGAGGGAAACAACTCTTTCAAGAATGGCACCATCCTTTGGTACACAAATGGATCTAGAAGACAAGAAGGTACGGGGGCAGGATTATTTTGACCTGGAACCAAATTCTCAGAACCCATGGGAAAATACACCAGTATCTTCCAAGCTGAGATACATGCAATCGAAAGATGACCTAAGTAAAGGGTACAAAAACAAGAACATAGCTATCATTTTAGATAGCCAAGCAGCCATCAAAGCACTAAGCTCAAATATCATTAGTTCAAGGATGATGCTGAACTGCAAAACCATATTAGGTACGCATATTTAGGAATAAAGTCAGCCTCTGCTGGGTCCCAGGACACATGAGAGTAGAAGGCAACGAGAAAGCGGACACCCTTGCAAGAAAAGGGGCTGCTACTCCGCTGATAGGACCCGAACCCTTCTGTGGCATCGGAACCCACACTATTAACGAATATCTCAAACAGAAGGACAAAAATAAAATGAGGGAACTATGAAATTCACTCATTGGACACAGATAATCCAATAATCTTCTAACCAATTTTGGAAGGAAAGAAATTACAGAATGTGTCAAGGGAAGCAGGAACAAACTGCGAATCCTAACAGGACACTGCAAGTTAAATGGACACCTAAAGAAAACTGGAATAATCCAAGATGGCACATGCAGATTCTGCAAAGAGGCAGAAGAAACACCAACACATGTACTAAAAAACTGCGGAGCTACACTAGCCCGCAGGAGGAAATGGTTTGGGATGTATAATGTGACCATAGAAGAGCTTCAACCATTGAAACCGGGCCTATTAATCAAGTTTCTTGATGAAATAGGACTCACCGATGTGTTTTAGAAAGAGCACAGAGGATACAATAGCTAGGGCGCAGTATACTATACCCTGAAACTACATCTACATTATCTATCTAAATGTAATGAAAAATAAGAAAAATATCCAATGTATTAATTTAATTCTAATACCATCATTATAGTTTTAAATTATTATAGAAAAATATTAAGGAGTACTTAAGTCTTAACGAAATTTACTTTTTATAATTAGCTTCATATCCACTTGGTAATTTGTTTTTGGCTCCTTGAAATCCATCTTTCCCGTCAATAATTTTCTCCATAATAATATCTGGATGATTACACAGTTGTTTCAAAGAAGTTACAACAGACAGTGCAGATAGGCTACTTGGATTTTCCCCATTTTCAGTACTTCCTGGAAACATTAACTTTTAATAAATATTGGCACAATTTCAAATTTGCAATTTGATGTTAGAATATAGATTTTCAATTTTTTTTCTCAGCATAATTTACAAACCAGTCATAGTTTAAAATCAAATATTTTGAAATTAGTTTTTTATATATGAAAAAGATACTAAAAAATATACCTTTCAGTGCTTTTCTTGCTGTGTCAGAAGCAAGAAGATGTTTATAAAGCTCTTCCTGGATTTTTGTCATTTTGACACAAACAACAAGCTCAGTTTTCAAAGGTAAGTATTGTGAAAGGAGAGCTGATGTTCTTCTTATTAGACACCTAAAGAAAGAAGTACATCAAGTAGTATTCATAATCAATTTTTAATATGGAATTTACGTCTTTATCTCTAACTTGTTGTAGGACTTTTTTTTAAGCTTATACATACTTGTTAACTATTCCTATAAGTTGAGCAAGTCTTTCTTTAGCTATCTCTTTTTCCTTGTCTGAGGCATATGCATCCTGACCTTTTATTATAGGGTTTTCATAAAGCTTCCTAAATTCCTAGATTGACAATAAATTTACATTGTTTTTACATATATGGTACAATTGATGGTTTATAATATTACAACCTGTGATGTTCCAAGAATTCCTTCGTTTACAAAATGGACTAAACTAAAATATTCAAGTAAATCATTTTGAATGGGAGTACCAGAGAGAAGGACCCTTCTCTTACATTGAAGACCAGTCAGAGCTAAATATGTTTGATTTTCACAATTTTTTAATCTGTGACCCTGAAATAAAGATGATTTATATATTATTTTTAATTGTTCCAATTTAGAAAAACATTCAATGTTTCACCCCCAAGTTAAAAAAATACTTTAGATAAATTGAAGTTGTACTATATTGACAATGATTATTTGAAGATCGTGTGACGTAGGTTTTAGAAAATCATTTTGGCACGATAAAGAAAATGTTTTTCTAAAACCTACGTCACACCAGACCACATCTCACTATCTCCAAATAATCATTGGCTAACGGTCACTAAACAACACACATATTCACAATCTTGACTAATTTACCGGAACTTACTTCATCACATAAAATTAGTCCGACAGGAGACGAATGAAGAATTTTTGAATGTATTCTAAATGTTTCATAAGATATTACTAATATCGGATGAGTATTCCGTCGACCTAATTGCGTAGACATGAATCTTTTCACTTGGCTCTCAACAACTTTAGTTCCTCCTCCTTCGATAGCGACAGTGCCAACACGACCATGAAGCCATTTATTTATTTCGTTACACCAGTTCTGTAAAATATATATAAAATTATACCTATTAAAATTTAAAAAAAAAAAAAATCAATATATAAAATTTAGAAGAATTTTGTACTAAAACAAAAGGGGATTCTTCTTGAAAACAAATATAATAAAATGTAAAGTTCAAAAACAAATTCTTCTTATAAGTATATTTTCATTTTCATTACAAATTTTAGTTCAGTTAGCATCATACAAATGCCTATTTATAGACTACAATGAATAACTATTATAAATGAAATTTCGAAGTATTCAGACATGGTTGAGAACGAGAAAAAATTATTAAACCAAGTACTTATTTGCTTTAAGTACTTTAATACAATAAATACCTTAACTAACGAGCTTGGAGCTACAATGATAGCTTTATCTATCATAGGTTTAGCTTCTGGGCTCTGCCTTAAAAGTGTCCACATTAAGGTAATGCACTGTAAAGTTTTTCCAAGTCCCATTTCATCAGCCATAATACAGCCAAATGCATTGTCAATTCTTTCTCCTGTTACACATTCATACATAAATTTAACACCCTGTTGGAATGGTTCAAATTAGTCAATGTTCTATATTATTTTATGTGTTAATAATTACCTCTCTTTGATGTGGCCTTAAAACATTGCTTAGGGCAGGATCGACGACGACATGCACCAAAAGGTTTTCCCTGAAAATAATAAACAAAATTCAAATAATTGAAACACATATAAACATAATAACAGTAGCATGAAAGCTTGAACAGCAACCGTCCAGTGATGATAGCCGTTAGTATGAGTGAGATGGAGTCCATCCTAGAACACCGATGTCAAGTGTTAAGGTTGTCACGGGGCCACCGATGCTTCAGTCTTCTGTTGGGATTATTAGGTAATGTGGTGGATGACAGATTTTTGACGAAAGGGGTAGTTTGGAATGGAACGTTTTGTAGCGGGATTGGGCTAGCTCGGTAACAAGAGGGACATTTAGGTCTGTATGGATGGTGTGATTGGATACATAGAAAGGGGCGTTGACTATGATTCTGAGGATTAGATTGAAGGGATTGGATTCGATTGAGGTTGGAACGCTTACGAGTCCCGTAAAGTTCAAGTCCGTATGTCCAAATGGGGGCCAGGAGGGCAATGTAAAGTTTTCTTTTGTTTGTTAGTGAGAGTTTTGATCGTCTGTCGAGTAGTCGTTTAAGCATGAAAAATTGTATATTACAGTCTGTGCGCTTAAGTCGTTTGTCCAGGTAGAGTCCGAGGTATCGTTCATGGTTCGCAATTGGGATGGGAATGTTTTCTTGTTTAGCGTAAATATTATGTTTGTTGATTTGGTTTCGTTGATCTTGATTCTCCACGGACGGAGCCAGCATTCTAGGATGTTTAGGTGATTTTAAACAAACTTAAATATGATTTACTTGTCCATTTTAAGTTGATCATGGGCAGACACTTGTGGAGGAGTATAGAGAATGAGAGCGTTTGGAGCTAGAGGATCGTGTAATGGCCTTCTAACCCCATCTTTTTTCATACCAAGCGCACGTCCAGATATTCCTCCAGTGTAACCAATGATCGGAACTTGGAAAGGCTTTGAAAGTATATTCTGGATACATGCTTCCTAAAACATGAAAAAAAAAAACAGAAATAGTGAATGTTGGAGTGAATGTGGTGTTCAAAACTTTTTAAAAAAAAGATAGTTCTTACTCACATTGTTTTCCAATGATCCGGATTTCGAGCCCTTAGCTCATTGTCAGGTTGAAGGATTTCCACAACCACTTCTATCGACATGAATTGCAAAAGTAGTAGTAGTAGTAGTAGTAGTACTACTCGAAGGGCTCGAAATCCGTTGGAAAACAACTTAATGTGAGTAAGAACTATCTTTTTTAAAAAGGCATGAAGAAAACTGTCATGTATTATGGCTTATATGTACATAAAAACTTACAACTAAAATAACCTACATGCAACTATATCAATTGATAATACATTCTGTCTTCATGGTGTAGATTTTTTTTCTATCTTAATATTTACATAGTAGTTTTACTTGTAAATTTATAATTTCTAATACAGACCTTTCTTATAAAAGTTTTGTATGTATTAAATAATATTAACTCTTGTGTATATTAATATCCTGTGCTGAATTGATTTAAATTATTTAAAATTTCAATGGCCAAGTAGCAATGTCCTGTTGTCACCTGAACTGGGAAAGAAAAAAAGGGTTGTGAATACATTGTTGACAACCGTGTCAACATGTTAAACTTGAAACTTGATTAGATAGGAAAATTGTCTATTCAATTTTCTCACTCCTACGGTCTAGTACAAGCTTTGTTTTTTGACATCATGCAGGGATCTACAAACATACTTTTTTTTGTAACTTTATATATAATGTACATACATTTTGAAAATATTATTTATTATTATTAATTTTTAAGGGCGTTTTAACGGCTAAGGTCATTTCACGCCCTAACATCCCAAACCTTCTTAGTTTTTATTATTATATTTAAATTTTTAAAATTATTTACCAATTACACATTTGCGGTTTTATCGTTGAAGGAAATGATTTGGCATTTAATCCAGTAGTTTTTAATTTTTAACTGTGATGCCACTGACCTTACGTGAAAAGTATACAGAAATCTCTGCGAATATTTATTCCAGAATGATTATTAGCCTAAAATCAGGCTGAGCTGAAGGAAATATTCCTGGAGATTGAGACTGTTGCCAAAATGTTCGGTAAATAATAGTCAAATGAACAATTTACAGGGTGAGTTTAACTCCTAGTCCATATATATAATTATAACATATAATAATGGCCATAAATTTTTATTTTTTGCTGTTTCTCATGTGCTAACAATTTGTGATCTAATTTGCCAGGATAATTTTAATAACACATAGGAATTTAACTATTTTCAATGGTAAGATACTTACTTATCAATGTACTATTTTTAAAGGTATTTTAGGTAATTGCAAAAAAACTTTTTCAAATGTTTTTTTAATAAATACAATCTCCAACTATTATTTATCATTTTAATTGATTGTAAATTACTCTCTTGTGGTACAGAAAGAAAAATTTAATTAAATAACATCAATTAACTTGATTATATTTATTTGCTCTGGATGTAGTCCAATAAAATGCAATTCAAGCCTACTGTCCGTAAAAAAAAAGTCTTAAGAAGGATTTTCACACCTATGCAAGAGTGCTTTAGGATCAAAATAAACCCAGATATAGCTGAACTCTTTGCCAAGTCAGATATTGTGGCTTTTATTAAGAAATGTAGGCTTCCAGTGGCTGGGACTTGTGCTCAGGGTAGATGAGACGAGAAGTCCCAAATTTTCGAACTGGAATGGAGACCCTGGAGAGAACAGACCAAGACTTGTTCGAAAGAAAAAGGAAAAATGATTTGGAGGCTTCAGGCTTGTGAAGGTGGAGAACTGGTGGTTGAGGCTGTGAAAGCCAAGTAGTTTTTTTTTCCATAAATACCAGAATCCTATGGGTTGAGAGGCTATGCTGCTGACATCCCTCGTTAAAAATACAAATAAAATAATTACTAATTTTAAAAAGTATGATCAAATATGGCCTAAATACAGATTAATAGTTGATGCTGAGTGTTGATCTGCAAGTCAGTGAACTCATTCTGAACCAGCACTTGTCACTTATTGGGTCCATCTTCAAGTGCGGGTTGGTTGAACTGCTCAAATAATTTTAGGGCATTGTGCCATCTTCTGTGAGGAACAATGTCCTCTATTTGAAGAAGGGATTCCTTTCATGGCAAAATGTGTTTGACAAGCCCACGAGTGAATGCGGACCCAATAATTCACCCAGTGCCAATTCAGTAAAAGATTAGCAGTTTGCATATTCACTTTACACACGCCGTATTATCAGGTAACAAAGTATCTATTACCAAATTAAAAAAAGAAACAGGTCTTTGAGAAAATCTACTTTTAATTTATTAAGTCATATTTCATATGGATACCATGTTCATTGCACAATTTGTCAATAAATTGAACTCACATGAGCCGATATGGTGACGCTGGACTCACTGTCAGCTCTTTTTCGACACTCGGCACCATTTCCATTTGGGTTTCTAACAGACAAAGGCCTCCTCTTGGGGCTCGGGCTGTCAAGATCATCTTTAAGTAATGTTCTTTTGGCGATCTGACTAGGAGCACAGCTCCTCCTCTGTAATGTAAAAAAAATTGTCAAACTGAAACATTTTGTCGAAAAATTGGAAATATATTTGTTTACCATCTCAAAAGAATGGTGTTAAAGTAGATCCATTACAAATTACGGGTTTTAAAAGTTATTTTTCCGACTCCTTCATGGCCCCATTCTTTCCTTTCCATCGGGGTAATATTTTTTAAAAACTATACCTTTATAAAATATAAAGATACATAAAAATAATAAATATTAACTTAACGAGATAGAATAACGCCTTATCAACTAACTCTTATCAACTTATTTTGCCGCGCTCAGTGCTTGCTTTCTTGCAATCTGCATTGGCATAGCCTTCTATAATGGTAAATAATCACTTTTTGTAAAAGATGGTTCTGAAAGAAAACCATCATTTACAAAATGTGATCTATGTACTCACTACACCTTTACTATTTTTACGGGAAATTTCCGGATAGTGGAGTGATTAACAAGCGAAATCGAGGTATCCCATTTCCTAATATCATTGTGAAACTATTATTATTATTTTAATTAAATATTATATGTACATATATATTTTATAAATTATTTTATTTAAATTTATTATTTGATTTGAATTATACGATAGCAATAGAACAGTTTTTACCATTCGTTTTTCCGCAAATTTCAAAATTTTTAATGCTTATAAAAAAAGAAAAGTGAAGTTTTTAAAATAAGCAAATTGCATTAATTTCGACCTGTTAAACTTCACTTTGGAGGCAATTTGTTATTTTGAAATTAGGTACAATTTTACATTTAAACTCTCCATCAAAAGTATTGCAACACCCATAATTTTCAAGATTTTCTTGGTTTTGACCTTAATCCATACTTTGTTTATATTTATAGTAATATTATTTATTAAATGAGAGACATTAGGGATTAGACACATCATTGTTATTCACTTTTTACCAACAAAAGATGTAATTATTGTTTATTCATTTCAAATTTCCTTTCAGTCCATGTTTATCTTTCATTTGCCTCAAGTCTTTTCTCTCTTTTCTCTTTAATCTAGTTACAACAATTAATTTTATTCACAATGAATCGTTTAAGCCACGATGGTTCGGTCAGAATCATCGCTTTCTCTGAAGAAGGCAAATCATTGTGTTACTTAACTAATCACCTTGGGATTCATTATTATTCCGTTTCAAGTATCATAAAAAGGTACAGGGAGACTGGGAGTCATTCCAGGTGACCAATGTCAGGGCGTCCCAGAATCACTAATCCCATAGATGACCACTTCATTAAAATGCAAGCACTTCGGAAGCATAATTCTACAGCTTCTTCCATTAAAAACTTTTATCGCTGGTGTCCGAGGGATATCAACCTCGGAGTCAATGGTTATTAGAAAACTGAGAGAGTCAAACAGCTCAAGAAGGTCTGAAAGGTCCCCTTCTCACCAGAGAACACCGCATAAAGAGATTGAGATCTGCAAGTTCACTGATGAGACGAGAGTGGCCCTTAATAGTCCAGATGGCCGTGAAAGAGTTTGAAGAAGGCCTGGAGAACGGTATAATCAGTGCTGGACTTTAGAAACTGAGCCATTTGGAGGGTGTTCTACCATGTTCTGGGGCGGCTTATCTTTGGAGACACGTACCGAGTTAGTGTCGATCCAAGGAGGGGCTTTGAATGCTTTAAGGTATGTAGAAATGATTCAAGATCATGTAGTGCCTTTTATGCTGTTCATAGACTCTGAACGTTGCTCATGAATGATGCCCGTCCTCACAAGGCCAGATGTGTTTCCGAATACCTGAACACCACACATATCCACACCATTGATTAGAGACTTCAGAACCTTTTTTCATTATGAAAAAACAAAGTTTTCGTAAAATTCAAATATTTCAAGTGTTGCGATACTTTTGATGGGGAGTGTAGTTGACCTGTTCCTATTATGGGACTGTGGGTATTTGGGACATAGAGGCAATGAGAGGGCAGATTGGCCAAAAAAGAAGCCAATAATTCTCTAGGCCCTGAACCCTATTCAAAAAAATTATACATCCAAAAATGGATCCTTAATGAGTCCAAAACCTGGTGGAACCCCAGGCATGAGGCAAGCGAAGAGATTCATAGAAGGGCCAAAATGTATAAAGGATCACTGGATGGTAACCACAACAGCAATTCTGGTTGAACTCTTGGCACGGCACTGTTGCCTAAGAACCCACTGAGTAGGAGTACATACAGAAGAAACACTGTGCAGATACTGCCAGGAAGAATGGAAGACTATAGAACAAATTCTGTTTTTTATGAGGGCCTATGTTCCTACATGTTGGTGTAGATTGTTTCAATTAAGAGAAGAGAAAAGCTGCAAGCAAGATGACTAAGGAGCTATGACGGGCAAAACTATGAAGGTTGTCTAACAACCTGAAGTTGGCCAGTGAGTTATAAAAAATAGAGCACAACAAATCTACTCAGGTTGAGGTGCAAAAGGTCTTGTGACCACTTCTTTTATCCCTATCCCTAACCTTTGTAAAACAGTGCTATTTAAAAAAAAATCATTGATATTTAATGTAATTTACTACCTAAGCATTACATTAAAAAAAAAAAAAAAAAAAAATAATAATAATAATAATTAAAAAAAAACAACTTGTGACTAGGTAGAAAATTAAGTTAGCAAAGTAATTGGGTAGAATTAAAAAAAAGTTCACATGTATTTTGGTAATTTTCCATATACAATAAAACAACTATAACAGAGTTTCTTCCATTATTAATATATATTTTACACAACAAACAAATACGTAAATTAAATGGGAATGGGTAAATCCTTAGCAACAAGAATTAAAATATGCTCAATGTTGAGTCTCCAGTTATTAATGTCTTTTGAAACTTTACACCAAAGCTCCCCGTGGTGAGGTTCAGCCGCGATGCAACGTTGTTTTACATCTTGCTGTTGTTCCTCGGTTCCATTCAGCAGTTCAAATTTATAGAAATATGCCCAAGAATCCCCAAGATCAGGTTCGATTTTGACTGTCCTATTGAACCAATCGCGGCACTTCTGTAATTTGTGTTCGGACCAGAACAATTTTGATACTGCTAAAAGAACTTGAGGGTCGTGTTCGCAACGTTTAAGTGCATCTACGGATTTTGTTTTCCTCTGAGGCCTTGGCTCCATAAATATTGCTTCAGCCCAAAGAATTCCTGAACTTGGACATTCTTGCAAAGCTTTCGCCATAAGTGTATTTGCTATTTCTCTTTTACCAGCTCTAAACTCTACACGTATCGCTTCTAGCCATAGTTGTGCACTGCTAGGGTTCTTTAGTCTGGCTTTTTCTAAAACGGAACGGGCTTTGGTCAACTGATTCCTTCTCTCTTCCAAACAAGACATCATTATCCACAGAGGGACTGAATTTGGACATTTTTTAATAGCAGTGTTATATGTTTCCCAGGCTTTGTCTGTCTTGTTCTGTTGTTCTTCTATTTGGCCTTTCATCATCCATAGTTTTGAAAAATCAGGGAATATTTCAAGTGCATCATCTAATAATTTTAATGCCGATTCTAAATTGTCCAAGCACCACTCTAATTTTACCGATTTCATCATAACTCTTGGAGTCGGTGCAGCAGCTCGGGCTTTTGCGAGTAAACGCCTTGCTCTTTCGTATTCAGAATTTTCTGATTCCAATTTGACGGCAGCCAACCAAATTTCTTCAGAATTAGGATTGGCTTGAAAAGCCAGAGAAAGTATACTTCTTGCAGCAGGTACATCACCGGCTAACCATTTCGATTTGGCTCCCATTAGCCAGAGAACTTCAGATTTAGGACAATGTGCTACTGCTCGTCTCAACAGACTTTCCAAAGAATCTCTTGTTCCATGGTTTTTTTCAAAGTATGCTGCTCTTAACCAAATTGACTTTTTACTCGGAAAAGTTGCTAAGGCTTGACTATATATTGCTCTTGCACATTCATACGCTCCCTGTGATGCACACGAGTCTGCATCTTCCATCCATGTGTGCTTTCTATCTTCCTCTTCAACTCCATGACCCATAATTGATTTAATGAGAACTTGACAAGTATTGACAGAGCCACCTTTTTCTGCTTCTATAGCCTCCTTAAACCAATGCTCACGATTTATTTCTACACCATTAGCACTCAATGATGTTATCGCTCTGTCTATGATTTTTTCAACCATATGAGTGTTATTGTTAGCTTCTTCTAATTTAGCGGCTGTTACCCATATCTGCCTGTCTGTTGGTATGTTTTCCCTAGCTTTATTAAGAACTTTTCTTGCATTGTCATAAGTTTCTAATCTTGCTAATGCCAGCCATAGGTCTACACTTGTCGGACAACATTCCACAGCACGACTCAATAGAATCCTAGCATCTTCAGGATCTTCTAACTCAACCGCCGCTTTCCAAAGTCTAACCGAATTCGGAATATGTTCCAATGCTTTACGATAAACTCGACGTTTAGCTTTTGTTTCAGATTCCAAATCGGCTGCTCTAATCCATATCCTCACCGATGTTGGAATATAACGTGCAGCTTGGGCTATAACGCCTTTGGCAGTGTCCGGAGGTTGCAAGCGAGCCGCTTCAAGCCACAAATCTTCAGACTGGGGATTTTCTTCACAACCTTTCATAATAACATTTCTGGCAGCTTGAATCTTCCCTGTAACTTCTTCTAATCTGGCAGAAGCTATCCAAGCCGGTGGATGATTAGGATTGGTCTCTCTGACAGATTTCAATAGTAACCGGGCCTTCTTTATATCGTTTATATCTCCTCCGTAACTAGGTATCATACTCTGCAGGTCTGTAAGGTACCCTTTTGGATCGACTACAGTCTGACCTTCGACCGAATCAGAAACCTGGTTCAGTTTAACATTCATCAGGTTGTTCCTCGCTTGGCCCATTTTTCTCAAATCTAGATCTCCAGTCGGTGTCAACATACCTTGGGTTGCATTTCCAGCAATAGTGCTTATCAATCCACTAGAAGGATCAATGCTGCTTGTAGACTCACCTCCTAGATTCCTAGAGAGAACTGAATCCGGCAATGGGGTGAACCTTTCTGCTCGCGGGTTTCTCATCTTTCTATTCCTGGCATCGCCTACTTCTGGGACGTTCTTCCATTCGTCTTCTGTAACGGCAACAAGGCCTCTTTTCAGATCGCTAAACTGCTGCTGGATCTTTGGCCTCTCTTGACGGTACCTCTCCAATTCTTCTTTCAATCTCTTTTCCCTGTATTCTTTTCTCTTCTCGTCCATTCGCTTATCGATCTCCTCGTAGATCATATCCGCTTCTTCGTCGTCTTTGTCGTACGGGTCTTTGCTGAAGAGCGAACCTCCGTAACCGGAGAATTCGTCGTAATTCGAATCGTTCAAGTCTTCATCGTCTTCTTCCTCTTCTTCTTTTTTCTTCCTTTTACTAGGAGGGGCATGACGATCGTCCGATACATCGTTGGCGTCCCTTGCCGGCCCGATATCGGATCTTGTCGTAAATCCTGTCGCACCACGGCCCACACCAGCCACATAACCGAGAGGTGCAGGAATCCCGAGGAAATGCTTTTTATTTCGGTTTACCAAAGCTGCAGGTGGAGCTGTCATTATTATATATTTACTGCCACTTACTTCACGCAGAACATTTAAACGTAAACAACAACGATAACCTTCTGCAACAAATAGCCTGAACCTGAAACCACCAAAGTCCAAACCGTGCCCATCCAATGCTTTAACTTTCTATTCCATAACCAAAACCATATTTTCAATCGCTCTTCTAAATTTAAATTATGATAAACTTTATTTTTTAACATAAAGTTACTTATTTTCTTAAACTTAACGACAAATAAATATTAAAAAGTGTATGAAAATCGATTATTTCATAACAAGATAAATAACGTATTATTTGTTATAGAAACTTTCTTCTTAACGAAATGCCACTGATTTGCAGTTATTCACAATATACTAAACGCAAAAATTAATTAAAAGCAAAATTATATATATAAGTAATACAATACAACTGAATTTGTTAAAATAATTCAATGATAGCATACAAAGAATTAGATGAAATAAACTACTACTATTAAATTGATAAACCACTGAATTTAAATAATTAAAACTTAGTAAAAATGTTTCATTTGTTAATATGTGCATTTCAAATGGAACTACTGACTTTTTTTACCCAAGTTTTAATACACTGAAATTAAGCTAAACAAACTTCATAAAACTACCTTACAACCTTGCGAATATTTCAATTAATTATTCTTTTTATGTAGGGTCTTGGTTAAGATGAAAAAGTTAGTGTCACGAGTGGGATTTGAATCCACAGCCTTAGGCTCAAAACGCTGCTGCTCTAACCACTTGAGGCTTGAGCTATTGTGACTTCGATCCACACAGACACCAACTCTCCATTAAGTCTCCCCATCTCAACCTACAACATTTTGAATTTTCCCTCTGTTTTGTCATTTTTTCAAATGTTGTTTAATCAGGTTTGATTCTCAGCAGTTTATGACCACGGGAGCTCAAGTGAAGTGATATTTCTTTTAGTTATTAAATCCATTATGTTTAGTGGTCTGATTGACCAAATTACTTCTTTCAATTAATTAATCTTTTTATATAAGATTTTGGTTGAAATGAAAAAGTTCGTGTTCGAGCGGGATTCGAACCCACGACCTTCTGGGCCAAAAAGAGGAAAAATTCGAAATGTTGTAGGTTGAGATGGGTAGTTAGTGTCCGAACGCATCGAACTCATAATAGCTCAAGTGGTTAGAGCGACAGCATATTGAGCCGAAGGATGTGGTTCGAATCCTGCTCGTGACTCTAACTTTTTCATCTCAACCAAGACTTACATAAAAAGAATAATTAGTTGAAAGAAGTAATTTGATCAATTAGGCCACTAAACATAATGGATTTATGAATATTAGGAGAGAATAATAAGTATACAGTCAGAAAAAAATGAACATTGAGCAAAGAATTTTTTTAAAATTGATCATAATTACATTTACAGCACAGTTAATTGCACATAGTCTAGAAAACTAAATATGTTCAACATTTGTTTTGACACCCATGGATGTATGAATATACAAAAACTTGCATAATTTTGTTCATGTTTTCTATACTAGGGAAATGTAAGCATGAATAGTCATCTCTAGCCGTATGCCACTCTCGAGGGAATTCTATGGGTATTAGATGCAATATGGGAACATCTAAAAATGGTTTTGTTATTATTATTAGCATTTCAATTTGTTAAAAATCATACTGAATACATACTTCTCTTGAGAAATGGGAGATGGTCATCCTCTATTGCACGGATAGTCGATCGTTCAAGAATATTGTGAGTGTAAGTTGGCGATATGTTGAGTGCTTTAATTTTTTTCTCAATTTGAGCTAGCAGTGAGTGCCAAATATCCGTGTTCCTAAAGTAGCTGGCAAATTTTTGATTTTTAGTTCCAATCAGATCAAGAAGAACCATGAGATCCTAGAAAATTATTGAAGTAGTAACAGACAGTTAATTTATTTTACTTTATTCTCACAGGCTTTTTATAATTCAAATATAATATTTTAAAAGGTACGTACAATTCTATGAAGGTGGTTGGTATGAGAATTATGAGGAAAGGGGGTTGCTTCCCATTTGGCAGCAAGTGATCTCGCTCCATATATACTATCAGTTGGAGACCAATTTAAAAATGCTTCTTCACCATCAAAAAATACTAAGGATAATCCAATTTCCTATCATAACATTGGATTTTAATCAACAGTAGAATTAATGAAAAACATATCTACTCTACGTACATTACTGTTGATGTATGGATTTAGTACTTTTGCCAAATGAATTAACATAGCACAAGGTACTGCAGAATCTGTGGCGCCGTAAAATACAATATCTCTAAAATATTTTGAATCATAGTGACAGGCAAGAACTAGACGTCTTGTTGTATTAGCATTTTTGTGTGCAATGATATTGGTGAATTCCAAAAGTCCTAAGTTAGGAGTGCGCTCTTTGAAAGTGTCCAGTTCTATTTCCCAACCAAGAGACTTCATCTCATTTTGTATAAACTAAAAACATCTTAAATAAGTACAGAAACACTCTTTCTTAACACATGTAAATATAATATTAATGTAAAAACGCATTTTCCAAGTAAAAACACAATTAAACAGAATTGTTAAAGGCATCGGTGGCTGCAACGGTTTAGGCATTGACACGGCGCTCATCACTGTAAGGTAAAGGTCCCAGGTTCGAATCCAGCGGCCCTGCAATTTTGCAATTGGCTTTTTTTCAAAAACATCGACACCCCGAGAGTTGATATAACCTCTGCTGTTGCGAACCCTCGTAAATAAATAAATTTAAAAAAAATAGTACTATTCTCAGTGTATTAAAAAAAAAAAATGTCGAATCTGCTGGTCAGAAAGAAATATTTCTAAATTACACAAAGTTAAAACAGGCAGCAGTTGCTGTGGAAGCATAATATTTAATAATTTTTTATACTACAGACCCCTTGGGGGTGAGACCACGCAGGTGAATTTTGTGTGGAGAACAAAATAACAGACTGCAAAGAAAGAAAGACAACGCCCCCTATGCTCGCTAATCCATTATCTCTGGGCCATTAATATTTTCATCAGCGTATAGCTTTCTGTACATTTATGTATGTGATATGTGTTATTTATTGGAATATGTATTTATTAGCATGAATAGAGGAGCTTATTCCAAATTACCCCTAGTAATATTGAATACTCTGGGGTAATGTGATCAAGTCTGCTGTCAATTACAATTTATTAGTGTGAAAGATGGAGCCCTATCCACAATTATTTCAAGGAATATTAACTACTGATGTAGTGCTATGCTCGCTATGTATGCTAATCAGACTACCATGTTTTATCTTATCTTCGTTTTTGTGTCTTATTGTGTCATTTTATCCATAACTGACAAGGTAGGGGCTAGCAGTAGAATAACAAGAATAGAAGAAAAGAGAGAGCTGGTGACCATCTTAACTGGTCTGGTCATAACCTGGCTGAAGAAACAGTTAAAGAAATTAGTAGCATTACAACATGAGAAAGACAAGAAAAACAAAGAAAGAGAGGACTGGCCCATAATGACTGTTGTATGTTTAAAAGAGCAAACAAAACAAAATTTAATAATTTGAAAACAACAGCCATGAAAAAAGTCATTATGCCTATGCTGATTTCCTCTAATCAATTGTGGAAATTTCAAACTCAAAATAGACACACACATCAACTTTCTCATTTGCAAATATAAAAACATGAATGCAAACATCTCATTTGCCATTTAACTATTATATACTACACTGTAAACTATTTCAATTTAGGTGTGCAATAATAATTGTATAGAAAAATACACATTTTTCTCATTATAAAAGTAAACTCATACAGATTGAGTTAGAATATGATAAACATGCTAATACTGTTTGAATTTAACTATATTATTTTCAGTGCAAAAGTCTCATGAATTAAGGTTGTGGTAAAGACACATGTTCACTATTACAGAGTAATGGCTGGTTGATTGCATAGAAGATGCTATTATTTTCAGTAAAAAAGACAACAATAAGCCAGCAATATGTTTTTATACGAAGTTTTATCTTTATAAATGCAATAAGTAAACTGTAAGTGTATAGTATACTAATTATAAATTTTAATACTTAATACACAAATTATATCACTATGTCAGATTATTGTAGTTAGAGAAACAAGTTACAGTAGAAAGTTATATTACACAAAATGAGAACATGGACGAGCTGGCCAAAAAAAAGAGCCAATATGAATTCTCTAGGCCTCAAACCCTATCGTGGCCTAGCACCTTGCCACAAAAAAGGATCCTTAATGAGGCCAAAACCTGGTGGAAAACCCCAGGGAAGAGGTTGATTCATAAAAAGGCCATCCGCAAGACTACAAAGAAAGACTGGACCAGGATTCTGGACTCATAACAGGGCACTGCTGCCTAATAAGGCATGTAGGAGTACAGACTGAAGAAACATTGTGCAGATACTCTCAGAAAGAAGAGGAGACTGCAGAACACATTCTATGTTTTGTAAGGTCTATGTACATATAAATAGGAGAGGAAAAGCCACAAGCAAGATCCTACACTAAGGAGCTGCTGGCAAGGCTATGGGGGTCAGAAGCTGGCCAGTGAGTTATAAAAAATGAGGAGCACAATGGTCTACTCAGCTCGAGACGCAAAAATATCCCTATCCTACATTACACAAAAAGACAACAAGAACAAATAATTATTACCAAGATCCATTAAAAACATTACAATGACATGATCTTGGCATTTAACTAGAAAGTAACTTTTTAATTATAAATATTTTGCCATGATAAAATGAGTTTAGGAAGATAAAACGATATGTCATTATTGAAAATAAAACATATAGCTTGATCACCTTTGACCATTGCGATCAGCCTATTCTCACAGATTTGTCAACTGTGCCCATTTATATAAATTTGAAAAATGTGAATGACTGAAAGAAGTGTGTTTGCTGAAGATGGCTTAAATTTGTTTGGTAATCGAAGCCTTCAAAGAACAAGCAACCAGGATAATTGAGAATGATCATACCTAAGGCTGGTAATGATTAATTACTGATTTAATGCTATCCTCCTTATACAATACAATTACATGGTAATTAAAAACCAAATCTCGCCCTTCTTGCACACTTAATTATTGCACAAAATCTAGATTACTCTAGCCAGCTAGATATGGGGTGGATTGAGCTTTTTTGGGTGTGGTGGCGGGAGAGGGCAAGCACCTCTGGGAGCCACGGGTCACTGCAAAGACTCCAGATCTGGAGGGGTGTGGTCGTCAGCAGTGGCATGTGCCCCTCAGATGACGTGCAACAACAAGAAAATACAAATAAGATAAATTTTCGAGTAAAAGGGAGTGCCCGGGGGTGTTGGGTCATCTGACAACATCCTTGTCTCCTATCCCATGGCTGTTTGTAGTAAAATATGGTGATTTATGAGTGTTAAGGTGTAATATTGGTTGATCACCTTTCTATTATTTAAAAATAAAAATAAAAAAGACTGAATATTTCTTTCAAATTATTTAATAGAAAATAACACCTTTTGTACTGCCAAATGGTTGGGTGTTCCAACCACCCTTGGGACCAGAATGGTATCTAAAACTTCTCGAAAGTACTTTTCATCAGTTAACTGTGCTAAATGTCCTACTTCATCGTCTGTCAGTGGTTTTGAAACGTGAGTGCCCTGAAAAAATAAAAATAGTATTTAATTTTTGTGTCTATTTAAGCTTGAATAAGAGAAAAAGGACCTACCTTTTTTTCATAAAATTGCAAGCAATCATGATGAGGTATTGAAATGTAAAATATTACGAGGTAAGCTGAGCAAACTTTAAAACGCATGTCGACTTCGAATTATTAAGCAGAGTATTTAAAAAATATTTTGATCATAAAATTGAAGATTGAGCATAACTTCGAGAAAGTTTGTGGACAACGTTTTCATCTAGCATAAACGGAGTTAATTAATCATAATAAACATCCTAAATGCGATATGAATTAGTGGAAGTCACAATTAATCAACACTTACGCGGAAAAAAATAAGTGAAGGTAAATGTCAAAGGAAATCTTCCTAGTTTCTGATATTCTCCCCTCCAGGAACGACAATCTGTGAGGATGGTCCATGAAATACTTTCACCAGCCTCCAAAAAATAACCAGACTCGACAGTCGAACTTTGAGTAAAGTATGAAATGCAAAAGTTTAGTAATCTTAAGCTTTGTATCACGAACAAGGAAACATTAATGTATGGCTTATAGGTCGACAGACGTCAATTCAACATATGATCTCTTAACATTTCAAATGTTAAGCATGTCTACATCGATAAGTTGTACATTGTCCTGACTCGATGTACATAATTGTAATACGTAAAATTCTGCATTTTAAGTCCATTGAAAATATTCAACATCGATAATTGGCATATGAAAAAAAATCTTGCAGTACAAATATTTACTTTTCAGATAAAACTAAGTGGGAACGTGAATCATTGATTTATTTCCGGGTTGAGAAGGAATAATTTACACTTTAACGATTGAATCAGTGTTTGAATTTTGAAAAATTACATGGTTTTTCCTCGGTCCAATGTAAGATCGATTCCCTTTAAATGTGAGACTTAAATGTGACAGAATGATTGGAGCCATACCAAAACCTCAAATGTTTACTGTATAATACCATGGTTGCCTTTGGAAGCTGTTACACCTCTTTGTTTGATATGTTTACATCACGTGAAATAACTCATTGAAGTTGTTAAAAAAACTTACGGACCGGTCTATTTGATTTGTTTATTTAATTTTATCCTTAGTAATATGGTTGATAACGCTTATATTCTGGACAATGGAGCTTATTCCATTAAAGTTGAACATTCTAAAGCCGGCGAGCCTAAGTAAGTTACAAAAATACTTAACATTTTTGGCAAATATCACTCTTAATATCCATCTATAACATTTTTTTTTGTTATAAACGTTATGCTTGGCTAAAAATTATGTATGAATATTCCTTAAAATAAATTATTTTTGCGTGGTGATTAGTGACCGTTAATCGATAATTATTCAGAAATCGTGAGATGCGGTCTGGTGTGATGTAGGTTGCAGAAAAACATTTACTTTATCGTGCCAACGTTTCGATCTTTATTGAGATCATCTTCAGGGCCTTGGATTTACATTATTTACATTTAACAAATACATGTAGTATGTGGAAAAAAGTGAATTTATACAATGCAAAATATTTTTTTAAAATATATATATATTCAATGAAAGTATTTCTACTCACTCAAAGTGTTTGTCTTCTGTGTATTGTGCCATTCTTCCATGTCGTGATGAGAGTGCCAGTGAGATATTGTTGTTTTATGTTTATATATGTTGGATTTTGAAGGGGTGGGGAAGGAAGTAGGTTTCAGAAAAACATTTTCTTTATCATGCCAACGTTTTGATCTTTATTGAGATCATCTTCAGGGCCTGGGATTTACAAACATTGTTTCCATATAACAATTACATTTTGGATGTGGAAAAGTGAATTTATGCAATGCAAAATATATTTTTTTATATATTCAATCAAAGTATTTCTACTCACTTGAAGTGTGTCTTCTGTGTAATTGTGCCATTCTTGCGTGTCATGTCGAGAGTGCCATGAGTCAGACCGCATCTCACGATTTCTAAATAAATATCGATTAACGGTCACTAATCACCACACATTTATGTTGTAGAGTTGAAAGGAAAGTCTATTTTGATTTAATCAGGTTTAGTCCCATCTACGAGGAGGAACAGTATCTTTGGGCCGTTCATTATCAGTTATCATGAATCTCAGTTGAGGAAGAATATTTATTTCTAATGCATGCACCTTCCCTTTGTGCCTACTGGATTCATCACATGCACTTTGCCGCTTCATTCTTCATTACATGAGCTGTAATGTCACTCCAGTATCATTTCATTGAACTGCTAAACGTTAATGTATTCTCTGGTTAATAGGAATCAAAGTATTTCTACTCTCTCTAACTGTCTTCTGTGTAATTGTGCCATTCTTGCGTGTCGTGTCGAGTGCCATGAGTCAGACCGCATCTCACGATTTCTGGGTCTGTGGATTCCTTATTATTCAGGGGCATTTTAAGAAAGAGTATCTATAACTGGATTTTCTGGTTGGTCCATTATGATCGGAACTAGCCAGCTAGATTTAACCTCTGAGCCGATGCCTGCTTTAGTAAAAATCAATGTGGCTCATATGCAGCATATCAAGTGGTCCAATCAGATCAACTGAAATTTTGCTGTACTTGTACAAAAAATACTGACTAGACTTCCAAGATTGTACCAGTATTGGTATATCTATCTACATATAATTGGATTGGGCGCCATATTTTATTAAGTAAACTGTTACTGGCTAAGGACAATCCTAACTGGTCAATTGCTTCAAGAACTTTGCCTGATGAATTTCTGAACGAGCTGGTGATGTACATTCATGTCTTGAAATGATCAACGGGTGTGACAATTATCTAAAGATATCTCAATCTCTAACTGTCATGTTGAATATACACTGACACCAATGTTACTACAGTAGTAATCACTTTGATCAGTAGATTAAATCAAAGCCAGAGAATCCCTCCATATTTAGCCATAGTTTAGATGTTAAGCCTACGTTAATATTTTCATGAATTGCAAGGAACATTCGGGTTCAATTTAAATGAATGAATATTCCATTGTAGGACACCGACATTATTTAATATTGTCTATTTTCTGTTAGGATTATTCCCAATTGTATAATGAAAGCTAAAAGTGAACGTCGAAGGTTGTTTATTGGAGATCAAGTAGAGGATTGTAGAGATGCTTCTGGTCTGTTTTATATACTTCCATTTCAAAAGGTTAGCAAGTTCCTGTTCTCCTTGAAATCACGCTTACATAATTTAAAAAAATGTAATATATTGTTTTAATGATTTCTATTTCAGGGTCTCCTTGTTAACTGGGACATACAAAAGACTATTTGGGATTATATATTCAGCAAAGACTGCTGTCCAACAAATTTTTCTGAAACTCCGTGCATAATAACTGAGCCATATTTCAATTTTGCCTCTATTCAAGAAGCTATGGCAGAAATATTCTTTGAAGAATTTGAATGCCAATCATTTTTGAGAAAACCAGGTAGTTTCAATCCCCTCTTCATTAAGGATTAATGAAGCAGAGAAAAAATAAAATAATTAAAATTTTCATTATACTGAGAAAAAATTAACAATGAAGTAAGATATGATACATTTCACAATTAATTATAATTTATTGTGAAATTTATTTTTTAAAAGTGTATATTTTCTAATTTAGACGAGACCATGGTGGCTAGGTTCATTCTGGTAAGGTCACATTTTTTCAAATGTTTTATTTCTTGGCTTCACTCTTGGAATTGAGAAAGTGCTGTGAAGTTATATTAGACTTTTTGTCTGTGACTCAATATGTAGTTGGTCATAAAGCACTTATGGCTGGAAGTACCATACTGGACTATATTGATTTGTAGGTGATGAAGTTTATGTGACTAACAATTGTTAAATCAGAGCATATTGTGGACCTTAATGTGCAAAAATATTAAGTCAGGTTTATCTTGTTTAAAATGATCTGACATTTGTTTTAATTTAATTGGCACAGTTTGGATATGCTAATATTTATTAATTTTGGAGGGACTCATCATTTTGTGTAGTTTAGGGCTACATCAAAATAGTTTTAGTTCATTAACAATTAGAATATACAAATTTTTTTTTTTTTTTTTTGCGTTATGAACTATGCATATTAGCCATGTGACAATTCGTATATGTGTGTTCAAATTTGGGTGGGGGGGGGTTATTGTGAAAAAAGGGCCAGAGGCGACGGTGGGAATCGAACCCACGACCGCGGCGTGAGAGTCTCTCATGCTAACCACTCGGCTACCGCGGTCCCCAGAATATACAAATTAAGAAACAAAAGATTTATTTTGTACTTATCTAGTCAGCTTAAAATTTTAGAGAGGTCAGCATACTAGGACAGACCAGGATTATTGAAAAGGTGGCCAAATTACATGTTCACTACACATACCATAACAAAATATCTCAAAATTTTGAAATTATTATCAAATAATGGATTAATAAAATTATAAATTATACAGAATCAATATATCCAGTTATAATTCACTGCATTAATTATTTTAATTAATTACACTTTCATATGTCTTGGTTGAAACAGCTAGTGCCGCATCTTAGCCAAGACCTTAGATAAAAGTACAATTAATGAAAATTGTACAGAATTTGCATTAAGACCAACTCGTATCTCTTGGTGAAAATTAGTTTCTTATACATAATCCGTGGTTGCCACCCTAGTTGTGTTTTAAGGAGATTGGGAATGTGGTCGAATTCTTTTTTAATATAAACCCTGAAATAAGTCCATACATATTGCAGTAGGCACAGGCGATACAGAAAGTTACTGATATGCGATTGTAAGAAAATGCTTCAAAGTCTGAAATTCGAGGTGAAGCTTTGTACTTATCCCCTGTGACTAATGAGAGTCTAATGTACTTTGAAAGCATTTTCACAGATTAATTAAGAAAAAATTCTCTTGATTATTAATTATGCATTTAAAATGTCCTTAATAAGTTTTTTTTAAATTTTTGAAAAACCTTTTTATCTAATTATTTATAATTTTTTGTTAAGCTGGAGATTTGGTGGAATACCATTACAGGCAACTTAGTCCAACTATTCAGGCATGCCTCGTAGTTGACCTAGGTTACAGTTTCTCCCACGTTGCTCCCTATATCAAAGGTAAAGCACTTAAAAGTGCAATTAGAAGGATTGATGTTGGTGGAAAAATTTTAACAAATCATTTGAAAGAAATTATTTCCTATAGGTAAACATATTTTGCTTTGGCTTTACAATATATTTAAGCAAAAAAAATATTTTCTATACTTTTTGGCTCAAATTTAGGCAATTACATGTAATGGAAGAAACTTACGTTATGAATCAAGTAAAAGAAGACACTTGTTTTGTTTCTAATGACCTAATGGCAGATATGGCCATTGCAAAACTGAAGTATCCAGAAAATACTATTGTTAGGGATTACATTCTTCCAGATTTTACAAAACTAAGAAGAGGATATGAAATTACTTTAGATAAACCTCCAGTCTTGGAACAGGTAGAAAATTTGAAATCATTCAATCATCTTTTTCTTATTAATTTTTTTTTTTCAGCAAAAACTGAGAATGAACAATGAAAGGTTTTCGGTTCCTGAAGTTCTTTTTTACCCTTCTGATGTGGGTATCAATCAGATGGGAATATCAGAGGCGATACACAACAGTATAGAGAGCTGTCCAGAAGAAGCCCGATCCCATTTGTACAGGAATATTGTTGTTGTCGGTGGAAGTTCTCAATTTGCGGGATTTAAAGAGAGGCTGTTTAAAGATGTCAGATCTTCGGCACCAGATGAATATGACGTTCGCATTCATGTTCCGGATAAGTGAGTCACTATAATTATATATCTAAATAAGGTATTTATCAATTTTTTTCCCAGTCCGATCACTTTTGCCTGGGAAGGAGGAAAGCTATTAAGTAAAGATCCTGAATTTTACACTTATGTTGTCACAAAAGAAGAATATGAAGAGGAAGGCCCAACAATATGCTTAGAAAGATTTGACAGTTAACCAATGCACTGACATGTACATAGTTGAATACTACAATTATTATATTGCTCCAATTATTAAAATAAGATCTTATTTATATAAATAAACTTTAAACATTTTTTAAATTATTTTTCTTTTTTTTATTGTTGTAGATATATTAATCTCATCAGCTTAGTACAATTTCATCACATTTGTTGGTGTTTGGAAATGGCTTAAAGAAGTCAACCTCTTTACAACCTTGCTCACCATAACCAAAATTTGTTTATTGTACAAAGTTGGAACATTTAGTTAAACCCCTAACTTTGTAATAATAGACAAAAAGGATTTTATCATTACCCAATAAGTGAAATTGTGTGGTTCTAAAACGTTTTGATTTTAAGCAATAAGTTAATTTTATATTTGTTTAAATTTTAAAATTTTATGTGGTTTAGGGGATTTTGGAAAAGCATAAAAATAAAATTAATTGAATTTATTTTTATGTAACACGGTAGGTGCGCTCATTAAAGGTAAATAAAATAAGTTGGAGATTGTAAAATGTTCTTAAAGCTAATATGATTTTTTTAACACATTATAAGGAGACTGTGTTTAGCGTGACTCTCGGCTCATCGACACCATGGCTGTGGGTTCAATCCCCCCCAGATTTTCATGCTACTCCCCCCCCCCCACAAAAAGAAAAGAAAAAAATATTCATCACTTTACAACAGTTCCATCGCGATTACAATCTCAAAACTGCAACATACAGGGAATATTTCCATATACATAATTTTCAATTAATTAAGGTTTTAAGTTGAGATAAAAAAGTCAGTGTCACGAACAGGATTCGAACCCACGACCTTCGGCTTGATACGCCGCTACTCTACCACTTGAGCTATCGTGACTTCGATCCCCTTGAGCACCAACTTCCCATCTCAACCCACCTTTTGAATTTTCCCTTCTTTTTGCGATTACAATCTCAAAACCTACAACTTTAAAACTGCAACATATAGGGAATATTTCCATATACATAATGTTATACACATCACGCCTTACAAGAACAACAACGGCTTTATGAAATAGGCGCTTAAAAAAAAAAAATCTTCTAAGAATGTTTATATATTTATATAAATTGATTTGCCTAGAACTGAATAGGCACTCAGACAACATTCAAACAAATCATCTTGGACCAATAATAATATTGATTAATCTGAAAATACAATTTGAAGATCTGTATGGACGAAATAATTAAGAAATATAAATAGTTTGGGTTTGAATTAACTTACTAAGCTTTTCAAATTGTGTTTTATTTTATTGTATATGTGTTTCGAGGCTATTTATACCTCCTCTTCAGTACATTACTTCTAAAACGTAATAAAATGATTACACATCAGATAAAAACTTAAAAATAACTTTAAATAAAATTGTGTTCTTACTTTGATGAGCTCAAAATCCATATACAATAAAAATTGTAAAACACAGTTGGTAAAGCTTAAGTTTATTCAAACCAAAACAAATTGGAAAAACATACAACAATAAAAAGAATAGAATCAAAAATATAAATAGTATTTTTTAAAAATAAACAGTTCCAAAAAAGATAAAAAATATACTTATTAATGAACTAATAATTAATATTATGTACACCAAAATCATAAATCTTATAATTAATTGTAAAAAGGATTATACGTAATCCAATGAGCTTTATCTTGTGTCTTTGCAGCTGAACTTGAGGTGAATAGTGATTTGTAAACTGTTGAAGCATTAGGATCTTGGGCGACTGAATAACTTCCTTTAGTCTTTTTAAAGTCAGGTACTTGCATTCCAAGGCTTCCAGCAGCAGGACGTTTTATCCCATCTGAAAAATATATTAGTTATTTGACAATAATAGAAAAAAATAAACAAAAATCTTACTTTCACCAGGAATTTGTTTCTTGGATGATGTGGCTTTTGATTCGCCGTTTTTTTTATCTTCAAGAGGGGTTTCGTTCGTTTCAACTTTCTTTTTCGATTTTTTCTCTGCTTTCAACTTAGCCTGCCTTTCTTCCATTTTCTTTCTGTTTGCTTCAATATCATCACCAACAGGATTTAATACGACAATATCTTCACTAGAGATGGGTTTTTGACACTGAAAATTTTATTTTTATACAACAACACTAAAGAGAACTTTTACTACATTTTACATTATTTTTTTATTTATTACCTTTTGGCATAAGTTGGATTTTAATTCTTTAAAAGCTCTTTCTGACAAAACACATCCACATGACCAACTGAAACAGAACTTAAAATTTCCATTCATTTCTATTCCAACAAGTGGGCAGATGTATGGTGCACTTAAATGATCATCATAGCTGTCTCCTTTAATCGCACTTGCGTTAAACACAGGATTGGGAGTCAGCTGAAGCTCTTTAACGTCCTACAAACAGGCATACAAACTATTAAGCAAAAAAGGAAAGGAAAAACAACAATTAAAAATAAGCTTAATAACAATGTAATTTATACCTTCAAATTCTTTATGTGTTTAGCTACTTCTGGGAAATTTCCCTTATCTAAAATTCCCATTATGACGGAATCTTTGTTATATAGTCTACCCAGTCCACAAGCGACAATGGGCGAACTAAGTGGAGTTTGAGTTATACTGCAATGTCTCCAAAGAAAATTCTTTTCAGACACTTTATCTTTCTAAAACATAACAAATTGAATATTTTAGACATAAACATCAAATTGGTTGCAGGTTTGGTTTGTTATGAATTTGCTTCTCAGCATTAGCCTTATTATTTTCTTTGATAGTTTGGTTAAATAACAATCAGAAGATGTGTTGTAAAGAGGTCAGACCACTTGCTTACAAAACTTGATTGGCATAAATCCCCCATATGGTGGCACCAGATGCTGAATATTTGCCAAGACTTGAATTGCTCTTTTGGCATTCACCAAATAGTGTGCCTACATGTACATACATGCAGGGTTTGAACAACCGCCCAGTTTGTGCGGAAACCACAAATATTCGCCAAGTGCCGTATGAATCCTCAAGTACTACCAATCGTGATGGACAACAGTGAACCTGCGGTTACTTTTTTTGTGTAGTGGCTACAAACTCAGTCACAAAGTAATATTGCCCCACCTTACTTTCGACCTGTTTCCACGCATCGAAAAACTTTTTACGATTTGTGTGATGCGGAAGAGAAGCGTTCAACCAAATTATCGGTTCTGCTTGATCAAAGAACTCCAAGACTGTTATGTTGGGCCAATCAGAAACAATGTTATGTTGTTCTTTCATTAATACACCTATACTAGTTAGGAATAGTTTATTATTGAAAAATAAATAGCAGTAAATATAAGTATATACTTTCAATCCATTCCCACCCATTGAAAACCTCGTTCCAATTTTTGTAATTCAAAAGAGAAGCATACCAAATTTTTGGTTAAGATGGAGGTACTCCAAGACTGTAAAGTTGGGCCAACAGAAATGATGCTATATTGTTCTTTCATGAAAACATTTATACTAGTTAGGAATCGTTTATTATTAAAAAATAAATAGAAATCAATAATAACTGTTGAATGATGATTACAGTTGATTCCCATATGTGTGGATGCTTTGAGTTCGGCTACTTCATGAATATTCATGCATTTTGAAGCGGACAAGAAAACCAACAATTAGCCAAACAAGGCGAGCACCAAATAGTGTTGCTCGGCGAATAATCGAATAATAAAAACTAGTCGGGATTTGGTGAACCTTTGCTCATTTGGCGAATCCTGCATGTCTGGAGTCACACAGGAATACTTCACCTATTGGACAATACTATTTACCCAAAATTATCTATACATATGATTTATTGCTAATTGAAGATCGTTTTATGGTCAATATTACTATGATTTTTTTAAGTAATAAATTTTATAGTAAAGTTTGACAAGACTACAGATGATATGATGCACATGATGGTATGTAACCAGGATTCTGGTTTGGATGCCTGTCATGGCACTGCCATCTAAGAAGAAACAGTGTGCAGATACCGCCAATGGCCAGAAACGGCAAACATTATATTTTTATGATGGCCTGTGAAGGTGTACATTCTTGTAACTAGGAGAGGAAAAGCCTCAAGTAAGTTCCTACACAAAGCAATCGATGAAGGTTTATTGACAACCTGAAGCTGGCCAGTGAGTTATAAAAAATACGAGCGCAATATATATCATTCAGGTCGATGTGCTAAAGCTCTTGTGGCCGCTCCTTTTATCCCTAACTCAACACACATCTAATAACGTCCGGTTTATCCACGGAATCTTCCACAGACAAGTACGTCTAATTGACTTAAATCAGACTCTATCACGTGAAACTTAATAGCCTCGATCAAGGTGCTAAACGTTGAAAAACTTCTCGCGTTGATCGTCTTGAAAAATGAGCGATATTTCCAACATTTAAGTAATTATCATTATAAGAAATCAAACTACAACTGTTGAAAAGGTAATTGTTTACTAGTACAATATTTCTTGAGATTAAGCAACAATGGACGTAATGTATGTAGTTTGTAGTTATCTGAATTGTCAAAGATTTTTTTTTTAAGCTTACCTGCTCCTTTTTCTTCTTTGTTCTAACAAGTTCATCCCTTTTTGGAATAGTTCCACCATCACAACCCATCTCGATCTGTTATGTTTTCTGTCTGTAATTATAATCAAGATGTAGTCAATTGTCAATTAACCTCAGTACAATAATATGAATAACCTTCCAACCTGCCACCAACTACTTCCCAATTGGCTTGGACTTTTGTTCAGCAAGTTTGCAGACAAAATAAAATATATGTATAAAAACTTTTTACAAAAAAATAAAAAAATACAAATAATAAAATACTGAATTAACAACCGCCGATATAATAACCAATAATTGAAATGTTGGTAATAATTACAACACGGAATTTCATCAAGAATATTAACGTTGTTTCATATAATAGTGTGTATATAAAAGGTTGTACTTTTGATTATTTTATAGAATTATACAAATCCAGATATTAAGACTGTAGGGATTTGTTGAGTGAAATTTGTTGTAAATATAATAATCATAAGCTCATAACCATCGATTTTACTGACGATGTTATATCGTATGGGTATCTAGTCTCCTTCCGCAAGGAGAGTTATAAGGTTAAAGGATTAGTAATAGTTTAGTTTTTCTTTTTAGGTTTTGATTTAATAGTTAACAAGTATCCTTAAGTGTTCGACGAGTTAAAGTAAATGTTTATATATTGATGTGTGTTTTTGATTTGTTGGACAGATATGACGCTCAATGCAATTTACACTGTATACATTGACTTTCTATTGACTCACTGTTTATTTTATCTAATAAATTGACATTTTGTAATTTATCTTTTTTAATAGGATTGTGGGAGTTGAAATGTAACAGCTTAATGCTAATCGAATCGAACAATGAGTACATCTAAAGAAAGATTTATTTATGGCCGAGATACAAGTAGTGACACGGAAGATTATCAAGAAATCGACGAACACAGGAGAAAAGTGTTTAAAAATCGCTTAAGGTAAGACTACTATAGTCGTTTGGTTGAGTTTTAAAACAATAATTTAACTTTAATTTATTATCTCATGTTACATTATAAATACACTTGGTAGAACTATGGATTTTACAGCTTTGTGACTTACCATCCAACAGGCGGACAAGATGGCACAACCTCAAAATCCCAACTATCCAAATCCTTATCACTGTGAATGAACTGTACCTAACACACCAGGCCCAAGCCGCATCCTTCTGACCACCATTCCTTTAATAAATGATCCCATTTGATTTTAAAAAAATTAAAACTTTTGACTTACAACCTCTAATAATTCTGAGCAGCCATCCATTCCCCTATGTCGAGACGAAGGATCATAGGCCCATTCTGAAAAAGCTGATACATTTGCTCGACATCTCCACAATGAGCCTGACAATATTTCAATCAAAACATATATTGAAGAATATTTTATATCTCCCCTCCCTATATCCTTCCATCCGAACATTGTCACCCCTTCAGGTCAAATACATCCTGTCACACTTACCGAACCACAAAGCTCCTGATTTTGAACTAATTACATCCCAAATTCTCCAACAACTCCCTCAAAAAGCTATTCTATTCCTCACATACAATTGTATCCAAATATATATTTCCCTCTGGAAATATTTAAACATATTCCTCTTCCTGAAACTCGGCAATTCAGTTCAAAAAGCCTCACAATATCGTACAGTCTGTCCATCGTGTCCAAAGAAATTAAAAAAATTCTTAAATACTATTACCAAATTCACTAATTTCGTGGTCCGCTTGACCAATTAATATATTACAATTAATTAAGGTTTTTAGTTGAGATAAAAAAGTCAATGGCATGAGCGGGATTCGAACCCACGATCTTCGGCTAGATACGCCGCTGCTCTACCACTTGAACTTTCATGACCTCGATCCACTCGGACACTAACTTCCCATCTCAACCTCACCTTTTGAATTTTCCTTCGTTTTTGCCATTTTTCAACTATTTAACTATTACCAAAATTTAACTTTTCTAACCTTCTCCCAGATCGTCAGTTTTGCTTTCGCCCTCATCACAATCAGCAAGTGTTTCATGTTACAGACCATATCCTCCTCTCTCGAGCAGAAAGAATATAGTATTTAGCTTTACTTGATGTGGCACTAGTGTTCGACCGCGTGGCATAAGGGTCTCCTTTATGTACTTCAAAATACCCTCTAGTTAATCCTCCACCCTTATTTTTACCAAGCGGTTTTTTCGGGTCTAACTCTAACAAGGATCAGATTACTCTAAATACTGTTCTCTGGCCACAGGAGATCGTAGGGCAATGCGCACAGAGTTTAAAGCCTTTATACTGCAGATGTTATCACTATACCTACCTCCCTCCTTGCATATTTTGCACCTGTGTCCATGTCACATTTACACTCTAACAATTTACATAAGCCTAAACATACTCTATGGTCTACTCTAAAATCTTATGATGACAATCTAATCCATCAATGAAAAATACTTACAAGCTACAAAATGCTACTACAACCGATTTGGACATACAACCTTCTAATACCCAATATCTCCAATCCTTTCAGTCTAAAGTCCTCAGATCTTTTATTATTGCACCGTATTACTACCCAACTAATTTACCCTCCACAAACGATCTTAAAATCCCATTTATCCAAAAATTAATTTCCCAAAAATTTACCTAGTTCCATAATAATGTATCCCCTCGCCTAAATAGTATTGGCCAAAAATTGTCCGACAGAACCCGTCCCTACAATTCTGTAATGTGTCTTAAGATGAAATGCCCCACGACCTCCTTTCTGAGGAGTAGGTAGTGAAGTTTATTTATTGAAGTGAAGTGGGAGAATAATATGGATTATTTGTTCCCCTTAATGTAAACAGCACTTATATCTACATATCATCAAATTATATATTGCATCAGAAATTGCAGATTGTATTAAAATATTGAAGAAAAAAATTACTGTCTGCATTCGGTGATGGTGTTTTCAATATATCCCTAAGGTAACAAAATATTGTTTTCAATTAATTTTTTTTATTATTATTTAATCAGTTAAAATTAACCTTTTCGGTACTGATTTTCTAATTTTGCTAAAACGCGTACCCCTGCCTATTGGAGGTCTTCTGTCAGATTCTTCTTTTACCCCCCCACCTCTTGAATTTTGCATTATGCCTCGAATTTCATAGCGTTCGCTTTAAATCACTTTTACTCCTTCTATGTTCAAATGCATCAATTCTGTTCAAAATTTGAGAGTACATTCCTCGGATATTACACTTTACAGCAGAAGGAAGTAAATATAAGGGGGGGGGGACCAAAGTTGTATTTAATTGAAAATTTATTTAGCTCAAAAAGTCTTCATTAAACTATATTCTAAAACACACTCAGTGTTACAGTGCTTAGAAACGTTGAAACTGATTCAGTCTTCAAAGCAATATGAAAACCATCTATTAAAAACTTATTTATGTCAATTTGTTAACATATTTAAGATTTATTTAGAAATCGTGAGATGTGGTCTGGATTTCACAATTTCTAAATAAATATCGATTAACGGTCAGTAATCACCATACATATTTAAGATGGTTTTGCCCTGATTATGACCTTAAAATAGGTCGAAAGCTTGGCAGTAACAATTGAATTTGTTTTTTCTAGACCATACTGAGTTCCAGATTAGCGATTAACTGATATTATTTAGGAATTATTATTTGGCTTTTGTTTCTTATTAATCATGGTTTCAAAATTTGAAGTAATGTTTATCACAAATTCTTCTTCAGGCTCAACAGATAGGATCATTTCTGCAGATCCCTCTGATAATTTTTGTCAGAAAGCCTGACTCTATTTTAAGATTGTTTCTACTAAGGGAAAGTACCATAAGCCCTGTTTAGGTGAAGGGCCTAATGAAGATTAGTTAGAATGTTGCGACTTCTAACTGGGTTTATCTTTGCCTTTGTCTTCTGACCCAGTTAGATTAATTTGTATAAAAGTGGATTTATTGATGCCTGTGGCCTATCTTGATAGATCCTCTTGTTAGCAAATTTTCCCTGTCTTATTTAGTACTGATTCTTTTCTTACTCGGCACCCTGGTTGGAAAGACTACCTAGGGCGAATGTACCATCTCTGCTTTTAATTTATCTTAAAATTCTGATTGGAACACATGTTCAACAGGAACACGTTTTTCAGGAGGAAATATTTCTTCTTATCTTTTTAGTTACTGCTGAATACACCATGCTCCGACGTACCAAGTATGAGTATAAATAAATAAAACAAACGTATTACCTAAATCATTGGCCACTTTATGAACAATGAACTTTTTTTCTTTTGTGTAGAGATTCTTTTTTTCTTTTATCAAAAATATTTGAAAATTACGTCATAATTCAATTGTATTTTAGTATTTGTCAGTATACAGAATGTGTGTTCTGCAAGTTTTAATTTTTTTTTAAATAATTTTTTTGTGTTATTTGCATCATAAGAATTTTGTAATTGTTTTAGTTACTGCGGTTCCTCTAAGCCCAAGCCTTGTTTGGTGCAGAAGAGCTCTCCATCATTGTCAAAACAAGGCATGAGCAATATCTCTAGAGCTAGGTGAGACATTTTTCAAAACATATTATTTATTTTGTGTATTTTAAAATCTTTATGATAAGGGTAATACTGATAAAATTAAACTTTTCTCTTGCAATGATTTTTAAATGTTAACCATATTAGTCAGCACAAAGTTTTACAATTAAATCCCAAAATAGGGAAGGATAAATACTATGTCTCGCCTGTTTACTATACTGAGATTATCGTATATCGAGAGTAGAAAATTAAAAATTCATTATATCAAAAGTTGTGCAATACTTACGTAATACATAATAATATATAATACATTGTACATATGTCAGTAAAAAAGTTTTTATTTTTTTATATGTGCGTATATGTTATTATAGTAAACATTTATGTATTTTTGAAAATATTAATAAATTTTTGATTCCACTAAAAATTTATTGAAACGTGTGCTGTCTAATGCTGATAATTCAGTGATTAGGAATGGTGTAAATTCCTACGTTTTCATTCAGCTAAATATTATGTACGATAAATTTTTGTCCTCTTTAGTACTCATACTCAGAACTTCTTTTTATGGTTCTTTGCTTTTTTCACTATACACTTGTCTGTTTCAGTTAAATTTGCATTGTTATTAAGCATTCCAGTAATTGCAACATATTGTTAAAATTAACAAAGTTTTGAAAAGTGATGGGATTTTCTTCATTTTCTGACAACATATGCCATCCGATGGAGGCGAGGATTTCATTGTCCAGTTGTATGGTTGATATCCCCTTTTAGGAAACCACAAGTTCGGAAACAATTTTTTATCATGGTTACCATTACCCTTTTCCACACTTTGTTGGCAATATTAATTCAGTAAGCAATATGATTTAGCTAGTCAGTGGTATCGGGTGTAACAAACAATATCCTGGAAACACGTACCATTGGTCACAATAGACCCCTGTGGTCTTCATGAGATGAATCTCAGTTCATCCTAGTAAGGAAACTCCTAACATCTATTCATACATTTAATCAGGACTTCAATGCTAAAATAAGAAGACTTTTTGTCGACCTTGAAGGCGGAAAAAAATATGTTATACCTAGGAGATTGAAATGCATTGGTTTTATACAATTTAATGAGGGTTTTTTTTTAAAGGACCATCACTTTCTTATGATATATTGGTATAGAAAATATCAAGGTTTTACTGTTAGCTATACAATATTTGATCTCTTCGGTAGTGAAGGATGGAGACACAAGTCTAACACAAATTAATTTTTTATTTAATAATTAATTATAATTAAGATATCTTTTATGCATAAGACAATTGGTTTTGCATTTTTCTTTTGTAAATAGGACTCATATTAAGCTATAACATCTTTTCTCAGACTTTTTGTTTTATTCTACTGTATATAATTGGTAGGATATGCTAAGAATAAAATTACAGTAAGATAATTACATTATCCAGTGTAACAGTAAGAAATAATTTAATTTAAAGTAACGAATCTATAGTTAATATTAAAAAAATCAAAATTTTATAGGCTTTTTTTATCATTACACAGATAAGTAAAATACTGAATATTTTAGCAACAACATTGTAGCAAATTTACTAAGTATATCTAAATTATTATTTGTCTCTGTGATAATTGCAATGTAAGAAAAATAACATATGTATTCACTGTTTAGCAATAAATTATTATTTTTATAATAATTACTGGAATGCAATCATAGGTAAATGTGCACTAAAAGATTTATTGGTTTATTAGGTCAAGAAATAATTTTTCTGCTTCAAAAGCTCAAATGAATCAACAAGTTGTATTAAATGCTCCTGGATCAAGTAATATGAGTGAAGAGAGGGTGACATTAGTCGTTGATAACACAAGATTTATAGTTGACCCTGGTATTTTTACTGCACATCCGAACACAATGCTAGGAAGGTATGAACTGTGTTCTCCTTAGGTCTTACGCCATTATTAAAACTTGATTATTGTTTTAGGATGTTTAGTTCCGGTCTTGAATTCACCCATCCGAATGAAAGAGGCGAGTATGAAGTTGCTGATGGCATATCTGCCACCGTATTTCGTTTAATCTTGGAATACTACAAAGGAAAAATGATTAAATGCCCTCCGACAGTGGCAGTACAGGAATTGAGAGAGGCGTGCGATTACTTACTGATTCCTTTTGATGGAAACACTGTAAAATGTCAAAATCTAAGTTAGTACCTAATTTTCCTATCACATTTCTATGCCTCAAATTCTCAATAATTGTTCAAATATGGGTTTTGGTGACTTACAATTGTTCTTTTGGTTGCCAGTATCGCATCTGAAAAATAAATATTTGTGTTTAACTAAATAAATAAATACTGTTAAAGGGGGTCTACTTCACGAGCTGTCTAATGAAGGAGCACGGTGCCAGTTTGAAGTCTTTCTAGAAGATCTTATTCTTCCTTTGATGGTCAATTCTGCCGACAGAGGCGATCGAGAGTGTCATGTTGTTGTTCTTCTAGATGATGATTCAGTTGATTGGGATGAAGAATATCCTCCACAGATGGGAGAAGAATATTCTCAAAGTAATAAATTTTTATCTTTATTTTATACACATATAATATTCTAATATATATTTTTAATTATTTTAGCCGTAAATAGCACTGCAATGTATAGATTTTTTAAGTACATAGAGAACAGAGATGTCGCTAAACAAGTGATGAAAGAGAGGGGACTCAAAAAAATCCGATTAGGAATAGAAGGATATCCCACTCACAAAGAAAAGATTAAAAAAAGACCGGGAGGTCGTGCTGAAGTAATTTATAACTACGTCCAACGTCCATTCATTCATATGTCATGGGAAAAGGAAGAAGCAAAGAGTAGACATGTGGATTTCCAGGTAAGGTTTTCAAATGGAGATTATATACAATATTGCTCATAATGACAACATAAATTTCATTTCTCAGATTATGTTTAACTTGACAGTTTCCATGTAGACAGTTAAGTGTTTTCCATCTTCGGGTTGGCAAAGTTTAAACCGCACCTTTTAATCTTCATAAACTTATACTATTTGCCTAAAAAAAAGCATAAATAGATGATCTAATCACCAAGTTAATGCAAGAATGAAGTCCAAAATGCTATACTCTGAAATGCAGTTAATAGAAATTTAGAATTAACCAATTCTAATTAAAATAAATAACATTCAGATTATAAGAGAGAAAAACATGTAGAAGAATCCCCAGAATAGAAATACACAGAATATTATGAAAAATTGGACTAAACACATTTCTTAAGCAAGAGACTAGTTTCCCCCTCCCGATTTAAAATTTGGAAAACAATAATATTTATGAAATCATTAAACTAAAACCTCTAAAGATGGCAAAATTATCCCTTCCTATTCTCTTTTATCTCTGCAATAATAGTCTGCAGAAACCATGATCTGATAGGACCAACCGATCAAAGAAAAAAGAACTGGGAAGCAAAATAAGGTACAATTCGATATTCACTTGATGAGGAGTGAACACAAACTGGGACCGGTCGAGGTAAAGTCAGGCCAAACACCGGCCCCCTGGTCCAAAGTTGAAAGGGCATAAACAATTAATGATTGGAGAAGTAATATTTATTAATGATAGGAAGGGATAATTTTGCCATGTTTAGTGGTAGTTCTCAGAGATTTATGACAGAAAAATCTATTCACATAGGCTGACCAGAAATATAGGAAACAATCAAGCTGTAGTTCCTTTGCCCCAAAGGCCTGGCCCCAATATTTCATAATTTGAAGCCTAGTACATATTCTGCGACTTTGTCCTGGAACAATCCCGAGACTGATGTGAAGACAGTTGGGCTACAGAAATCAGGGCACAATGTTATGAGAAATGGCACTTTGCACTCTTAATGCATTTGGAAAAAAAAATTGTTATTAAATAAGAAAAGATGTAAATATTAAATGTCCTGGAGAATAATTTTTTCCAGAATTCAAGTTGTTTTGAATCTCCTTGAAAAATTGAAATCAGATAACGGCATGGTTGGAGAAAAAAAAACATATTTAAAGGGGAAGGAATGTACAAAAGTTGTTGCACATCGTATCAGTATGATCTGTTTTCTGTGGCCAACTGGGAAAGGACTTGTATATCGTGATAGTCGCAGAACAGGAAAAATTGTCCTCGAATATGCCGTTTCTTGTCCCGAGACAACGTGTTCCAGAACAAATATCGCTATGTGTGTACTAGGCTTAAAATTATGCTTGCCTTTAGCAAAGAGTTTGATTTTGATAATTTTGTTTTAAGAACAACCAACTCTTTTTTGATTAAGTTTAATTACATTAGATCATCAGATTTATTATTATTTAAATATGATAGAATAATTTATTTATTTGTTCCAGTGTGTCAAATCCAAATCGGTGACAAACCTTGCTGAAGCTACTGCTGATCCCGTTTTGGAATTGGATGCTAGGGGAAATCCAATTCAGTTGGCCGCTGGTATTCCATCCACAGAAGGGGAAGAAGGAGCTGTTGGTGGAGTCGATCCTCCTCCTCCTGTCCATTTCCCAGCAGATTGATTCTCGTGAATCAATTTTTATAAATATTTGTTTAACAATTTTTATTGCTTTTAGTCTTTCTTGCCATGGGGATGGTATTTTGATTGTATATTAAACCAATGAAGCATAAATTATATTAACTGATTGTAAGAGTTTTACAAGTGAATGCATTAATTTTTGTTTTTCTTGTTCACTTTACTTACGTATATATGTATCCATTGTGCCAAATGTACTTTTAAAGAATCTCCATCTTGTATGTTTACAGTCACTTGTAGTAATATTGCATTTCATAAGATAAATAATATTGATTTTAAGACAGTTTATTTTATTATTTTCATGAACACTATAGTGTAGCTTTGTTAAAAATAAAATATGTTTCTAAAAAAAAGTGAAAGTTGTTTATTTAGATTTTAACTAAAAGCTCTAGCCTGTTATTTTTTTAAATTGATGATTGCAACACTATAAAAACTTTTTTTGTAAATATGGTAAAATGCGGTTGAAATGGGAGTCGATGTCCAAGAGGATTGAAGTCATTATAGCTCAAGTGGTTAGAGCAGCGGTGTATTTAGAGGTCATGGGTTTGAATCCCAGTTGTGAAACTAACTTTTTCATCTCAACCAAGTTCTTAGATAAAATGTATAATTAATTGAAATAATTAATAGGGTGAATTACGTTGCTTTGGAAGGTTAATGATGATAGAAAAATGATTAAGAAAAAATATTGTTCTATCAGCTCACAGACCAAGACCACCTTCAACTTATATGAAAAAAACTTGTTTAAAAAGAATAGAAAACAGGTCTGGAGTAAAGTATCAGTATAGAAATATCATTACTATTAATTTAATTTGGAAGTATTGCCAGATCTGAGAGAAGTGATTTTAACTCTGGACTGTTTTTTTGTATACTGTTGTTACATCTAATAAACACCGATGGTGCAATAAGTTGACCCAGTGCTCATCGCTGAAAGGTAAAGGTCCCAGGTTCGAATCCAGTAGCTCTACATTTGAACCCGACACTAACAAACGAGCTTTTTCCAAAAGAGCACAGCAAGCAACCAAAACTCAATCTTCTCATACAAAGTATCGATCATTGACTTGTTTCATTAAAATTGTGAAAATTTAACTTTTGATTATTTTTTTAATAATATTTAAACAAAAAATTAATTTAATATAAAATTTATATTCTTTATCGATGAAATAGGATTCCTGAACTTAGCTAAACCTATGAAAAAAGAATTAAAATCACGTTAAATGTTTTCTTTTTTTTTTCACTAACGCCTTATCAATATTACTTTATTGTTTGATACTGTGAATGGGTGTAAGAAATAAAATAATAAAGTTTCTAAAAAAAATTATAATAGGAGCTATGTGCACATAAAACACCTTTATATTACAAAGACCAGCATCAATTTATAATATGTACAATAATTTTATTATTAAAATATCCTTATAACTGTTACCCAAACTATAAAGTAAATGATATTGCTTAAAAAAATAAAATAAAAACAAAATAATAGCTGTACAAAACAATATTTTGCCTATACATACAAATGATTATGTACATCATTAAAATCTCAACATTTAACTAAAATAACAAATAAACGTTTTATAAACACAATAAAAACAAGAATTAAAAAATAAATATAATTAATAAATATTTTTGTTAAAGACATGTTTCATGCTCTAATTTTTTGTGAACTGTAGGTAATGGTATTCAAGTGTAATATCCCTAAAAGGTAAGTTATAGATTGTCTTCAATGCCAAAATATGATATAATTTTTCTAAATCAGGTACCAAAAAAAAAAAGAAAAAAAAAGAAATAAGAATAAAAAAATGAAAAGCCATCTTAACATATCTAAGTTTAATAATAACAATTTGGGCCAGTCATTAACATTTAAGTACTTTTTTTCAAAATCTCTCAGAAGAATGAACATACTATAATTACATGGACAATGCCTTTCTCTTATATTAAATATTGTGATTTTATTTTCATTTTAGTTCCAATTTAAAAATGAGAATTATAATAGGTGACTTTTTTTTAAGCATAGTTGACATGATGTGTAACAGTTAACTTTACAAATTAATTGAGAACAGATGATACATAATTATTTGAATTATTATTTTTTGATTTTTATTATATTGTTTAATGGTGTGAAGTGAATGATCTCTAAATTATGATTCCTATAGAATTTTTTAAATATTAAATTAAAATTATTTTCTTAACAGAAAATTACAGAATGAAAAAGTCTGTATATGTAAAGTATAAATTGTGTTAGTGTATATATGTGTGTCTGTGTACATATATATAAATTAATATCTAATAGAAAAACGTATATTTGGAAATACTTTCGTTATTCTTTTGTCATTAATGTTTTTTTAGACTCCTATTTTGTAGCAATGTTAAAAGATACTGAAATTTTCTTGCTTTAACAATTGTCAATTTGTTTGTATGAATGCCAAAACCTCAGTTTTAATTTAAAAAAATTAAAGAACAAATAGTTGTTTACACAAAACAAACTAAAAATTAAGAATATTAATATTAGAATTACAATTTAGAGCGATTAGGATTTGGTCATACACAACTAATTTTTTAAACATTTTCTCCCTAATAGTACAACCTAACTGAAATTATTAATATAATTTACAAGCATTGTGGTATACTTTGACACAAATTTGTACTGGAATTAAATTGGTCCGACACAAAATTCAACTGATTCGGAGTAATATTAAAAATAAATGTCATAAAAAGGAATCATTAAATTTAAACGTTAATAATGTCCTTCCTAGTCTAGTTAAATACCAAATGTTGATTTTAATTTGTTCTCGCCTATTTAGATTTTTCATATACATATTTTGAATCAATAACATAATTCATTTATACAATTTAATTTAAGAAAAACAAATTGCCTGTACAAAATTAAAGTTAAAAAAAATAAATAAATATTAAATAAGGCTTAACATATACCAGTTAATACATAATTATTTACATTATATTTACATAAATACTTTTAGAGGCAATAACATTATATGTGAATTGTACATTTATTCTATTTATTTCTATAAATTTCATTTTCATTTATATTGGGCAAAAAATGATAACAAATAAAAACAAAAATGAACTGAAATGCTAATTGCTATAATTTAATGGATGGCAATTGTTTTAACTTGTAAAAATTTAAAGTATGTTTACATTTTATGAACTCATTTTAAACCAACCACCCATACTTGCTTTACATGTGCATTTATCATCACGTACATATAAAGCAATCAAAAATTAAAATTTAATAATTCTATTACAATCATTTAGGCCACTTTTTTTTAATGATTGTTAGTAAAACTATGTAAAGTACATAGCGGTTAAACTATTAGCCAATTATAATTTACACTGAGATAAATAAGTAAAAATAATTATTCTAAATTTGTCCAATTGTTACAAGTTTTTAGTTTTATATATTTTTTTTAAGCTCCTGTAAAGGTTAAATTCCATATCGTTAACAATTTACATACATACATTATATATAATGTCGAATATATAAAAATATTCATCACACAGTATGAGTAATTGACATTTGTACATTTCTGCTGGAAAACATTGAAAATAAAATTACCTTTTAGTAATAACATTGTGCAAATTCACAGAAACCTAAGGGCTATCTACAAAATGGATGCAGGGAATATTGAAGACATCTAGATTTATACAATTACATACATATATAATAAATATTTTCTAATTATACAATTTACTTATATATTAAAATAACTGAATATGTATATATTTAAATAGCTTACTTAGAGTAAACATTTACAATATCACTTGGTGATAGCTCCAATGAATACTTATCTCAGATCATATAAAAAATTATAACTAAATAAAATAGAAAATATTAACTAATGTCATCATCTGACTTCACAGTCCTTGCTTAATGGTAATGGAGGAGGTGGTGGACGCTCAGGTTGAGAATCTGTGTCTTGTAAAACTTCACTACTTTCTATACTAACACTATCACTACTTTTTTTCATAACATACCCCTTTTCACACCTAGAAAGTTTTAATCGTATAGGGGATGTCTTAGACGTCCTAACTTTTCTCAATGCCGAACATTCACTAGTCCTTTCATCATTAGGAGAATGCTTAACTTCAACAGAAGGCTCTAAAGAGTTTGATTGCACTGTATCCTCGTTCCTCCTACCAAATCTAATTATTAGCTTTGGCGCTGCATCATCAGTAATCACCCGGACCATATCACATGATTTACTAACGTTGTTGTTGTTTCCGCGCTTTTTTCTTTTTCTGTTCCCGGATTCGAGAGTTTTCTCTTCTTCGTCAAAATCTGCCATGACCATTTTCCTAAATTTCATACTTTCGCGTTTTAATTCTTCTACAGTCGGTTTAGGAACACCTGACAATCTCTTTTTCGGAGGCCTTTCTCTTAAGTTCTTTTTATCTTCAGAAAAGGTCGTAACACTGGCACTGTCACCACTACTACCGAGTTTAATTTTCAGTTTTGGTGTTACAGACGAAGGAGCAGAAGTACTTGAAGCTTTAGCTGTTTTTCCTCTCCGTTTTGTTGTATTTTGACTGGACTCATTAGATGCGTTACTGCCAACACTTCGTCTACGCTCCACATCTGACCCTTCGACCAAACTTTTTTCTTTCTTTCTTTTCTTTTCCATGTTAGCATCCACTACTGCTTTGTAATCCTCTCTCGTCGGTATAGTTGTCATAGAAGCCACAGCCTTCGGTATTGTTATTACATTTCTATTTATTAAAGGATCTTGAATCGGGACAATAGGTGTAATGCTAATAGATTCGTCCATGTTCATATCCTGAGTCCAATATTGTCTGAGCAATTCTTTCTTCCTCATTCGTCTTAAGTTTGAACCCGTTGAAAGACTTGCGGCTACTGTTGAAGTTGTGGCCGGTGTCTCTGCTTGACTGCTACTAATAACATTGACAACACTTGCTTGAGTAACTACCGCAGAAGTAACGTAATTTGCATCCAAAAAAGGCCCTTTGATTTTGACTTTCAACTGGTTTCTCGAATCTGCGGAGGGTTGTTTGACTTCTTCTGGTACCGTCGATGCTACCGGCGCCTCAATTTTAGGCACTGTAGATGATTTCAAAGTTTTAATTTCTTCTTCAAGTTCTTCCATAAAATCTTTCAATGATTCATTATTGGTAGATTGGTATGATTCCATAATGTGATTTTGGTATCCAGGAATTGTGGAAGTTGTGGTTGATTCAAATGAAGAGTATGAACTTACATTAACAGGGGCTTGTAACACAGGCTGTACAAATTCAAGTCTGGAGTTTTCAATAATGGGTTGATTTTCATCTACGGCTTCCTTACTTCTTCTAGGTAATGGACTAAAAGTGGCATCTGTTTCTCTAATATCACTGTAGCTTCTAGATTTGACAGTTGAAGAGCTAACAAATTTAGGAGACACAGAAGGTTCTTTTATAGGAATAGCAACATCCTTTTTATCATGTACATCAGAAGATTTTCTCCGTTCCCTCATGGCTCTCAAATTTTCTAAACTATCACCTCCTTCTTCATCTTCATCTATATCAAAATCATAGACAGTTCCTACTAGTTTGCTATGAATGGTATTGGGATCAGAATGACCATGACCTCTACCTCTTCCCTTTCCTCTGCCTCTTCCGCGCAAATTACCACGTCCAGGCGGTCTACCCCTTTTGCTTGTACTCCCTTCTTTGATTTTCTTTATATCCAATAACTGCTTGGGAGATTTTCCCGGTGATTTTCCAGGAGATTTTGCTTGCTGAGCTATACACCTAGCAGATGTTCTTGTAGGCTTGCTGGGGCTCTTTTTCCCAACAGTTTTAAGAACTGAAGAAGGCTCTTCAGAAGGAGGAATTGTATTGGGTTTATATTCAACATGAGGCATATGATTATAATTTTCTGGAGGTTCCACATGAGAATCTTGAACATTCTGTTGTGTGCTCTCAGCTGGGAATTGTATGTTTAGCTGTGATGTTTCTGGTACTAGTTGAGAAATGGGTGAAACCATAGCTGCTGTTAGGGCCATATTATGTGAAGAGGCGGTAAATGCGGCAGAACAAGGAGGTGGCATATGCAAAGGGGGTTCCTCTGTGGGTTTGATTTGTTGTTGGTGATTAGGATACGAAGAAGAAAAGTTGGAAGCGTAAATTCCTGGAGTAGGAGCGGTAAAGGTTGGTTTATACAAAGGTCCAACTGGAAAACCAGAATTGTCCGCAAAATGAAACGCTGCTCCAGTGGATATTGCACATGATGGGTTGTACGCCACACTCGGATGTAAACCTTGGAAAGGTAGTAATTCTGAGATGATTGAGTTTGGCGGCTGCTGCGTAACATCTTCAGGCTTGGTTTGTTCCAATTCTTCTCTATGTGATAGTGAAGAAGTAGAAGAAGCTGAAGAAGATGAAGAAGAATGCCTAGAGGGCATAATTTCACTATCTGCCCATTTATTTCGGTATGGTGATGGCATCGGGTCGTAGGAATGCACACTAGGGGGTACACTACTAGGAGGTACCCACCTTTCATCGGCCTGAGCACTATTGCTTCTATCTAACTTTTCTCTACCAGGTACTTTACCAACATCAATAGGCATTCCATACGATTGATATTGAAATCGTTCACTAGAATCGTATTGTGGGATTTGTTTATCGATTCCAACCCCTTGAAGAAGGTGCTGATCATCAGTTACTCTACTTGTGTCAACTGGTTTTAGAACGCCTATTTCATCTTTATCTGGCTCCTTTGTTTCTATCTGGGGATCTGCTTTGATCTCAACTGGAACCAAAGGACTGTGCAAACCTTCATTGTCAATTTCATGGAAATTAACAATTGTTTCCAATTTTGGATTCTCAGCCAATTTTTGTTCTTGGAGTATTTCAGAGCACAAATGTTTCTGTGATGGTTGTTGTAAAACTTCTTGTAAGGCAATTTGAGGTTTTTGCTCAACGACTTCAACATCGCTAGATTCTGTATGTGACTTCTTTGCATAATCCAATCTTAGTTTTTCAACAAGATTAAGAGTTTCCCTCGCGCTATCTTCTTTAGAATCGATTTTAAATAGGAAATCACTATTGAAGCTGAACATAAGTGGATGACTTCGCATTTCTTCAGAGTCGCGGGACATGCTGAACCCATCATCATTGACAGTTTCATCCACTGCAAGAATATCATTTTCAAAATCAAATAATTCAGCTACTGTAGAATCCTTTGAAGGTGGTTGGGGAGAGAAAATCGACCTCTGGTGGTAGGGCGTTGCTAAAGAAGAATTAGCCTTAGAAGTAACTTTTTTCAACTCGTCTGATTCTGATATGACAGAAGGAAAATTGATATTCTCATTAACATTATCAATTTTTTCCAAGTGAGGAAGTGACGTTTCTTGAATGTGTTTGAACGAGGTATCCACTTGTGGAATAAGAATAGGAAGGGAATCTTTGGATAGCCCTGATTTTAAATTGAGATCATTATTTGCTAACTGACTATCATTTCCAAGTTTAGATGGTTTTTCTGTAATTTGAGTGGTATTAGATGCAACTATTTCTTCGGGGTATGGAGAAAATAAACTTCTTTGGAAATTTTTCTGATTGTCTAGGTTTGCTTGCTCAACAGAAATACAATCTTTGATTGTTTCCTCAGGTACATCTTCCACTTTGATGGAGATTTCCTCTCCTTCCAAATGTTCTTTTTTCAAATGTTTTTCAGGAGATTTAGTTTTGTGTTTCTCTGGTGATTTACTTTTCTCTATTGGCTTTCCGACTTGAGAAACCGTTGTCTTAATTTGTTCTTTCTTTTCGTTTTCTTTTACTAATTTATCCCTTTTCTCAAACAATCTATCCAGTGACTTCTTCGAGTTGCTACGACTTCCACTCTCTCTCCCTGCTTTCCTTTCAGCCATTTCTCTTTCTAAGGTGCTGGTGAATGAAAGATTTTCATTCTTTTTAGGGGACGATTCTACCACTTTATCAGCCTTCTTGCTCGAAGTTGTAGATAATTCTTGGGACTGGCGTTTCTCTTCGACTGGGATAAAGCTGGTGACATCTGATTTTTTAACACTCGAATGGGTTTCTGTAATACTTTGTTTCTCAAAATCATCTGATTTTCTCTTTCTTCCTTGAGATGAATCCTTCGCGGTGGTTTCATCTTCTTTTCTGCTAGGATGGGCTTTTCTATTGCTACTCTCTTTGACCGAAGATTCAATCTTGTTTGCATTACTGGGAGGTTTTGTTGTCTGAGAAATTTCTGGCTTTTCAGTGGTTGAAACACTCGACTTTCCTCTACGTCCACCTTTCTCTCGTGATGATTCCTCTCTCTGAGTAGGCGGCTGCTGAAATTTGAGTTCAGGCCGCCCATCGGAAGTTTTAAGCTTCTTCTCAGGCGTCTTGCTCAGTTTCTTATCAGCCACCACCTTAGAAGAGGAATCATCTTGTCTGTGAGAGTCTGAATATTTTGTAAATGTTTCTGATTTTTTAACAATATCACCTTTCTTAACTTGCTTTGGTACGCTATTGTCTTCTGAATCAGAACTTGATGAAGGTGAACTATCTTTTTTCACTTGTTTATCTCTGTCCACTAATGAAGGCATTTCAGCATTTTTGGAAAGAGCTTTATTATCTGTCTGTTTTCCCTTTTTGTCTACTTTTAGATTGGCTGGAGGATTAGAGAGATTCTTTTGTACTAGAATATGTTTAGCAGAACCTTTTTTCTTGTCCTCTTCTTCTTCTTCTGCACTCTCAGAACTCGAAGAGGATGAAGAGGAAGAAGAACCTGAAGAACTACTGCTTGAGGAAGAAGTTGACGAGGACGAGGACTTTGATGTATCAGTTTTCTTAATATCTTGGGGTCTAATAGTTCTTCTGCTTCTTTCAATTTCTTGATCCTTTTTAATTTTTTCATCTTTCTTCGCTTTTGAAAGGTCATTGATTTTGGACCGAGCCGAAGGATCGCTCTCTTGTTCATTTGACACGGGTTTATGTAAACCGCTCTTAATGTGTTCCGCTGCTTTCTTTGCAGCCTGCCTTTGAGGAACGTACGCAAGTATATCTTGATCACTGCATAGGTCCTTGTCAAACTCATATATATCATTGGAGAGTTTGGATTTATCATCCATTAGAAGTTTATTTTCTTTTACAGAAAGCTCTTTAGAACCTTTCAACTTAACGCTCTTATTCGGCTTACTCAATTTTGATTCTTCATTAGAAGACATGGTTTTTATAGCTTCTTGCTCAGAAAGAATAAGTTCACTCTTTTTCACGTGTGTAGACCTAATACTTTCTGTTGCTTTTTTAGCAGCTTGTCTTTGAGGTACGATCAAATCTGTTGTTGGATCTTTACTCTTCTGTTTTGATAGGTTTACATTTTCCTTGTCTCTGTAATATTCATCTTCCATCGAACTGTCAATGTTACGTTCTTTATTCTTGCTGGGCGATTTTTTATTGCTTTTCTTATTTTTGTGTGCCAAAGCGGTAAATTCTTTCAAAGCCGCTTTGGTCCTAAGCCGTTGTTCATTTCTTTCATCTTTCAACGAAGTATCGCTGTCAGAATCTGAATAAATATTGCTGGCACTACGTGAATCTTTTTTAACGTTAGTAAAGGGTATGAGATCATCAGAATCATCAGTGCCAGTTCTTTCTGCAAGTTCCTTTTCCATTTGCCTTAGTGATTTGCTTCTAGGAGAAGCCCAAGGCACTTTGGGTTTTTCTTCGTCTTCAGTTGAAGTATCAACCGTTATCCTAGAAATCGGCCTCTTTTTAAGCTTTTTACTTTTATTTTTCTTGTCATCGGTAGAATCCAAATCAAGCCTAAGAGGCCGTTTTATGTCCATTTCACTACCACTACTCATACTTGTATAAACACTTCGCCTCCTTTCTAAGCCCCCATTAACGTACATACGTTTGTATGGATTTTCAGGCTTCTTTCGCATCCCGTTTCGATCAATTTTATTCTTGTCTTCAAGCGTAGGCGAAGAAACTCCAGCAATTCTGGCAAGCGCTGTTTCAAAATCTGTAGACAGTTCTGAAGCCGCTGTATGAGAATAAAGTTTGTCATATATCGAGGGTCCGTGGTTCGCCTCTTTCACTGCTGTTATTTCCGCTGAACTTAGGCTGCATGATGGCTCAGAAAGTACAGCAATCTGCTTATGGAAAGTCTGTTCCCTCATTCTGAAGAATGTTCTAGACAGCTTCTCTCGTCGGCTCACCATGTAGCATAAATTACGAACCTTTAATTTAAAAAGTTATAAAAATACATATACATACAATTATTACATTAATTTTTTTTTTAAATTATCGCACTAATGAAAATACTTACCCTTTCAAGGTCACGTCTAAGCTGTACAAACATTCTCATTTTTTCTAAATCAGCTTGCTCTTGTTGCCTAGTTAGGAAGTCTACATCATCTGAACGAGGAGCAAGTAGAGGTTTATTGCAATTGGAACGCCTTTTGAGAACCCAGTAGTTGTAGATATAGACAAGACCCTCTAAATCGACATCATGATGTCCAGAGACTTCATGTGCGGAAACATGTTTTTCAAACTTGCCTTCGATTTCTTGAAGTCTAAAATGAAAAATGGCATGACGATTACATTTTAATTCAATACGAAAAAGTTATTTAAAAAGAAAGTTGTAGATCATTAATTTACTTAAATCAATAAAAAATATTACAGATAATTGTAATTTTTATAACAAACTATTGTTAATAATTAACATTTTATTCTATTAATATGTTTGTAATTGGTCCTATTTTTGAACCAAAGCATTATTCAAAGTGATTTATAATTTTTATGTTGTTTGGTTGAGATGAAAAGATTAGTGTTACGAGTGAGACTTGAACCCACGACCATTGGCTCAATATGCAGTTGCTCCACTTGAGCTATCGTGACTTCGGTACACCGTAACACCAACTTATCATCTCAACCTACATATAAAAATTATAAACTACTTTGAATATTTTATTTGATAACATTTCTACTGCTTATTTTTGTGTAAAATTATGCAAATTTGCATATATTGATAAAATAAATATTATTACTTTGCTGCTCTTGCTTGGTTTTTCTCTTCTGACGTCATATCTTTCCTCTTTTTCCTTTTGCATTCATCATCTTCAGATGTTGATCCACTTTGGTCCTTTTTAGCGACGCTGTGCTTTTCACAATATGACTAAAAATGATATTTACCATTAACTAGGAGAACATAATTTGAGTAAGAAGATCAAACTAATTATTTCTTTCTTATGAACTAAGAACCACCCTGAATAAATACAAGTTAACCGCTCAAAACTGTTTTAAGGTTTGATCATTTTAATATTACTTAATTAATTTACTACGCTCAAATAGTAAAGTTATGACGTCTGGTGAAATATTTGATATTTATGAGTAAAATAAAATCAAATGGGAACAAATTATTGACCCACTGAACAATTTTTGTACCTCTTTTTATTTCAGTCGAATAGCTCTGTCAGTGAATAAAGTTCAATTTCATTTTTTTTTTTTTGTACAATCAAAGTACATATTTACTTACACTTAAAAATAAAAATGAATGTACTTGGCATATTACCCTTAATTTAACACCATCTTCAGCATTTTCATTTTCAATTATTGCTTTCATTTCTAGACCATGTTTAAAAGCACAGGTAACATGGTATGCAACTTTACACGTCTTAACCGAGCACTGGATACATGCTCCTACTCTCTCCCTACAGAGAACACATATCAAGGCCCATCGGCTTTGCTGTTGATAAAAAAGAGAGAAAAAAAACACTGTAATGTTGTATATAAATTTATCTTTGTAATATAATTTTGAATTTAACTCACTGGTATGCTGGATATTTTTGTAATAGGTTCCATCTTTTCCACACAACCTATTGAAACCTCTGGGATCCAGAGAGCACAAGACACGTGTGCCCATTTGTGCCCCGATCTCGTACACTTCATCGCACCTCCTTTGTTTGGACAAAGCACACACTCTGGCCGCTGTCCTATAGCACAAGTTCGGCATAGCCATGAGCCGGATGGGATTGTCGTGATCCCATAGCACGCTTGATGAACACAAATATTGCAAGAGTCACAAAACACCATCTCATTGCTCTCTTCAGAGTCCGGCTGAAATGATTGTAGTTTATTAATACTTATTAGATATTTAACACATTCAGTTACTATAACAGGGATTAGATTGTTTTAGAGCATACCGAACGACAAACATCGCATATGACATTTTCATCATATTCAATCCCTAAACCTTCTTCAGATTTTAATATTGTCTGGACTTTATCCCAACATCTCAGCTCTAATTCCTCTATTACTCTTTCCAGTTGATCTTCCCTTATAGGAGGCAATCCTAAAAAAAATCACATGTTAACTCATTACGTTAGTTTTTTCTTATCACAAAGTTGCTGCAGGCTTAATAAAATAGAATTATATTACAGAAAGCCGTTTTTATTTTATTGTTATCTTATTTTTATTAACACACCTAAATCTTATGTTACAACCCTCCCATCTATGTTTTATTAATTTATTTTATTCCCCCCCCCTACTGTTTTATACCCAATTCACTTAAATCATTAGTTTTTAAACTCTTTCTCTACCAAGATTATATTGGGTTGTCCGGAAAATAATGCAGGATTTTGGTATTAAACAAAAAAAAAGAAACTAGTTACTTTAAAGCAATGTTCTTTAATCAAAATAATTTCCCANACTTAAAATCCTGCATTATTTTCCGGACAACCCAATATAACAAGTGTAATAATTCATCATTGCTCCTTTCAAGACGGGTCCTTGAAAATTGACCAGTATAGCCGCAAAATTAGCAACAACTTGGTCATTTGACAACTTTCGTAAATAGTTTTTCTGATTGGTTTTTTTTTTCTACTTAGTTGAGTGAATGAATTAGATTTTACACACAGTTTTTCAAAAATTGTTAGGCTTAATTTGTTTAACTAAAAATGACAAAAATACCCAAAATGTAAAAAAATATCTTAAAAAGCACTTACCCATTGTAGCTCTCTCCCCATTTGCTATTTTGAGCCAAGCATTATCACAATTGTCCAAATCATATGAGCAAACTTTTTCTGCTTTGCACGGAATAGGTGAAAGAAAATGCTCATCAGATTTAAAGTTTTCACACTTTGTAATTTTAATATATTTTGATTTTGGTCTGAAAAAATAATAAAATAAATAATGTTATTGTATAGATAATAAAAAAGTGCTAATTAAATGCTTGGAAATTAAACACAATGTGATTTGTTACATTTTCATGAGCTCTACTTTATTAATGTTTTTATTCCATTTGTTGCAAAGAGAGAACAAGAGAGCCCTTGAAACAATTTCACTGCAGAGAAGTTATAGAGGTGGTGATGTGACGGTTTGGGCAGGAATTTCTAATGGAAGGCTGCACAAACTTGATCTTCAACGACGGTTCCCTAACAGCTGCGCAATACATTGAATATGTGTTAAAGTTGTTCCTTATATGCCACTAATAGGCAAGGGTTTTATTTTCATGAATAATTTTGATGAATGCAAGGCCCCACGCATCTAGGAACATTTGTGACCACTTGGAACGGGATTCAATTCAACATTTGAAGCATGTAGTAGACTACATATTTCTTTAAAAATATTCAGTAAACATAAAAAATATACCGATTGTAAGTATTTACTACAAAAAATAAAACTAAATAAAAAAAATAAAAAATGAAAAACAAGGGCAATATAATTGTTCAATAGAAGAATGCATGAAGCTGATTTGTGTCTGTGCAATTTTACCAATTTTAACCTGTGCACAGTTTTATTTCTGCACATTTTTTCACTTAACAAAGTCAATGCTGGTGGCCTGCATGAAGGCCAAACTGACCCAACCTGCCGGACGGTTGATCTGCATGCAGATCATTACGCATAAATGATTATTTGGAGATCGTGAGAATCTCCACTTAATTAATATACTTAATTATTTATTTAGTATTAATGTAAATACTCAATATTTATTTAGTATTTAGTTTTATTATTTTTTCCTTAAATTTTTTTCTCTATGTTTTATCTTACTGTAGTACAATACTTTTCACAAATAAATTTATTATTATTATTATCTCTCGATCTCCAAGCAATCATTAACTAACAGTCACTAAACACCACACATCATGCATAAAGCTTCAAGGTATAGGAAATTGTTGCTGAATAAGAGGGAGAAAATTGAAAAACCAGGCTGCATCAAATGTGTTAATACTTCTTAACTTAAATCCATTTATTTTTTTTTACTAATATTGTATTTCCATTTATTTTTTGACTAATATTGTATTAACTATTACTATTATTATGTTATAATAATAACTTCTTCATGAATTCAGCACAATTAATACTAAATTAAGAAAGTGTTAAAATGAATTATAAGAATACAGATCAAAACTTACAATTTAAACTCGTGATGCAATCGTGAAGAAGGAAATGCCTGCGTAACGACGGTTACACTAGATCCAGGGAGAGAATCAGGGTTGACAGGGACCTGAACCCCTTTTTCCCATTCCTGCTTCCACTGATCAGTAATAACCCAGTATTCATCAGCTGATAGAGGCTCAGAATCTGGTAATTTCATAGCACTGATCAAATCTTTTCTGAAGAGCTGAAAAAATACCAGATAAGAGATGTAGTAAATATGAACTATTAAAGCTGTTAATCTTTTTTTATGTTCACACACACATAGACCGTTATGATTTTGAATATTGACAGAAAAAGGGGATTTTTGAAATAGTTGTAGGTTGAGACGAGGAGATGGTGTCTCGGGGGAAAGATGATGTCTATATTTTAAAGGAATGCTGAAAACGATATATAATAAATTAAAACATCAGCAGGTAATAACTTGTAAGTATTTATTACATGAACAAATCATTATTAAGGAATTGAAAATGTAATAATATGCACAAGGGATAATTGGTAAATAAATAAGTCATTTGCATGTCAATAATGAACATAGTCTAATGGTAAATAATAAAAGGGGGGCCGCGGTAGCCGAGTGGTTAAGGCATCAGATTCTCTGCTAGTAGATCCTGCAGTCGTGGGTTCGATCCCCACCATCGCTTCTGGACTTTTTCTAGCGCCTAAGGGGACCGGTGGCCGCAATTGAAAGAAATTGACACGGCACTCATCAATGGAAGGAGCGGGGTCAGATCTCAGCGACCCTGAATTTGGTCCCAACCCCCTCAAAAATGAGTTTCTTCGATTGAACAACACCGGCACACCGGGGGCTCAAATTCACACTTGTGTTGCGAGCCCCTAAAAAATGGAGCCGGGGATAAAGTACAATAAGCTGTACAGCTGCAGTGCTCAGGAGGGAACTCCTCCAGTTCCTGGTATCCATTGTAATTAAAAAATAAATTAATAATAATAATAAAAGAGTAGTAAACAAAGAAGTTGTAAACAAAAATAATGGACAAATCAATCGAGAAAATAATAAAATGTATAACAAATTAAAGTTGTAAATAAACATAGGGTTGCTAGAATCAGAGGAACAGACAAACAGGTTTTTAGTCAAAATAATACAATAAATTAAATTCACTATTTTTCGTGGTCCGCTTAACCAATTAATAACATTCAATTAATTAAGGTTTTAAGTTGAGATAAAAAAGTCAGTGCCATGAGCGGGATTCGAACCCACGACCTTCGGATTGATACGCCGCTACTCTACCACTTGAGCTATCGTGACTTTGATCCCCTCGAGCACTAACTTCCCATCTCTACCCCACCTTTTGAATTTTCCCTCCTTTTTGCCATTTTTCAAATGTTGTGTAATCAGATGTTATCTCAACTTAAAACCTTAATTAATTGAATGTTATTAAATGGTCAAGCGGACCAGGAAAAATAGTGAATTTAATAAATTAAATTGAAGTATACTTCACTAAAGCTCTCCGTGACCATTTCATTTGTCGCCGAGAATCCAATCCGATTACACAACATTTGAAAAATGGCAAAAAGGAGGGAAAATTCAGAAGGTGGGGTAGAGATGGGAAGTTAGTGCCCGAGGGGATCGAAGTCATCAGGTGGTAGAGTAGCGGCGTATCAAGCCAAAGGTCGTGGGTTTGAATCCCGCTCGTGGCACTGACTTTTTTATCTCAACTTAAAACCTTAATTAATTGGACAATAAATTAAATATGCTTGGGGAACAAAATTAACTATAAACCCTGTTACAATGCACACGTGGGCTCTAAAATAAAAATAAATACAGAAAACCACTTTATCTATTAAAAAAAAAAAATCTAATAGAGTAATGGTAATAGATTATATGTGACATGATCACCACTGATTGAACGCTCTCCCATTTATCAAATTAAAAGGATGGACCTGTTTCTTAGGGACTTATGAAGATATCACAAAATTCCTGACAATCGAATTCCCTGCAACCTAATTTAATTATCCTGAGTACCACTGCAATGCAACTACATATTAGTAAAATTGTCATACATTTAACTTTAAAAATGTAAATCTGCTGTAATGCTTTTAATTTACTGTAGTTGCCCTCTTAGGTATCAAACATCAAAAATTAGTAATTAAATTTGATAATACTCTAAAGGAAGAATTGGATAACAACATTTTAATGAAACAAAATCTTACCTCAGCTGGGGCTTCGCTGGAACTCCTGTTGTAAATTGATGATATTTTCAGGTCAGAATTTGGCCTGGGTGTCCAAATGTCCACGGAGGCTTCTTCCTCCTCCGCCATCGCCATGCAACGTACCTTCCGTCTCTTTGACGTAACTGTTAATAAAATACAACACATTATGATTCAGCCTATTTAAAAATAAATGTTAATCAAAACTATTTATTTAATAAATACAAAAAAACAATTATTCTACATAAATATGAAGCAATATTTGCAACAGTATTAACCTACGAATTTATTAAAGCACGTTCGTTTTCACGGTTTAGAATTTTTTTTAAATTCTTACCCAATCCATCGTCTAAACGGCTCGTTTGACGTTTACCACGCTGTGACATTTTCAAGCTTTCCTGTTGGTTGGCCTCCTATGCAGCATTGGAGCCTGAAAGGTTTAATCCAATTTTAATTAAAATAATAAATTAAAAGTTGTTTTAAGATCAATTAGCAAACGATGAAAATATTACACCAAAAACAAAGAAAAAATATTCTATACTATAGAGTGGAGCCCTGCAAATCTGAAAGTCTGCAGGCAAAGTGAAAATATTAATCCACAGAATATACGTTTTTACAGTTTGCAGTTAAATTGAAATGTTATTAATGATAAATTAAATTGGTCTTGCTCATACCAAACTTTACTGCCTGTGGTAGCATGTGTTTGGTTGTTTCCGATCATTTTGGTCTGTCAAACACTTTTCATCTTATCTACATTTTCAATGGCAGGCTTTAATCAAAGTTATCAATACAAACTGAAGATGGTGAGAAGCCGAACAGCATCTGTCAGACAAAAATGATGAAAAACAACCAATCCACTTCATCCTTGTCCAGGTTTTTCAAAATGTCCAGCTTATCTTTCAACGTACATGTGTGGGTATCACCTGATCAGGTATTTCTATACATTCATTCCTTAATAAATCAAACCTGTTTTACTGTTTGTTTCTGTTTTATTACAATTATTTCGGATTAGCTGGACTCTACTGTGCATGTATTAAAGGATAGACATGTTTATCCCCAGATATTTTAGGTGGTATGTATATCATCTTGATTATCCTGATCTGTCTTCTCAAACTGGTTACTTTGGTCCACAACTGACAAACATGAAAGAGAAGGCATTTGACAGCGCAAATAGACATATCCAATTGAATTGGGATGTTTTACAATTATGAGTGCACCAAAAATAATTAATTGTCATAAACTCAGCTACAAAAGAATTATAAAAAATTGATTTTATTAAATGTTTGTTGTTGTTACCATTTCATAATTGAGTATGAATTGATTATTTTTACTGTACTAATTTTAACATATTTAGACCATTCATACTATTTGAACTTCATAATTAATTAATAACAATAAATATAGCCTTAAAGTTTAAGATTAAAAGAGTAATAAGTTCAATAAGTTTATATGCTCCATCACCTACTTCGATGTTTTAACTTCGGTCTCATTCATCTCCCGCCGAAGTTAGGCTCCAGGGGCAAGGTTTAAAACCTAGCACACTCACATTCGTAAATACATTCTTTCCGATTTATATACCATTCACTCAAGTATATAAATTATTTTTTATGAAACTGAAAAAAATACTACTTACTACATATTAGAGGCATGATGCATTCAATTCAAATCAGCGATCTGCAACAAATAAATTTAAAATAAGCTAATAGATAAAATCAACAAAAAAAATCGGAAGTAATATTGGCCTTTTTGAAATGTTACTAATTAAATCTCTTAATATAAATAAAAAATTGCCTTTCACACTGAATAACAATAGTTAAATGAGCAAAACATAATAGTATATAACATAATTATAAAAAAAAAATCTGCATGGATATGATGTATAACGTACATATTCATGTCAAAGCATCATAGAAATATAAGAGGATTAACCTCAGCCACAAGTGAAATAGAAAATAAACACAGCAATGCCGATAAATTTGAAAGTGTTTTCAATTTAATTTGCTCAATAAAATGACCAGTGTATAATCATTTTTCCCGATATGTTATGGAACAGAGCAGCATTTTAGGAAATCTGTATTGTAAATTTCTTACTATAGGTATTTTTTTTAATTTTTTATATTCTGTCATGGAGATGAACGACATTGCTCAAAACAGAATGTCACTATAGATTACGCAACTAACGTAATGACTGTTATTAAATTACTCCGATATTTAACAATATTCTGATAATAAAAGAATGAAACAGGTGAATTTAAAAAATTAAAAAATAACGATTTACACACCGGCCAACAAAATATCCACTGAGATTCAGTTAGAAAATCAAACAATGGTGTTAAGACATTTTATAACTCAATCGTTTCAACAATTCTAGTATATTCTTGCTAGATTTACGAGGCTGGTCAAATTTTGACCACCTTTCAGGTCTGTTATTTTGTAATTTAACACGATAACATGTTATTACAGATTGACACAGATCAACCCAGTGAAGATGGCGTTGTGCTGAAACGGATCAAACAAAACCGACAAGATTCCGGAGCGACCAGCGACAAGCTACAAGTTGACCACCTCGTCAACCTCACCGCATTTAGAATGTTTATATTCTTTTAAGATAAGGAAATGGTAAATATATTTAATAAGAAGGTGCAAGATATGAAGAGTTTAAATAAAGTTTAACGCTTCACCAGCTAAACCATGTTATTGGATTGTCGAAAGTGTTTTAATCATACTGTATCATTTAAGATGTTAAGTATAACATATATTATTAAATGGTGACTTCCAACCAAATTCTGAGCAATGTTTTATAGAATAAACAAATATTTCATTCATATTCCTTATAAATAGATTTGTTTTAAATTTAATAATACCGATCTAAAAGTATTGCTACAATTATAGCACACAGGCATGTTTAGCAGGCAAAAACAAACGATCTAACAGCCCGAACAAGTCAAATACAATAAACAATATATAAAAGAAACGGTATATTTACGCACGCACGGCTTTAAATACATCGATACGACTAAAAACATTTTAAAACTTTATTATATTATAATTCGGAACGGACAATAGGGGGAAAAGAAGGATTAGAAACTGTGTTATACGGATAAAGGAGGGAATGTAAATGGCCCAAGATCGAAAAGTTTGTATTTACGTACGTCTTACCTAGAAAGGTTACCGCACCAATATTTTGCAGCCGAGTCAAATAAAGGCCAATAGTGTGAACCTAATAAAGTTCATTTATTAAAAACTATCCATTATCTTCACAACAATTCTGCGAATAATGTAACAACAAACGGAAGAAAGTTTTAAAACTGCCATAACATAACCAATAATGTGTAAAAAAAAAAACAACTCGGTACGGCGGGTAAGGTCGGACAGATACCCCTTTCTTCCGCTCAGGCCAGGTACATTCGAACGGATTCGATAAAAAGCCTCATCGGCCGATTAATATTCGGTGGAGTAAATAAAATCAAAAAAGATAATGCGCAAAGATCGCTTTCAAATAGGCCATTAATGATGTAAACAGTGGACTCACAAACTTACGATTTCGCGTGTAGCCCCTTTTCCGATTCATTATTCCATTAGATGTATATCCTTAAACCAACTCGGGTCACAAATATCACAGCTATCGGTTTATAAGAAACAAAAGATTGATTACACCAGTAATTAAAGCCTATCCCACAGCAACATTTTAGGCCTATTAACATTGACAACAGAGATAGCACCACCGTCGAATCATATACATAACGTATATAAACATAAACATAATCTATTATTTTTAACTAGATAAAATAAAGCCGTTTTTAATTATGAGGAAAAATAATGCCCTGCTAATGGAAGTATCGCAGAAGTAATAAAAAATGCGCAATTCCTAAATAAGACCATATCACTCGTTTTAAAATCGATGTTCAAATCGCTTCGTATACAATCGAACATCTTGAAATTTTCTTATTCCGAATAGAAAAATTCATTAAAAAGAAAAAAATACCCGACACTATAAAACATTATTTTTCAACACTTCACTATTTAAAATCTATAAATAATCGAACTTCCCCATTTTATGAATATGGCGTGCATTTTAACCCAATGGGGAAGAAAATATGTCCGGACTTTTTAATCGAATCGAATGTCATTGCAACACCGCAAGACACACAAATATAGATTTTTCTTAAAAATCAAATAAAAAATACCCCTTATAAATATTGACGGATATTTACGTCGTGCTAAAAAAAAAAAAAAAAAAATTAATAAAGGAAAAAAAAGAGAATCGTTTTCAATTAAAAGTCAAGCAGGAATGTCGATAGAGATGGCTAGGTTTGACCTCTAGCCACCTGCACTCTACATTCTGCAGTCTTAACTCCACTCACTTCTTCCTGCTGTCCAAACGACCAATTAGGAAATTACTATCCATTTGACATGCTTGTAGAAGTAGGAACTCAGTGAGACCAATGTAGACTTCCTAGTTATAAATAAACAAGTATAACGATAATTTATTTGTCTTTTAATCCTCCACATATTTTAAACTGAAAAATATGAATTTTATAATTCCTTTTAAGTCAAGTAGAGAATAATATATTTGGATTAAATTGGTGCAATATTTCAATTCTATTGCATTTATAAATTATATTCTGATTAATTTATTACTTAAGTATACAATTAACAGGCCCTAAATATGAAAAAATTAATGCTTCTATTTTACTTAATTAACCAATGTTCAAATCTTTTTTTCAAAATGTAAAAATACGTACTATTTCATACAATAAAATATTGCACATTTTTATTATTATTTGTAAATTTTTGTTTTGATTTAATTGTTGTCAAAATGTGAGGCACCTCTAACAGAAATTCCTTGCGTCTGTATTTCCAACAATTTAACAAAACCCAACACAGTCCATAAAACAGAATTAGATTAAAAAAAAAAACGACTATCCCTTGGTTCATCAGTAGATTGTTGTAACATACACCCAACACCCATTGTCGAAATGTTAGCAGTCTCGATAGTTTTATAATAAGTTTTAAAAATTGGGTGGCTTGGAATGAAGAAAATGTCAAACATTTATTTACAATAAATTCAAAAGTGTAAAACTATTAAATATGTATTATACGTAAAACCAATTTAGGCGATTTACTTTTTTTTTAAATACAAATTTATATATATTTTTAACATTCATTTTATCATTTTATGTTTGAACACAGCGTAACAAACAATATTTTCCACTTTGCAACCCTTAGGTTTATTGAAATGATCAGTGATGAAGAAATAGATTTTTAAATTTTAGATTCTTAATTATTCTTTTGAAAAATTATTTACAGAGGTGGTGCTTAGTATGAACTAATTTGTAGTTTGTTTAGAAACAAACACACTCAAGTAACATTGTTTTTGATATTGAAACAACCTTTTGAAAATTGTTGGAACCCTGTGTATCTAAACTATAAGATTGTGAGCAGATTTTAAAATTACACATGTCCTGATTTTCTCATTATATTAGATATATTTTTTGCAAATTATGCAATTATTAGACATAAATTAAAAAACAATAGATTTGATTTATATCAATACTTTTTTTATCGCTACTAAACAGAAAATTTCTTCTTACATTCTATTTTCGCATAGAATTTTAGTCATATTTATATATTTTACATACATTTACAAAAGCTTTCCTGAGCTAGACTATCTGTCATGGTTTTCATTCTGATATTAGTTAACATAATAGTATTTTCAAAGTAAAATTAACGCACCATGATCATTTAAAAGAGTATAAAATAATAAAAACTTATTCTTTCTCGTTAACACAGATTTTTTTTGAGCTTATAAAACACTTCGCACAATATTGCTTCGACTAGTTTCTACATTTTCTTGCCTATGAATTTTTGTTTTTCCATTTAATATTCATTCCTCTACATTATTTACTTCAAAGATATTTTGTAATCCTTTTTTAATTCCAGATAATATTCAGTCTTCAAATAAAAAATAGTCTTAGGGAATAATCATATTTTTCAAATTTATTTACTTGCATTTTTTTAAAATGTTGATGCTTGAAAAGCAAATCATGTCTAGGAATTATAACTATCTTTGTAGTTTTAATAGCAAAGTCATTTTATATCTTCCAAGATATACATCTATATATTAAATATTAATATTTTAACGTGCTTTATTTTTTCTTTTTCTCTTTTTTTTTTTCTTTTTTTAAACCACGCTAATGGAAGTCTTGTGTTTATGCATTACAAATATGCTTATTTGCTATCCCTTTCCACTGTTTAAACATTTTTAAAAGAATACTTTGAAAAATTCTCATTAAAACAACATGTTCAAATTGGTCTTAGCATAAAGTTAAAAAAAAATAATAATAATAATAAAATAAAACTATAGTAAATATAATTGTTATAACCATGTTGTCTTAATTCCCGAAGCATTACTGAATTTCTTCAAATGCCTATTGCGTTCGACTATATAATCTCTTACGCCCTCTGATCAGTCACCCTTTTCTCTACTGCTTCGTGTGTTCTCACCGTTGTTTGTTCTCTTCTTAAAAATGAGGAATGATAGCCCATAAAGTACGAATGTGAAGATCGTCGGAAGAAAATAAACTGATTTCCAGTATTTAAACGATGCCTCTAATGTGAGAAGGCGGAAAGTTATTCCCCAATAACCCATTAGAAATAAACGCCAGCAAACTGCAAATATTCTCCACACATTGCTAACCTGTAAAATATACATATATACACAGAACAAAATATAATCAACAGAGAAAATAATTTTAATAAAATATTTGTATTATAATGTTTACCAAGCTTAATTAATTTTCATACAGAACTAATTCATTAAAAGAAATATATTTTCAAAGATAATATAGATAACAATACTTACAAAGCTGGACACTTGAATAGTTTTTAAACGGCGGGAATAAATATCTTCAATAGGTAAATAAAATGGCACAGAACAGATTGTGCAGTAGTATCCAGCATATATGCCATGCCAAAGAGCAGAAACAGAAAATGTGGCGAGCAACCTGAAGAAATTAAATTCAAGAAATTAAATATTTTACAATACGTTTACAAAATGAACCAGGTTGTAAAAAGTATAATAAAAAATAAATAAATAAAAAAGGCACTGAATGTGCCTTTCTTGCAAGCTAATTAATAAAACATAAAATTCATATATTTTTGTTGATGTCTGTGGGATGATAAACCAATATTTTGGTAATTTCAGATGATCCTGCCCTGCATATTCTATCTACTTTGGTCTGTTAGACAAGTTTTGGCATTTCATTCAAGTAGTAGTTTCACAAAAGTAAAGATGGCATTAATAAAAATAACACAAAATCATCAAGATGGCAAAATGTATGTAACATAATAAACTAGGGCAGATAAGCTGACAAAAATGAGTGGGAAACAAACAAACTATGAACCAAACGTTTTTTTTTCTTTTCTTTTTTCCCCCTTTTTAAGCTTAGTGCTTAATAGGGCGCTTGGAAAAGAGGAATTTTATGATAGAAGTTAAAACGTCCTTTGTATGTTGTATTATTTTCTCTATCGCTGTTATAAATTAAGAAGACCGTAACAAAAGAAGTATTGGATCCATTCTGTTTTAAGGGATATATTCGCAAATAGACACAACAAAAACAAATTACTCTCTACCCATGATTACGAACCAAAATTTTTCAATTATTTTAGAATGTCAATTAACTGTTGATAATTTTTTGCACTTGATTATGAGCGATATTTCATCAAGACCCTGTGTTTGAGGGATTCCATCCCACCAGAAAAAAGACTTGTCATAAAACATTGATCATGTTGACATTGAAGATAAAAGTGCATCAACTTTTAAAACTACACTGGAGAATATGTTAAATGGTCCAGATATTAGACAAGTCTAAAAAAGCTCCAGATCTTCCGTATCAAGCTGCGATGCTGAACTGCTCGACAGTAAAACCACCTCTAAATCGCTGTAATGTGAAGAATGTGGTGGTTACTGGGTTGAGGAGATATAGTCATTTGTGACAGATATGAATGAGCTATAATAATCGCTACACTCCACGTTCCAAAATGCAGGTCTTCTTTCAATGTCGTAGATCAGTGTTATATTTCGACTCAGGCAGTAAACTGCACACAGTGAGGAAAATCTCGAATCGTGCGTTTACTCGTTGGCTCAATTTATCATATGTATGCTCTACTTTGAACCTTAGCCTTTCACTAATGCACGTTCATATGTACTAGGCCTAACTCTCTAAAGAAGTAAATGTAAAAATAAAAATATATTTTTAGAGAGACATAGTGAATTGATTGACCTGGAGGGTCTTTGACTCCAAATCACTATTTGGGTAATGCTGGCACGACGTATTATCAATAATAGACAGAAATGTGATAATTTTATTTTTATGCACGATTCACATCCCTCATAAGGCTCGCAAAGAGCAAAACTAATTGGAAGAAAAATGTTGACATCCTAAACTGGCCAGGCTTTTCTTTTGACCTTAACCCGACCAAATATTAATCAGAACGTGATAATATTCCAGCCTGTACAAGGAATGTTGAATATCCTTCAGAACACCAAAATAATAAAATAAAATACTTGATATTAGTATAGCTTTTTTTTATAAATAATAAATATAAATAAAAATAATTTGTTTTACTTTTTTTAAACAATAATGAATTCAATTATTATCTTACTAGATAATATCTAATAAAAACAAATAATTTTTGTTTTAATTTCCAAAGTGGGAAGAATTGATCGCTGAGGAATATATCATGTTTGAACCAATGCAATTCAAAGATAAGAAATTCAAAGATAAGATACTAAACAAATAATAGTTAATAGATAATAATAATAGTAGACAAAAATTTAAACTACCTTTTTGTAATATATCTAAATTCATAAAGACTAAATTTGTAATGCTGGAAATTAAAAAGTTTACCTTAACGAGTTTACTGGAAATCTTTTAAATACATAATTTGCAAGCCAATACTGGACAGTCATATTCCAGCTTTTCATCGAATTTCTTACAGTCATGTCAAATTCTGCCCCTGCTGGTTCGATGTTATGAATTGCTTTAAAGTCGTACTCACAGGCCTGGGCTTTCTTTAAATTATTCCTTCTGGTAAATGAATAAAAATGACAAGAAGCATAAATATTTTTAAAATGCTTATAGGAAATCAATCCTTACATGTTATACAATTGTACATATTCTTTACTAGGACCTTTGCCAGGTTTCGGGTCGCTGAATGAAGGATAACAACCTGCGCCTGCCATTATGCAAACAGCTTCTGACATTCTCATCCCAATGTACATCCTCATCCTAAATTGCAAGAAAATTGGTACACTGTACCAAAGGCGGTACATAAAATGTCTATCCTCATAAAATTCTTCTGCAAGTGCATACTAAAAATCAAATCAAAATAAAGATAACATATAATACAAAACAAAAAAGAAAGCTACTCACTTCAAAAGGGAAATAGTAATTTGCTAAAACAAACACAAAACCATAAAATGGTAACATTTTTAGTCTTTGCACTGCATACTGCGAACATTTGGTAAATCGCGAAAATTGCAAATTAAGCATATCTAAGTATGTTTTATAGGAATAATAAGGTCCTGAAAATTAATTATTATTAGCAATTATTAAAGGGAACACTCTTTGTATTAAAAAATAAGTAAATACCAGTCAAAACACCAATATAGCAAAATGAATAATGAATGATACTTGGAATAGTAGGATTAGGAATTTTGGACATTTCAAACTCAGGATCTTTCCTTCCTTCAGTAATGCCTTTATGAGTGTCTTTTACCTCGAATGCAAGTCCAACCAGCTAAAAACAAAAATGATTAACTTTTTAATAAATAAAATGTATCCTACACCTCTCTAGGTTCTTTTCACTAAATATAATTACCTTCAGAGTAAGAATCATTTGAACCATATTAGAGTGACCAGAGGGAGATGACATTCCAATGTACTCAGTCATTCGGAAAAATATAAGATATGTAAATGAAAATGCAAAACTCACTGCAGGGATTACTCTGGAAAAAAATATTTTTTTTAAAAATTATAATTTTCTTAAATAAAACATATAAAATGAAAAGCATGTGCATAACATAGTCAAGTGCCACAAAATGTCAAAAAGATTATCTCTATTAATTTTCGCTGGAACTAGACAAAAGAATAAGGATCAACAGACCAGGGGGAGTGTCAGTGTCCATAACAATTTTGGCATTGAGAAGGTGCTCTTGAAGATTCTAGTAAGGTAAAGGTTCCAGGTTCGAATCCAGCAGCCCTGCATTTGAACCCAACATACCTACAAATGGGCTTTTTTCAAAAATACTGTCACCACGAAGGTTGATATGACTTCTGGTGTAGCGAGTCATCATTTAAAAAAAAAATAATAATAATAAAATAAAATAAAAATAAAAATTCGAAAGTTGTGCTCCAATTTTGTCAGGATGACCAATTTAAAATAGTAAATTTATATTCCATGATTACCATCCTAGCTTCAGATCTAAAGTTGAGTAATAATAATGGCAACAATAACAATAATAATAATTTTTTTTAAATTGCAGTTAGCCTGCTGAGACCAGGTTGATAGGTGGTGCAAAAGGGAAGAGGTATCTATTATCCCCACAAAACCATGATTCCATTCAAAGGAAGAGGACAATAGGAAGCCTAAAAATTCCAAGTCTAAACGGAATCCCGATCCCATTTTCCAAGGAGGCCAAATATCTAGGGATCACACTAGACCAATGGCTTGCATGGAATCAACATTTAACTAAAACCACCCAGAGAGCCAAAATTGCCTCGGGGAGGTGCAGAAGACTCTGCGCCAAACCTGGGGATTAAACCCCAAAATGACCCTAGGTCCTGGTGGACCAAGACTGCAGGCCAAAGCAACCTGGCTATTAATTGGCATTCAAAGACAAGCTTGTCTCAGTGTCACTGGAGCCATGAGCACTACGCCAACTGCAGCTCTGGAAGTCTTGTTAAACCTCCCATCACTTCACCTTTTAATCCAGCCAGAGGTGGCGATACCGGCAGAAGCCTTATTAGGTATGCCAATCGATGCCACTACTCCAAATACAATTTTACTGAAAAGAGGTACTGACGCCAGAATGGGAAGAATGGAACAAAGGAACACCAAAAAAGGCAAATTCCTACTGGTATACTGACAGCCCTAAAACCAACAAGGGCATGGGGGCTGGAGTCTTCGGGTAGAAATCAAAGACTGACCTACCAGTAAACCTAGATAAATATGCTAGTTTTCAGTCTGAAATCATACCAATTGAACAATGGCACCAGGAAAATAAAAAAGCTAGGAATACCTTCCCGGAAGATAGCCACTTCTCTGACAGTCAGGTGAAGACAGAGTGTTTGGACCTGCATGGAGGCCCTGACGGAAGTCATAACACAAATGCTGACCTGGCATTGGTCCCTGGGCATTCGGCGCATAGAGGCAACAAAAAAAATTGACATGTTGGCCAAAGAGGGAGCCAACATGGACTCTCTAGGTCCTGAACCCTACTGTAACCTAGCAACTTGCCACAAAAGAAGATACATCTTAAAATATATTCTTAATGTCTATAACCTGGTGGAACAATACCACCATAGATAGGTGAATAGACAGAAGAAACAGTGTGCAGATATTGCCAGGAAGAGGAGGAACCCATTTTATGTTTTTGCGAAGGTCTATGTAGGTGCAGGTTTTTGCAATAAGGATAGGAAAAACTACTGGCAAAGAATACATCAAAGAAGATTGATTAACAAGCTGGCCAGTGAGTTATAAAAAAAACAGGGAGCACAATTGATCAGGTTGAGGTGAAAAAAAAAAACCTTGTGGCCGCCTCTTTTATCCCTATCCCAATCCCTACTGCACTGAGACTATCTGTTAGGATGGACTTTGTATACTTATGCTCCTCGATATGAATCAGAGAGTCCATAATGGGGAATATATACCTAAATGGGCAAGGCCAAAAAAAAAAAAAAAAAAAAAAAAAATTAAATAATAATAATAAAATAAAAATAATAAAATTTGGATTTTTTATACGAATGTATTAAGTGATGGTGCACTCTCAATTAAATTTCGTTGTTTATGCTAAAGCACACAGCAGTCTAGACCAAGTTGCATACAATTATCTCATGAAACAATTTGAATATTAGTTTATTTAAAAATGGTTTTATATTAAGCTATAAATTCAGCTATGTTCATTGTTTTTTTTTTTGAGTGGCCATTTTAGTAATAGATAAGAAGAAGCTTTAATCTAAAACTAGCATACTTACATATATTATAAACACTTACGTTTTTTCAAGTGATGTGATGATAAAAGCATTAACGAGTATTAAGCATAGAGAATGCCAAATATGACGACCAGAGACGGCTAGAACGATTAAGAAACCGACAGCAGTGGCCAAATTCCTTTTTTTCTTGACATCCTCAATAGTGCGAATCACTTTTCCGAACCCGATTGAAAACAACAGCAATATCACATAAATCACGTCGTCCTTATCCATTTTGTATCAGGGAAATATCGGCTTGGATAACTGATCAAATTAATAATCTATGCATTATAACGACTCGATGTGTTGTGAGATTAAAATTCAATCGTACTCCCTGGGAAAAAATAAAAAACGCCCCGTCATCCTCTTTTGTAATTGACTAAAAAAAATCTTGTACCAATGACAGAACCTTACATACTGTTATCAATTTGTGTTTACTTTGACTAACAAGTTGACTGTTAAAGAGCGTGCGCGCGCGCGTTTTTTCGAGACGGAAACAAGAAAATTTAATTGAAAGTGCATCATCTCTTACTAACAAATAATTATATTATTTATGCCAAATTACATGTTTTTATTATTATTATTATGATAGACATTATTATTCCTATATAATATTGTTTTAATTTATGTTACTTTCGGATTGAGTTTTGATTTCGCCGTTCATAAAAACTTTGCGTACATTCATTAAACGTGTACTTTTAGTTAAAATTAAACGATTAAAAAGTAAATTATTTGTTGTAATAAAAAATCTAAAAACTATTATCTAAAAAACTTGTTTTATTATGCCCCAAACAATTTGTATATTTGTAATGTAGTGGTAAATATTGAACTAAGTGATATAAAAAATTGTTATCAACTTATGATCGTAAATTTTCATATGATTGTGATTTTTAAACTGGAATATTTAAGTTTGCAGAAATGTCCAAGATTTTCTCACAAAAAATCACCGAGGAAAGATTTGTGACATCACATTGGTGAACTTGGTCATTTTAGACTGAGAAGGATATTCCAATGGAGAACAGAGAATTGACAGCGAGTTGAGGTCATTTCTAATGGCGTCTCCTTGGCTATAAATACTTCAAGTTTAGTTCCAAACTTGTTCTTTCCATTCCATATTGAGTTTTAAATAAATTATTTTATTAACAAAAAATACAAATCATATTTGCATGTAAGCAAAGTCAAAATGAAAATAACTTTGAAAAACCTTCAACAACAAACTTTCCAAGTCGATATCGAACCTACCAAAACTGTGAGTACATTTTCCATGTCATGCTTAACCTAGGATATTTTCATGTAGAAACACTTGCACACAAAAATAAAATAAAATAATAATCTGAAATGTAAACTCTTTTGGAGAAAATTCCACGACGAAAATAAACCTATTAATTTTAAAAAATTATTTCAGACAATTTTGTACATTTTATTCAATTTTCATTCTCGTTTCAGTATTAGACATCATATGGTATTAATATTTATGTCAAACTTATTTCAGGTAAAAGAGTTAAAGGAGAAAATAAATTCCGTCAAGGGAAATGATTACCCCGCAGAAAACCAGAGGCTTATTTATGCTGGTAAGTTTTTAATACTTATCAATTTGAATCATTTTTCATTCCAGTAAATAGAATGGAAAACGATTTATATTTTAGATAATACTATGTAATAAAGTTACAATAGTTTAAGATCAGATTGATTCTCATCCGTTTTATAGTTTGTTTAAATCGTAAGAAAGCATTGATTTTGTTTTTATAAACAAAGACACATTTTTGAAATACATGTTAATTTGATCCCATTATCTAAATATAACTTTTATATTATGCATGTAGTGGTTTTGACTTAAGGTTTATCGAGAGAAAAACCGAGTCGATGAGTCGTCTACGGTTGTAGCGCTGCTTGTCGGTTTTGAAAGCTAAGTCTAGAAAACCCTACGAGTTGGTTTTGAAAGTGCATGGCTTTCAGTAGTTTTATTGTATTAGTGCATGGCATTCCTTTTAACGGTTCATACCGTCACTTACTGGCTCTTCAGTATTTTTGTTTTTATTTCATTGAGTTTCAAAAGACAACAAATACTTGTTGAAAATTTCAGTCAGTGAAGTTGAAAAGCCTACACTGGCTGGCATGGACCTCCCGAATACATTGATTGAACAAAAACCTCAACACGTGTATTTAATTAATAAGATATTTTGGGAAATACCAGGAAAGAGAACTTAATAAAAAGAGGGGTTAATCATTGTTAAAAAAATTTGCAAATTTATTTCTTGCAGATTGTTTGCTCGTAATTTCTTTTTGGGAACTGTCTAGAAATTTCTCACAATTGGCAGTGCGATAAACGTTTCATTGAACCACTGCATGTATCATAACGGAAAACCCAATTCAATAAATACTTTGGTCAAAACGGTGTGATATTAGCCTTAAAATTTCTTTTTTAGTAATTTTTTTATTATTATAAAATTTCTAGTAATCCAGAACATTTTAATATTGTGCTAGAATTGTGATATTTAAAATTTTCAATTAGTGTACCAAGCAGTTTTTATGTGTATGTAGAGTGAAATGTGAATAAATAAGGACAAATTGCTTGTGCTAAATTAAAATAATCTGATGCAAGGTATGATAATGGCTCACTCTGTGCTAAATTTTAGGGGAAAAAATCTTTATTTTATTATAGTTCTGAACACTGAAACAGTTTAATCATTTATGATTCAGAAACAAAAATTTTCAAGTAAAACATTTATAAACTGTTTTAGAAAAAGAGAAAATATTAAGTGATTGCAAGCATTTAAATAGAATGATATGAAGTTTGTATTTATAGTAGTCCAGTGAGTCGTAGTTTAAGTTGCTTAACTTGTCCTCGTTGCAATGCCACGACAATCGGCAATGTTCGCATTATTCTGAAATTAATTATTCTGAAAAGTGGATTAATACACATTTGTAGTTTCTTATGTCAGTTTTTCCTCCTTTCTCTTGCCTCCTGCTTGAGTTCAGAGATTTTTTTATCTCTTTGAATCTCTCGCATTTTCTTATATGTAAATAATTTCTCTCATTGATGTATTTCTATCCCACTGAAATGTTCAGGCTCTCTCAAAAAAAGCAGTTCCTATATATCTGGGAACATTGGTATTGCATCCCTGATTTGATTAATATTGTAATTTTGAATTAATGTTATTCACAATAAATGCTCTCCTGGTTGCTTGGCTATCAGACATGATTTTCTATTTTTGCATATTTTGTTATAATTGAATTGAGCGCGTCCCAATGAAGAAAAATATTGGTTGACCACATGCAAGGGAATTGAGCATCATAATAGTATGAAAGTTAAACTTTTTCTCCTTCAGCAAAACAAAATTTTGACATTATGAAAGCCACAATGTCCCACCTTCTTACCGGATGATCCCAATTGTCCCACTGACCCCTGAAGAGTAGGTAATCAAAACGATAAATGAAAGAAGACAGTTGTTAATTGGACAGGATCAGCAGAGAATCTCTTGCAGCAAAATTAGTAGGTGGTCCTCTAATAACTTTTTACACAGATAAGGCACCTTTTAGGCTAGGAATTCCTACATTTGCCTCACAAATTGCCGGGAGGCATGTATTGGTTTTCATGTTAAAAATTACTATACCATTGACTTGTCCGTTTTAAAGGGGATGTTTATAGTTTAAGGTTCTGATAGTTAAAATAACCTAGTTTCCTCTAAAGAATGGTAGGTAAGATGGTCAAAATTGATGAACTGCAAACACCATCTGGCTCACCAAACACTCTCCAGTAATAATAGTAATAATTCCAGAGACCAATGTTGACCAAATTCTGCTACTGCAAATAAAACATTATTGAACGAATCACTATTGTTTGTAGCAGTAGTAGGGTGTGTAATGCTTCATGATAATTCTTTTCAAGTTGTATACATTAATACCATAATAAAACTACTTTTAACACAAATTGTTCTATTGAGTCAAAACACCACAAATCATATATTATTTATAATTATTCAGAGTTGGTGAGATGCGGTCTGGTGTGACGTAGGTTTTAGAAAAACATTTTTTTTTATCGTGCCAATGTTTCAATCTTTATTGAGATCATCTTCAGGGCTCAGAGTGTTTGTTTTCCGTGCAGAAGTGTCATTCTTGTGTGTCGTTTTGATTATTTATAATATTGTGTATAAAATAGTAATAATTTATATTATTTATTTTTTAATTTAAGTAGCCTTGATTGTTTTCAATCAGTAGAAGCAGAAATAATATTAATACGACAAACATTAAATACAATTTTTTAAATTTTCAGGTAAAATACTTACAGATGAGACACCTGTATCGGAGTATAATATTGATGAAAAAAAATTTATTGTGGTAATGGTTTCTAAACCTAAACTTGTACCTCCAGTCCATTCTGGACCTAGCGATCCAACAGAAGCTTCTGGAGATGAAGTCAAACCCCCTGTAGTTACTCCTCCTAATCCTCCTCCTTCACAGCAGTCAACACCACAACCAGCTCCGTTATCACAGGCCGAATCCGCCCTACTGATGGGTGATGAGTACAACTCGATGGTTCAAAACATTGTTGATATGGGGTATGAAAGAAGTCAGGTATACCTCATTCCTCTATATTTTTTTTCTCAAAACAATACGAACACACTGCTCAAACTTACACAACTGTTATATGAATGTAATTTTAAGCAGCCATTTTTTTATTTTTCCTGTTTTGAACATTTGTAGTTATTAGGCTTGTTTAATTCCTTCAGTCAGTACTTATTTAAAACTTTTATTTTGAAAATAATTTTACTGGTACCAAAAAGTCACTGGAATTTTTTATATGAAGGTTGAAGCTGCACTTAGAGCAAGTTTTAATAATCCTGATAGAGCTGTTGAATACCTCCTTACTGAAATTCCTACTGATCCTCTTGACCTCGGAGATAGAGGAGTAGCTAGTGAAAGAACAGGTGTGTAAGACTGACAATGAATCTATCCAGCAAAATAGATTCTTGATTATTTTTATAATAAACATTATTTTACATTTTAATTAATTAAAGTTCTGCTTTTTTAGATCCTGTGTATTCAAGAGTTGAAGATCCTCTTGGATTTCTTAGGTCTCAACCTCAGTTTCAGCAGATGAGAGCAGTAGTTCAACAAAATCCAGAACTTCTTAACACAGTTTTACAACAGATCGGCCAATCAAATCCAGCTTTGCTTCAATTAATTTCTCAGCATCAAGAAGAGTTTGTTAGGATGCTTAATGAGCCTGCTGACGGAAATGGCGGTGGCGGAGGTGGAGGTGGTGTTGGAAGTGGAAATGTAACTATGCCCAACACAGTTCCAGTAACACCTCAAGATAAAGAAGCAATTGAGAGGGTAAGAAAATAATAAAAACTCATTTTGGATTACTCATTTCAAACCGTACATATTATAACCGTAAATTTGCCAATGAAAACAGTAATCTTTAACTGGAAGAATAAATCACAAATTTACATTTAAATATATTCTAAAGCCATAAAGAAAGTTATTTTCAATATTCACTTTAAGCCTAGTCCACACTGGGACGCTTTGAATCCATCCTTTGTTCTGGGGTGAATCCCAGGTGCATCTTGGCTGTGTACAGGAGCCCCTACTCGGTGTTGCAATGAATCTGGTGTGTTGCTGGTTAGTAATTTGTACATCTTTTGAATCCCGACTGAAATGGAATCTCTGACTCAATGTTGTGCCAATTTGGACATGAATCAAGAAGAGCAGAGTAGAGGTTACATGCCACCTCGTTTCTTCAGTATTTTTTTTCTTTTTTTTTCCAGTTATAATTGTAATTTAAGTGGCATAATGCTGTGGAGACCCATGAAACCTTGTTATTTATTGAGGATGCATATTCCCATCTTTGTTTAAGAGGTGTAAGTTTCAATGAGTTTAGAAAACGTGATTTAAAAAATAAAGTCCTTAGAAAAATTGGCGGAGTTTCGCAATGTTTCAGTTGCCGAATTTAGAAAAAAAAATTGCACACCTTGAAAGGCCAGTTTCAGTGTCAGTAAAAAAATTTAAAAACAAAAGTGGTGCTTCACCAACCAACGGTTCTTGGTTTGGCTTTATTCTTTTTGCAACCTTAATATAGTTTTCTTATCTACCATCTATTTTTAATTTTTTTATTTTGATTGTTATCTATTAAACAAAAGAGGATAAGCGAAATCCTTGAGAGAGCAACTTCGTCCATCATTTTCCACCTAGAACTGAATGACATGAATATTGTTGTAGACACAGTTTTTTGTGGAAGAAATGCTCTGGGCTGAGTCCAAACATTGCATCTATTCAGCGAAGGTTCTGAATCACGACATAAATTGACTCAGAGTCTTGGTGTGAACTAGGCTTAAAATAATTAAATTTGTCAGTTAAACTTTTTATGTTTATTCAAAAATGTTATTTTTATGTAATAAGCAATTTTTTAATGGCCTTTTGAACTCACATATTAGCTAGTGTATGATTCTTTTGATTGTTTCATCATGTATAGTCGGGGAGGAAGATGAAAAAAAGTGGCAGGGGTAATGTGGGAATCGAACCTACAACCATGAGGTAAACAGACCGAGTCTATCAAGATATATAACTAAAAACCTTCAAATGTGCAATTAATTTGTTCTTAAAATATTAAAATTCACAGGATGAATGTCAGAGACATCACCCAACTAATAATTAAATAATAACTTTTTAATATGAACTTTGCCTCAGTCTGGTGCACATTCATTTTGAAAGGGAAAGAAAAGAAAAATAATTTACTGACAAAAAGGACTGCCACTCAGTTTTTTAAATTAATAAAATAGTGTAATAAAGTGGAATAATCATTAAAATTTAAAATATGCAAATTTATGCAATATTTTTCAAATGTGCAAAAACACACAGGACAAAATTTGAACCATTGTACCATTGAGGTGGTATTCAGACAAATATCTGATCAAAATTGTCCAAGTCTTCCAATTCTGTATCTGATACAAAATAAACAAATGCACAATATAAAGAAATATTCCAGTTACAATTTGAAACATTTTGGTGTTTACACACTTATACCTTATGAAACTGTAGGAGTCCAAGATTGAAAAAAGCATTCCAACAGAGTTAAAAATCCATGATCAGTCAATTTCCGGGAATGCAAAGCTAAATAAATCACACATTAATTGGCATTTAGTTGGAACAAACTTATTTATTGTACAGGTATTGCGGTAGCCAAGAGGTTAGGGCCTCAGACTCTTGACTCGTAGATCCAGCCGCTGTGGGTTCAATTCTCACCATTACTAAAATATTAATTTTCTATAATATTATTTATGATTGTTAAACAAAAGTGTTTAATTGATTTTTTTTATTTTTTCAGCTGAAAGCCCTTGGTTTTCCTGAACATTTAGTAGTTCAAGCATATTTTGCTTGTGAAAAAAATGAAAACCTGGCAGCTAATTTTCTCCTGTCGCAGAATCTTGATGATTAATTTCTTTTGTTTCAGTTACGTGTATTTTAGTATGTTTCATTTTTTTTAAATTTTATTTAAGGAGGGCTAATAAAAAGTCATCAAAAATAATTTGGTTTATTTAAATGGTTATATATATTTCATAGACACTGTAAAAATTAAAAAAAGAAGCAGAAGCTAATTGCTTAGTATTGTTGTTTGTTTTTTTTTATTTTCCATTTCTGTACTACATTTTCAATGAATAATGATGTACATAATGGCAAGTATGTAAACATGTTGACTTTATTAAGTTTTGTTTAATATACATTCAGTTTTTGAATTTTATATTGTATCATATTCATTACAATTATAAGTTTGGTGTTAACTTGATAATATAAAAAATTGTTCAGATAGTTATATATGTACATTATTTAGTACAGATGCCCTTCATACAAAGGACTGAAGAATAATAAAACTAACAACTAATTCTTGCCCATTGAAGATAAATATACATTATAATCAATTATGGTTGTTATTTTTATTAAGTATTTATTTAATAAATTTTGCTGATCTGAAGCCTGTTAGTTTGCATTTTGTTTTTCATTTTTTCCTCAGTACTTAAGTAATTTATAAGACATACTGCTTGTTTTATTTTGTTCAACACAAGAAAGTAAGCTAATATTTATAATTATAATTATATTTATGTGCATTCCACATGTAACTAAGCAATATTTATGCACATTATAATAAATAAAGATTCGTTTGATTGTATTTTGGGTGTTTACACAATTATTGGAATGTACAAAATTTAGGAGAACATTAAAAAAAAAATTAATGTAACATTGGGTGCGAAAAAGACTTTTAGAAGCTGAAACAAATTGATTTAGACCTACTTCCTAAATAGAAGCACTGTAAGTGATGAATGGGCATATGTGTATTGCATAAATATTTTTTTTTTCCCTACCCATGAACTCATTAAAGACTGGGTAAAGGCTCCTTAAGATAGTCCATGCTTTGGAGCTTTTTTTTCAGTATGTTAAGAAACAATTAAGTCTGTAATCTGGATATATTCCAAGGTGTTTAACATTATTCGGAGATCGTGAGATGCGGTCTGGTGTGACGTAGGTTTTTAGAAAAAATGTTCTTTATCGTGCCAATGTTTCTTTATTGAGATCAAAATGTTGGGACGATAAAGAAAATGTTTTTGTAAACCTACGTCACACCACACACACACACACATGTATTTAACATTGTTAGCTCGTGGTGTAGGTGAGTTATTTATTATGACTTAAATGACTGGTATACATTAAGTAAACAGTCTTGCTACTGTTAGGTCCGATTCTTGATTTTCAAAATATTTAAGACACCTATTTATTGTTACTGATAATTCTCTGATGGAACCAACCCTACAAGAGGCTCTCATAAAGGCCATATCATCAGCAAAGAGAGCCAGTTCAATATCATTTATAAAGATGTTAAATAAGGTTAGTCCAAGAACAGACCCTTGGGAGACTCCAGAACATATTTCTTAAATTCGGCCTTATGCCATCAACTGTACAAAGAATTTTCTGCTGGTAATTGCTAATTAAATGTGTTAGCTAAAATATGAGACCTCTGTGCCAAACAGACAAACTTTCTTTACATCAGTATCATCCCTACATGCTTTTTTTAGATGAAAATTTTTGAGAATCATATTCACTTCTGTGGCCAGCTGCATAGGAGTAGAAAGCATGGACCTGAAGCCAAATTGGTAAAGCATAACGTCATTTTAATTTAAAGCTTGCTTAATTATTTTCTATAATTTATTCTATTTTCTTTTTCACTGTTTCATTTTAACTTTTTTTTAATTTTTTTATAAAAATAAATTAATTTCTCAAATATGTAAACTTAAGAGGGCTAAAAGCTCTATTTGCACCTTTAAAATAAATAAATATTTTTAGAATGTAATTGAAATTCCAATGGTTGGAATAAAAGATTTATTCGCTTGCTGTTAACACATGACAATGCTAAACTTATTTAAATATTATATAAAAAATTATTTATATGAAATACACGATTTTTGTATGACGACATAACTGTAATCGCTAGTGTACTAGAAGTTAGTACTAGAACCCTATGGTAACCTCTAGTCGCTATAGTCCACGCCTGGTCTTCATGTTGTTGATACCAGTGGTTTTTATTATTTCTAAGTATCACATTCTTGTTTTTATATTTATTACCTGTATGGATTTATCAAACAATCAGTGATATACTTGAATACTCGAAACTTTATGTAAAATGTTAGACAATTATGGAATAAACAATTGGCAGTTACTCTTGGATTGCTTGCTGATTGACTTTGTACAGGCAGGAAAACTTACAGCTTTTAACAAGTTGTCAAACAAAAATAAAATTAAATACTGCTATACAAACAAAATAATCAAGTAAGCCTAAGCCTACAATGACAATCCTAAAATATACTTTTAATTTTATTTTATAGTTGTTAATAAGTTGCAGAGAAGATTTAAAATAATTGTGATTACTTATTACTGATTTATATAAACTCAAATCTGTATGTAGACACATGTACTGATTTGAGCCTATCACTTCTTGCAGTCCACTGATAAAATAAATTGTAATTTATGACGGTAGTCAGGCCAGATTCACCCGCCTTGGGTAATGACAGTCCAGAGTCAGACCTCGATCTTATTCGTCCAGACACCGAGGTTGGGCTCAGGGGCTGTCAGCAGCTAGGTCATTTCAACATAATCAGTCTCCCATTCACTCTCACTCTTACGTTCTTTCCTATTTACATGTTCATTACAGTGTGGTGGGGTACTCCATATTCCTCTATCACCCTCCCCACATATTCTATAACTAATCTAATAAGTGGATTGGTAGGCTCTGTAACAATAGGAGGATTAAATAAATCTTTCAAATACTGAGGCTATCCTCTTTACAATGTGCAGGCTTGTGTTGTATCCGTATGTCATCTTCAAGGGTCGGATTATACCTTGGTCTGCTGTTGTTAAGTACCTAGGGACAATACTTAACTGTAAACTTTCACCGTAATGGATAGAGGGAATAAAGGCAAAGCTGCAATTTGTATCTTGTTTCCCTTCCCAGACTCTAATCTGTCCCCCAATAAATAAATTTCTCTATAACATTGGTATTAATACTGGTTAGACCAATGCTCTTGTACGCATGCCTCCCAAACGGCATGACATGATCAACCTCACTTAAAATTATACAAAATAAGTTTTTATGGACTTCTTCATCCTGCTACAATCGTATTATAGACTTGCACATTAACACACACACACACACATGGATTACCTTGTACACCACATAAAATGCCTCACAAAGAATTTTTTTAAACGGTGTAGGTTAAGCAGAAATCAGTCAGCTCAACAAATTGGGGACTGTTGTGTACAGGCATAGGATAGTGAAGAACTCTAGTTTAAGCTTGCCTACGATGGGTTTTTTCTTACTTTTTACTTTTAAATTAAATTTTCTTTTTTCTTGTAATACTCTTTTAAAAAATTATTTTCTGAAGCAATAAATATTTTTAAACGTTGTAAATATTTTGAACGAAGATTCTATTCTATTCTACTAATCTAATGAGGGCTGAGGGTATATATATTATGCAGGGCGGGCGACCAAAACCCGAGGGGTTAAACCATTTTATTATCCATAAGTGTTCTGCAGCAAACATAGATGGCCCATATTTCCGTCTGAAAAACGGAGGTGTTTTTACCAAGATGGGAGGAGATGCTGATTCCTAATTTAGGTACATGTATTCCAGCACCGCTTCCCTTGCCTTTAATGAGTGCACCATCAGTAAAACTATGCTACGATGGTCATCATCCGCGCTATAGTTAGATTCTCGCGGAGTAACTACCTGGAAGTATTTTTTCCCTGAAGGGGTTTTGACCTTTTTATCGCTAACGCTTAATAGTTGGCCGTTGACCTTACTCAATAATTGTAGGATTTTCGAGTGACCTATGTTGTTACCCTTATAGTTCCAACTGCCTTCACTAATTAATCTATAGCAGCTGGTTAGTGCTCTGAGCTTAGCCTCTATGTGTAGAGGTGTAGTATTTGTTATAATCTCAAGTGCTAGGGTGGGTGTAGTAGAAAGGGTGTAGTAGCTCCCGTCATCATCAACAACCTAGTCTTTGAAATGTCCTTAATTTGTTAATATTCCCTTTATTTTCTAGCCCTTTCCACCATACTAGGGCTGCGAATAGAAATCTAGGTAGAATAATTGCGGTATATATCCATTTGGCCACCCAAGGTTTGATGCCCCATGTTCTACCAACAATTCTCCTACATTGCACCATAGATAATGTGCCTTTCCTGTATATGTTATTAATGTGGCCTTTCCAATCAAGTTTCCAGTCAAGCGTCACCCCGAGGGATTTGATTGAATCCCTTAATTTTAATTCGATGCCCTGAAATTTAGGGTTTTTGAAATTACCTAATGTTCTTCTCCTACTAAACATTATCAGTTCCAGTTAGCTGGATTAATTGAAAGACCTTTATCACAACACCACTCAGAAAGCAACCCCATAGCATCCTTCATCAGCAGTGAAAGAGGCAGGGGATCTGTACCTGTGACCATTATGGTACCATCATCTGAAAATAATTGGCTGTAGAAAGCTGAATTATTCAGAAGTTCTATTAAACTCTTTACTGTGATTAACCACAGAAGAGGAGATAAGCAGCCTCCCTGTGGGCAGCCTCCTTTGACATTGATTCTAAGAATACTATTGCCTAAGCAGCCTTTACCATCTGTCCCTCCAGGTAGGTTTTCACCCATCCTGTGAGGTGATGGTCTACATTGTATCTATTTAGTGCTGATATAATGCAAGAAGTATCTGCATTATCAAACTCCCCTTGGATATCATGAGTATTCATTATTGAGTAGTGATTTCTCTATCCTTCCTACCAGTGAATGCAGAGCAGTTTCCACAGATTTTCCTGGTAAATAGGCATTAATGTATCATGGCATTAATTCCACAGTCATTATTCACATTCTAATGTATTTATCCAGGATTTTCTCTTTTATTTAATGAAAATAGAATCTGGCTGAGGGTACTCGATATTTCACTATCAGCCCTCTCACAAAAAAAAAATAACTGTTTCCTCCAATCAAAATAGGACCCAGATAGAATTGAAATTTTAGACTTGGGAATGCAAAATATTGAGTATATTTTTGAATACTCATTGCATATCAATTTTCTATAAAGAAAATAACAAAATTTTGAGCAACAAAATGAGATGTAAATTCATTAACTAAGCCACTACATTCAATAAATGTTGCTACCTTGTGATATGCCCCTAATTCTTATCATTTCAACATTGTATAAAACTTGGGAAAGCTAAATGAAATTTGTCCTCCTCAATAACATTTTTGATGCCTTGCTTGATCTGTCAGTTGTTGAGTAGTGATTTTGTGACAATCATTCTCTTCCTACTGTTAAAAAAAAAAAAAAAAATGACATTATTCAGCAGATTTACTTACATTAACACTTTTAATTACAACTTTACTTATTTTTTATTTAATGGATGAACAAAAACAAAAAAAAATGGTAATTTTTGTATTTTTATTATTTTCCCCTCCTTTGAAGAAGAAGAAATTTTGTGAATTAATTTAAATTTTTTCAACTTTGTAAATATTTTAAATAAATGCTTGTTTATATACCGTAATTATCTTGATATTGCCTAATTATATTTAAAATTTGTTCCCGGTTTCCCTAGTGGAAGACTCACAGCCTTCATTGAGGCTGTAAAACAGCAGCAACGTTTTGAAAAGTCTACCCAGATTTCAAAAGAGTATCGTGAACGGGGAAACAAAGCTTTTGCCAAAAACGAACTGTCTCAAGCACTCGACTTTTACACCAAATCTATTTTGTATGCACCCGTCACTAGTAAGGAGCATGCGCTTTCTCTTGGTAACAGGTCTGCAGCCCTTTTTTTGAAGGGAAATTTCCAGGTAATTTGTAATACAAATATTTAAAGTAAATAAATGTTCACTTGGTTTGCCAATTTTCCAGGCTTGCGTATTAGACATTGACTCTGCTATGAACATCACATGTAAAAACCAAATTGTTGAAGATGATAAATTGTATGAAGTCAAACTCTTGGTTAGGAAAGTGAAAGCTCAACTCAAATTAGGTCAGGAAGATGGGAAACAAACACTTTCAAGAGCTTATGAATTGATTCAAGATTTAAACAACAAATCTTTTCAAAATGGTATGCTTTTCAACTACTTATTTCAAATAAGTCAACAAATAATGATTGGGATTAGGTATTGGTCCAAAATGAAGTGGTTATTTATTAACTTTTATTAACTATAATATAATACTATAATATAACTGTAATATAATATTAACTATAAAATAAATATGTTTATCCTTCTGTAGAGCTCTGAGGAAGGCTTAATAAAAAGCATAAAACTTGGCAAAAAGATACAACTACTTCATTTTGGACCACATACCTGATCCCAATCATCAATTGGTAATCATCGGTGGTCGATAATAATTCTCTGTGTGTCAAATTAGTTATGTTTTGCAAAAGAGACCATAATAAAAATGAACAATGAACACTGGGTGTTGTCATGTTTTTAAACTATCAGTTAGGAGAATTCACAATAAAAATTTGGTCATTGTTGATCTGTCAGACATGTTTCACCTTTTTGCCATTTTCAATCTAATATTTAAGCAGATTCAGGTGCAGCAACTGGAGATGGCAAAAACCAAAAGTCTGATAAACCAAACCAGTGAGATAAGGTATTAGGTGGATCAAAATAATTGGAAACTACCATACTGCATGTTCATAATCCTATAAAGAAATTTCATAATATTCCTAGTAACAATATGTTTGAATAATTAAAACTATGTTTATTGATTATATGATTTAATAACAAATACTTTTTGAATTGTTATTTTATTTTCAAAATGTGTACTTTAATGTTACACTAATATCTAATTTATGATATTATAACAAGGTTATAAAGAGACCATGGTAGCTGAGTGGCACAGGAGCCTGACTCATATTTACCACAATTCCGACATAGCCACTTTAGCTTTTGAATTAAGAATAATACAAAAAAGTAAATATTTATTTTAAAATAGTTTGCCTCCCTTGTTTGCGACACCCAACAGTTGGACGTTAAGTCCTCTTGCATGACAATATTTACCTTACTTTATTTTAGATAGTAGTAGATTATTTGAAAGCATGCAAATAAATTAGAGGTGATACTTCTTTGTGTAACAATGTTTTGGCATCTGCGCCATAATTATGTGAATTTATTCCTAATTTTTACATAAAATAAAAAGTTGAAAACTTTTCACATGAAATAAAAAATGACCTAGACAAGGTAATTTAATTTTCAGTGATATCTTTCTATCGTTTTTTGTTATAATTTTTTCACTTTGATATTTTCAAAATAATAACTCAAAAGTTTATTTTGAAAAAACAGGGCTTATTATATCTTTGGCTGACACATCTAAGGTGAGGTTTTCTAATATATCATTGTGTAGTTACAAGTCTCTGCCTTCTCTTATTTTGTAATATATTTTTTACTATTCAGAAAATGTGATTGTATAAATAATTGTGATCTGTGAATCTCTTAAAGTATTATCTTATCTTGAGTGCATGTGATTATTAGACAAGTGTTGTGAATAATAATCCCCATTTATTTATTTTATTTTTTTGTAAAGAAAATTCAGGAGTAATGGTGGGAATCAAACCACACGAATCACTCAGCTACTGCAGTCCATAAATATATTTATGAAAATAAATAAAGTTATGGCTTTTATTTTGTCTTATTATTAAATATCTAATTTTCTAAATGTAAGACTAGAAAATATAAATCAAGAATAAATAGAAAATAATTATTACCATTTATCATAATGTTATTGCCAAAGGATGCAGCTTGATCATCTCTGGCTTGTTTATTCTTGCTAGTTTTGTATTAGATGTGTTTTGATATTTGCAATTTTAGTGATTGGTCTATGTGCTATTTTGAACATAATTTGTTCCATTAAAAATAGAACATGAGATCAAAATATTTCTTAGTACCAAATCCCGGTGAAAATAAACAGGCCAGGATGGTTAAGCTATATATAGCAATACATAAATATGCTCTAAAGATTTTTAAATAGCTGGTTGAATTTAAAATAACATTTTTCTTCTTACAGACAAGCTGAACAAATTAAAAAAAGAAGTAGATGGAATTTTAGAAGCAATAAACGAAGACATAAAATTAAAAAACGATCAAATGAAATATGAATGCTGTGTGGAAAACTACTTGGCGAATATTCAGTCGCAATTTGGAGAAAATCCACAATTAAAATATACTTCAAACAAAATTGAACTCAAGTAAAATAACATAATTTCTTTATATAAAACATTATTTTTTAAGGCTTACAATAAATGTATGGATCTCTTGGGAAATGTTTAGATTTGATTTACCAATTTTCATGCCATTAATATTGATGATATCATGATCTATGAAGATGTAACAAATATTAATGTTTTCATGATTTCACTAATTTCGTGGTCCGCTTGACCAATTAAGATATTACAATTAATTAAGGTTTTTAGTTGAGATAAAAAAGTCAATGGCACGAGTGGGATTCGAACCCACGATCTTCGGCTAGATATGCCGCTGCTCTACCACTTGAGCTATCGTGACCTCAATCCACTCAGAGACTAACTTCCAGTTTTCATGATATATTTAGACAATCTTTAAAAAGTAACTTTTTCTTAAAATAAATTAATATAATTAATGCCATAGTTAGAAAATATAGTTAAATTCATCTTATATAATTTCAGATATTAATGAGATGTTAGAGTCTTACTTTAAATATTCATATGCAATAATGAAATAATTTGATATCAGTATTGACACATTTTAATCAATATGTTGTAATGTTTGTATTTGTAGTTATCTATAAAAAATGTGACCATACTTTAACCTGATCGTATCGTTTGTTTAATTATTTAGCATATTTACTTCTACAGAGAAACAGAAGAAAAAGGAAGGCATATTATTGCTAAAGACGATGTGTTTTGTGGTGATGTGTTATTTATCGAAGCACCATTTGCTTTTGTAACACTTCCTGATCCACAGCATACTGTTTGTCAAAATTGCTGCCAAACTGATCTCGATAATCCTGTTGGGTGGGTATATAATTATATGCTATATTTGCTTGTAAATGATCTTAATTTCTTATAAAAGTAAGTTTTTTTGTTGTTTTTTTAAAAATAAGTTACTTGTCCAAAAACAGACTGATGAATTCTTTAATTTTTTCGCCTTTTTATGTTTTTAAATGGGGGTTTGCAACAGCTAAGGTCATATCAACTCTCAGGGAGCTGGTGGGTAAAAAAAAAAAAAAAAAAAAAAAAAATGATGAGTCGTATCAAATGCACTAACTGATGCAGCCACCAACACTTTCTTAATGATTATTTTATTTTTCTATTCTTTATTTTTGCTTTTCAACTATTTAATATTGCAGATGTGACAAATGTGCAGAAGGGAGTTATTGCAGTGAAATCTGCAAAAATGAGGCCAATAAAAGTTTTCATTATTTAGAATGTGGCTTTGGTCTTGATATCTTGTACAGTATTGGACTCGCCCATTTGTCCTTAAGGCTCGCCATTTATGGTAGAGACAAAACAAAACAGGATGAGTATGAAAGAGTAAAGGGTCTGCTGAGCAACCTCGATAAGATCGAAGTTGAAGATTTTTTCTTGTATTCACTGGTATGTGCTTAAACACTAGGTCCTCTACACATGAGGTGAAGGCTAATTCCATTTTAATCTCAGACTGCCACTCTCTTGCTGATTTATTTAAAAAATCATACAGGATTTTTTAAAAAAGAATCTATTGAAGAACAGTATGAATTTGGAGCTGCCATACTCGAACACCTCGGTCAGTTGATATGCAATGGGCATGCTATTGTCAGCTATAGCATGTCACACAGAAATAATAGCCCCATTGCTGCTGAAGAACAGAGAAGAATTGGCACTGGCATCTTCCCCTCAGTTAGCATGATGAATCATGGATGTGATCCTTCAGTTAATGCAAGGTATTTTACTAAACTTACTTTACAAATTAATCTTCTATAAATATTTAATTTTTTTTTCAGTTTTGTGAAAAGTTTGTTGATTGTAAAATCTGTGAAAGATTTAAAAAAAGGAGAGGAAGTTTATAATTGCTATGGTAAGGTTTAAATTGTTTAATAACTCATTATTTAAAGAATATTTTTAAAGGATAAAAACTATTGTGGCCTTCTTAAACAAATCATCTTAACTAAAAGAAACTCTTTATTCAGGTTAATTTGTAACAACAATCTCTATTTAGGCAAAATAAAATAGACGAAAAATAAATAAAATATTTTGGAAATACCATTGCAAGCTGTAAATTTGTGAACATTTTTAAAGATACAACTTTAGTATCCATTATTAGAAACATCGCTCAAATTGGAATGTTGCAGTTGACATCATTGTTCATTTCTGAACAGCTAAAACAGTTGAAATTTTGTTTATTCTGTCTCCAGGACCAAATTTCAGGAGGATGACAACCAAAGAAAGAAAAGAGGCATTATTGGATCAGTACCATTTTTCTTGTAGGTGCAATGCATGCCAATCGCCGACAGAATTTTGCACACAATTTAACAAGCTTTGGTGCACATTTTGTAAATCAGAAATCAACCTTGAAACATTCAAATGCACATATTGCCTTACGGAGTTTGACGTGTTGAAGAAACAACTATCAAATTTGGATATGTTGAAAAAAGAAGGTTGTAACATTGTGTTTAAATATTTCAAATGGAATATTTTTTAAAATATTTTTTGCAGCTGAATGCTTGATAAACAGAGATGAATGCGAGAAAGCCCTTGACATTTTGAAGAACATTTCTTCAAATTTGTCGTGTTATGTGAAAAACTGCAATAAAGAACTGATGGAGATTAATGATATCAAAGCTGTAGCATTTTGCAAGCTTTGTAAGTAGTAGTAATGGGTTATTGTCATACTTTAAATTAAAGATTGTTTTATTGCTAGCAATTTAGTTTATATCAATGTTAAATCATGTTAAAATTCATTAAATTTTATTAGGCAAATGGGATCAGAGTTTTCTCAGTATTGAAAGATCACTTTATTTTGTAAAGCAAATATATGGAGAAATGAGTCTCGAAGTCGCAAATGAAATTGTTAAACTTTCTGATGTTGCCATTGAAATAATATCAAATAAAGTATTACTTAAAAACAATGTGTAAGTTAACTTATGTATTATACAATACTTTCATTAATCATGAATAATACATTATAAGAATATATTTTGATTAAAAATCTGTTTTACTATTTCCAGATCAATGTTGCAGCGGTGTCTGGTTTATTGTAAAACTGCATTAAATATTTACAATTTGTACTATGGCCCATATCTCAAAAAATATATTGATCTTCAAGAAAAGATTTTGATATTACAAAATAATTGTTAATTATTTATATAGACAATAATTGTATAAATATCTTTTAAAATATGAAAATAGTTTATTTTATTTGATCACTTCACTAACAATGAAATTTCAAAAGTAAAAGGTCCATTCCTGCCTTTTTGATTACCTCCTGTCCCTCCAATTTAACACCGAGGATGGTTAATCTTTTCTGTTAAATTTTCCCATCTCTTATTTAATTTAGTACATTTCATTTATTTTTATGCCATTACATTTAAATCTCTTAATTTTTTTGTTGTTCAAGAGTCCCAAGGCACCAGAATAAATGTTGTCTTCTTCCATTGTAAATTAGTGTATTTGTTTCTGTAAAGAATCTAAAATATGCACTGATAAACCAGAAAGCATGAACAATTAGTAAATTTATAAAAATTAATCATTCAAATTTAAAAAAAAATTGATTGCAGAACAAGATTGCTCCTATTACATTTAGTGTTAAATAGTAATGTAGTAGGCTGATCAATCACCAAAGTAAATATGTTAAATAGTAATGTTTGATGGCACATAGGTGTTTTGCTTACTCAAGTGTAACTGTGAAATAATGAAATCCAAAGAAACACAAAGAGGGTCAACTGATTTTTCATCATTAAAAGATTGCAGACTATTTTCAGTGCTAGCTTGCCAATTGAAAGTCTAGGTGATTTTTTTTTTATATCTGTTTTATGTATTATTTGTTTAAAAACAGTAATGTTAAAATCCAAACAAATCAGTAGTGTAAAAATATGATATTTAAATTATAGTTTACTGAACTAATTACTGTATTATTGATTTTTATATTTAGAAGATATAAATGTTTAGTAGTCATAATTGACAATATTAATTATTTCAATTAATTATTCTTTTTGTCTAAAGTCTTGGTTGATTCAATTACACACATGAAGTCACAATACCTCAACTGGTTAGAGCAGCAGCGTATTGAATCAAAGGTCGTGGGTTTGAATCCCATTCATGACACTTACTTTTTCATCTCAAGCTAGACCTTAGATAAAAAGAATAATTAATTGAAATATTCAGAAGATATTTCATTTTCTTTATTAAAACTAAGGCTTCTCACGATTCAACAAAATCTTTGTTTCAGCTATGGTATTAATACTGACCACCATTACCATCCTCGGTATAGGATGGCTGATTTTATATCTCACTCCACCAGCAGTCGCAGCATTAAGTGTAGCCTTTGCATCAGTAAGTGCATTCGTTGGAGCAATAGGTGCATCCATTGCAGGAGTCTTTGGAAGTGCTCAGACTTTTTTTGTAAAACTTTTTATTGATCGTATGATTTCTGCAGGAAAAAATAAAATACAAGAGTCAGTAAAAGATGCAATAACAAGTTCTGTAAAAAATTCTGTACAAAATAAAAGCGAATGATGGAAACTATCGTCTGTCCAATGTATATCTTTGCCTGAATACAATGTATATAATTAATAATTAAAAAATAATCTTGTTTCCTTTTGCTTTGCCTATTTTTAAGATTTGAACCTGTGACCCATACAATGATGAGACACTGTGACTCACAAACCATTGCAAGTTCAGATAACCCCTTATATATAATGTTTTTGATGTTTAATCACATATCATCAAACTGCCACACTGTGACAGAAGAAACACCAGAAAGAAAAAGTTTTGGAGCTATAGAGGGAATTGTTTGGCTTATGATGAACCAAAAGGTCTTGATTGCGTTGATGCCTAACCCACTCGGCCACCATGGTCTCCCATAATTAATAAATTGAGATTGTATTTATTTATTTTATGTAATTTTTAATTTAAATTTAGACATTTTTACTCCAGAGAAGCTATGGAGGAGGCGGTGTTATGGCTCGAGCAGGCATTTCTATGGAACGGGCACAAACTTGTTCTTCATCAAAGGTTCCATAACAGCCGCGCGATACATTGAAGATGTGTTATCAGAAGAAGTTGTTCCTTATATGCAACTAATTGGCGACGGTTTTATTTTTATCCATGACAACGCAAGGCCCAAACAACTAGGATCACTGGTGGCTACTTGGAACGGACTTCAATTGAATGTTTGGCGTGACCAGCATGCAGTCCAGGACTTAACTCTATCGTACACATTTGAGACGAATTGTCAAAGAGGGTAAAAAGTTGCCCAGTGATGCCAGAGAATTAAGAGGTGTTGGAGGATTTGACGATTCAAAACCAGATAAAATGGATGCCATGTCAAATTTGGCTATGTTGAATGTAGGAGGAGGAAATACTCCGTACTGAATTGAATATCATTGTCACCCAAGAGACCTACTTATTTAATTATGTATTTTTAAATTCCTTGCCTAGAGCTTGACAAATGTACATTGTTAAATTAGGTTAAACTTGTTCTTGTCACTTCAAATAAAGTTTTTTTAAAAAAGGAATCCGCAGTTGAAGTTATTTAACTGGCGCAGTCGGTAGGACGGCAAAGGATCTCAAGAGGACATTGAAGATCATCTGTTTCTACAGTTAACTTGTGATGATGTGTAACATCATCTGCAATTTGAAAAGGACATGCAATTTGAAGTAATACTGTAAGTCCAGAAAATTTTATTATCTTTTGATTTTTATTTTATTTTCAAGTATACACAAACATTTACTTAAAATTAAGTGTAAAACATATGTTTATTAAACTGAATAAAACAATACTAATCAAAATAAATAAATGTAGTTATTGTTGTGAAAATGTAGTGTGAGAAGAACAACAGTGGATTTTTTTTTAAATATATACTTGCAATTATATAATTTTTACTTTTTGTGGTTTACTAGATATTAAATTTATATATAATCAATATAAAAGTAAAAATTATAATAATTGCAAGTATTTACTTAAAAAAAATTGCTGTTGGACTTCTCACACTATATATTCACAACAATAAATACATTCACTCTCAACAAACGCTAGGACACAAACCTATTAGTACTATATACAATAAAACAAGGTTTATCCTCCAAGAATCAGAACAGGGGACCCAGATACTCACACAGTTCTCATAATCGGTTGGTATTCCTACACGCTCTCTATATAGAGCCAAGGATGCTTTAAATAGGATGCAACCTTTCTCTACATGCCAGACACATATGTGGGCTTTAGCCCAAAAGTAAGTGTCCTTGAGTCGACCTCGCATATTCTTAAGCATGGCCCTTCAAGATTCATGCTCACTCAGGGCCACCTATCTATCAACTGTCTCTTGATATGGGAGCTTCTCTGCCAATCAGTTAAACTTGTACAACTGACATGAGGCATAAATTATAATGAAAATGTCATTGGAAGAAATTTCAGAAATATTGTAGAGTATGTAAGATGTTGAATATGTGTTCGCTTATTATATCTTGTTTTATATCATATCCAAATATTTATATTCTATTTAATAAATATCAATTTAAAATATTTAATAGAATAATTTCGAATTGATGGTTTTTGGTTTGCCAAAATGAAGTATGTGAACTCCAATTTTTATGGCATGATAAATGTTACTGGTTGACGTACCTTACATGCCATAATTCATGATACTGATAGCAACCGGAAGGCTACAATAGTTTATAAATCTTTTTTCTATTTATGGTTTTATTTAGAAATTATGAGTATAGATTTCAAAAATGAGGACGAAGTTAAAGATTACATCAAAAACTTGGGAACCGAGTACCGGTTCGGCTGTTTCAAGGAAAAGAAACCCGAAGGTACGTTTAACAGCCGTTTTTAACTCAATTTAATCAATTATTTAATTTAACGTTATTTAATTGTATTTATTAAACTGCAGTCTGTCATCTACTTGGAGATTATTTAGAATCTATATCGAAAGATTATCACAAAGCTGGTCGTGTTTACAAGTCGAACTGCGATGATTACAATTTTGCAAAAAGTTGTTACAAGATGGGATATTATTACATTTCTGGGAAAGGAGGTTTTGAAAGATCAACGGAGAAGGTGAGTTAACCCTGAAAAATTAGTCCTTTTTAAAAAAGATGGTTCCTACTCACATTAAGTTTTTTCGCAATAATCCGGATTTTGAGCCCTTTAGCTCATCGTCAGGTTGAAGGGTTTCCACAAACACGTCTCTCAAACCCTTCAACCTGACGATGAGCTAAAGGGCTCGAAATCTGGATTGTTGCGAAACAACTTAATGTGAGTAGGAACCATCTTTCCATTGTGCGGATGGTGTAGATGTAGATGTAGTGTTCCGAGTATGCTGTGTACTATGCCCCTTGAGAGCTATTGTATCCCCCGTTCTATATTTTTTCATTGGTGAGGAATTTGATTAGTAAGCCTGGTTTCAGTGGATGAATTTTTTCTACAATTAAATTGCACATTTGAAAACACTCCGGGCAAATGTAGGGCCACAGTTTGTTAGTAGGTGTGTTGGTATCTCCCCGATTTCTTTACAGAATCTGCATGTGCCGTGTTGGGTTACACTAATCTTTTTCAGATGCCCATTCATTCTGCAGTGCCCTGTTAAGAATTCTATCAGGGTTCGAATTTGCTAGAAGGTTCTTCGATTTTTTACGTCCAACGAGAGAATTTCACTGATTCCTCGTTTTGTCTTTATGTCTAAAATATTCATTGATAGTGTGAATCCCTATGCAACAGAAAGGCTCAAGACCTATCAGCGGTATAGCAGCCCATCCTTGGAAGGGCGTCTGCTCTCTCATTTCCCTCTACTCCTACATGTCCTGGAACCCAGAAGAGACTTAACTTTATTTTGCATAACTAATCTATTTAGTTAAGTTTTGCAATTCAGCACCGTCTTTGAGGTAATGACGTTTGAACTTAGTGTTTTGATTTCTACTTGGCTATCTGATATGATAGCTATACTCTTGTTTTTGTTAGATCGTGGTCTCCCAGCATTTAGCACGATTCCGAGAGACTGGAAGTGCCAATCGGCCAATTGGCACTTCCAGTATCTCGGAATTGGCTAAAGCCCAGGAAACCACGCTCTGAGAAACGCCAACTGCCTCTGTGGTATCTACTTGCCTGTGACCTCGATGAATCATTCTCACAATAGTTTTGCGAACATCTGGTTCATGATGATGTCTTTCCACGGTTAAAGAGAATACAACTGGAATAAAATGGAGAACTTACAAGAAAAGGTGTTTGTTTACAAAATGAGTAATCTTCATGTTTACTATCCTTAAGTAAATCCATTATTAAAAATGAGGTTTAACATTTTTTTTTTTTGTATTTTTCATTTTGCTTTATCCAACTGACAAGAATATATTAGTTAATTTAATTAACATTAATAGAATAAAAATAAATTACAAATATCCCTTTTCATTTTTGCACAATTTATTTACAAATGGACTTTTTTTAAATCAAAACCACTGGAACCCTGGGGTTGATATGGCTTCTGCTGTTGCAAACTCCGTATAAAAAATATTAAACTACATTATTTTTTGAATTATAAATCCGTCAATAGTTGTACTATATAATTAATATTTTCTTCGTTTCTTTTTTTTTCAGAGCTCACAATATTATGAAAAAGGGTGTGACCTCGGTGACACAGACTCTTGTTTTAGAGCAGGATTTGTTAATATAATCACTAGTAAAGCACAAAACTCGAAGCAAGGTTTTCTCCAGGTATGAAAATAAATTCAAATTAAAAAAGTACACCCGTTTTAAACAAGATTCTGTTATATCATATTATCAAGTAATCTATGGGTTTTGGTTTTTTAAACCTTAGCATTTGCTATTAGCCCACAGATCTTTTGTATCCTCCATACCCTTCCTCAACCTCACCATACCAAGTCTGATGCAACGAGGCTGCTCATGATTTTACTACGTTTATACTTTTCTTTTATTTATGACTGTTATATTCAGATGTTGGGTTGTGGGAAGTGTAGTCATGCAGAAAACAGCGTTGTGCTCAATTCTTCAATTTGCCAATGTTTTGAATGGTTTCTCATTCTTTTCCAAGGCAGCGCCTAGAATATGATTTTTTACATTATTTTACATATTTTTTTTTTTAGTTTTATTCGTTGTATTCTTTAATATTGAAATACATTTTTCTTACTGGAATAAGGGTAGAGCCGCCTTTGTCCACTTTTTTCAGTGTTGGCATTAAAAAATAATATAATAATATATCATAAATATACAATAATAATAAAATGAAATAAAATAATTTAAAAATATTCAGTCCATTGTCTAGTCAAAAATTTAATAAACTTGTAAATTCTATTTCAGACTGTTCATATAGTATTAACAATTAGTATTAAGAAATTAAAATCTATAAAAATGATGTAAAAACAAATGTAATATATGTAAAATACTGTAAAAAATCATATTACAGGCATTGCCTTGAAAAAGAATGAAAAACCGTTCGTAATGTTAGCAAATTAAAGAATTGGGCACTACGCTGTGTTTTCTGTATGACTGCACAACCCAACATAGATTTATACTTTTATTATAGACAATCTTTTACTGATCTAAAAATGGGATGTACGTATGTCTCAATTAGAAAAGTTCTTGTGCATAAAAATAATTAAACTAACAGTGAATTGTGAAGTTTGGTCGTTTTCATTTTTTTTCTCGCTGCTTTGTTCTGTCAGACATGTTTCGGCTTACTGCCATATTCAGATAGACCACATCATTCATTCTTCACCCTCCAGACTGCTTAAATATTTCATTCATTTTTCAAAAATATTTTGGTGCTTTTAAAAAAATGTCAATCCATTTTTTTTTCTTCTAATTTATTCTCTTGTTCTGTGGTCGATCTCCTCTAGAAATTAACCACTAGGGCAACTACAGATGAGAGAAAGTGCCAGAATAACAAGTCTACTGTCTGCTCCTTTCAATATTAAATTAACAAACCCTGCCAAAGCCAGAATTTCTGCTATTTAAATTTGTTAACTGTTTAATTTTCGTTTAAATTTAATTTTGAATAATATTATAAGATAATAATATATTTTTAAAAAAGTACTAGGTCTAAAAGGAAGATTTTCAGGGTTTCATAAAATACTTTTAAATTGTTTGATACCAATCTGTGTCAATTGCGAGATACATATTTAAATAATTTTATTAAAATTAATAGGAATAATTCAGTACTTAAGTAATTGCTTTATTGTCCTAAGTATTGTTTCCATGGCTGAATTCTACGTATAATTTATATTATACAACGTTTTATATATATATNTTTTTTGAACAGTTAACAATCATATGCCATCATTCACTTCTTTGTGTTTTCTGTTTTGTTGTAGAGTGCTTATCCATCTGTAGGGGATATTTTTTATTCTATTATTTGAAACTACTCCCTCGGTTATTTTGGTTTTTTCTGGGTTTCAGCACTTCATGATCCTACCAAGAGTCCTCTTCAACTCAAAGCCAGATATAAACGCCAACCACGAGAGTAGTTTCAAATAAAAAAATTAAAAAAAAAAAATCTACTCCTTACATCATAAATTTTTAAATAGGAAATTTAAAAGTTGTAAAGCCGTATTTTATTTAATGACAATAAACTGATGTAGTAAGAAGGAACAGGTACTAGAAAGTGTTTTTTTTTTTTTTTTTTTTTTTTTTTTAGCCATTTTTTTTTTTTTTTTTTTTTTTTTTTTTTTTTTGGTGGGGAAAAAACCTTCAGTGGCTGTAAAGTGTATCTGTCGGCTCACGAGTGTTCGTGATCAAAACTGAACCCGACAGGAAGTTGTGGGGTCATGGATTTTTTCCTTGTTGGGAAAAAAAAATAAAAATAAAAAACCTATTATTAGATTACTTTTATATAGTTTAAATTTAATTGATAAGTGGTGTAATTGTTTCATACCTAAAACAATTTATCCTGTAAATGTACTAAACACTTTTTCGTTCTATCTACATTTCTATATTCCAGGGGTTGAGTAGACTGAAAAAGGGCTGTGATGCCAATCATGCTGATGCATGCCACCATTTGAGTTCCTTGTATCTGGACGAAAATTCAAATACGAAAGATTTCCTATCCAAAGATATGAAAAAAGCCTTCGAGTTCGCCCAGAAAGCGTGCCATTTGGGAAACATTTACGCTTGCGTCAACGTGAGCATAATGTACAGAAAAGGCGAAGGCGTAGAAAAGGATCAGAAGAAGAGTGAAAATTATAAAAAAATGGCCTTAGATAAAAAAAAGGAACAGGAAAACGAAAGGCCGCTTGTATTCCAAGAAGGTCTTAAATAAATCATCTAGTGTACATAACTTTGGTAAGGATTTATTAATTGTTCCTTTTCCTGCGAGGTGTCTTGTTAATCCACTAGTAATTAAACCGTTGAATGTTTATTGAACGTTTGTCTTTATTCCATTCCTGAATTTCTTCGAACTTTAAACGCTGATGGAAAGTAATTCTGGAACGTAGATGATCTTGCTGGTTATTGGGTGTTGAGGAACGAAGAGTTCTTACTTTCACTACAATGTGCACGGCTGGGAAGACTTTCATTTTAACTCTCTAGATAGTGAAAGTGAATGAGGGGTCCAGACAGCATCGAAGTTATGTCATCCGCCTCCACTTTGCATCCTTCTTCGGTTTCCGCTATTATTTCCATCTGATGAAATTTTTTTTTACTTTTTTTTTGTTACGAGTGATTATTATGTAGCTTGTACAGAACAAATGACAAGTCTTTCAATAAAATTTCGTTTTCTTTAATTGAGTCCTTTAATGCTAGTTTCTCATTCTTAGTAGTCGCACAATATCTACCTTAAAACGTCATTAGTGTATTACAAAGTTCATCCCACATTCCGGGGATTATCAGACGAATTATAGCAAAGGTCTAACTATAGGGTCATCAGTATTATCTGCCAAATCATTAACAGCGTCGACAAACAACATGACTAACAATTTAGAAACGATGGTTTTTCGCTTGATCGTCTTTTGCTAATTGTAAAAGAGTATACGCTCTCGTGGATAAAGAACCAAAATTTTATGGGGAAGGAAAATAGGAAATTTATTGAAAAAAGGGGAATTGCTAATTAAAGAAAAGATTTTTAAAAAATATACAATGAAATTTTATTACATAAAAACAAAATCCTATCGAACAAATAGTTTTAAAAAGAAAATGTGATTTAGGCAGTAATAAAACATAAATAGAACCAATAATTTAAAATGCAATTTTAATATACACGTACTCAATTTTTTATGGTTCTTTTCATGCTCAACTACATGAATTTCAAATTACATCCGTTTTATCACATGGCCTCTCCCCCTATCTATACAGATTTGCTTGTTTTTATAAAAATTTACCAGAGCTTTTTGGTTTTTTTCAGCAGCATACCTTTTAGCTTCGGTTACCACGAGCTTTTTACGAAATTCCGCCGTTCCCCAACTTCAAGGATACTTACCAATATTATTATTAATTATGTATTAAAAATCATATTATGCAACGTGGATTTTTATATAAGACTTATTGTCTTTCTATATTTATAATTTTTGGTTAAAAAAAACCTCCTGATGATGGGTGTAAATTTCCGAAACGTCTAAAATATGTAATTTTAAAATGAAACAGGAAATTTATTAAAATAAAAAAAAATGCGGAAGTTGGTACACAGTACACCCAAAGACAAAAAACCTGTGTATTTTTGTCGTATGTTAATTACAACATATTTTATGTTAATGTAAGCCAATTAAATTCAATCAGAAATTCATGCATTTAATAAAAAATATCGAATTATAATGGTTTGAAAGAAAATTGACCAAAACATCGAAAAATCATTTACTAATAGATTAAAATTTAATTAACAATTTATTACCTAATTTCGCTCTTAATGCGTTATTATGAGCAAAACCAGGTAATAAATTGTTAATTTATTCATTAAGTATGTTGGAATTAATATAACGATAAAAATATTTATAGTTTAAAAAAAATATGTGTCCATTTTTCCTTCAAATTTTTGAATATATACCCAAGTAATTTTAATAAGTTTTAGACAATTTTTTTTTTCTAAAGGAAATGGCTGCGTGCATTGGAAGAATATTTTGTACTTAGTTTTATCAAGTAAGCTAGTCTGTCAAAAATGATTGTTATCGATATTAGCTGTAGACAATCAATCAAATTACATTTTTCTTTAACGTAGTCGTAAATATTTAGATTATTAATAATAAATATTTCACATTCCATCAGACTATTACTCTTGGAATGATTTGACGATTTTCTAGAGTTGGAATGTACTTTCAAGTCAACTTTGTCGTTTTTGCGACTAGGATATTTCATTGTACCATTGATGAAATACATTCCTTGAATATAGAACATAATCCAGTTTCTCTGGTAATTAATTGATCGCCCTTGGAGCGTCGAAGATAATGAAAAGTGGGAACGTTGCTTTCACGCGCTGAACATCAGCCACAATCGTTTATATCGCTAAAACAAATACATCGCAAGGGTCGATTGTATAACTTTTTAATAGTAGTTGCCCATAAAGTGAAACGAGATAAAATATATCTGTTTACGATTATCGTTACCTTAATTCGATAAGCAGAATAACAAAGCGATTGTTTCCAAACAAGTTATTGTCGGATAGAGGATGATTTGATGAAATAGCGTTGCGCAAAAATCGATAAATGAAAATGTTTGATTAAAAATATTTTGCGTTTTTAGACATTTATGTCTGTTCGTATGAGGAAAAGAGGCTCAAATAAAAATTAAACCGCTCTCTTGCGGACGTAAATTGTGCCTGGGTCACCTTCAAAAGGATCTTTCTACTTCCTCCACACTCTACAGTAACATTTCCGCGCACCATTAATTTTTTTAAATATTTTTTTATCTTTTTTTTTAACTTTTTTTTTAAGTTAACTCGCCGATCCACCCCCAACGCTTCGTTCCAATGAGAAGCTGGTTTTTGATCCTTCTCAACTTTGAACATGCGTTAGTGATTAATTTGTATGTATAAATATTTAGGTACGTGTTTAAAATAGAACGTAGATCAAAATTTGGTATATTTATGCGTTTATCTCCATGTTAAATTTTAAATTTTTTTATTTCAAATTTTAAACCAATCTCTTTCTTCCCTTTGTTGAAACTGTTTAAGACTGTTGTATTTATATTGAAATTGTGTTTTGTTTGATTTATATGGTTCTTAAATTCAGAAAATTTGTTCAATTTAGGCAGTGTTCTTTAAATCTCGTTTTAATTGGCCACTTTGTCCACATTATACATTTAATATCGCAATTATTACAATTAAGTCGGTTACCTTGTCCATAAGTTTTGAGAGAATGTTTCTATATGAACACATATCTCTAAAATCTACTCTAAAACCTTTTCGTTTAAGAATTTCACTTTTTCTAAAAGTTCACCAATGAATGGCAAAGAACGAAAACCTAATGATTAATTTTCGGTGGGGTGCTTGTTACGATTGTTGGCGTCTTTTAAAGTTAATTTTTTATTCATTTTACTACCAACCTATCGATAAATATTTCTTGATGTATATTGTTTTTAGCCAAGGTTTTAATTCTTAGTAATTCTTTTTTATAATTATCAGGTGTTAATGGGAGTTTCGCCATAGGGTCTATGAGCCAGAAGAACCCAGGAGCTTTTTGGGTTCATGGGTGAGAAGAATCTGCTGGTATCATGGGTTTCTATATGTGTCTATTTCAATTAGGTAATTTAATATGGACAGATTGAAGTCTAAAAAGTTTAAACAACCGTTTTTATTTATTTCCAATGTAAAATTTATACTAGGTTGTAAATAATTAATTGACGAATTCTTTTAGATCCTCTTGTGTTCCCGACCATATACATAAAATATCGTCTACATAGCGTTTCCAAAAAAAAGGTCAGATTTAATTACTTATTTAATTTGAAAAGAATTTTTTCAAAAATTTTCCGTGAATATTTCAGCACAAAGTTGGGATAACGAAGACCCCATTGATAATCCATTCATTTCATAAAATTAATTATTAAATTTACAATAATTACGTAGTAGGCATATGTTCAAGAAGTCTTATTATATTCGTTATTAGAGTTCAAAGTTTTTGTTTTATTACTTTAGTACATTCTTTAACAGGGATATTCGTAAATAAATTAGTAACATAAAATGACACTAAAACCCACTTGTTAGGCAACGGTTTTATCAATTCTAAAGAATTGATAATGCCGAAAAACTTATGGAGAACTATTAACGAATGTGAAAAAATGTTATAATAGTCCTCTTAAATATATTTTATCATTAGGATTGTCATTGAGCTTGAATCCCTCATTCATGCTTAGTCATAAGATAGTGTACCAAATTTTAGTATTGCTTGGTAGATACCTATCATCCTCGCTGGGTTTGGAGGCTTCTCAGAAATCACTCAAACACTGAAGATGGCGAAATGCTGAAACGGATTTGAACTAACAAAAAGCAGCGATGGTAGGTAACTATCACACAGTAAGTTTATCACCCCGCAGAGGACAGGAGGAAATCTCATAAATTACAGTACCTATAATATGTATAAAATACGATGAAGATTTTTAAACTAGTTGAATGCCCTGTGGAGTGGATACAAGTCTTTTTTGATAATCAATTACTCGTAATGTTTCAAGTGATTTTACTTAATTTATACACTTGTCTTCAGGGTCAACTACGGAAGTCAATGCGAACATGAAGTACTACGGCTGATGCTTTAGCCGCGAGGCAAAAAAGTGCAATATGACAATGTTTTATTTTATTTATTTATTTTTGGAAGACGAAACAATACAGACCGTATGTTGCGGTCAGGCATAAATATTTCAGTAAATGATGGGTAAATAGTCACTGGTCAAGGCAACAAGAACCTTAAGGTTTCTTAAGATAAGTATTATGAATTCAAACAATTATTATGTTTATTTTTAAATATCTATAGAACAAAACATTATTCTTCTTTTTTATTTTTTCAGTTTATTTTTTAAATTATACTCTCTCCGACCCTAGATGTCTATTCTAGCTTGTTTTATCAGTTCAACGCTTTTCTGCATTTCGCCATCTTCAGTGGTGAGCCTGACAAATGTTCAGGTCCATTACTCTACAATATTTCACAATTATAACTCATTAACTATTTTTTGAAAGAGGTTTTTCGGTTTTTATGGAGAGAAGGAAATTTGTCACACTTGGAATAAATAACACCCATAAAAATGAATATGATGAAGTAGGTAATAATTGTTGTACAAGTATCGGCGAGGAGGACAACGAAGAAAGCTCAAAAAACTATAGTCAAGCTTTCGGCCTATTTAATGCCTTCATCAGGAGTACAATATATATAACTTAAATAAAAGTAAATAGTACCAAAAGATTTTTTTTAGCGTACGTGTGGATCTCAGATATGAAAACCAAGGTTTTCAACAACTAAGGTTCTCATCTCTGATGTTCACACGGACGCTAAAAAGAAATCTTTTTGGTGCTGTTTGTTTTTATTTAAGTTATATATTGTAGTCCTGATAAAGACATTAAATAGGCCGAAAGCTGACTTAATTTTTTTCAGTTTTCTTTGTTCTACGACTATCGAACAACATATGTGGTATCAGAAGGCCGATAAAAAACATAAGTAATGATAATATTAATAAATAATAATAATAAGAATGCTTTATTTCCTAATATAGGTACAAGTCTTAAAAAATAAATATACAATTATTTAAACCACATGTGAGTATATCAATTTATAACTATAATTAGGCACAAATTAAATGGGAAAAAATAGGCACAGGCTATTATTTAACAGTCGGAAAGAATAATATTACTCAGAAACACTTTTTTTATCCAGGCCTCAGTAAATAAATACTCGTCGTCGACTGAAATAAATCTACAGGCGCTTCAAATCCTGCAATAACTGCAAAAAACAGTTTGTGAGTATAACTCTTCTTTCCGACTGTTAAATAATAGTCTGTGCCTATTTTTTCCATTTAATTTGTGCCAAATTAAAGTTAGGCAGTTCAATACACTGTAGACCGTTTTAGAAGGGAGATTAAAATAGTTTTTTTTCTATATCAAGTAAGTATAATTGAAAGTTTATATTGAATAGGGATCATCAACCATAAGAAATATTGAAATGTTATACTATTTTAAATACTTTTTTATTTACGGGTCAAAAACCTATTTCTTAAAAACGTATATAAAAGTGAAGGAGAAAATTATATCTACAATACAATACGTACAAATACCACAACATTAATAAAGAATAAACACTATTGCATACAAAAAGAGATATAAAAAATTAAAAGTTCAATAAAATCCTTATAAATAAAGGCCGGATAAGGAAATATTTGCATTTTTTATTGCTAACTCCTATTGCTATGAAACCTAGACATAAATTTGATTCACGTAAAAGACATTAATTTTATTTTACACGTTTTGGAGTTATTGGATGAAATTGCATTTTTAAAATTTTTTTTGTTTATTATCTTTTTATGCATGAAAACAACGTGACAATTCATAATTTTTATGGGTTAACAGCATCGAATTTATCGATGATACATCCCATGCATGTTACCTACTGTGTAAGATGTGTTTGTATTATTAGTGACTATGAAACCGAAGTCCTTGTATTTTAAACAATTTTTTTTGCACTTTCGTCTTTACACCTACCTGTTCTCATCCCAGCCCGTGCAATGCAGTCCAGAGTATTGTTTTGCCGAAAGTGCGCCCCCTTTTTTCTTGATTTATACCTTATTAGGAGTCCTATCAACATCAGTAGTAAGTCCAGGAAGTACGATGGAATTCTTTGAATTCTTCTTAAAAAATTTTATAAGGTAGAAATTGAGTTTTGTCCTGTAGATTTTTCTAAGTCGAGTAACATTCTGCAAAGCCACATAGTCAATGATTTTTTCGTCATATTGAAAAGTAAATCCTTTAGCGTTGTAAAGAAGCTCAAGAGCAAAAGTAATCTAACTTTTGGAACTTGACAATAATATTTGGGTAATCCAGGCGATCTGAGACATGTATTAATAATACAAACAAAGATATGTATTTTACAAATATTTGTATTATTACTGGCTGTTTATGAAACCGAAATCCTTGTCTTTAAACAATTTTTTTGCACATTCGACTTTACAACTGCTTGTTCGTTTGTAATTTTTTATTATAAAACAAAATTGTACAAATTATAAGCTACTTCGCTATTAGTTTGTATTTCAGTATGAAATAGGCCCCAGATAAACAGAAAAGGGAAAGATCTAAAAGGCTTAATTTTAACTTTTTCAGATAAATATCTGAGTGACCAAAACTGTAGATTTCCAGATATTACATCCCATTGTGGCTCCTTTGCCTTTGAAAAATCTACTTATACAGAATTTATCAGTCAGAAGCTAAATTGTTGGAGAATAATAAACGTTTCGAGGTCATTTTTTAAATTTTTGCAAACCAAAGATTCAATGGTTGGAAATGTGTTTATAATTACATATATTGGATTTATAATCAAATTTTAGAAAAGTGGAATTAGGGAAGACGTTTGTTAGAATGAACAGTTTGAAGAGTTGATAGAACTATTACTTTCGTGACCTTTTGACAAGTGAAGGGCAATTAACTAATAAATTATATCTTTTTATATTAATAATACAAATGTTACTTTTGTAGAAGGAAAATCAGTTTTTTCAGCTTGAGTCAGTTCTGTCGTTTGCGATTTTTTAAATTTTATTTGATAAGTGGGAGGGATGTTGCCAGAAAGGATTGTTGAAAGTTGCGAAAGTGGGGAGTAGCCCGTGGCGTTTGGGTTGAGTCGGAACTCAAGGAGAGGAACGCATGCGTCAGTTGTCTTGTGCTTCTCGTGTCGGTCATTTCCTCGTTCTGTCTTAATGTGTTCCTCGTTATATTAGTCAGTGTCGATGCTGTTTAAACTTGTTATCGTAATGCACCTACCACCGATGTCATCTTTTTAAAACTACAATACAAACACTTTAATATTTCGACATGCCCACTGTGATATCCAAGTGTCTGGAGGACGTCTCCAAGATCAGCGTGCACAAACGTAAATTCGGTAGTGGAGTGTTGACGGCTATCCTACTCGTCTACAGCTGCAAACACGGTTACCCGTACATAAAACATCTCTTGCATTCAACGCCCAAGAAGACGGTCGTCGTATCCAACAACAACAAAAACGAGCCAAATGCGAACGTTTCAGACGAACCGTCGGACAAAAGAGACGTGCCGGGTTTCAACAGAGAGTTTCTTATCGAATTGTATAAATTAATCCGTCTTCTCATACCTCGACTATGGTGCAAAGAAGTCGGCTTACTCTCTGTTCACACGTTGGCGCTCATAACGCGCACATTTATGTCAATTTATGTCGCCACTATGGAAGGCCAAATGGTAAAATTCATTGTGCAGAGGGATATCAACAATTTTGCACTCATGCTACTCAAATGGCTGGGTGTTGCTCTCCCGGCGACCTTTCTCAACTCCCTCATCCGATATCTCGAATGCAAAATTGCTCTCGCCTTCAGGTACGTATTATTCCAATTCGTCGTAGTAATAAGATGAGTATTGTACTTCGATTGACCTTAAACGATGTATTTCAACCGTGTTGATTGAGTGTCAAGGACATAATGACATAAGAACTTATCAACTATTTGTCAAATCACTAATGACACTTGCTTTGTTGCTCTTTGACGTTTGTGCCGACGAAGCATCTTTCCAAGCTTATCCAAAAGTTTTTAACCAACCAATAACTAACAGCTTATCAACTTTAACATTTAATTAAAAAAAAAAAGAAAAGGAAAATAGGTTCAGAGTATATCACTACGGAAGGCCATAAAAACAAATCCAAAAACAGTCATTAAGTGTATTTCTTCCATCTAAATCGAAGTAAAAGAAAGAAAGATATCTGAGGAAAAAACATCCCATTTTATTGTTTAAAAAAATCAATCCTTCATTCATCAATTAAAGACAGCTGAATAGTAGTTTTCTTCATTATTCAATTATGTGTGTTTCATAATTTATTGAAGTCGTGAGGAGCGATCAAGAATGAGGTAGTTTAGAAAACACTTTTTTTTGCCGACGTTTCGACCTTTAATCGGGTCATCTTCAGGGCCTGGGTAAATTACAAAACATGTTGATTGGAAAAAATACAATGTAAGTTGTAAATATAAATTTTGAATCAAGTATTTCATACTCACATAAAGTGTGGTGTCATATTTCTTTACATTTTCACACAACACCAATATGACACCACAAGAATAGCACCACACTTTATGTGAATATGCAATACTTGATTCAAAATTTATATTTACAACTTACATTGAATTTTTTTCCAATCAACATATGTTTTGTAATTTACCCAGGCCCTGAAGATAACCCGAATAAAGGTCGAAACGTCGGCAAAAAAAGTTATGTTTATAAAAATAACTCATTCTTGACCATTCATCACGACTTCAACAAATTATTCAATTTGTTATCCTTATATTTATGGTTCCATATAATATGTAGAAGTTTTTCCGAGATCATATAACAAATGTAATTGTTTGAATGAGTGCTATAGTAAAAGTTAAATAAGTAAAGGTAAGAATCGTTTTAAAAGCATTTTGGGTAAGTTTGCATTTGTACAAATTTTCCAAGTAGAAAAAGGATCGAAGTGGAAAGAGTTCAAGTATATATTTTTTTAAATTAATCAACATGTCAATAATTGCAATCAATCTTATATATTAATATAGAGATGACGTTTCATACATATAATTTTTTAAGTAAGGGTAAGTTTGCGTTGCTTATTCAAAGTACAAAGCCTACTACATTACAAGAAGAATCAAAGACGAAGAAAAAAAAAGTTTAATTATTTCTTCTATTTTTATTTTGCAGATAGTAATATTTTTCTCATCAGTTTATTCACATGTATATATAATATTTCGTTTTTATATTTTAATAATATATAATTAATAACAAATAAGGAATTTATTTCGTAATGTACAAGATTTAAGCTACGAACCCATAAGAATCGTTATGTAACATCCATAAAGTTAATAGGATGAGTCATTTGCAGGAAAGTCAATATTAGACACACATTTTATCCCATTTATTATTTAATTCATTAGTGTAGAAAATGGGTTTTTAAATAAGTAGAATATAGTTTAGATATTTTTTTTCCAGGCCGGAAGAAACAACTTTCACGTAGGCGTCCGTTAAACCGAATATTTGCCAGAAAAACCTGTTCTAAAAATCGGTTAAGATTTCGTGATACCGTTGAAATTCGTATTAGCTTAACTACTGTAATAGAAAATATTTTCATTCCCCTTTTTTCTACAGGAAGAAAATTTTCAATTTTCAGAATAGAGAAATTAATTTCCAGGTGAGAAAAATTCTATCGAATGGTTGCATTTGTGAAAGAAAATAATTCAGTCAGCAAATTCTCCAGATTCAGCCCAGATACCGTGAAAAAAATTCAACTCTTTTTTTTATCTATTCGAGACTGATTTGAAAGTTTGCTAATTTTCTGAAATATTTCGTGCAACAATATTAAATTAACCACTTATTTTGACTACAGATTAAATTATTGCATTTCACTTAAGAAGCCAACAATAAAAAGGAGCATTTTATTATATACTACTTGTAAAAATCTTGGTTTTTCAAAATTGTTCCTTTTACGTTTAAGAAACGGTCTTCCTGTACAAAAAGGAGCTAAAAAAGTTAATTGCTAACAATTTAAATTGATTGAGGAAATACAATGGAACACTTACACTTACAATTAGTGTAAATAATAGCAAACGTCCTCCCTACACCAATCTTCTATTGGTAATAACCTATTTTGTAATAATTACTTGCTTGTTATATAGTTATATGAATACATTTTAATCGTGCCGTCACATTTACAGGTCCTTGGACACAAATTTAATTGATTAATTATTCAGGAATCGTGAGATGCGGTCTGGTGTGATGTAGGTTTCAGAAAAACATTTTCTTTGTCGTGCCAACGTTTCGATCTTTATTGAGATCATCTTCAGGGCCTGGGATTTACAAATATTGTTTAAATTTAACAAATACGTGTAGGATGTGGAAAAGAGTGAATTTATACTTATATATTATATTTTTTTGCATTGTATAAATTCACTTTTTTCCACATCCTGCATGTATTTGTTAAATTTAAACAATGTTTGTAAATCCCAGGCCCTGAAGATGACCTCAATAAAGATCGAAACATTGGCACGATAAAGAAAATGTTTTTCTGAAACCTACGTCATACAAGACCGCATCTCACGATTCCTGAATAATCATCGACTAACGGTCACTAATCACCACATAATTTATTAATATTAGTTTAAGATTTAAATGTTTAATATTTATATTTAAAATTTAAATATAAATATTAATTAAAATTGTAAATATTAAGTGTTAAAACTGTAAGTAAAGGGATTGCGGACGATTGTTCAAACCTTGTTTGAAGTTTTTGGTTATTACACAAAATAATAATTTTATGTGTAATAATTAATCAAAGGATAAAGGAGGAAAACAAATGGTAAAATAAGCAAACCCTATTAGATTTATTTTTATACAAAATCCTTTATTTATGGGACACTGTAAATTCCATTGGCAAACCTGCCTAAGTTCATGTTGTAGCTTTTTTTGTTAATTTATTTTTTATATATATTTATAATTTAACTTTATTGAAATTTAACAATTTTTTAAATTAAAATATTATTCAAGATCGACCTGTATGACAATAACGATTATTAGGATCAGGGTGAGGTCATCAACAGTGACAAAACACTTGTTTTATGTCGAACTTTCGAACACATAAAAGCTGAATTATAATAACAATTTAATAATTATTAGTTTTAATCGGTCGTATATGTTATAAAAGTTGATTTTTTTTAAAGAATCAATATAAATAAAATTAATGCAGTTTGCTTGTTTCCTAGTATTTTGATCCTTTCTATTCTCGCTCGTTTTGTCTTTCAGACGTGTTTCTGCTAGACGTCGTCGTATATTAAAAATTTGTTTATTTAAAAAAAGCCAAGATGTTCAAGAGAGGTCAAAAATGTAGGGGAAACGACCCAAATGCAAGTTCACCACCCAGCAGAAAACATGAAGAAATCATACAAAATAGTGATTGAATAATAATTGGCGTTAATAACTTTTGATTTGCAGGGGTTTTATTTTAAAGAATGTACACTCGACATTTTTGTTTTGTTTTAACGCTACTTCAATATATCAAAACCCGTCCTTCAACCGCGGTTGAGTGAGGCAATTGCGAAACTCGTTTCGACCCTGTAGACTTCAACCGCTGTCACCGTGATGCTGTTGATCCGTACACTTAAATTGCTCCAACGATCTATTATTAAATCCTCTGATTTTTCAACAAAAGGTCGATAAAAGGTGACTTAAAACATTTTTTTTCTCGGTTGTCCTCGCCAATTGGGAAGTTGTGTTGGCATCAGACCTTGAAACTTGAATTCATCAGTCTTGACCTGAATGTTGTTATAAGCACGGTAGTTCTCCACTTTTGCAATCCCGGATCTCTTATACATTTTCCCGACAGTTTCGTTCAATTTCTGTACACGATAAAAAATTATTACAAAAATTACCATTTAATTTAATTAAAGGTAACGGAATAAATTCTTCGTTGGATAGTTTAGGAAAATTCATATAGACAAAGTTAAATTTTAGATTTATTTGTAGATTTTAAAATAGAGTACTTTTCGTTGAGCCAAATTCCTGCTATTTTAATGTGGCACAGGCTAAATTAACTAAACTCCTCACTAATTAAATAAAAAGTAAATAGCAATGTTTATACTCATTTATTTAAAATCTATAAATAAAATATAAGTAGACGATCAAAAACGAACTCTTCAACTAATTCAAAGCCGCAAAATTTAATTTATTGAAGAAAAAACGTTGATTTTTTATTAATAAGAAATGCAGAAAATAAAATTCAAAAGGAAATTTTTAATTAATAAAGATTTATTATATATAAAATCGATGCAATTATTTTAGTGGGTTGGAGTTAAAATTTCAACTATTTCAAAAGTTCTAAAAGGAATGAACAAAATTACAGGCTTCTTTTCCTTCTCCACAATTATTTAATTGGTCTAATAGCAGAGTATTTATATATTTAAGAACGTCTAAAATAGAGGCAGTTGGATTATCCGAAGGAAAAATTGAAAACTAGAAAAGAAACTTTTTAAACCTTCAAATCCTGGACCGTCATCGAAATGCCAATGTGTTTTGCGTTTTAGTCTTATTGTTTAAATATTTAACTTGAATTGCAAATGTACTAAAAACACGTTTGAGATAAATAGCAACGGACAAAGAAAGCTTGCCAGGATCTTGTCATTTTTAGGGTATATTAATTATACCAATTATCATTGATGATAAAATCGTATTTTTAAACAGTTAATAGCCGAGCCAAAAAATAAATTAACATAAAATCGGCCACTTAGGTAAAAAATAGTAGTAAACCTCTATATTATCACAAGGATGTCTGATCTCCAACCCTCAAAAAGATACCAAGGCTCGT